TCTGATATTAACTCTAACAAACACACAATATAGCGCGGCTCGGGTTCTAGTATAAAATATGTAGTTATATTTTATTAATATATTATAATCAGGATTATTATCTGCACAGGACATACTATAGCGTAATAAGTTTACATTGAAAATATAAGTTCATTTTATATTATACAACGATGGGGTAGATCAGGCTAACGGCTTTACGTGTTCTCCGAGGTACAGGGGGAAACGCATACCTATGGCACTTTTTCCAGCTCCGAGCTGCTATTGAGATTTTTTCGAGTAACCTCCATAAGTACGTCGTCTAGCCCCGGGACACGAGCCCGAGGTCTCAGCCACAACACGCTAACCACTGAACCGATTGTTATCCCGAGCAGATAATTTCTGTATGATTACGTGGGAATTAGTGAAATACTCGAAGCAATAATGTAACAAAGCTATAAGTACTAATTAAACGTCTACGTGACATGTGTCTCTAAGTAGAGGCTTCTCGCATCGCCGACCGACGCTCTGACAGACTATGACTGTGCATACTCTAAAGCTCTAAGCGTGAATTGATGTAGGTATTATTAATACACAGCTCTACGGGTTCATCGCCGCGTGACTGCCACCTCGCAACATATATATACTTACATACATTTACTATATGACTAATGTTTGGAATAATACTGAAATGTCAGGACAAGACTCCACTCAACGCTTTTTGCGTATTTGCCTAATTGGCATCCTCTATAAAGAAAAACTTTGAATTTTAATATTACTCTTTTGATGAAAGAAAATCATTGCCCAGATACTATGATAAATGATGAAACCTAAGGAAGTCCCGACAGGCGCTACGCCCGTCTACGACGGTCTGCTATTTAGCTAGATTTCTTAATTGCCTGCGCTTGAACTCGGCCAGATAAAAAGTTTATACCTTTTAATCACGTTAATTACACCGGCCCCGAAACTTGTCACATCATGCCCGTTTTAATTTCCTACGTCTCTCCGATTAAATCAGAGGATAAATTTTTAATTGATATGATTAAACTCCGTGATAACGAGCGAAGTTATTTGATAATAGCTGTGCCTCTGACGCCATTAGAATTATTTTAAGCCAGCTTAAGATTATGTTTTATAAATTTATATACAAATATATATTGAAAAATATAAATATACTGAACAATATATGGTCACGCAACGTGATGGCTTCACAATGAAACATACACACAGTAGATACTTTTAAGTTTGCAGTTCACGTGATATAACCATTAACGTCGCAATTATTCTGCCGTTGAAATAAAAATGATTAGATTTTTCTAATAGGTAAGTCAACTAGCAAGTGGACGTAATAAAGATTTCGTAATGACCTTTTATCGCGGCTGAGGCAGTGTATTGACTGGTTTTAAGAATATACCGACTAATGACTTTGACATTAATCTACTTGTGTTTTTTTTTACTTAATCTTGTTCTGGCAATGTCACTTGTATATTGAAACTATTTCAGTACCTTAATAACAATGACGAATTTCATTTTAAATATTTTTCAAGAGACTTTGGCAAGTAGTTTAAAAGTTTGGCAGAATTTAAATATTTTATTTATCATCTCTTTCAAAACTTTAAACAAAGAGGTACGCAATTCAATTTTTTATAATTAATTTAATATCTTTGACAACTGCGCAACGTTTTTCATACTTTCTTCTTTTAACAAATGTGAATTGAACTTGTGTTATAAATACATAGTTTAATAAAAACATAACTGAAAAAATTGCACAATATATAGGTAGTTATGAAAAATAAATATTTATAAAGAGGTAGAGAAATATGTTACATAAAAAATGTTTAGACGTAACATCACTAAACAGTGTTTTCTGTAACACGCTATAAATATAAACGTAATTTTATAATATATTTATTTTTATCATTACATGTCAGGAATAACACTTTGTGTATTTTTAGAAAAAAATGTAAGCGAAGATCTTAATTACTATCAAGTATAAGTGAAAGTGTTCGAAAGTTAGCGAACTACGTGCGTGTAACTTCATTAACTTAACATTGTATTAGGTATTAACAGATAATTAGCGCGTTCAAACAAACAGTTTTCAACTTTATAATATGAGAAGGTTTAAACAACAGGAAATGTAGGTATATTGCTTTTATAGTTATTGTCGGAATCAAAACGTCAAAAAATATATAACTAGAGCTTAATCGAACTTCGAATTGATCATGTTGGAAGCGAGGCGAGGCCTTCAATACATACCTAGATACATATGCACAGATATCATCTAACACTACAGATGCCTCATCCCATACAAAGAAATTGGATAGCGCTAATCGGGCAATTTGTTGTTTGCTTGAATAGATAAATAATAATAGATGCCATTAATCCGCAAATTTTCGTACTCGTTTATTTTATACACATGATAAATACTGCAAAAGTTCATTCTAAATTTAATTAAACAAATTTCAGTGATTTCGACAGTTTTTAACCAACCACGGTAAACAATTAATTAAACTCTTCACCGCACATTACAAACTCGCTGCTGCTAAAATTACGCAAACTTGATTTTCGAAAGCATTATTTTGTTCTTGTTAACTTAAAACAATTTTTAAACTCATATTATACCTTTATTGAAATAATTTTATCTATTACAAATTTTACACATACTTTAATAACAAATCGATACAGATAATGCCATCTATTGACATTTATTTAAACTAATTTTTCTTTGTTCCTAATGAGACCCCGTCTCCTACGAAGTACCCGCCGAGAATCAGCTCACGTTCAGCTCACGTGTGTAAACTACATACATGTAACTTGTAGTAATTTATACTATCTTATATTTATTACTTACCTTAGAAACTTCTTACAATTAAAAGATATATAAAAGAGTGAAATATTACTTCGTAATCAGAATAATCTATTACCATTGTGAATGTATGTGGGTTAGAGTATTTATGTGCTTGTTGTTCTAGTGCTTAGCTGCAAAATATGATATAAATAGATAGCTTTGATACCAGAAGCCGACGGTGGCTTATATGAGAGAATAAAACGTCAACGGTTTTGACAATAAAGAAATTGAATTTTAATTTAAATACGCAAAACTGCTCCTTTGTACCAAAATGTTGTCAAGTTGTACTTCCTTAGATTTACATACTTTCTTAGGTTACTACAAATATTTGATAGATTCTATACAATATAATAAAAACGAAATAAAATATATTTGGGGAATTGAAATAATACCTTTTTGAAGTTATAAGTATTTCTTTTGGCACCTTTGGAAAAAAATATGAATTTGACGACACGTTTGGCTCAGTTTGTAGTGCCAGCGGTCGCGGGTTCGAATCCGGCTGGGGGCACACATTTGTGTGATGAGCACGAATGTTTGTACCCCAGACATGGGTGTTTATATTTATAATATGTATCTATTTAAAAGTTATATATGTGTAGTGTATCAACTATCTGGTATCCATAACACAAGCCTCGTAGCTTACCATGGACCTAGATGGCGCTGTGTGTTAATGTCCCCAACATATTTATTATTTATTTATTTAAAATTTTTACGATGCGTACGCACACCGACAGCCAAAAAGCGATATGATGAAGTTAGCTGCATTCCTTTTACAAACAGACTAGACTACGTAAACGAAGTTGTTGTTGTTTTAAATAAAACTATTTCTTTAGATTTTTTCACTACTTTATTTTGGTTTTTGATTCTCGACATTTTTAATGCCTCGTAGTGATCACAGTCACGGGAGAGAGTTAAAAATAATTAAAGAAATAAAGAAGTTATTATTTACTTATTACAGACTGATTTAAAAAAAGAACTTAAAATCGTGGTAGCTACTGAACTGCATTTTCATCTGATTTTATTTGCGTAACTGATGTACGTACGAGTCAGGCCAGGATATCACTTGCGTGAGAAAAGATAAAGTAGCCGCGTGTTAGCGGATGAAAATGGACACGGACACTTTAATTTGAAATATTCTTTGTTAATACTGTTGCATCAATACTAAGTTCGTTACAAATTACATTATTATGAGTGTATATTCTAACATTTGGTAAATATTCTTGTTATATACACATAATAATTAAAATAAAAAAACTTTTAAATCCTGTAAATTGGATCCCGGATATATAGGATATAGAGGTGTGTATTTCTCATAGCGAGCCCTTAAATTTGATCTGGTAAAACCCCAACAGTTAGAATATATTTATATGTTAAATATTGATGACAGGTTTTTTGTCCATCGGTTTGTAGAGATGGAGAAAATGCGTTGCACAGGACGTGACTCCGATCTAACTAATGACTTATCCCTTCACTTATGGGGTTATGTCTTACTAGCATTGCCCGCGGCTCCGCCCACGTTCAGATGACTAAAAACCAAATTCTTAGGTTTTACATATTAGTACTCTTACAATGCAGTTTTTGATTTTTTTCCCAGAAATGAGATATTTTCTCGCGGTAAAAAGTATCCTATATATTGACCCGGATAACCAGCTATCATCATACCAAATTTCATCAAAATCTGACCAGTGGTTTTCTCGTGACGCGGTAACAGATAGACAAACAGACAGACAGACAAAAATTCTAAAAACTATAGATTCGGACTCTGTATCGATAATAATGTCTATTTCAATTGGATTTTCCAAAAAATATTTAATGTACAGATTCGACTTAGTTAGAATTTTATTATATGTATAGATTAGTGTTTAACCAGCTATCAATTACAATTAAAAAATAATTGAAAACGTATCGTAATAGATGTAATACATACAAACGGTAAACTCGATTTATTTACAGTGCAAGTTCCCAAGTAAAATGTAAGTTTAAGTCACACTAAGTTTTTAACCACTAATTTGAGACTTGAATAGTAAAAAAAATATAAGATAGTCAAAAATTTAATAACTTCATACTAAACTCAAAAAACGTGTAAAAATTTCTTAATATTCCTTTCGAAGATTTTATTCTTGATTTTTACTTACAGTCTCACTCGAGTTGTCCGCAATGAGAGCAAGCCACAAACATGTTTCAACGTACACACGTAAACGTAAACAACAACCGTCACTGTTCGCGAGGAACATCCGCCGCGCTCGCCGGTCCCGCGCCTACTGCGAGCGAGCACCGCTCAGCACTAAGCAGTGAGCAGTCAGCACCCAGCGCCGGCCAGCGTCAACAGTCAACAGTCGCAGCAGTCAGCCGCCCACCACCAGCTCGCCGCCCGCCCCCGGCGCTAACACTGGCACTGAAAAGTCTACGTCCTACACAAATATGCCACTCTAACTGAACTCTGGATTGTATCACTATCAGTTATCACTCATTCTACTCGATTATACTCGTCTTGTAACTTCTGTCTTTATGTGAATAAGGAAATGTTAAATTGTCAATTTATTTTAATTAGTACTAACTCTATACATTTAATAAAATTGTAACTAAGCCGAATCTGTAGATATTTTTACATTAGATATTTTTTGGAAAATCTTATTGCAATAAACATTATTATTGATACAGAGGCCGAATCTATGGTTTTTAGAATTTTTGTCTGTCTGTCTGTTACCGCATCACAGAAAAACCACTGGATGGATTTTTATGAAATTCGGTATGGTGATAGCTGGTTGTTCGGGTCAACATATACGACACTTTTTACCGCGGAAAATATCTCATTTCTGAATCAAAAGAATACAAAAACTGCAATGTAAGAGTATACTAATATGTAAAACTTAAGAATTTGGTTTTTGGTCATCTGAACGCGGGCGGAGCCGCGGGCAATGCTAATATTAAAAAAAATCTAAAATGCACCAAGTATAAGTTTACTAGTTTAGCCTTAGTTATGTGGGCATTGATTTCGACCACAGCAAATACCTACTTACAAGTTATGAGTAAATAAAACATTTGCCTCGAGTGTGACTTGAACCAGCAGCACCCAGATATCTATATCACTGCTCCAGATGGTCAAACAATGTTGGTTGATGGGTATTTATTCGTTTTATAATATGAATCTTAATAATATTTAAGCAATTTTTTCGTACGTTATAAATGGTACATTTGATGTATGTATGTTTACAAGAGCAATGATTTTATATGTCCAAAATGTTTTTATTTATAAGAGCATTCGTATAATATGTACCTAACAAGTTAAAGATAATATAAGGGTATCATTACCTCTTTTTATTATAATATAGGTACTTCTACGGTTGCAGAGCTACAAAAGTGTACACAATCTACATAAATGGTTAAGTAATAAAACCAGGGACAAGTCACATCTTGTATGTGCACCACCTTTGCAGTCCACCTTTCCCTTCAATTTTCTTTTAATATTTGTATTTTTGTTTTTTTGTGCAATAAAGATTATATTATATAATATTTCGAAATATGAAATGTCATATTTTGATCAACATCCAGTGGGAAGAATAACATATCACCATCATCACACCTTCTTATAATATTCACATTGGACAGGCGATTAACGTATTACATACATATGCATGTATGTATGGACGTGTGTGTATAAGTAGGTTCTCTGCCCGGAGCGGCGAGGATGTCGTTTGCCGTCATTAACAACGCGCAAGGCCTTTATAAAAGGTTGCTGTAAGACAAAAGCTCTTTGTGTTCTATTCTTACGTCGCCTCCTCGCGGCTGCACTCGCGCGCCGCCCGACGCCGGGCGAGTGGCGACTCGACGCGACACACATTACAAATACTTTACCTTTCAAATTATTCACTTTCTTATTACATACACACACATTAGCTTTCATTCGCCTTCCACTACCTTCAGTTAGTTCCCTCCCTATCGTTCCCTATCGTGTTTCTTTCATAGTGCAAAATAAATGTTCTGAAAAATATTTATTTTCTTTGATGTTCAGAATTATTGTATTTATCTCCTTTGAATACAAAGCGACTCCTTTTCAGAAACCCTTCCGCGCGGAAATAAAGATAGCTATACGGATGTTTGAGTTCGAGTTTTTCTTTTTTCCTTCAATTCTCTCGCGCTGAAAGATTAATTCCTATTAATATACAGGCACAGTCCAACAATTAATTAAATATATACCTACGAATAGTAACAAACGCTTATAATTTTAAATAGCAGAATTACCGGTGTTTTTGAATATTTCATGATAAATGTTATCTTTCGTATATGTGCTGGTCATTACTGATGAAACAGCGTGAGCACAGCGCCCTGCGACCGACCGACAGAAGGAGCTTTTGTCACCTCAGAAACTTTTTTTTTAACGTTTGGAAATTCATTTACGCATACCACCTACATACATACAAGTAGTTATGTAGGACTCACCGTCTAAAAAAGCCTGTACAACTTCCCCTTGAAACCATTTATTTCGACGTTTACCATTTTGTGGAACATTTAAAACATTTTTTGGGGAGTTGTTTTTTTTTTGTAGTATTCGTACATAATGGTACGAAGCAAGCACGAAACTTTTAAGTTTCGACATCTATACTAATATTATAAAGAGGTAAAGTTTGTGTGTTTGTGACGTTGTAGGGGGTAATCTCTGGATCTACTGAACCAATTTAGATGAAATTTGGTAATAACATAGTTTGAGACACTGGGAAGGACATAGGATACTTTTTATTCCGGAAATCATCCCTAATGCGGGTGAAAATGGGGATGAAAGTTTGTATTCGGAAGCAAGCTAGGGACGAACCCGAGCGAAGCAAGGGTGAGTCGCTAGTTCTTGATATATTTATCAATATATGGACGATAAAAACAAGATTTAATCGATTAAAAGTCAAAACACTATCAGCAGTGTGCTACGATGAGTAAATTAACATTATGACATCAGACGCGCTCTGATTTTTCGGGAACTGTCGATACCGGATTCAAAAAATTATTTTTAATTTCAAGTAACTTTTTAATTATGGCGAAAATAAAACAATATTTTGTTATAAAACTTATATGATCCATTTATAACAATTTTTTTTTTCAAAAACCCAATTGCATTGAGACCTAAGTTAGAAGCCATACATATTTGCAACGCAAATACGTAATAAAAGAAGCCGCTTCCGCCTGTATGAGTGAATGCAGGTCGCTATCTGCGGCTATGACGTCGTCGTGGAGCCTTGAGTCAGTCTTCATGCCGTATGAGTGGTGTGGTGTGTGGCGCCGTCCATCACGCTCGTCCGGTGCCGCCCCAGCCGCCCAGCGGTCGCCGCCCGCCGGACGTCCGACGAGAAAGAGATCCGCTTCCTTTACTTTACATTTTTACTTAACTTCGAAAATTAGGGCTTTCGTTAAAACATTATAAATAACTTGCCCACATCCCTCATATGAAATATTACCTATGCATGCACTAATATTATATTATGATAATTGTATCGCGCTCTACAATATATTTTAAGATATAAATATACGAAATCGAAAAAGTTATATTTAAAAAAAATATTTACATAAATAAAACCCGATTGCGTAAAAAGCGAACTAGTTGGAGACACTATTTTCCTGTTCAGTCAACTTTTCAAAATTTTATTTATTTAAATATTTTTATTTATATATAGCATTTTAGATATGGCCAGTTACATTTTTTTAATTTTAACAATTTGTTATTCTAAATTATATCTAAACATATACGTATTTTCGTAATCACCTCTTAAAAACATTCATTTTGATACTCCACTTGATAGGTATGGAAGGACAAAAAATTTATAAGACACAAATTGATGCTAAATACGCCATTTTGATTTTTAATAATATTCATGTACATTGTACTCTATGACACTTGCGTTATCAAAACGAATCTTAGACGATTAAACCATTAAAATTAGTTAGTACGTTGAGTAATTACGAGGGAACATAGGATCAGACATACTAATGTGTTTACAGACATACTCGTCCATACAGGTCAGTACATTACCATCCTTTAGGCTTTGCCGCATTCGGGTAAAACATTGTTTAATTTCTCATATTGAAAAATTAGTGTGTTATAAGATTTTAAAAATGAACTTGCCAATTAAGTATATATGTACCTAATAGGTACTTTATTAACTCAAGTAAGTAAATGCACATTACATTAACAGTATAATCTTATTTTTTTCGTAAAGCATGCATTTTAATGAAAATTAAAAAGCGAAAAACATTTGTTCCATTCCGGATAAGAGTATTTAATATTGATAAAAACATGGAGAGACATTTACACCCTTGCCTCCTTATTTCCATATTATACACATGAAATATTTTGAACAACATCTGTAGCTTTTAATTCGAATATTTTCATTTCGGTGAATCACGCCAACCACTACATAATAAAAAAACCTCGTTTAATAGAGATTCTTTAATAAATTCTATTCGCGATCGTCAAGACATTTAGGTACCTACTGCAAAGCAATGTTTACAATACACACATGCTCTATTTCTAGACTAGGTAGTGACAGGTAGGTACCTACTTTATGTATTCGAGATAAAATTTATTTTGAATAAGCCAGGTCAGATATACCTACATAAATAGGTATCGAGCGTTTCGCTACCTTTGTTTGACCTCTGATAACTTGCCGCATGGATGAGATCACATGAGACTTTTGAGCCAACAAGCAAAATTCCAAAACAAAGGTGTACACATGTCTATGGCATATTACCTTCCATCCCCAGATAAAATCCCTGTGTGACTCAACTAATTGGACTTTTATACATATGTACATACATAGACACCTATATCTGTCAAATTAACCTACGTCCTTTATTATTCTACCTACTCTGCTCCCACTATGCGATAACATCTCAAAAATTTTTCTTACTAGATGGATATGAATATGAATACGCTGCTAATATTAGCAGTTTACGTCCGTATGTATTTATTTTAGATACCTGGTGGGGGCATTAATGAATTCATTCGCAGGATACATGTCAGTTGTCACATCAAATTAGAGTAAAAACGAACATTAACAAATAGACATAAAACTGAAAGTTTTAATTGCGTTGTTTACACCTAAACTTGACTTTCATTATTCATTCTGAGCAAACTTCGCTATAGTTGGGTTTCAATTATTACCATGTTATGAAGTTCACACGCGCGGGAGTTTGCTGAGAAAACGCGGCATTAAAATTTACGATATAATAAACTGCTTCGCCCGAGTTTCACAATAGAATTACCCCCGTGCAGTGTTGTTAGGGATTAAGTGTGTCGAAAGCCAGTGGCGGTAACTGCATGTGGAAATAAGGAAATTTTAAAATGAGGATCGTAAAATGTTCGTGGGAAGCAGCCGTGTAGATTATGCGAGGGCGGGCATGGGCGGGCGGCGCGGGAAGACTAGTTAACATAGAATGGCTTCGCGACGTCGCAATAGAAAATAAAATTATCATACTCGTAGCGAGGCGTCAAGCGATGAACATCCCGACTTAATTATCACTGCCGCGGCTTCTTCACGAATTCAGCGATTTAAGAACTGGGTCATGGCACATTCTCAGACTACCTGCTAAACCTTATAGCTCCCTCCCAGCTCCCTACAATCCACACCTACCTAGTCTACAGTACCTACACGTCGCTGCAGAATCGCCTGAAGCTATTAAAACTTACGAGCCCACCTAATTTTCATCCGTGCGCTTTACACGGTAACAAGTAGCTATTACTAGAGAATATTACACCTTATTATGCATCTTAATAGAGAGAAATCTTGCAGTTAAAGTTTTTCGTATTTGCACACTTACCATCATGCATTCTTAATGTAACACAAATTACCTGTCTCGTTCAGAATACGAGTATAATTTACATATATTTTCCTTTAAAACTTTGGAAAACTTATAGCTCATAAGTATGTATGTATTAGCACAGATTATACTACTAATAATATAATAAAATGACAGTCATGTATAAAAATGGTTGTTGATTTAAAAAATATAGAGGTGTGTAGCAGAGCTTCCACAAATCTCAGATTACTAAATGCCGACTTTGGAGGAGAGTATTTCACGTTATTATTATTTAAAACTATAAAACGTTTTATACTACAAGTATAAAACGCATGAAACTTCAATAAAATGGTATTATTTTGTTGTACTTTATTTAACAGAAATAACGTTCGTATACTTATTATCTAACCTTTTTTTAATGTTGGGTAGGTAATGTATTTACGCATACCACTTGTAGACATACCGGTGTTTATGTGGAACTCACCGGCTAGAAAAGCGAGTACTACCCACTAAAACCCAACAAAACTCACACACTCAACCACGACGCCCTGACGGCAGGTCTGCCGAAGCAAGCCACAACAACCATGGGTGTGCTCCAACGTCCCACTCTGCCGTCAGAAAAGTACCAGGAGCATCCCGCATGGTACACCGCCAACTGAAGTGAGCCACATCCCAATGCGTTTCTTGGCTTCACGCCCGGCTGAACTGCCGGACGTTAATGAGTCACCCCCCCCCCCTATCTCCCTCCCCCACCTTCACCACCACGATAAAGTAAACGCACGTTAGTGGGGGGTATAATAACTAACCTAACTAAATAATAGGATAAACACTTCTAAGAGTATTGGAATATTTTTACATAAATGCGTAGCGACATCTACCGGTGACGTCAATAATAATTAAACGCTAAGGTACATTACCTGTCAAGCGTGAAGCGGCCAGGTCTCGTCAACATTTTGATTTAAAGTGCAGTTCTCCATATAGATATTTGTAGATTCGGCCTCTATATCAGTAAGAATGTCAATTTCAATAAGATTTTCCAAAACATATATCATGTACAGATTCGACTCAGAATTTTATTATATGTATAGATACGAGGGAGCGTTTTTATGTTCGCGGAATGAAGGGTTAGAGGGGGGTGATTGGGCTCATTAGGATCGTAACGTGTTCAGTGACTCATAATTAGTATAATTACGAGGTTTCATTGTTATAAGACAATTAGTCTTAGAGCTATCGTCAACCAAGACAACCGTTTTTAAAATCCTGCGGACCTGCACGATCATCTTGGCATGACTGAGGTCAGCGCAAGATGGGTACCGAGAATGATCACGCCGCCGCAAAAACAACAGCGCGTAGTGTTCACGTGCATTTTCACCTTTGTAATGAAGACATGGATAGTGTATTGAGTCGAATTGTTACTGGAGACGAAACATGGGTTCATCATTATGAATCCGAGTTGAAACAAGACTCTATGCAGTGGCATAAACGGGCACAGCACCTCCCAAGAAGTTTAAGGTGTCAGTCAGCTGGGAAACTCGTAGTAACGGTCTTTTGGGACTCGGAAGGAATATTATTGATCGATTAAAAAGATAAAGGTGTTTCTATAACCAGAGAATACTATATTTCAATCTTAGAGCTACTAAAAGAAACCATTAGAGAGAAAGAGAGGGTTGCGGCCATTGCGCAACGGCAGCTATCACTTTTCAAGATCCCTACAGTTCTATGTATATTTCTGTGAAATGGAGTGTAATTCATTTTAATAACAAGTGCATCGATTTTGTTCCAAAAAGTCAATAATTATTTATTTAATTAAACATACTAGTGGGCACATTTTAATAGGCACCCCGGTCAAAACATATTATTTTCCCTTTTATTTTTGTATATAAAAAATTGATTTTGATTTAATATGCTATGAACGTAGCAATCTCGTAGCGGGATCTTAGTCCATCTGTATATTATGTATAAAGGCAAACATGAAAGTCTGATTAAATAATTGTAATTTGATTTAGTAAATAAAACAAACATGTTTTTAAGATTTTTATTAACTTAACCCTATGTCACATCACTTAACTTCCTTAACCTGAAGACCTGCAACAAAAAAAGAAACAAATCAGTAAAAAAATGTGCCTTAGAAATTAAGATAACCTTACCATTGGTCACAAAGACGACACAAAGAGATTTCTTGTTAAAATTTCAATAGAGTATAGCAGGGTAGGCATACATCAGATGCCCCTCGGGAAAGTTAGGTTGATATTTTTACCATGAAATCACCGTCATTTCCCTAAGCTATCACCCCTCTGCACATGCTAATTAGTTGAATTTAAGCATAAACATTTTTTTTGTGATCTTTTCTGCAAGCATTGGATACTCCTAAGATATCTTATACTAATATTATAAAAAGGTAAAAATTTGAAAGTTTGTGAGTTTGTGACATTGTAGGGGCTAATCTCTAGATCTACTTTTTTGATTTTTGATTTAGATGAAATTTGGTAAGAAGATAGTCTGAGACCCTGGGAAGGACATAAGATACTTTTTATCCTGGAAATCATGCCTGAATGAAAAATGAATCATGGTGAAAATGGGGATGAAAATTTGTATGAGAAATGAAGCTAGGGATGAACACAAGCGAAGCGAGGGTGAGTCGCTAGTATTAAATAAGATACTTTAAAGTCTTCACAGTGATTCATATATCGAAATATTACAATTGAAGAAAATAAAATATCACGTATTCTAAGAGACACTATCACGATTTTTTTTCTATAAAGGACCCTTATTATGCTCTAGAACACTTTTTTTTTCAAAATTTTCGCAAGGGTAGAACTGTTAAAAAATATCCAATTATGAATATCAAATCAGTTATGCATGTGAAACTGCTGATTGTTTTATGTAATTTTAATAATAATAATATTTATTAATTATAACAGTGCAAAATTGAGATGTGTTTTTTCTTTTTCTATAATTGGAATATCTTCAAAAGAAAACGCCACACTAGTCCAGCCCTGGTCAAGTGAAGTGTTCACCAACAAAGTGTCAAACCATTTTTATTTAAAATAGATTTTAAATATATTATTTTTACTGTTTTATTATTATATACTTATTTAAGTTTTTGTTTATTATTACCAGTTACATGATTGTTCTTTTTACCCATACTTTAGTGGACCACAGAAACTAACATTTTCATCACTTTGGAAGATAAAAATTCCTAATTACTGAACAGAATTATCATAAGAAACTAAACTCATTTATATGAAAGAAACAGTTGTATTAAGTACCTGGTGGAAGGCTTTGTTTTAATTTCTCCGCCTTCTCCTTGTCCGTAATGACCAGTGTGTACAGGAAACGCGAGCAACGAACCTTGAACTTGACATTCTCGGGATTCTTCTTTATCTTTACAGCTGAAATAATAATGTTCGACATTAAATTGAAAGTAAATTATACGAACAAAATGATTAAAGAATTGCGTATATCTTACATTTGGCATCTTTCCTGCGAGCTTTCAACAGGAAGTCCTTAATGTCTTTGATTTCACGAGGCTGAAATAAAGAAAACAATAGTGCGTGAGGTTTTTCAAACATTGATTTCAGTAACTTTTATATTAATGAGAAAGATGCTAATGTTAATTAACTAAAACTTTTGGTTTTACATATTATAACTTAAATAGAATATAACCACATAACAATTGTTTTCATTTGTAAATAGTTTTTAAGCAGACTAAAATTAACTTCATTTATTAGCACTGGTAGCCAATAGTATACTGTGGTGAACGTTAAATAATCAATAAAATAATATTTTAAATTTGATTTATATTCAAGTAATAAACATGTTATAAACTTACCATGATGAAACCGATCTTTAACACTTGGCTGAAAAAAATGTTATTTAATAAAAATATTTATATAATAGCTAATCTAATATTAAATATTGCACAATTCATTAATAAAAATTGAAATAAATATCTATTTATCCAATGATTTTAAAAGATTTCACAGAATTTCACAAACATTGAACCTTTCGCACCTGTCAAAGTCAGTAAAAGAACTTGACAAATTATTATAACAGATAACTTAATAATATAGATAAATAAAATATGGGGAAGAAAACTGTCAATCAGCTACGCATAGAGGGCGCCAAAAGTTTATTACCAAACGTACTGTCAGTTGCCCGATTTACAAAGGTATCATAATTTGAATTTCAAAAAATGCTAAAACACGTATTCATTTAATTGTATTGAAGAGCATTAATACCAAGTTTCAAATAATTCTGATCGTAAATAATTCTTTGCTCATATAAACTTTATTACTCCTTTTACCCTTTTAACGGATGAGTTTAGAAAAAAAATCAAATAAGTTTATTTGTTTTTTATTTTTTATCGTAAAGCTAAACACAATTTTTTGTGTATTTCATATTAAGAATTACAGAGTGTCATACAGTCTTTAATCCCCTATTTTACCCACTTAGAGGATGAATTTCGCAAAATCTTTCTTATCGGATGCCTATATCATAATACATATTATTTTATCGTATAGGTCCTCCAAATTTCACGTTTATATGACTAACGGTTTAGACTGTGTGTTGATCCATCAGACAGGACCACCGCAGGTTGCACCAATCCTTCTTAATTCTTCCTTCAGTTTGTCTAATTTCCAGGTACAATTCATTTCACAGGTAAGATGCGAACACCATAGAAGCAAAAAAAACAGATATATATATATGAGATATCACAATAATTTGCTTAACCTCAAACTGAATGTAAATAGGCAATACGTGTGGCGCCCTCCTTATGAGAAACTTCCTCATTAATCGTAATAATAAGAGTAATAAATATTTTTACCGATATCTACTGAAATCTCTAGGTCGCGTCGAAAAATGTCAGTTAACACAATTTGACAGTTTCACAGAATAAATACACAAGAATTGTCACAACTTACAAGTTACAACATAAAGTCACACATTGTGATTGTGTCCGAAGGGTCATCGTGTACAGCCAACGGCTGGCGAAATGCACGAAGAAACTCTCAGGAGCAAAACGAAGAAGGAGGATCGGAGTGGCGGTGGCTTGTAGTCGTGTGCGGCGGGCGCCGCAATGGCGGCCCGCGAGGGTGTCCGGAGCAGCGCTCGGCTCAGCGGGGCCACGACGGCGGCCAGTGCAGCGCCGGCCCCCGCGGCGCGAGACTCGCTCGCCGAAGAGGAGCGCGCAGCGGCCGCGGCGCTGCGCAGGGCACGGGCCGCGCGAGCCGCCGAGCGCGCCCGGGAGGTGGAGGACAGCCCTCAGGTGCTCAGAGAGAAATGCCGCCGCTTGGCTCGAGCGCTCCGCGAGGCCAAACATCTTGTGGTACCGTTTTTCTGTCATACTTTTTACTTTAAACACATTTTGTTACTTGGGGTAATTAAAATCATTTGCCACAACATTACCATAAAGTCATAAAAATACTAATTATATTTGTGAGATTTATTTTTTGTAAAGTTTATGAGAGAAATTTAAATGGAGTTACAAAGGCTTCTTTTCATTAAAATACCAACAAAGCAAATAGAGCCATGGGAAAATACCAATTTAATGCATTTTACAACTTTGTACCATACATCATTATTATATTTAACAACTTTTTATGTCATAATTAATTAGCAAAGTGATAAAAGCATGCTGTAATTATGAATAAGAATCATAAGAAATTGTTATGCTGAATAAAACGTGATATTAGCAGAGCTTTACAATCCTAATAGATGCCAACTTTTTTGCTCAATAGTGAATTTTCACAAAGGCAAATGTTTATATTATGCTTGTCTTTACTAAAATGTTATATGTTTGCATATTCTTTGAATGAAGTGCTAAAATCTGTAACAAAATTATTTTCACCAAGGTTCACTTTATCCAAAACTGGTTTTGACCAGGAGAAATAATAAAAATTCTTACAAATTATTTGACAACACAAAACTTCATGTTATCATCATTCTTATACCATATCTCTTTATATTAAACAAAGTCAGGTTTGTTACAACACTTATAATTCAAGAACTGCTGGACCGATTTTCATGGTTTTTGAATTTGAAAAACTTGGAAAAAATTATGAAAAAAATATTTCAATTTACATGGCTATCGCTAGCTAATAACTATTTATATCTATTTAAAACATACATAATATTAATATGTAATACTACCTAGGGACAAACCCGAGCAACCTGAGCTGCTAGTCATTTATACATAAAATAATATCAACAGTTATCTTTAAATAGGATATACCAAAGTTATTATTTTGGTCATCTGTTTTTCTTACAAGAAAAGGCAAACAAAAATTATACACAAAAATATCTTATGTTTTGTAGTGTAATTAATTACTACTAGTTGAAAATATAATGCCTCAATCTGAGAACTGATGTAAGAAATAAGAAGGACTTTTTTTACTGCGACTGAAAACTGAATTGTAGATATGTCAAGTTTTTATTTATTAAGCCTCCTTGACACAATCAAAGTCTACTTTGACAAAGTAGTTTTGATGACTACTTTGATACAACTTTGATCTTCTAAACAAGCAATCAAAGAACACTTTGTTGTGACCAGTAAACTTTGATCAATGCTACTTTGTCAAAGCAGATTTTAAGTGTGTCAATGCAGCTTTACTGTTATATTCATGAGAGTATATTTCTATCAAATAATGTCAACATTGTACACATTTATATTTTCTATTAATCCTGTTTTCCTATTATCTGATATAAATTATTAACTTACAAACTGTAAAAAAAAATCTCATCAATAATTCAGTATTTTATAGGAAGGATATCAAAAAAATGCTTTTGTTTCTATAAAATATTATTATTTTGGTTTTTTAAGAATTAAAATATAGAGAAGTATTTATATAAATGTTTAGGATATGTTGTGAATACTGTGCAGAAGATAGCAGTTTCAGACAAAGAGGTGTGAGGGCAGTTCAGTGATATAAATGTAATGAATGTGGTTACATTAGAATAGAATAGAATAGAAACACTTTCATGACACACACTACTACAAAGTAATAAATAAACATTAATACAAAAAAAAAACAAACAGATATACAAATAAGAGCTTAAATACAACACAACAGAAAATACAAATAATAAAAGATAACATTGATATAGCTGTGTGCCATTTTAAGAAGGGAGCCCCAGTTCAGCTCAAATTAAAAGTAAGCCCAAAGCGGACATAGTAAGAACAATTCGGAAGATTCAACATTGATTTTCAGTGAACCATTTCTGATAAAGAAATATGAAACAATAATACAAAGCATAACATACATATGTGGGTACTTTAAAAAAGTTGAGACTACGAAGTAGTGGTGCACATCACAGTCAGTTCATAGTGGATATATTTATCCATTCTCATCATAAAATTGTCACGTGTACTGTATATACATATGTATGTTGTAGGTGTACACGGGGGCGGGCATCAGCACTGCGGCCGACATCCCCGACTACCGCGGGCCGCGCGGCGTGTGGACGCGGCTGCAGCGCGGCGAGACCGTCGGCCGCGTGGAGGTGTCGCGTGCGCGGCCCACCTTCACGCACATGGCGCTGACGGCGCTGTGGGCGCGCGGCGCGCTCAAGTTCGTGGCGTCGCAGAACTGCGACGGCCTGCACGTGCGCGCCGGCCTGCCGCGCCGCGCGCTCGCCGAGCTGCACGGCGACATGTACGCCGAGCGCTGCGCCGCCTGCCGCCGCGTGTATCTGCGCGCCTTCGACACCACCGAGCGCACCGCGCGCCACGCGCACGCTACGCGCCGCCTGTGCCACTCCTGCGGCCGCGAGCTGCGCGACTCCATCGTGCACTTCGGCGAGCGCGGCCGCGCCGCCTGGCCGCTCAACTGGGCCGGCGCGCTGCGCCACGCCGCTGCCGCCGACGTCGTGCTGTGCCTCGGCTCCAGCCTCAAGGTGCTGCGTCGCTACCCGCGTCTGTGGCGCATGCACAGCGCGCCACGGGCGCGCCCCGCGCTCTACATCGTCAACCTGCAGTGGACGCCCAAGGACGCCGTGGCCGCGCTCAAGATCAACGCACGCTGCGACGCCGTCATGCGTCAGGTGGCGCGCCGCCTGCGCCTGCGCGTGCCGCGCTACAGCGCGCGCGCGGACCCGCTGCTGGCGCACGCCGAGCCGCTGGCGCCGCCCGAGCGCCATACCACGCGCCGCCCGCTGCTGTCTCCGCCCGCGCCGCACTCGCCGCGCCCCGCCGACGACCGCGACTCGTACTACTCGCTCTCCCCCGCCTCCTCCGCCTCCCCCTCGGCCTCCGGCTCCGACTCCGACGATGAGGTGCCGCTGCGCCGCCTGGCGGACCGGCTGCGCGACCCTCTCGACCGGCGCGACCAACACGCCTCGTGTCAGGCGCCAGAGGGCGCATCGGCACCATGTTTGTACTCCTTTCAGGTTAGTAAAATCGAATTTAATATCACTTTGTATTATTACTCATATTAGTAGAGACCGGATTATATGCATTTGCATATTTAAGCCATCCTCAGTGGTAATAGCATATTTTACCTAAGATCGGTACATTTACAGTATTTTTCCGAGTGCAGTGCACTGACCCTACATTCCGAAATGCGCTAAAAGTGATAATATCGCGAATCCTACTAATAGTCACAAGTAATTAATGTTTTAAAATATGATTATATTAACAAATCGTTAAGCATAACAAAAATATATGCTTCCTTAGTCATATGTGTAGACCACTTTTAAAAATCGGTGCCAATTTTTTTATTTCAATAATACGAAAATTCCGTGATGTAATTTTTGAATTAAATGCTTAGTTATAATAATAAGCTACGTATATAATATATTAGTTTACGTTTACAACAAAATTAAATAACTTTAATGTCATGTAATATTACTGTACATGTTATCGCCTATCAAAGGATAATCAACTAATTGTATGCTGATTTTGAAATAAAAAAATGTAACTTACGTTTTTCTTTGTTTGGGTTCTTAAAATTTATCATTTAATTTCGCAAATTCTGTCAATTTTCGTGCATATTTTAAGCATTTTTTATGCAATTTACATGTCACACATACAGGTCTCTACATATTAGTATTATTAGTGTATGTAAATTCTCCGCAGGTCAACATGCAGTCGGGGGAGACCACCATACTGCTGCGGTCCGAGCACGCACCGGCCGACCCCCCGCCCCCCGAGCCGCCCCCCCTGCCCGCGCCCGCGCCTCGCAACACCACTGACGCTCTGAGACGATACCGGATAACCAGGCCGCTGACCGCACCTCCAGCGCTCAACGGCCTCGTGACTAACGGCCATCGATTTCCTGAATATGATCTCAACGGTCTAGAACCGAAAATTGAGTTCGCTTCTCCCGTGAAAATAAAAAAGGAGGAGTCCTCGCCGCCTCCGTCCGAGAACGGGTCGTGGGACCTCGGGTGCCGTCTGCGGCGTCTGCTGGAGCTGGAGGCGGGCGCGCCGGGCGACAGCAAGCGCGCCGTCGTGAAGCTCAAGCGTGAGGGCGGGGAGCGGGACGCGGACGAGGCGCTCGCCGCCGCCATCATCCGGCGCGCCGTGCTCGTGTGCCGCGCGCAGCTCTACTCCGGCCTGCACACCATCATTGCGCCGCCCGCCGCCGCCGCGCCCTCCCCCTCCCCCCGCGCCGCGCCCGCGCGCCCGCCGCCCCGCAGCCCGGCGTGGACGCGGAGTGCGCGTGGTGCCTGCGCCGGTACGCGGCGCGGCGCTGCCTGTGGTACGGGCCGGCGCGCGCGACGCCGCCCGAGCGGCGCGCGTGGAGGCGCGATCGCGGCCGGCGCTACCTGTGCGCGTGCTGCGGGGAGGAGGGCGCGCGCGGGGAGGGCGAGGCGGAGGACGGGGCGCGCGACGCCGACGGCGGCGGCTGGTATGGCAAGGGCTACCGCAAGGGCCGCCGGCGCCGGTAGCGGCGCCCCGCCCGCCGCGACCGGACAGTGAGGACTATGTGAGTGCCGAAGTGAAGGGATCCTTGTATGTATTTATTTTTCTACGTCCGCGAGCGCGTCGAGGTGGTGTTCTGATGATTACTTAATAAGTTATTTAACGCATGCATCGCGGTAGATGGAAATTGTAATTTAAGATGTGACGAGTATGTTTTCGATGAGTATTGTGTTCGCCTCCATGAATGTTACCGTTGTGTCAGACTGCAGACACAAGAATGTATGGCAGAACTTGACGCACGCGCCCTCGACCACTGTATGAATGGTGTCAAAGGTTGTGATGTAAGCGCTGCGAGTGTCGCCGATGTACAAGTATCGTAGTGCCAATAGCTTGGTGTGTCCCCGCGCCGCGCGCCGCCGCGGGCGGGGTAGACTGGGCTAAGCGAGAGTGCCGCTACTGTCGAACAATGAATCAAACAAATTAATTTTTAAGATTATTATTAAGTAAATCATCACAATGAAATATTTTGTATCATTTCTACCTCAACAGTACGTCCATGAATCCTTCCGTCCTTCGCACTAAATGTAAGAACTACGTAGATATATTATGTACGTACACATAATGTGTGTGATCTCCTTATCAGTACATACATATAAAGTAATGGTAATTAGGTCATTCATCATTGATTTATTGGAAATTGTATTATTTTTTAGAAACTTCCGTCACTTATTACAATAACATCTAGTAATAGCTTGTTGCTTGATAACAGCTACTATAAGACTTTTAGAAATATAATATGTATGTATGATACATAAATACTAGTGACTTATCCTCGCTTCGCTGGAGGGCGTCGCTAGCTACATATACACTGGCGTGCAAAAAAATCGGGCCACCCTTAATTTTAAGCATAATTTTTTGTTGGCAATTGTTTGGTGAAAAAAAATACCGCAAAGGTAATTAAGGAGATTAGACGCCTTTGTTTCCTTCAAAAAAGTCATAAAATTCCTGGAAATGCACGTGTGCGCTTAATTATAGTCAATTAGCAGTAATTAGTGAATATTTGCATAATATGGATTGAAGCCACAAATACTGTTTTTTGTTATTTTAGAAGCTTAGTTGAGTTCCAATTATTGAACAAGACACTTCTACTTTGATCTGCGATTATTAGAAATACTGGCAGATGGATCTGACCGAGGCTGAATCATCTCGAATTGTGACTTTGCAGGGGTTGACGTTCGAAATCTCCTGAGAGAAGTGAGAGGTGTTAATGTTAGCGAGTGGACAGTAAGGCGCCGACTTAGAGCCGCTTCCCTGACGCCACGCAAGTCCGCAACTGGCCCCAAACTCGCCCCTGCACATCGAATTGCAAGATTACTTTTTGCCCGAGATCACGTGAATTGGAATTTGGAGCAGTGGAAGAAGGTTCTTATTACTGACGAAAGCAGAATGTGTTTGCATGGTGCCGACGGCCGTAATTTTGCTTACCGGCGACCAGGTGAAAGATATGCACCATGCACTATGCGGGAAACAGTGAACCGAAAACCGAGCTTATATTCATAGAAAATGGATCCCTTACAGCCGCTAGGTATATAACGGAGGTTTTAGAAGATCATGTGATGCCTTTTACTGGGTTCATTGGAGAAAATTTTCTGCTTCTACAAGATAATGCTCGCCCACACACTGCTACATCAGTAAGGCAGTATCTTCAAGAGGTCGGAGTGTCTACTATTGCCTGGCCAGCGCGAAGCCCTAACCTCAATCCGATAGAGCATGTATGGGACCATCTCAAAAGAAAAGTTAGAAGTCGCGTAGTAGTCTCGAGCAACATTCAAGAATTAAAAAGCGCCTTATTGGAAGAATGGGAGTCTATTACACAAGATTATCTAAAAAAGTGTGTCAAAATTAATAAAAAAATATCATATCTTAAGTTTGTCCATTTTCTCTAGGTGGCCCGATTTTTTTGCACGCCAGTGTATAAAGCGTTGCTACAGTTTAATAGGAAAATCTTTATAAGAGGAATACGTCATTGTTTTCATATAACTTTATTAGTTGACGCGGCGCACGCCAATAAAGCTTCCAGTAGACATGGCTTTCCGACATCTTCAGCCAATTTTCTACACCTAAACCTTCCTCATGAATCTCTTCATGTACTGGTGAAAACTGTATGAGAATCCGTTCGGTAGTTTTTGAGTTTATCGCGTTCAGACAGACACAGACGCGGCGGGGGACATTACAATATTATTATGTAGTGATATATATTATATCACGCTAAGCTATTGCTTGAGTGCCTTTTTCTACTTGTTCCTTTAGGTACAACTCAAAGATCATATTCATTGGTAGACACTAGAAAATTAAAAATAAATAACACTTTTACGATTTGTTTGTATGTCGAAATATTTGTGTATAAACTTGCTGTAGGTACAATGATTTTATAATTGAGGAGATTCTTTTCAAAACTTGACTATTCCACTTTTTGTGTTACAATCTATATAGTTTTGTAGGTATGCAGCTATGTTTTCAACCCGTTATTTTGATGCATTATTGTAGACGACAACAATAGTCATTGCTTTGTACAGGATTCAAAAATTTAGCAATAATATGTTTTGAAAAATCCAAAATTTGAAATGGAATAATCTAGTTTTGACGCGGTTGATTGGAATTATCAAGTTTTGTTATATGATATCTAAATTTCAATATAGGTAGTTATGAACCAATAATCAGAAATCAATGAAACTTTTCGAGTGAGAGGAGACTTTCCGAGGTGTGGGGGCGGCAGTTGATGAGCTGAATGTTGAAGGTCATGTGCTCGGGGGTTGGCCTTAAACAAAAACGTGGCTTAGAAAAATCTATATAATGATTTGACTGCGAAATTGTCTAGCGATTCATATGAGAGACCTAAGTATATATTTGTCAAATTGTACCTTCAATGTAGGTAAATTGGCTCTCACAAACGGAAATGACGAAATTATATTTTCCTTCGTAAATTCGGAACTCTTGTTCTTCTATTCACACTTGACGAAACAATTGCGTGACATAAAGAAAAAAAAAATTGCACTCGAAATGAATACCTAATCTTTCTTTGGAGTGCCTAATAAAACGCTTTCTGCCCTTTACTTAGCCACGTCCGCGAATATTAGGGATTCTTTTTTGTGCTTCATTCGAAACACATGTTTGGTTCTAATTTTAACCGAACAGTTACTAACGCGCTCCCGCAGGAAGCGATACGCGCCCACGCGCCGCGCCCCGGCTTCGGGCTCGCCTCGCACCAACACTTTCATCATTAGTCTTATCTACACCAAAATACACAGCAATAAGTGTTTCTGTTCCATTAAGTCGCAAAGTGGCGTCTCGTAAATTGCAATTATTAAAGATATCGGTGCGTCATATCGTTAGCTATCTGGCGGCGCAAGGCGAGGTCACGCTGAATATCGAGACGAGTGTGTTTTTATTTGTTTTGATAGACCGTTGTGTTTAGTGAAGGTTTGTATTGTTACATTTTGGCTTATTTATTCATTCATGTGAAAAATAATTGTAAAAAGATAGAAGTGTAAAGTAAAAATAGAAAACTTTATATTCAGGTATTCTATGTAAGAAATGTAAATTAAATAACATAAAACATTTCAAACTTATAAATGCGAAATTTTTATGAGTGTTTCACTTTAAAATTCGACCTTTGAGGGTGGAATTTTGTTTTGAAATTTATATGTAGGTATATTGGAGAGAGGTATAACCTACTCATTAGAAAAAAGTATTGTGAAAATCGGTTCGCAGGAAAGAACCGCGTAACATATTATATATGTATACAGAGTTCAGGCTACCATAAATTATTGTCATTGCATTGTCACTAAAGTAGCGCAATAAGTAAGTTTCGAACCGAGTATATCTACGAGAGTTATTCACATCATTTTACGGATCGGATTTTCTAGACACTCGATCAAGTTTAAAGAAAAAAGAATTTAAAATCAATTCATCCGTTTGGGCGCTACGATGCCACAGACAGATACACACGTCAGTCGTCACGCAGCTGCGCAGCATGCGTGGGGCGTGGTGGCGCGGGCGGGCGGCGCGGCGCGGCGCGGGCGCGCTGGCGGTGCTGGCGGCGCTGCTCACGCTGCGGCTGCCGCGCACCGCGCGCCTCGACGCGGACTTCCCGCAGCACTCGCCCGCGCACCTCGCGCACTTTCTCGCCGACTTCACTAACCATCCCAAGCTCTACCCTCATCTGTGAGTTTATGTTACTTAATAATACCATATCAGATGGTGCCACTTCGATGTAACTCCAGTGCTGTACGTTGTAAATTGTATTTTGTTGTGAAATTATAAGTTGGAAGTTATCGTAAACTGTTGTGAAAATATTTAGGCAATGAAGTATACCCGAATGAATTACTAAAACTTCTCACATTTTATCTAGCGTGAATTCTTCAAATAATAAAAAAATTAAAATGACTATAGCTCGGTTTTTGAACTATCTATTAAAACTTGTTATTGGCTGACGTGTACGGCTACCTAAAGATCCTGAATCAGGTCCTGGGAGTATTTTTTTTATTTTTATTTTATTTGGGAAACCCACCGTATTTTATAACATAAGTAGTTATACATAAGAGATAAAATATTACACAAACATGCAAAGGTTCTGCTAATTTAAACATACATACACAGAATAGACAACAAAAAATTTGTAAAACTTATATTTGTAAAAAAAAATACATTTAGGTAAATATAAAAACATCAAAGTATAAAAAAACATTAAAGGCTAACAATTTCTCTTACGAGTTATTTAAATTTACTTATAGTCACTAGGTTTATATCAATATTTATAAACTGTTTGTTATATAAATTACAAGAACGTAACAAAAAAGAATTTTGCATATGTTTAGTTCTAGTTATTTGGAGGTAAAACAATGATTTATTACGCAAAAATATAAGAGAAGGACATCTGAATTTCAAATTACTTAAAAGATATGGCGAGTCAGTAAAATTATTTAATAACTTATAAAGAAATAATAGATATATGTACATATTTATTTTAGACCTTTTTGTTCTATCTGGTCGGAGTTATGAAGTTGGCGGTGTTTATACTTTACACCCTCGTGCCTCGGAGGGCATGTAAAACCGTCGATCTTACGCCTATTTGTCGTCACACCGGAATTTGAGAGTTAATGGGAAAAAGTGTTTGCGTATTAAGTGCACTTTAATATCTCCTGCGCTGCGCAGTTGCTTAGTATCAATATATCTTTAGGCTGTCGTGGCCTGAATCGGTCAGGAGCACATTATTTAAACGAAAAGTTACTTGATCGAGAAAGACGAAAGAGCTTGATTGAAAACCTTTTATTCATACATCATTTGAGTAAAAACTATTATCGTGTGGCAGGTCGGGGTCGTGGTGGATCGAAGACGAGTGGAACAACTACACGATGTGGCGCTACGCGGTGGGCTACGAATGCGGCGAGCGCTGCGCCGGGCGCGCCACGCTGGAGCACCGCGCGGGTGCCGCGCACCGCCTGCTGCTCAGCGACCAGCGCTGCCAGCACCTGCCATGGCTGCCCTGGCCAAGTTTCTGCGGTACCCCGCTTTACTTTATAAAATATATATGATCAGATTGTTATAAATTATCGGAAAGCACAGAACATTAAGGTAAATCTTGTTATTGTTATTTGTGCGGAAATATTATTGAAGTAATTTTTTATCATATTGTTATTATGCCTTGTACATAATTAGCTCAGATTATCATGTGCTGCTTCAAATCTGAAGACATCTGAACTTTCTGGTTCGAGTCTCTAGAGTTGTTATTACGTTCTTTCTCACACAGCACTCGATAACAGCCCGGAGTTGAGAAGTTGACGATGTTCTCTTCTTCTTCCAACGTCCTTGTATTTGGACGCATGTCTGAACGAGTGAACCCTCTCCTGTCCCTCTTAAACTGCGATGGTATGATGGCAAGTATGCACTTGTGCACTTTAATATCGTGCGCAGTTGGCTAGTCTCAGTGAGATGGGCCGTTGTGGCCGGAATAAGTCAGGAGGTCATTATTATAGTTTTGGTGAAAATATTTGGCAGAGTACTCGGAGACGGAGACTGAGATCACAGCGCGTGGCGGCGGCGGCGCGCGCCTGCGCGAGGAGACGCGCGAGCGCTGCGGCGCGGCGGCGCTGCTGCGCGGCTGCGCGCCCGCCGAGCGCCGCCGCCGCCACCTGCGCGCGCTGCGCCGGGCGCTCGCCGCGGACTGACATTACGAATATACGAATATTACGCATTTATCTACATTACATTTTGTATTTTAACTATAATATATAATATCCGAAAATATAGTTTTATTTAAAATGTAATATCTATTAACTACAAGTCGAGCCTTTTTGTTAATTTGTGGGTAGGCTGTCTGTAACAACTATAATATCTATCGTGACCATGATTCTTAGAGTAAACATAATAGATATGCTATAGAGCGCGCGTATCGCTCATTGTCCATTATGCGAAACGTAAGCAGATGTTCTATACACATTACACACCTATTGTCAGGAGATCAAGATACATACTCGTAGATGAAGCGGTTGAATAATGATGCGCCTAGTAAAACTTTTAAAATTTAATTAAAAAAGAAGTATATTAACATAAACTATTTAACATAACCATTTATTCACGCACATACAAACTTTATTATCTAAAATTACAGTATTTCAAATTAATATCTTTCATTTGTAAATCTATGTAGTAATAGTGTTACTTAATATGTTGATTTTTTTAAATAATAGTAAACTAAATTCAAAAATTTATATTATTCTCTTTAACTTTTCGCGTTCCATATTTATATAATACTTAATTACACTACGGGACTTAAACGCAAATCATGGGAATGAAAGGTCAATCCACGCGTTTAAATCCCGTAATGTAATTATTATATAATTATAGCATTGCCCGCGGCTTCGTCCGCGTTTAAATGACCAAAAACCAAATTCTTAGGTTTTACATTGCAGTTTTTGCAGTTTTTGTATTTTTTGTCAGAAATGAGACATTTTCCCGCGGTAAAAAGTATCCTATATGTTGACCCGGATAACCAGCTATTACCATACCAAATTTCATCAAAATCCCTCCAGTGGTTTTTCTGTGATGTGGTAACAGACAGACAGACAAAAAATCTAAAAACTATAGATTCGGCCTCTGTATCGATAATAAAGTCTACCTCAATAAGATTTTCCAAAAAATATTTAATGTACAGATTCGGTTAAGTTACAAATTATTGTATTATATGTATAGATTATATTGTGGGTATGTATGTATATGATGTATATGGTCTATGGATGTTTTTCGTTTCACGTGTTCGTATAATACTGTACATACCTACTTGTTTATGACATCCATAAATGAATATTACAGATGGGTTAATATTTGGTTTTATTTTTAACATAACAGTTACTATGTTAAAACAAAATATAAATATGTAATCTAATTTTTCATGCTACGGAACCCTCGATGTACAACAACCCCACAAAGAAGCCATCTATCCACGAGAAGTTGGAAATATTTAAAGAGTAAAAAATTCCTAGTTGTCACTTGTCACTCGCTGTTTTATTTGTGTCTATGGAGGGTAGAAGCAAGGAGGACCGTCATGTATTGGGAATTAGTTGAAAAAGTGTCTACTTGTAAACAGCAAATTGTTCGAACACTCACCGAAATAGCGCTGGTGTAGGAAATGGAAATGATATGAATTTAGCAGTTATAAACTGAGTGTGCTGAGTCGAAAAATTTATTTTTTTTTGTTCGAAAATTTGCTTGTTATAATTTTATTTTATTTTTTGATTTCGGTTATTATTTAATACTATTTTCTATTTGCTATTTACAAATAATTGGGGTACTTAAAAATACTGTATATTTTATTCCATATTCATGTTTGTCTGTATATTATAATAATTTAAAAAAATGGGCTGTTTTTCTTTCCTGTTTTAATTTAGTATCCTACTCTAATAATTTGTGGCGCTCCTTTTAAAATTCTTCCACTTGCTACTATAGCGCCACCTTAAGCCGCCATCGCGGCTCATTGACCCCGAAGAAAAATACTAAAATTCAACATATTTTTTATTTTAAAATTTTTGTGTTACAATTAATTTATTCGAGTTTTTAAATTTTGCATTTTTTTAACCAAATAAATGATGTAAATGCTTGTCTTTTATTTCAACAACAAAATAAATTGCGCATGGAATCTTACCAGCGACATCTATTGACGTACACAGGAAACGTCAAGACTTAACTGTCAAAAGTCTACAGAGCATAGTCTATGGAAAATTGTCTCTATTGAGATGTTGTTCTACACTTATAGACCAGGGTAGAAGCCTTTAAAAATAATAAAAAGTGAAAAAAAAAATTAGTAGGATGACATGAAAATCAGCCAAAAGTTAGTTATTAAAAATATATTTACTATACATAATTTTTATATATTTATACATTTATTATAGATTTTTAATATATTTATAATATATTTTTTATACATTTTGACATTTATTTCTTTAATATATTTTTTTTTCATGGGGGTATACTCACGATAAAAAGTGAAGGCATTATTAATTCGATTTTGTCTTTTCAGATTATCACTATGGATGAATCTGTTTGTATCATCTGCAATAAGGCAGATGATAAGCAAGTGTATAAAATAAAAAAGGTCTTTTGTTTTTTGCATTTACTCATAAGATTTACTATAGTAACATATATATTTTTTTTCACCATCGGAAAGTAGAGATTTCAACGAACAGAAAACATACCAACTTTTTGAAAAAAGCTGATATTTTGACGGGTGAATTTTCGATTGAAAATGAGGGTGCTTTTTCGATATTAATTCAAAATAAGGTGAAAAAATAAATATTTTTAATCAAATAAATTACAGCGTATTTGGGACATAAAAAGGTAAGTTTTCACCAAATTTCGTTAAATATTTTTTTTTTGTAAAAGATAAAAATAAAATTTTGATTTTTTCACATAAATTTTGAGGTTATGTGAAAAAAGTGTAAATACAAAAGTTTTAGATCTTTTTATTACCTACAACTTTGCCATATGACTTTTTTCGATAGGACTTTTAGTTTTGCCGGAAATCGAGAAAAACCGTTTTTTACCCTTAAAAGCTGACCCCCCACCCCTTCCCGACCTCAGATCGCCCGTAAATTATTTTTCCTTTCATTTTCATAATATTCCCCTCCTTTTCTAATGGGTTGCATCCTACTATTATTTTTTTTGGTTTTAAAAATTATCGACCCTGGTCTACTAACGATACACGCACGCACTCGAACCTACGGGATCAGTATTTGTATGTCTAACCTAACCATAAACAATTGTTACGCACCGCTAGTTTATTTGAAGACATCAAGTACGCCTTCATACAACCTCTGTGGTGTTCGTCTACGCAGGTGCCAGGCAGGCAGGAAAAGTATGACGACGAAGACATGTTGATTGACGTTTGGGCGGGACGTATGATTTTCTGTTGCGTATATAATTTTTATTAATTACTGTCAGTATAACGATTATATCACAAAAAGGGTTTCATAGTTTTACACAATATTATCAAGGCATAAACATTGTAAGACAAATAATAATAGGTACCTACACCGTAAATTCTTGTCAGAATTTCTCGAACGTATCAATAATTTTATGATTATTATAGTTATGAATAGTTTAGTTTTAAACAATTATGTTACTGTAATGCTTTTCATGTTATTATAATACTATATATACTAAAAATGTTGGATAAATTTCAAATATATTTTTATCGATCAAATACATGTGTTTTATGAAAACTTTAATTTTACTTTTTAATGTTATTTAGTATTTTATACTTTTCCGAGGTCTTTTTTTTGTATTATAAGGCTTTTTTTTTGGTAACCTAACTTTCTCCGTCTTCCGACTTTCGAAAATCTAACTTTCAATGACCTAACTTTCGGAAACCTTACTTTGCGCAACCTAACTTAAGGAAACCTAACTTTCAGTGACCTAACTTTTAGAAACCTAACTTATGGAAAACTTACTTACGGAAACCTAACTTTCGGTGACCTAACTTTTAGAAACCTAACTTATGGAAAACTTACTTACGGAAACCTAACTTAGGGAAACCTAACTTTCGGTGACCTAACTTTTAGAAACCTAACTTTCGGTAACCTAACTTTTGAAAACATAACTTTCGGAAACCTAACTTACTGAAACCTAACTTAAGGAAACCTAACTTTTGAAAACTTAACTTTCGGAAACCTAACTTTTGAAAACTTAACTTTCGGAAACCTAACTTACGGAAACCTAACTTTTGAAAACCTAACTTTCGGAAACCTAATTTTCGGAAACCTAACTCGGAAACCTAACTTACTGAAACCTAACTTAAGGAAACCTAGCTTTTGAAAACTTAACTTTCGGAAACCTAACTTACTGAAACCTAACTTACGGAAACCTAACTTTTGAAAACCTAACTTTCGGAAACCGAATTTTCGGAAACCTAACTTTCGGAAACCTAGCTTTTGAAAACTTAACTTTCGGAAACCTAACTTTTTTAAATATAGAGATAGGATATCGTAGAGTATAGGTACCTATGTAGATAATGGTATAGGTAGATTTATAGGTATTTAAAAAATCTGATTGATATTGTGTACTGTGTGTAATGTGTTGAACAATAATAAAAAAAGGTCTTGTGTTCGTGTAGTGTGTAGGGTAAAACTAGCACGGAGGACTCGGTTAAATTTTCCGTTATGTTAACCCGAGTAATAACTTCTTACTACACAAAATTTAGTTAAAATCGGTTCAGTGCTTTTTGGTTGAAACGCGGACGTCGATTTCAATAAATTACTGTTTCATTATATTATTATGTATAAATTTATTATAAAGCCGAAGAGTTTGTTGTTTTTTTGTTATTTGAACGCGAGGAAAGCGGAAACCAACGCTAATAATAAATAAGTATACCAAGCGACATCACAAAAAGCAGAAAATATTTTCTAATAACATTTATTCATAAACTATACTCAAAATAACAGTAAAAAAAATTAATAAACAAAATGTACTATTGCAGTAAAGAAAGATATAAAAACATAATTTGAATTTAAAACATAGTCCCCTGACGACTGTAGCGGAGCAGTGGCGGGCGCGGGGCGAACGCGGGGCGCGGGCGCGGGCGCGGCGGGCGCGGGCGTGGCGGGCGCGGGCGCGGGCGCAGTGCGCGTGGGGCGCGCGGCGGGCGGCGTGGCGCGCGGTGCGGCGGGCGCGGGCTCCTCGCCGCCGTAGTCGGCCGCGTTGTCGCCGTACTCGCCTGCCTTCAAGCCCACGCGTGACGTTCGAGACGGAGTCACCTGGGAGGGTGCGTTTGCATGTTTACGCATTGGCACCATGACCTACTAACTTGTTTTATATAGTAATTAGGTTTCATATATGAAATAACGATTGACTTATTTCAAAATAATCAATGTTATGTTTCGTCTTGTGCATAAGTACTTTATCTGTCAGTGAATGTTCTGTTACGGGAAATAAGCAGAGAGAATCAGACAGACATCAACATTTTAAACGGTTCTTTATGCTTAAGGTATTAAAATTTAAAAATAAATCACATCAGCTTAAGATGACACAAATGTTGTAAAAAGTGGAAGTGCTGTTAAATATTAAACCTCTTTTGTACTGAACTCATCGCACCTTAAAATCTGCACGGTTCGGTTCGAATACAGACGGGCGGAAAGTACTTATCGCCGACTCTTCTTCGCCGAGCGTCAAGTACGAGCCAGCTTCGGCCCCGGGCGTGGAGTGCGAGTGCTGCCGCGGGGGCGGCGTAGTGCTGTATATGTCTGCATAAAACAACAAAGAAATTAACTAGGACTTTAAAAACCATAATATTAATGTGAATAAATAACACGATAAAAATGACATCAATTAAACGAAAAAGATTAAAAAAGGAAAATCTCACGTGAAATATAATCAGAAGATACATTTAGCACAGAAGTAAAGACAGTTGCGGGTAAATCTACATCATCTAATAAGTGACGTTCGGAACACACCGTCTCACACGTACTCCTGTTATAAGATAAAATAATTTAGTATTACACACCTTCTCAATACCACATATTATGAATTCCTATAAGGACGACTTTAAATTATAAAGCTTAATATATTGATAGTTCTACTATAAAACTTGCAATTCATAAAAGCTTAAAATTGACGCACCGGCCGCAAAGGCGGGGAGTGTGTGCACAGTGTAAGAAACGTCGCCAGCGCGCTATGTCTTGAACCGCGAACGTGTCCCCGCAGCGCCCCGCCCCCGCCCCCGCCACCGCGCTCAGCGCGCCGCACAGCCACCCATCACACACCACGCCGCCACCCAAATCACGCTGTTAAAATGGCATTTAAAATGGGAATTGTCATAATGTTTATAGATATATTTTCTTGTTAGGTAAGTCTTTGATGCGTATATGGTTGTTTACTAGGGTTGGTCAAAAAAAAATTTTCTAATATTTCTTTTGTAATAGTCCAAATATAATGTCTTATTAGATAAATAACAAGCCTGTAAAATATTATTTAAATATTATTAGTGTAACAGCCCGCGCATTGCACTTTATGAAATTAAAATAATGTAAAAAACGAGTAAATGAGCTTAAGATACTAACACATAAAAAAATATTATGGTAGATAAAAAGTATTCTGAAGTATTGTTATTGAAATGTAAAGTGATTATTAGGCGAGATTGTTGATTTATAGCTTAGTTTTTGTGACCTAAAGAGGCTAGGCTGAATAAGTGGCCGTGAGCTTACTTCGTCACTGAATTACGTTGCTATTTTAATTTTACTTTAGTCCTAAAAGAACAAATTAACTGAAATCTGTCGTGTATAGAATATTTGTTGGTTTCTTTTTGAATATATAAAAAGAACAAATTGATGTCAAGGAGAAAAACTCATCAGTGTCCTATTCTCGGAAGTGTTAAAGACATTAAGGACAATATGTTACTAACTTACGAAAATATCATGAAATTTTATGAATGGAATAGGCTACAGCTGAAAATTAGCAGGAACACCAAGAAAGAACCATCTTTTTAGAAATTTGTGAGTTGTGGCTGAATAATTAGAAGCAATTTCCAGAAAACCATCATTCCTACTGAGTCGCACACAAGAACTATTCAAATCATAAAAACTTGTCATTTAAAGTACAAAAATCTTATCAAATCTCTATAAAGAATATCCGAAGATCAAAAAAATGAATACTTGCAGAGTAGCAATTTTATTTGACATTTGTGCATGTAAATGTAAAAGTTAAGTACAATGTAAGTACTTGTTCTCAGACAACTACATTGTTCTTAACTTTTACATTTACTATAAAATCTCTAAAGAAGATTAGAAGTTTTTGATTGATCAGAGAGAGGAAAGGAAGAGGCAGATTGGTGGAATAGACCGTATTATTACTGCTTAATTATAAAAAAAGGTGATACAAGCCTTATAGGCCAAAAACATAGCTTTACAAATTAATGAAAACCAAACATAATACTATATTGAACAGCAGGAATTAGTGTCATCATCCAGTGATTCTGAAGATTGTCTTCTTATGATCTAATAAATTTACCATCCATATCAAATCAACGTCAATATCAAGCAAAGCTTGTGTCTCGAAAAATAATGCCCAGATTTGAAAGCAAACAAAATTTTTTGACCAAATTACCTACGATAAGTTTAATTATTTCTTTTTACCATTTATTTAAAAGTAAAATGTTTTTATTAAGTCAAGTTAAGTTACCTATCTATATTTGAGTTTTCATTCATTTTTGTACTTTTTCTTTAACAAACATTGATTGTTATATTAAAAATTGTAGGTTCTTAATTAAATAATTGATTATGATTTTACCTTGTTTTATTCAAATTTTGTTCAACTTTGAACCACATGCGCGGGCTAAAGATTCAACTTAATTTGACTTTTTTTATATAAAATTATCTGTTTACTCATAAGACAATAAAATATAGCTATTAGAATGCAATCACTAAACTTTATTTTTTTCCCATACATGAGCGACCCACCCTATTGTTTACCTCGCAAAGTTCATTTCCCGTGTAGCAAAGCAGATTATGTTGCGACGCGGCCCAGTGCGGCACGCGCGCGGCGCAGCGCTCGGGCGGCGCGCGCGTCACGCTCGCGACGCGGAACCGCACGCGCCGGGCGCCGCGAGCGGCGAGCGAGCGCAGCGTGTGGCACTCGGGCGCCCGCGCGCAGCCCCCGCCCAACGTCGCCATGAGGATGGGGCGAGACTCGGCCTCCGCACCGAAGGGCGCCTCCAACTCCACGACGGCGAGGTCGAGCGCCGGGTCGGTGGGGTCGCGGCCGTCACCCGCCAGCGCCACGCGGGCCACGCGGCGCGCGGCGGCGGCCAGCAGGGCGGGCGGCGCGGGCGCGGCGCCCAGCAGCAGCGCGGCCAGCGCCCACAGCTGCTCCCCGGCGCCGCCGCGCGCGCACGTTGCCGTCGTCACCGCGGTGCATCGCGAGATGAGCGACGCGGAACACTGCCACTCGTTTTCGTGTTCTATTATTACCTTTACAATTGTAAATGTTACTATTTGTTTAAAAACTATTTAATACTACTAAATATTAAATATTTCCAATAAAGATCAATGAATAAAGTATCAAAAAACAACATTTTCTTCGTCTCTTGGAATTGATTTTTCTCCACGATTATTAAAAAAATGTACATTTAGATATTTTATTGCGGAAAATACTTTTTTAAATTATTCTTCATTATTATTTGATATACCTACTGTCTTGCAAAATTTCTTTACTAGCATTCATGTAAATTAATTAAAAATTTAAGTAGATATATGTAGATACATATAGGGGTCCTATCAGCCAACTTTCCTAGGTTCGTACACTTGGTTATGTCTATCACCATTACCAGGTAGGCAGCAGGGTCGCTCTCGGCGTCGCCGTCGGGTGCGGCACCTCGCGCCGGGCCGCGCACCGCGGCCAGCAACGTGGCCAGCAGCGCAGCCAACAAGTTCGGGCGCATGCCTCACTCACTCACGTCCTTAATAGATTGTTATTATTTAGAACAGACGCCATAGAAGTATGTATACAGAATAATATTGTACGCTTCTGACGCTGGTTTGACATCTGTCTTGTTTCTAAGTTTATTAAAAGAGCAAATACAAAGTTGGTGGCAAACGTAGGAGCTATAAAATCGCAGATTTAAAGTTCGTATTCATTCTTCTTACGTTATTTTTTACCGTTAACATGATGAATACATTTAGTTTTTTTTTAACTTTAAACCGACCTCGTAAAATAAAAACTTTTGAACAAAAAATAAAAACCGACTTCCAGGCACTAAAATGTAAAAAATAACTAAACGGAGGTTTTAATTTAGAATAGATACCTAATCAGATATTTTCGAAGTTTTTAATGACATATTCGATTAAGCAATTTATTTAAAAAAATATTTATTGTTGATTTTTAAAAAAACTACTCTACTGATTTCGATAAAATTTATATGGGACTACCTAGGAAGCATACCCTTGGAAACAAAAAAAATTCCAAATCGGTTCAGGCGTCTTCGAGTAATCAGTGAACATACATAAAAAAAAGAAAAATAAGATTCCAACGAATTGATAACCTCCTCCTTTTTGGAAGTCGGTTAATAAAGGTACTCAGTTCGGATGACAGTTTTTGTATGCCACATGAATTGATGACTGCTCAACACTACCAGTGAGAGTGAAGGCGCAGGACCGACGGCTTTCCGTGCTCTGCCTCAGCACGGGGGTGAAACACCGCGAACTTCCTTCCCAACTCCGGGCTTTTACTGATGCTTACTACACAGAAATACTCAACTAGACTTGGCCGGACCTACTAATAAATCTATAATAAACTCTAATATTATGTATGTAAATTTCTATTGCCGTGAATTATATTATTTATTGATACACGATATAATACAATCCAAAAAATATTTATGATCAGAATGACTTGAAACTTGGTATTAATGCAATTAAATAAAATAAAAAAATACGTGTTTTAGCATTTTTCGATATTCATCCTATAAGTAGATAAAAGATATAGAGGAGATGAAAGTTTGTATGAAACTACCTATTTACTGACTTTTTTATAGTTCTAGCGCGAGTGAAGCCTCGGGTTCTGCTAGTTAAATTATAAAGTGGCATCTTTATAAATGAAACTCGGGGTTAACAAATATATTTATTTATAACATTACATTATAAGTGTTGTTCAAGGTACGTCACGCGGCGCGGGCGCGGGCGCGGGCGCGAGTTCGTCGGGCAGCGCGTGCAGGCGCAGCGAGCGCTCCAGCAGCGCGTCGGCCAGCGCCGCCGCGTCGCCGCCGCACCACGCCGCGCCGCGCACGTACAGCCACTGGAAAATTAACCCGAAAAATAACTATTCAATCACACTTGTACATGCACTTTTGTTCGTCACGGCCCACAAGAGACTCACTCTCTCACTGCGCCATATTTCATATACAATATGAATGCAATAGAGAGCGAGAAGGAGTCCTCTAAGCTACCGCAATGCAGCGACAGGTCTCACGGACGCGCCGCACGTGACGGTACACTATAATTCTACGGCAGCGAAACGAGGACGCAACAGAGGAAGTGCGAAAATAGATGACAGCGTTTATCATATAATATTATTTATGACTTTCGTACGTCTTCTATCACGTACCCCGTTTTGGGAATGCGATCACTGTGAAGGCTGTGCGGGGTCCATTACAGTAAAAATAAAGAAAAACGCACACAGGTAGTTTGGGCACCGCTCTATACCGGATTGAACCACTCTCTAAAGTTACGTAGCCTAAAGGCTAAAATTGAACTCTTATTATAATAATCAGTCAAATCAGTGAATTCGTATGCACTCGTATGACGAGGAGCTACATACATATAAATGAGCACTCCTCGAAGCCTGTGGTCTCCTAGTACTCGCGACAAAAGTACTAGGCGATCATAGTGTTGAGGAGTGTGTGTTGTAAGAAATCCGTGTGCACTCTGTGCAAACCTCTCTTCGATGAGCTTCAACGTGTAAAACGTACATTGTTTGTTTATTTATGATACTTAGTGTTTGTATTTCTAATAGTTATTAAGACGCCGTATACGAAATCAAAACGAGCGAAATTAGGCATTTGACACGCACACACACACGCGCGCATGTGCATGTCGCGTGTGTGCGTAAATCCGACGACGTCGTCTGGCAATTAAACCGTTTTGATCCTTTAATATTTTATACGATTCTTTTACTTTCACTCTCATGGATTTGTAAAATTCAATATCACCAAGAAATTTATTTAGTAATAAGTTAGGTACCACATCCTCATTATCTCCTTGTTCGTCAGTCACCGTACTTATTCCGTGGTGTGATGGTCAAATTATACTCCAAGTCATTGTTATTCTTGTTTGTAAAGTGTTAATGCCTTAATACTTTCTTAGATTTATGCGATTATTGGACATTTTAAATAAAACTAACTTTTCGGATTTTTTTAAAGGTCGTTGGTCGTTTGAAGTCCAAAAATAAAAAGAAGGGTTGAATTGTTCAAGTTCAATACAAGTTCGTAGTTCGTACAAAATTGGTCCAAATCGAGCCGGATACCTCGAGCAAAAAGTCCACTGGTGCGAGTAAAGTTTAAATCGCATCAGAAATTTGAGTGCTCGAGACAAGAAAATAATAGTGGTTACACACGAGCGTGTGTGTCCTTTCCGTTCTCATCGTTGTTCTCTGGCAAAAAGTCCACTGGTGCGGGAGCGAGGTTTAAAATCGCACCAGAAGTTGAGTGCTAGAGTCAAGGGGTTAATAATAGTCGCTACACACAAACGTGTGTGTCTTAGTCGTTCTTATCATCGTCGTAAAAAGTTCAAAAGAGGTCGTTATGGAAAATAAATATTTACTACAAGAAAACATATTGGAAGCTATATCTAAGCTTGCAGCCAATTTCAAAAAGACGCCAAAGTCTAGATTGTCAAGGTCCTATTGTGAGATTAAAATACAAACGCTTGATCAGTACTGGGAGTCATTTAGCAATGGTCATTTAGAGATTTTAAAGTCAGCTAAAAAGGAGCAAATGAAAAAAGATGAATATTTTATCGAAGATTTATTTTCAAAATGTGAAGATGAATATACATTCGCGAAATGTGAAATGTTGGATGTATTGCAGTCTTTTGAAACTAAAAAAATGAGACTCAACATGTTACAGCAGCACCTAAAGAAGTTAAGTTACCTAAAATTAATATACCTTTATTAAATGGCAGTTATGACTGGACAGCGTTCCATGATCTTTACACGTCTCTTATCCATACCAATACCACTTTGAGCAATGTTCAAAAATTTCATTATTTAAAGGGTTGTTAGTTCTGCAGGTGCGTTCTTGAGGTTGTCGACGTTTTGTAGGGTTTTCGTTGTCTTAAAGGTCGTTGGTCGTTTGAAGTCCAAAAATAAAAAGAAGGGTTGAATTGTTCAAGTTCAATACAAGTTCGTAGTTCGTACATATATGAAAGATGTAAAAATTGATTCACTCATTGTATATAACACTTTTACAACAATACATTGTAAGTTTTTCACATTATTTAGAGGTCAACACAATCCGTAAATGAGTAAATCCTGAACCTCTTTCTTACAGCAAAAAATAACTATTAAATAAAAAATAAATATTATATAAAAAGGAGTCCACTCATTGGATCATATTTAAAATGACCTTTCATATTATTTATTTACATAAATAGAAAAATTGTTTTGTAATTGTGAAATAGCGTTAATAAAATCGCGTAAATCAGCGAAGTCAGCAAAATTTCGTATCGACTCTTAACAAATATTGCTAGAATAAATCTATATTCCTATTATAAAGAGAGTGAGTATTTTTTGAGTTTATGCGTATGTGGTGGGACCACAATATGTATGTATTTGAAAAAGGCTTTCACCATTTGAAAGGCACATTATTCCAGAGGGATATAGGCTATTTATACGAGTATTATGTATGTACGTGCAAGTTAGCCAAACTTATGACGATATTACATTATAGTATTGATATTCCATAGTAACTCTTATGATATGGGCATCAAATGAAAGCTTGGTGAGCTAAGCAAAGTGACGTCATTGTAAATTCAATATGACGGACTCCCAAAGTAAAGAAAGATGAAGAAAGATCCTAATAAGATAAAGATTTATGCACCCCCACGATATGGATACCAAATGAAAGGGTTTGCTAAGAAGAATACGAATAAAATAAAAACAAAGGAAAAATAATAAATTAAAAATTGGTACAAGGTTTTATTTAAAAGCTCTTAAAAAAACAAAGACTTTTTACGTGCGTCCCACAGTATGTGATTGTGTTAACAGTATTTGAATTATTTTTAGTTTTCGTAAAAACCGGATTAAACTTAAAAAAGATTTATTTTCAAAAACTACTCATTTCTGTTAAATGGGAGTTTTACTCGTGCATCTTTAAATTCAAAACCCTATATGAAACGCTGCCAAAGATACTGATTGAAGCTGTAAATAATAGAGGAGGATGTATGTACCCATTACTGGAGTTAAAATTAAAAATATCAATCAGTTTTTTTTTCTTTTTTTTTCACCTAACTGTGCTATAGTTTAGTCGCGTCGTTCAGGAGGCGCGATTTTACGCGTAACCTATATGTAAACAATAGCTGTTTCTTTCTAATATTTACATGAATACCTTGACGCACTATCTTTAATCGTAGAACATGAAAGCTAAAAATTTCTTTTTATTTAAAAGTTATAATGAAAAATGTGTATCGTGCTAAAGTTTTGTCGCGGGGTGTATTTTTAGTGCGAGTGCGTACTGCGTACCTTGTGCGCGGGCGCGGCGTCCAGCGCGGCGTACAGCGCGGCGGCCACGCGCGGCGCCGGCGCGCGCGCCTCCGCCTCCAGCCGCGCTGCCCACAGCGCCGCGCCGCGCCGCGCCCCACCGCCGCGCGTCGCGCGCCGCGCCGCACGCGCCAGCGCCTCCGCCTCTGCGGCACACGGCGGTCGAGTCGTCATTACATACGCATGTGACACAGTGCAATAGAAAAACATTTGTACATTATAATTAAATAGTTATTTAAATGCCACTATATTATATATCATAATACGATTGAATATTATATGATAGAAATTCAAAAAATAGATTAGTCCATTTTACGAGCACAGTCACCTGTGGGTGCGAAGTCGGTACGGAGTGCGCGCAGCAGCGGCGGCAGCAGCGCCGCCAGCGCGCCCACGTCCCCCTCCGCCCCGCCCGCCGCCGCCTCGCCGCGCGCCCACAGCGCCCACAGCGGCGCGCCTGCGCTCGCTGCGCACACAAATATATTTGTTGAAGTAATAAATGTAAGCAATTAAAATTAGTATTTCATTATTTACAAATTCATAACATTTTTGACCTCGTTTGGTGTTTATAATAACTTAGGTCATTTGAAAAGATTCCTCACTCGCGTCGACCGTACTATACTAACCCAGTGCGAGGTACGCATTTGCGGGAAAAAAGCGGCGCGAGCGTGCGCGCCCACTGCGCCGCGCGCACGCCGCCCGCCCGCCCGCGCACACCGCGCGCGCCGCACAGCGCCTCCGCGCCCTCCTCCCAGTAGCGCGCTGCCGCCGCGCCACCGCCGGCCCGCGCACGCGCCGCCGCCCCGCGCAGCGCGCGCAGCAGCCGCTCGCGACGCGACGGTGGCGCCAGTGCGGCGCGCGCGCGCGCCCACTCGCCCGCGCCTGGCAGCAGCGCCTCCGCGCCCTCGCCGCCGCCCACGCCCGCGTCGCCGCCCGCCTCCAGCTCGTGCTCCAGCGCCGCGCACCGCCGCTCGCACTGCGACACACGCACCGTCACTACCCCGCACGTGAGCCCGCACGCGACCCCGCCCACCACGCCGCACTCACCTCATCCAGCGCCGCGTCCAGGTCGGCCGGCACGGGCGCGGCCAGCTCGGCGGGCGGCACGCGGCCCAGCACGGCGCACACCAGCGCGCACGCGCCCGCCGCACTCTCCTGTGGCCCGCCTTCCCAACTCACTTCGCACACTACCCTAAAATAATTTACATACATAAGTATACAAGTAGCCACACGATATGGGTAAAATATAAGGTATGAATATAATAATTGAACCTCGCTATGTAGATGGCATGGTGCCGCGGACAGTCGGGGTCGGCGAGCGCGGCGCGGAGGGCCTGCGTGGCCACGTGCAGCGCGCGCGTCGCGCCCGCCGCCTCGCGCTCCACGCGCGCGAACTCGGCGGCGGGCAGCGGCGAGGCGGGCGGCGGACGCAGCAGCGCGCGCGCGCCGGCGCGCAGGCGCGCGGCCTCGCGGCGGCCGGGCGCGTCGCGCGGCGCCAGCGCCAGCAGCGCGCGCAGCCAGCGCAGGCGCCAGCACAGCAGCGCCACGGCCGCGCCACCGCCCGCCCGCGCGATGCACGCGTCCCACAAAGAATTCACCCAGCTTAAATAACCTGTCGCGTGACCACTTAACGCTTCATTTCAAGAATTATTTAGCCAGCTACCTACTACAGAGACCTACGAATAAATAATAAGTCAGGAAATGTAACTACGGTAAAAAAATGACCCAACAAAAGTCGGATATTGTTCTTGCAAGCGAGCACATGTCAAATTTTTGCGAACGTTTAAATTTTTATCCAGCTGTAAATCATAATGCCAGTATGTGTTGTGAAGTGGCGCAGAAGCGATATAAGATAAGAATGTCCAGAAATCACTTATATTCAAAGATGTTCAAATGACAAATACGTTGTCAAACCGAGATTGCCAATACTATGCAAAATGAAATCAGTCAATTTTTGACCTAATTTAGACGGTATTTTTTTTCTTCTTGATAAAATATTGAAATGTATATTAAAAAAAATGAACAATAAATTTGTTTTATTTTAATTCTCTTTTAATGTCTTCTAGACATAAACTTAATAATTTCATTATATTTTGCGGTACATACGAGTTCATTGAATTGTAAGAAGTAAAATAAAAAACAAACATTGTAGAATAATATTGTTCTTTAAAACAATGTAAAAAATAAATAAAAATATATTATTAAAATAATACATTGTAATACATTATAGATTGTTTTATTATTGACTTGGTCCGGTCCATTTATTGTATAACATTGTCCACGCCGCTATGACTCAGCTGTCATACATAGCAGACGTTGCAGTACACGTGCAAACTAATCCCTGCTTTCGTCTTGAATTTAATTAAACCAATCACCAAATATGTCTGTTTCTAACCTCAGAAATGATTCGTAGTTTGAATCATGCGTCGTTTTGGTTTGAAGTAGGGGCATTTTTTGTGTGAAATTTGTTCTAAATTAGGTTTCCTGACTTATTATTTATTCGTAGACAAAGACCTATAGATAACAATAACATGTTATTTTACAATACTTTTTTAAATGAAGTATGAAGTTTAAATATGAGGAATATAAAACTCATCATCATCGCAAAGAGGAGATATGAAAATTTGTTATCTCCAAAACTTCCAACAACAACATCAACAACAACAAGGTACAAAGAACATCCCCTAATTTTTATGTTCCCCTTCGGAACAACGGCTGAAACGTCTCTTGATTCACTGGCTATTTCTCTAATGAATATATTTTATCAATCTTTCAATAAAGATTCCTCATCTAGAGTATATAGGATAAAGAAGATGACCAGACCATTATCATCAGTGAAGTAGTGTGGTGGGTCGAGCAGCAGCGCGAGCACGCGGCTCGCCAGGGCCGGGTCGGCGGCGGCGGCGGCGGGGTGCGCCGGCGGCAGCGCGCGCGCCGCCTCCAGCAGCGGCAGCAGCGCCTCTGCCGCGCAGTCCGCGCGCGCCGCGCCGCCCAGCAACCGCGCCGCCCACTGCGTGCCCGGCAGCGCCGGCACCTGCGCCAGCGCCAGCAGCCGCAGCGATAGGCGCGCCAGCTCCGCGCCGGCCACCGGCTGCAGCAGCTCGGCCACGTCGTGCGCCAGCGGCGCGCGCTGCGGGTCCGCGCCCGCCGCCGCGCCAGTCCCCACCGGCGCCCAGTGCGCCGCCGCGCGCGCTCGCTCCACGCGCACCCACACCGCGCTCAGCGGCAGCCCGCTCGCTATGGCCTGCACACACACACATACACATGAAGTGAGCTCGACGTAGCAGAAAGCTCCACCCTGGGTGCAGGAAGTGCGCGTGGTCACCTTGTCCTCGAGGTCCGCCAGGCTCCGGTCGGCGCGCGCCTGCAGCGCGGCGTCGGGCAGCGCGAGCGTGGCGGGCGCGTAGTTCATGGCCACGAGCAGGTCGAGCAGCAGTACGAGGCGCTCCCAGTGGCCGGCAGCGCGTAGGCCGGCGCCGGCCGCGTGCAGCAGCGCGGGCGCGCCGCCGCCGCCCGCCGCGCCGCGCAACGCCGCCGCCGCCGCCGCCGCCGCGCCCGCCGCGCCGCACTCCGGCGTCGCCGCCAGCGCCTCCAGCAGGTGCTCCCACAGACACGTGCGCGTCTCCGCACACTTCTCTGCAAAACTCTCTGTTCGGTCTTCACATTAACTATACAAGTTTTGCTATAGACTTTGATACATCTATACTAATATTATGAACAGATAGAGTTTGTTTATTTGAACACGCAAACCTCAGGAACTACTAATCCGATTAGAAAAATTCTTTTTGCATTAGATAACCCGTTTATTGAGAAAGGCTACATATCATAAAATATAAAGTCTACCTAATTTATCTGTTAAAACTTAAAATGTACCTAGGGACAAACCCGACAAAGCGAGGATGAGCCGTTAATTTTAGTATAAAAAACATTATATTAAAAATAGCAATGAGTTGGTACTCGTTAAGGATGGAACACAAGTTGTACCATTGGCGAGCATGTCGCGCAGCCGCTCGAGGTAGCGGTGCGGCGGCAGCGCGCGGCGCAGCGCGGCCAGGCGGCGCCGGCGCAGGCGCGCGGCCGCCGGCAGCCGCGCCGCCGCCTCCTCCGCCGCGCGGAGCGCCGCCTCCTCGCCGCCGCACGCCTCCTGCACGCACACATACCATTCACTCTTATCGTTTACTGTACGAAGTATTGCTTATTAATATTCACAAAAATAATGTTTGTAATTAAATTAATAAACATCTAAAAAGAACGCTAGCTGTCAAGCTGCGCAGAAGCGATTTATCGGTCAAATTGGTGGTAAGAAGCGGGGCGCGGGGCGGCGGGGCGCGCGCCACATGCTTGCCGGCGCGCTATTGGTTCGTCAGTTCGAAATACCATCGCGCACACAAAAGTTTTTAATTACGAAATGGTTTTATATATAGAAAAGAGAAAAAATTGTTTTTGACGTATGTTGTTTTACAAAGACAGAGTCTAATAATAATGCAGTTAATAATAAAAAAAAATGTATTAAACGTATTAATTTAATTTTTTGTAAGTAGATTAAACATTCTGCACTGAATCAAACATATTTTTATAATGAACTAGCGGCTCACCCTCACTTCGCTCGAGTTCGTCGCGAGGTACGTTTTAAATAGATATAAATAGTTATTAGCCAGCGTTAGCCATATAATGTTTTTTGTTAATAATATTGACAAATATTGACATTAATATTGATACGATTCTAACGTCACTCAATTGCCATCAATGTTTTGCCTTCCCGGAACCTCTCCACTAACACTTAAACTTTATGTTATGGTATTAAAGTTCAAATTGACTTTTAAGTATTATTACGAATCTTTTGTCTACTTTCTTCCAGCGTTCTTTTTAGATGACGCGAGTTATACACATCGTCATGTAACGAAAAAGTTTATGCTTTATTATTTACTAAGAGCACCCCATTATCACAAGTACTAGGCGAGTGAAATATAAGTGTAAAGAAGGTCGTATGCACTCTTTAATAGGACTCTACATATATAATGAACACTCCTTGAGATTCGGGGTCCCCTAATACTTGTGACAAAAGTACCAGGCGATCATGGGTTCCCTGCCAACGTGCGTTCATCTTGTAGTGCCCGGCAATCCAGCCGGGCGCGAAGCCAAGAAACGCACAAGAAGGTGGCCCACTTCAGTGGGCGGTGGGAGGTGGCCCATGCGACTATTACTCAATAAATAATTTAGTTTGATTGTTTTTGATATATTAATTTTCTATATATTCATATAAGTAGCAAAAGTTCATTTTACTTATCAGTAGCCATTCTCATTTATTAAATTACTAGCATCTCAACCTCGCTACTCTTGGGCTCGCCTTTGGTCAAAACAAATTACCCCATGAATAAATTACCCCATGAGAACCAAGCATGTTTCCAGGATAGAAAGTAACCTATGTGTTATTCAAAACTATAATCTTTGTGCCAAATTTCATCAAGATCCATTCAGCCATTCTGGCGTGATTGAGTAACAAACATCTATCCAAGCTTATGCATTTATAATATTAAAAATAATTAATATCAATGGTATTTAATATCTTTATTTTATCATTGTTTTTACAAATGTATAGAATAAAATTTTTGGAGTTATTTTTGTTTTGTTATGCCAAAGAAGTATAACTTTTTACATGCATACATAAGTACACACACATTTTTTTTACTGTACTCCTTCTTGAATAATTAAAAATGTAAGAAATGGTAGCAATGTGCAGAAAGTCATCTAATTTAAATTAAATGTTAATATCTTATGAAATATTCAAGAAACCTGGAAATCGATATATCTTTCCCAAAGCATAATATCATCTGGAGTCTGAGCTATAAGTAGACGGTAAGCTTCAGTGCGCTCAGCCACTGCAGGTGCTTCAGGTTCATCTGGTATACGCTTACTATAATACCGACGCTTGCGACTTTCTCTTAAGTGATCTCTTTCCCCCAGGGCTCTGTCCACCCCATAATACTCGTATCTATAATATTGTAAATCATAAAATCGATTTTATGCAGTTTTTGACCTAACAATATGTGAAATTTAAATATAAACACTAATATAATGATTAAAAGTAGTTAAAGGCACAGATAACATAATAATGTCTTTTTTTTATATTCAATATACAATACTTATATCTATTTTATAAGAATATTAAAAATAAAAACTAAAGTTGATTTATAGGTACATGTTACATGCAGTTAACAGAATTACTCACTGAGGTCGGCCAGGGTAATATAATGTTGATACCCTGAGATTTCCATAATCAAGTTTACAGTCAATATAAAAGTTTGTGCTGGTTGGTATTATATTAGAATTACACAAAGATTTTGCAGATTCATAATCATCCTTATTTGTTTTCTCATCTTCTGAATTTTCATCACTGACAAGTAATTGAGATTCTGTCGCCTCATCCGGATAATTGTCAGGTTCATTAAAAGCTAAAAATAAAGTAAGAATATAAAAACCAAAGCTAACAAACTTATTAATCGACAAAAATCTATTTCATTATTACCAGAATCTTCAATATTTTCTTTGTTTTTATCGGCTAAATACGCGTAGGCCGGAAAGAGTGCCATTGATTTCCATAAAAAATAATTTATTTATTTATTTGTTCCCCACATGAACTTCTGTTTAAATAAAAATCGATCAATGTTGAAGAACTTCCATTTAGTTTTTTATTATTTAAATTATTAGTTATTTTTATTAATTGTCAATAATAATTAAAGTCAAAAATGACAGCTGAGGCGGGATGCAGTATTGTTTGACATAACTTACACAGATTACGTATCCGCTGAGCATAGTACTTGGATACATGGTAGATAACATACCTCAAAAACATCATTTATTTGACTTTGACGGATGAGTTTATTGTCAATAAAAAAAACAAAACAAAATATACAAGGTACCTCTCCAATCTTCAGAGTCCTCCCTAGTCTGTCATCTTACGTCTATTCTGTAGAGTCAATTACTGTCAGTGTCAACATTTGTTGTTCCTGGTCTATACTCTATGGTAAACATTCAATAATCACAATTTACACAACTACAACGTAAACATTTTTAACATACACTTATCATCCAAAAGTTGCCGTGCCGTGTGAATGTAACTTACAATAGATAGGTAGTTATTTTTGCTTAAAATTGGTTCTTGTAATTTATACTTTTAGTGCTCCTTGAATAGTGAAATCATTTCTATACAAGTGTACAAAATTAAAACTTGCAATTTAAGTGCCTACTTTGTTACTATGGACTTAGAGGATAAAGTAATTTCTGTAATTTAATGATAGGTATGCAAATAACCTCCATTTGCACGCAAAAGAGTATGCAATTTTGGCAGACATATTCCTAACGATTGTTTTTGCACCTGAAGTGAAAATTTATAGGTAATATGATGGCCTTAAGTAATTTAAAATATATTTATGGTGCAACTAGTATTCGCCAGGCAAGAATTATTTCAAATATTGTGTTAAGAACAGATAGGCAATCGCATAACAATGTAAGTAATTTTTTTTTACATAATATGTAAATAAGCAAACCGATTATTGTAGTATTAATAACACTATGTTTGTGTAATTGTAAGAGGTTTTTATTTATGTTTTATGACAATAATATTACAGGTTGAGACCAAAGTGTCAGCAACAGACAATGTGGTTCCTCCTCTAGTGGACTTATATGGTCGACAACACAACTATCTACGAATATCATTGACTGAGCGGTGTAACTTAAGATGTGAGGAATATCATAGTAAAAAATTATAATATTCAGGCCTAGCATATGTTTTTTATACAACATAATATATAATATATTATTGGCATTTTTATTAAATAATATTATTTTGGAGGAAGATAAACATTATTATTATTAATAGTTTATATCATATTTAACTATTTATTTGACACCCTTGTTTAATTTTTAATTAAAATTATGTTTATTTAATTCAATATATATTTTGTTGTGTTATATATCTCATGTTCATTACAACATAATCAAAAATGGTTATTTAATAATAAAAAGAAATAACACAACACAATAGTTGGTAATTTGATTAAAATAAAATTTGTAAATATATAGTTTGTCTGTATGGTGCGGGTGTTTGGTGTGGATGTGTGGCAGGTCAGTACTGCATGCCGGCGGAGGGCGTGCCGCTGAGTGCGCGTGAGGCGTTGCTGTCGCGCGAGGAGTTGCTGCGCGTGACGCGAGTGCTGGCCACGCTTGGCGTGCAAAAGCTGCGCCTCACCGGCGGCGAGCCATCCGTACGAGCCGACCTCGTTGACATCGTCCGTATGTACCCCCCATGTTACATTGACACATATATGTATGTATATGTACATAGATATATGCATTGTGTTTTATTTCAAATTGTTTTTAAAAGACAGTGTTTACACTTAAGTCTTATCATTGATCTTTGCCCCCATTATTGTGTGCTACTGAGGTCATCTCTTTAAACATAGTATAATTTCATCACTATGTTAACCTTGTAAATGAAAAATAAAAGTATTTAGTGCTTTGCAATTAGGTGATTAAATATTTTATTGTGGTAGTTGGTAACTTATTAGTTCAAGCCAACACCACTTAGCATATTGAGAAACTTGTGAAATAATATCTATACATATAATAAAATTCTAACTGAGCCCAAATTTGTACATTAAATATTTTCTGCAAAATCTTTTATTTTTTATTTTTTTATTATTATCGATACAGAGGCCTAGATTCGGCCTTTTGATTTTTAGAATTTTTGTCTGTCTGTTACCACATCACAGAAAAACCACTAAAGGGATTTTGATAAAATTTGGTATGGTGATAGCTGGTTATCCGGGTCTACATGTGTGATACTTTTTACTGCGGAAAAATATCGCGTCTCTGAAAAATCTATACTAAACGTTAAAACGTAAGTAGGGACGAACCCGAGCGGAGCGAGGATTAGTCGTTATAAATAACATAACTTTAATACTTATAATATAGGACATATTTTTCTTACATAGCATGGGAATTATAATAATAAAAATCATCATGGCGGGCTTGGATGTACTTTTATGCGTCGGGTGGTAGTACAGTGTATAGTGTGCGGGGACACTTAAGAGTATATTACAACAATATAAAAATTAGTAGGTAGTCGATCGTACCTCGATTTTAACGGAAATGCAAGAGTTCTAAAAAAATGGCAATGTGTATGGTACAGAGGAGCTGAGCAGCGTGACGGGCATCCGCGCGGTGGGCATGACCAGCAACGGGCTGGCGCTGACGCGGCGCCTGCCCGCGCTGCGCCGCGCCGGCCTGCGTGCGCTCAACCTGTCGCTGGACTCGCTGCGGCCCGCGCGCTTCGAGCGCATGGCGCGGCGCCCCGGCCTGCCGCGCGTGCTCGCCACGCTCGACCTCGCGCTGCAGCTCGACTTCGACTCCGTCAAGCTCAACACTGTGCTCATGAAAGGTAATTTTTTTTTATGGGACTAAGGGGGCAAACGGGCAGGAGGCTCACCTGAAGAAGTGATCACCGCCGCCCATGGACATCTGCAACACCGCAGGGCTTGCAGATGCATTGCCGGCCTTTAAGGAATGAATACGCTCTCTTCTTGAAGGTAGCCAGGTCGTAGCGGTTCGGAAAAACCGCCGGTGATAGCTGGTTCCACAGAGTGGTTGTGCGGGGCAGAAAATGCCTTAAAAATCGCACTGTTCTGGAACGCTGGACATCGAGGTGGTGTGGATGGAATTTAATATTTTGGCGCGATGTCCGATGGTGAAATACAGCAGCCGGGATCAGTCCGAACAATTCCTCGGAACACTCCCCGTGATAGATGCGGTAGAAAATGCAGAGTGATCCAACATCTCTACGCAGAGCTAAAGGATCAAGACGATCGTAGAGAGCTTGATCGTCGATAACTCGAGCCGCCCTATGTTGAATGCGGTCAAATGGAAGTAGCTGGTACTGGGGAGCTCCCGCCCAAAGATGAGAACAGTACTCCATGTGGGGCCGAATTTGCGCCTTATAAAGAATAAGACGCTGACGCGACGTGAAGTAATGTCTCGCCTTGCTGAGCACAAAAAGCTTCTTTAAGGCCAGTTTGGCCTTACCTTCTAATTGACCACGGAAGTGGACGTTGCTCATAATATTTGGTGAAAATAATTTTCACAGTATTATGGAACCATAAACCTAAAGGTCATCACCATCATCTCCCTGCCCATTTTCCAATTATTTGGGGTCTGCGCAGTACATCTTTAGTACTGTTGACTGGTTTTAGCAAAAGTTTTACGACCGGCCGCCTGCCTGATGTCAACCCTTTTTTGGAATGCTGCTGTGTGCGATGGTCAGCACAAGGTCCTTATCACAGATCTTTTATATGCCAATCATTATTTATTCTATTAAATGCCAATCCTTTTTTCACTACTTTCATTGCACAAAGCACAGTCAATTGCTTGACTTGGTTCTTACGTATGAAATTGGCGGTTTATACGGCAAAAGTAAAACGAAAAAAAAATGATGAAATTGTTTAATCAATCAAAGTATGTACCATTATTATCTATGCACTTTCGCCATTTTATAGGTAGTTCATTGATTCTTTTGCTGATAAAATGTGGGAGTGAGAATCAATAAAATCCCTGAAGATGGTTTTGACTGCCTCATCGAAATTGATTTCTTTTCCTTGCAAGAAATTGTCCACATTCCCGAAAAAATGTAATCTGTTGGAGCAAGGTCCGGAGAGTATGGTGGGTGTCGGAGACATACTAATCGCAACTCTTCTAATTTACCGACCGTCTGTTGTGCTGTGAGTGGTCTAGCGTTGTCCTGAAGCGGCAGTGATCAAGACCAATTGACAAGTCTCGGTTGTTAACGACTAGTTTTTCCATCGTGGTTTGCAATTGTTGAATGGCCAGATCTTACCTACCATACCAGACACTTACCTGTACCTTTTTCTGAGTCAACTTTCGCTTAGAGCAGGATTTGGCCGCTTCTCCTGGGTTCAACTTTTGTGATGAGCGTTTTCAATTGTATAGGATCCATTTTTCATCAACGATACGATTCAAAATCCCCTCGTTATTGTGACTGTTGAGTAATGTAACGCAGCACTCGACGCATGTTTGTTGGTATGCGGTGTGCTTCACTCAATTCATGTGGTACCCATTTTACGAGAATTTCATTTGTCCATTTTGTTTTAAGTGAATGACAATTGTTTTATAACTTACATCGAAGTTCGCCACTTACTCTGACGTGGTTTGCGATGGATTCGCTTCCTCGATCACTTTTAATTCTTCATTGTCAACTAGGGTCTCCGACCGCCCACGGGGTTTGTTCTATAGGTTAAAATTTCCAGAACGAAAACATTAGAACCAAAAACGTACTGTTTTTTTTTCAGTAGCTTTCTCATACACATTATTAATTAATCCTTCGAGCTGTTTCTGCAGGGATGGTGCTACGGTGGAACTCGTATTTGTAAATCATACGATATTTTAAATTAAGTTATCCATATTGTGAACAGATCAATTTCAAAGAATAATCAAATGGCGCGAAACAAATGAATCACTAATTTCGAAACACAAATACACAAGCCTAAATCTATACATGTAATAAAATTGTAATTAAGCAGAATTTGTACATTACATATTTTTTGGAAAATCTTATTGAAATAATTATTATTATCGATACAGAGACCGAATATATAGTATTTAGAATTTTTGTCTGTCTGTCTGTTACCGCATCACACAAAAACCACAGGGATTTTGATGAAATTTGGTATGGTGATAACTGGTTATCCGGGTTAACATAAAGGATACTTTTTACCGCGGGAAAATATTTCATTTCTGAGAAATAATACAAAAACTGCAATGTAAGAGTAAACTAATAAGTAAAACCTAAGAATTTGGTTTATGGTCATCTGAACGCGGGCGGAGCCGCGGGCAATGCTGCTTTAAAATAAATTTGAATTTCGAATTCCTAACCAAACGCCAGATATTTGATATCAAAATGGCCTTTTCGACGAAACGCCTTAAGTTCTTAAATTCACTTCTTGTTCTATACCATACCATAAACCTCAAGGTATGTCCATTACTTCAATACATATACGAGTATATATGTAGGGTCCCGTCATAAGAGTACATAGGAACTACTTCACACATGTGCTCGCCCGGTACTTGTGCTGACTGTAATGATGTTATTCAATGAGGCAACTTTAACGTTCCAAGTCCTGTTTATTACTAACCTTATAGGTATTACGTTAGCAGTTACCGTGAGCCACACTACATGGTATTGTTATAAGTGTAGTGAAGTGACGGTCGGATTTTTTTCACCCTGTAAAGTGTCAGTAACGTGCAATATATAATCTTTGTTCCAAAACTTCATTTTATTTAACATTTATACATATTTAAAAAAAAATATTTTACTTATTTTATATATTTGTAGGGTTCAATGATGATGAAGTATGTGATTTTGTGGAGTTGACTCGAGAGCGACAAATGGACGTCAGGTACGCCGCATCTATTACATTCTATGAATATGATAAGTACACTTATAATATGTTAATTATGAGGATACCACGGCAGGTTCATCGAGTTCATGCCGTTCTCCGGCAACCGCTGGGAGGATGCGCGCCTCGTGCCCGAGCGCGACGCGCTGGCGGCGCTGCGGCGCGCCTTCCCCGGCGCCGCGCGCCTCCCGCCCGCCGCCTGCGACACCGCCACGGTAGGCCACACGCGTCCATTCCCGCCACAACGTCGCACAATAAAAACCTATGTAAAATTTAAAAAAAGTTCTTTAATGATTTTGCTTTGATTTGTTAACACGTAACACTTAGTTCCGTGATAAGTGGTGCGGTGAAAATCTCAAATCATGCATTGTTCCTTTTTTTCCAAAATTTTTTTTTAATAAATTGGACGAATATTTTTTAATGTACTACCGAAATATTGTTTTCCAATAAAAGCATTAGGGGCATTTAGGGGTTGAATTTTAAGAAATACGTTCTCAACCACTCCATGTATGATGTAGTAGATGGTGGTGGTGTTCTGTGTCGATGTATTGTGTAAATGTCCCCCGGCCGCAGCTGTGGCAGGTGCCGGGCCACGCCGGCCGCGTCGGCTTCATCTCCTCCATGACCAAGCCCTTCTGCGCGTCCTGCAACCGCCTGCGCCTCACCGCCGACGGGAACCTCAAGGTGAGCGAATACGATAAATCTCACTTGTTTATTACAATGCGGTACCATGTTGTTTATTTATTTATTTATTTTTACTTATTTATTACTAACACCAACAAGATATACATTAACAAAAACACAGAATTATAGCATGCCCAAAAGAAGTCTAAATGTTATCTTAATTATAGGTGTTACACGCATTGCAAAGAAACACGTATACATATAATGGAGAACATTTGCAATAAAAAATACACCAGACAAGACAATCAAAAATAAATAGAATTGAGTTAAAACATAATTCATTAAAATATTAAAAGTACAATTAAAATTATAAAAAAATATAACAGAAACAATTAAAAATTAATGATACAGATGAATCAAATAATAATAAATTAAAAGGAATAATATAGATGGTTTAAATAAGTCATAGTAAAACAATTATCTTTAAAATAAAAATTAATTATTAACTAAACAAAATCAAAGTAATCAATCATACAAATTGCAATTATTTTTGAAACAAAAATTACGTAAATTAAATTTGAATTTAGAAATAGTATCAGAAAAAATGTCAAGGTCAAGGAGGTTTTGAGTCGATTTGCTCACTATCGTTATTCTTATAAACAAATTGTAGCTAAGCATCATTCTATTAACAAACGGTATAAATGACGACGGTCTCGTTAATCTGGTTGAGGCACGAATGTTTAATTTAGCTAACAGATATGGACTATCGACGACGCCATTCGCCTATCTATAAAGATCGAGGATAAAGCCAAGAGTTTGAAAACCTTTTTTTATAACATTCTCTATGTGAATGTTGAAACGAAGCTTATTATCTAGCATTACACCCAAATCACGTATTTAACTTCGGATAAAATATGACCATCGATAGTATAAGTTCTTGCGAAAGGTGTTTTTTTCACTTGTCCGGATAGAGAAACATACCATTGTTAGGACACCACGAAGTCAGATTATTGAGGTCTTCTTGCAAGAGTTTTGTCAGAAACAGAGTTAACCGTTCTAAAGAGTTTTAGATCATCTGCGAACAGATAGAATTTAGAATTAGCAATGCAACTACTGATGTTGTTGATGAATATATTGAATGAAAAAGGCCCAAGGTGAGACCCTTGTGGTACGCCACTCTGGGCAATAAACGGTTCAGAAGCATATCCATCAACAGTTGAGGACCTATTGGTAAGATATGATTCAAACCACTTCAGCAATGGGCCCGATATGCCAATCATTCCGAATTTCCTTAGTAAGGTACCGTGATTAACTTTGTCAAAGGCCTTCCTGAAGTCTCTGTATATGGCATCAACAGAATTATGTCCCAACATATTTATTATTATGTTTAATTCGTGAAGGATATGAACTTCTACCTTTCTTTTGTTTTAAGTACGTCCATTTTAATTTAGGGTTCGATCTTAGAGATATCTCAAGTCTTTCTAAATATTTAGCGTAGGATGTATATAGCAACTTATTACATCTTCTTTTTAATAAATCAAAAGTTTATCGCGAGGGTTGTTATATTTGTATATTTTTAATGTATACCTATTTATATTTTTCTTTTATACTCTTAGAGAAACTAGTGAAAATAAAATAATAAAAAGATAATAACTTTAATTGAAGTCGGTAAAAAGTGGCCTACTAAAAGTGGTACTACTTTATCGGCATTTGTTAGGCACCTAGAATAGCGTTCCCGAGTGAAGCGAATGCGCGTGTGTGTGTGTTTGTGTGTGCAGGTGTGCCTGTTCGGCGCGGCGGAGACCAGCCTGCGCGACGCGCTGCGCGGCGGCGCCTCCGACGACGACCTGGCGCTGCTCGTGCGCGCCGCGTTGCGCCGCAAGCTGCCGCAGCACGCCGGTGAGTGTCCGCCGCCACGCACGTACATTCATTGCAGCGTGATAAGATCACCAGAGACAAATATACACCAATTCCCATTAATTATTAATTTAATAGTAAATATTATTATAAATTCATGTCATTTTTCCAATTCGTCATCAAACCTGAACTTCCGAATACGACTCAAGCTCATTAGCTATATGCATACGAACATCCGCCACGAGTAAAGACTCACATCCGTGTCATACGCATCATTCATCATGCAGCACACATAACCGATACGCGGATGTGAGGGGAGCGATGACGTATAGGCGAATATTTTGTAGGCATGCAGAATCTCGCCCGCTCGAAGAACCGGCCGATGATTCTGATAGGCGGCTAAGCGGCTCCCCCTATACTGCACCACGTTACAGCGCCCGCCGGCGCCCGCGCCCGCGCGCCTCCGCGCCTGGCCGCGCCGCGCCTGGCCGCGCCGCGCCTGGCCGCGCCGCGCCTGGCCGCGCGCGCGCTGAGCACGACGGCGGCGGCGGCGGCGGCGGTGGCCGGCGGCGACGACGCGCGGCTCACGCACCTGGACGCGGCGGGGCGCGCGCGTATGGTGGACGTTGGCGACAAGCCGGTGACGCGGCGCGCGGCCGAGGCTGAGTGCTACCTAGAGGTGGGCGCGCGCCTGCTGCGGTTGCTTCGCTCGGCGCGCGTGCCCAAGGGCGACGCGCTCACCGTGGCGCAGGTGGCGGGCGCGCTGGCCGCCAAGCGCACCGCCGACCTCATCCCGCTGTGCCACCCGCTGGCGCTGGAGCTGGCGCGCGTGCGCGTGCAGTTGCCGGCCGGCGACGGCGAGCGCGGCGGCCGCGTGCGCGTGGCGTGCGAGGCGCGCGCCGCCGCCCGCACCGGCGTCGAGATGGAGGCGCTCACCGGCTGCGCCGTGGCCGCGCTCGCGCTCTACGACATGTGCAAGTCCGTCGACAAGGGCATGCGCATCACCGACCTGCGCGTCGTACGCAAGACCGGCGGCAAGAGCGACTGGCCCGCGCCCGCGCCCGGCGACGGCGACGGCGAGGGCGAGGGCGGCCTGCGCGTGCGCGCGCACGACACGTCGCCGCTGAAGCCGGGTGAGACGTACGCGCCCACCAACGTCATGTACTTCTAGCCCGCCGCCACCACGACCGATAACAGACCGCGCCGTACAGTCTAATGAACATGAATCTCCTCTTGTATCTTAAAAACACCCACTATGCCACTGATTGTAATATTAAGTGTTGCAAGTTTACAGTAGAACATAATTAACACACATTTGCTTTCTATGTCACGAATCAATCCATAAGTAATGGTATTTTATATACATATTATTGATAATGTTGTTTGCGATTCCATACGTTGGTGCTAGTCTGTGCAGCCTCATACGATATGTAAAACAGTATTTACATAACTTTAGACATACGTGAATTTTATACATATCTTATATTTTTATACTGAATAAATTTAATGTTCTTAAGTAATAATCTATAGCATTAAGTAACCAGAATATTTACTACATAATTTAGTTTAATTGTTCCCGATAAAATGAAAATAACCTTTCGTATCTAGTGTTACCCTGGTAGTGTCGCGGAACATCCAAGGTTTACAATTAGTATTTCCATGATTTTTTAGGATTTTTATTAGTTATTAAGATAAAAAAATCGTTGTGGCAGTCAGTCATTCTCCATAAGGTTGTTTCAAACATGACCCACTGCTTCACATTTTATCAACCGACTTCAAAAAGGAGGAGGTTCTCAATTCGACTGTTTCTTTTTTTTTTTTTTTATGTTTGTTACCTCAGAACTCCGTCATTTATTAACCGATTTGGAAAAATTTTGTTTTGTTTGAAAGGGTATACTTCCAGATTGGTCCCATTTAAATTTCAAAAAAAAAATACCACCCCTAAGGGTGGAAAAACAACTAATGATGAATTTAACCTACTTCTAATTGTCATATTGACTTGAAACTTTGCAAGTATTTCTATTTCCGTTGATAGTACAGTGGTTCGGTGTTGTTGACCTGATCTGATGGCAAGGCCAGAAGGTGGATAGGTGGAACTCTTCAACGGTTAATAGTAGATACTTTGAGTTTGGGCTTATTTTGTTTGATTTGACAAGCCTAACACGTTAGAATTCTTACTGTGCTACTACTGTCTACACTAAAAAGGGAAAAATAAAAACTTTTTAACAAAAAAATAAAAACCGACTTCAAACAAAAGCCCTAAAAAGTAAAAAATAACTGATTGGTAGTTTTCATTTACTATACATACCTAATCAAATATTTTCGAAGTCGGTGTGCTTTGGCTAAGTAATTAAACCCTACCTATTAAATACATACCTAATCAAATATTTTCGAAATCGGTGCCAGCCCATACAAAGCAAAGCACACCGACTTCGAAAATATTTGATTAGGTATGTATAGTAAATGAAAACTACCAATCAGTTATTTTTTACTTTTTAGGGCTTTTGTTTGAAGTCGGTTTTTATTTTTTTGTTAAAAAGTTTTTATTGATAAGCAAGTTTGGTTTCATATTTTATACTAATCAATTTCTTTAAATAAAAACTGTTATACATTCCATTAAAATTTACTTTACCTGTGTGTATAGCCATTGACCAGGATGAGTGCCAATAGACAGGTGGTACAAAGTATTTGGGATAACACACTGATTTGTATAATAAGTGATAGATATTTTGAATGATTTATGTATTTATTCTAATTGACATTAATATATTTTATTGTATATTTATATTAATGCAACTAATTTCGAATATCAAATCTTCCACAGTAGGTACTTAAAGGTATACCTAGTATCTGTGTGTGTAAAATTTATACACTATATAATTATATTTTGTGATGTGTATGTGCATGACCTATTAATGGGTGAGCCATATTTATACAATGTTATAATGAAGTATACTAATAAATTTTTGTTAAGCTTCACTTGTTTAGAAGCTATTCATATTTTACACTATATTTTATGAAATAAAAAATTTAAAATATACAAAGATCTTTATTATTATCAATATATTAAAATGAATTGTTTTCCGTATAATGCTTGTTATGTGTAAGATTTAATACAGTATTTAAGTGCTTTAAGGCAAAGAACTTTTTTTTTATCCTTAGCTAAGTCAACCGCTAGCAACAAGTACATTGGTTTTGGCAGGTGCATTCTCCTGGGTCTGGATCTCACTGGCTGGCTCTGCACCACGCTGGACTTTAATGTCATGCTTCTCTATATATTCATTGATTTCTTGACCTTTTTTTGCCAACTGCTCATGTAAGGCCTAAAATATTACAAATAATAAAATTGTTTATTAGTTGAAGTTATATACTTCATAATTAAGCAATATTTAAAGAAATTATATACCTTTAATGCCTGAGGTAAGCGTTCCGTATTAACTTCCAATTCTGGTAATACTTCAGCAACTGTGCGCTCGACTACCACACCACCAACCATGCGAAAACATTTGCGCGACGGCTCTACTGCCTGAAGTGTTTCAATAACTATCCTGATAAAAATATGGTTACTTATATATATGATGATCACAAATAAGTTTTTATAAACTGATAGAATAAATAACTTTGAAAACTCACTTGTGTTCGTTCAAATCCATTTCAAGTTCGGAGATTTTATTTGCCAATTGTCTCTGTTCACTTCGTAAATTTTGAAATCCTGCGAACACTTCTTCGTTTGTTTTCGCTTTTCCACCCTTACTTGTATTTTTAGCCATTTTAACGTTTGTTCTATTTTGCTAAACTAGTAACAATAGTTGAGGTTATGTTATTAGGAATAGTAAACAACGGATGTAATCGTCTATAATATACTGCAAGGATATAATTTAACACAATTATATGTGAATGTCTTTATCGAATTGAATTTATTTTCTTAGATATTGTAAGAAAATTGATATCATGTTACCATTCGGTACAAATTAAAATGGCATCGGAAAGTCAATTATTTTTATTTTCCAGTGTCAGACTGTCAGTCAAATGACAAATTTTAATCTGTAGCTGACAGCTACCTATTGCCAAAATAAAAAGTGATCTCATTTTTGTCTACAAAAACATACTGATAGGCACTGGAATAAAATAGTGTAACGGGTAGTTCTTCAAAACTTGCAAAAATAATGTGCCGAACATAAACTAAAAAATTGTTTGATCATGTATAGGTATTCAACGTATTTTTGTTAATTAGTACGTAAATGGAACTTCATGACGCATTATTATGAGGTTCAGTACTCTGTGACTGTCAGCATGGATGACAAATAAAACTGTCAGTGAGTGAAAGTGACATTTTATTTGTCATCCATGCTTCAGTGGATGACAAATAAAAGTTCAGACTTCAATCTTCAGTTTGTTATTTATTTGTCATCCATGGTTTGTTATCAAATATGTCAATTATCATTGTAAGAATATAGCAAAGAAATATATAACGTTGAATATATATCGTTATTATTTATTAATAAATAAAGTAGTAAAAGTCGGAAGAAGGAAATCTATATAATTTATTGTAAAATAAATTTATATTTGTATGCCATTATATAAAGTAATGTGAAGTGATTTCAAAGTAGGCGGATCAGTGTATTACGATGAAAGTAGAAGAAGGATCAGGGCTAGAATGTGTGTTAAGTGCAGAAGTCTTAAATACTAACGGGCGCCACCAACGGCTCAGCGCTGACGGCAGCACATTGACTTTGACCGAGGGTACTGCGCGCTTGCGATGTTGGCCTCTTCATGCTGTTAGAATTAAAACTGATTTGCCGGTTTGTTATTTTTATTTTTCCCTAGTTACTATAACATTTTATGTAAATGAAGTTGCCATAAAATATTTCATATACATAAGTGCAAGTTCCTAGTGATACATTGAAACATAAAAGAGGAAAAAATATATTTTGCAGGTGATGAAGTTAATCATTAATCAAGGAGGGACTTGCAAATTTATATATAATTGTATAAAATCTTAAAACATAAATTTTAATAAAATTACATGTTGAAGGAATGTTTTGTTATGTTATTAGAAGTAAAAATTCAAAAAATGTTGATTTGTTACATTTTTATTTTGTGTCCATTAAATTGAACAAAGTATGTAAACTGATATAATATCTAGAGATACATACTCTTATATATCTTATTTTAATATATTTTTATTTCTACAAAGACATAATAATGTAAATAATACTTATTCATAAATAATTAAATGCACAGAGTATAGTTACTGTACTCGTAACATATTCACTTCTTTGTATGATCATTAACACAATATAATAATTACAAACATAAATTCAACCCGAGACATTTGGAGCAACTCTAGAAAATACTGACATGTTTCTACCCTCTCTGTACAAGAGATGCGCTGAACCTAGGTTGAACAGAATATTTGGCCACATACAAAACATAAAAATAATAAGATATATAATAAATAGTTTTATTTAGTATAGATTTCTCAGATATGAGATATATTTTCGCAGTAAAAAGTCCTATATGTTGACCCGGACAACTAGCTATCATGATAAGAAATTTCATCAAAAAAGTGATATGGTTACAGACAGACAGACAAAAATTCAAAAACTATACATTCAGCCTCTATATCGATAATAATGACTTTAAATAAGATTTTCCAAAAAATATTTAATGTTCAGATTTGACTCAGAACTATGTTTAGGTCGTAACATAACAGTGTATTTTTAAACATTTCTGCATCTGAAGTTTTGATTAATCAGGGTGGGGGTGTGAGCTTAGAAGCTGGGGGAGAAACCTTGACGTGGACGTGTAGCGAGGAGAAGGCGTGCGTGGCGCTGGCGCAGATGTCGCAGGCGGCGACCGCGGCGCCGGCCGGCCCGCCCTCCGACGCGGCGCTCGCGGCGCTGCTCGAGGACGCCGAGCCCGACGACATGGACGCCGAACGCCGCGTCAAGCGTCTCGGCGAGCGCCTCGCGCGGCTCGACGCGCTCAACGTGGGCGGCATGCTCGCCGCCGCCACAGAGGGCGGGGGCGCTCAGCTCGCTGCCAGGCTTGAAGGTTAATGTTTTCTTTTTATCTAGTGAATTACTTTCCAGCCTGTTCACTTAGCAGCAGTTCACTTAGCGGTAATTGAATAGATACTGACTTCGTCAAAGTGAACAACATACATAATTATGATTCTGATAATTCATTTCTCCAGCGGGCAGCGCGTCGGGCGCGGCGCTGTCGGCGCGGCTGTCGCGGCTGGAGGCGCTGACGCGCGCCGCGCCCTCCGCGCTGCACGCGCGCTCCGGCGCCGCGCGCGCCGACGCCGCCGCGCGCGCTCTTCTGCACGAGCTCGCCGAGATCTACGAGTGGCTGGACGCGCCCGCGCTACGCGACCTCGACGCGCTGCCCGAGGTCTCGCTGGCCAGCGCCGAGGGTCGCGCGCGTGCGCTGGCCGCGGCCGAGGCGCTGCGCGGCGCGCTGCACGGGGAGCGCTCGGCGGCTGCCGCGCGCCTTCGCTTGGGCGCCGTGCGCGAGCGGCTGCGGCGCCTGGCGCGCGCGCGCGACGCACTGGCGGCGGCGCTGGCGCGGCACCTCAACAACGCGCTCATCCACCTCGCCAACGAGGCGCACGCGCCCGCGCCGCGCCGCCGCCACCACGCCGACCTGCTGCCCTACGCGCCCTTCATGCGCTGGCTGAAGGACATGGACGAGAAGGCGTACGACGGGCTCGTCAAGGTGTACGTGGGCACGTGGGCGCGCGTGTACGAGCGCGAGGCGCACGCGGCGTGCGAGGCGGCGCGCTCCTCGCTGGCACAGTCGCCGCCCGGTCGCGTGGACGAGCTGCTGGACGAGGTTCTCACCCTCGTGGAGACAATGTGCAACGCTGAACAAGACTTTTGCACGCAATTCTTCTACTTGGACGCCGACACGAAGGTAAACGGAAATAGTATATCTATTTCTTAATATTTATATGAAAATATTTAATGAGTAGTATTAAAATAACAACTGAGTGTGATGGCGTGATGATCGTCGATAGAGCGACAGCGACGGCGACGGGTCGCGCAGCGAGCGCAGCGAGGGCGAGCGCGTCTCCCCGCGCCGCCCGCCCGCCGCCGCGCGCCGCCTGCTGGCCGAGCTGTTCCCCGCGCTCGAGGGCGAGCTGGTGGCGCTGGTGGCGCACATCGAGCGCAGCGACCCCGCCTACGGCGCCATGCGCGCGCTCGCCTGCGTCGGCCGCCGCGTGCTGGGCGAGGACGGCGCGGGCGCGGGCGCGGGCGAGGGGGAGGCGCGGTGGGCGCGCGCGTCGCTGGCGGCGGTGGCGGTGGCCGCCAAGCGCGGCGCGGACCGCGCGGTGGCGGAGCGGCTGGCGGCGCTGCCGGACGCGGTGCGCGCGGCGGCGCGGCGGCCCAAGTGCGGCGTGCTGCCTTTCATCCCCGAGCTGGAGGAGATGGCGGCGGTGTGCGAGGGCATCTTCGCGCGCGGGCGGCGCGCCGACCTGGAGCGCTGGTACCTGTCGCTGGCGGCGGCCATGTTGCGCGCGGTGGCGGCGGCCGAGCACCCGCGCACGCCGCGCGCCGTGCTGCAGCTGGAGAACTACCACCGGCTGCACGCGGCCGTGAGTGCGCTCCGCGTGCCGGCGCTGGACGCGCTGCGGCGCGAGGCGCGCGCGCGCTACAACGAGGCGCTGCGCGGGTACGTGACGCAGTACTTCGGGCGGCCGCTGGAGAAACTGACGCAGTTCTTTGAGGGCGTGTCGGAGGCGGTGGCGGCGGGCGTGCGCGAGGACGAGGTGTGCTACCGCGCCGCGTTCAGCAAGCACGAGCTGCGGCGCGTGCTGGCGCTGTACCCGGCGGGCGAGGTGCGGCGCGCGCTTCACCGGCTGTACCGCACCGTGGAGAAGCACCTGAGCGCAGAGAGCGCGGAGGGCGGGCTGCTGCAGGTGGTGTGGCGCGCCATGCAGGAGGAGTTCATCGCGCAGCACGTGGCGCTGCAGGCGCGCATCGCGGCCTGCTACCCGGGCGCCGGCTTGGCGCTGCCGCTCACCACGCAGGACATCCTCGACGCCTTCTCCGACATCGCGCGCGAGCACTGACCACTCCGCCCATAATGACTAACCAAATGCAGTATTCCATATTTATCGACATTATATTAAGATTGTTTACACCTAGCTCTTAAAACGACGTGTTCAAGGGGTTCAAACATTTTTGTATGGAATAACATTAGCCAACAATTATTTTTTCGAAATAGAAGCGCATTAAGAGACTAGTAAGTATGTATGAATAAAGGACATTGAAACAAACCAAAAATATTAGAAATAGGTTCCCAAGTTTTCTTTTAGGGCCATATCTTTACCCCCCAAAAATCTCGTAAACGTGACACTAAACTTTAGCTATTTATTAATATTTTTTTTTTGTGAAATTAAACAGAATTGTATTATTATTAATGTTAAGTTGTTTTAAAACCCAAAAATGTCTAATTGGCTATAATTAGATTTCTTCCTCTAACTTTCGATAAAACCATACTTAATATTGTGCTGTGATAATTATGACCTGGCTCTCCGTTAAGGATTGGTTACAGTATAACTAATATGTAAAGCCTAAGAATTTGGTTTTTGGCCATCTGAACGCGAGCGGAGCCGCGGGCAATGCTAGTAAGTTATAAAAAACAAAAAACAGAAAGTGACGTGGACAAAGGTGGACTTATCTCTATAAGAGATCTCTTCCAGTCAACCCAGTCATGTGGGAAAAAGTGTTAAATAGCGGGACAGAAAGAGAAAGTGCAGTTTTTTTTTTAGTAAAGTATATAAGTATGACACATAAATAAAAGTTAAATATATAATTATAGAAGAAAAACATTCAGCCACAAATTAAAGAAAATAATAGACCGTTCTCGCAAGATGTAGCGCGGAATCGCTTGTGCACAGAGCGGACAAAGACCTACGGAGAAAGAACGATTATCACTCCGCGACTTACACATAGTTTATTCTCTGATTTAATTAACAAAATTACTGATGACAACATTAAGTTAAAATTACGTTTTTTTTACCTACTTATAAAATAGGAATACATATTAAGTAAAAGTAATACTCTAGTAAAGTATTTAGTACCGAATAATGTAGCATTACCTACCTAAACCCGTTTCACTTCCTCACGGAGTGACTACACTGACACTTACATGAAATTGACGATTCAATAGCACTTATAATAAGTAAATTGAATAAAGTTTATTTCATTTCATTTATAAGTCCCTGGGCCATCGAGCTTCGCTCGGAGATTTTTGGTCAAAAGTAGTTTTCTTTAAAAAAAAAAACTTGAATAAACAAATTATAACTTTGTGTCCGACCGGGATTCGAACCCGGACACTTATTCAATCTTGCGCCTTGGCCGCTTGACCATGATGCTTATGCCCGAGCGTGCGAAATTATCGAACATAATATTTTGCGTGGAATAATGCAAAAGAAAACCGCATGGAAATTCGAAAACATGCTTTTTCCCAGACATAAGACTAGATCGATTTATCGCTCCCGAAACTCCTTATATACTAAATTTCATGAAAATCATCGTTGGAGCCGTTTCCGAGATTCAGATTATATATATATATATATATATATATATATATATATATATTAGATTATATACTCCTGATCTGTCTGATGTCTATCTGTACATATACAAAATTTCATTAAAATCCATTTCAGCCTGACGGAGTAACAAACACACATACAAAAAATCTCGCATTTATAATAGTAGTGTGATAAAATTCAGGTGTTTATTTGTGATTTCAAAATTCTCACTTAAACTTTTTTCATTGGGATACACACTACATAAGGTTTATTCTAGACAGACGTCAATTTCAGCAGGAAAGGCTACATATGGTGGGTCACTTTACTCTTTGGTACTGCAGTAGAAAATTTAAAAACAAATATTATTATAGGGTTCAATAGAAACAATTCAGTAACTACATAATACATATGTTGTATTCATTTAGTTTTATTTTGAAATGAAATAAGTGCATCGATTTTTTAAATACTATATTTAAATTAACTAGCCAAAAAAATCACATATATGTATATATTAAGCAGAAGTCTACTTCTTGTTTAATCCAGGGACTTTGGTGGAGAGTAGTTAAGGTAGACAAGACCTGAAGACTTCGCCTGAAACAAAGTAAAAAAGAAGAATTTTAAGTAATACATTTAAATGTCAAAAGTCGGTGTGCTTTGCTTTGTATGGGCTGGCACCGATTTCGAAAATATTTGATTAGGTATGTATTTAATAGGTGGGCTTTAATTACTTAGCTAAAGCACACCGACTTCGAAAATATTTGATTAGGTATGTATAGTAAATGAAAACTACCAATCAGTTATTTTTTACTTTTTAGTGCTTTTGTTTGAAGTCGGTTTTTAATTTTGTTAAAAAGTTTTTATTTTTCCCTTTTTAGTGTAGACAGTAGTAGCAATGTAAGAATTTTAACGTGTTAGACTTGTCAAATCAAACAAAATAAGCCCAAACTCAAAGTACCTACTATTAGCCATTGAAGAGATCCACCTTCTGGCCTTACCATCAGATCAGGTCAACAATACCAAACCACTGTACTATCAACGGAAATAGAAACACTTGCAAAGTTTCAAGTCAATATGACAATTAGAAGTAGGTTAAATTCATCATTAGCTATTTTTCCACCCTTAGGGGTGGTATTTTTTTTTTGAAATTTAAATGGGACCAATCTGGAAGTATACCCTTTCAAACAAAACAAAAATTGTCCAAATCGGTTAATAAATGATGGAGTTCTGAGGTAACAAATATAAAAAAATGTACAGTTGGATTGAGAACCTCCTCCTTTTTGAAGTCGGTTGAAAATGTGTGTGTGTACTTATGTATGCACATAAGAAGTTATAATTCTTTGGCGTAATAGAACAAAAATAGCTAAAGGTCATCCTGTATGTCACAACTCTCTGTTTGTAAAAAGAAAAGTGGCTAACTTCATCATGTCGCTTTTTGGCTGTCGATGTGCGTGCGCATCGTAAAAATTGTACTCATATATTTTTTGCCAAACATGTCAAAAGAAGTATAACTTCAAAAAATATATTAGATCCTAGCGACTCACCCTTGCTCCGCTCGGGTTCATCCCTACTTATGTTTTAACATATAGTATAGATTTATCAGAAATTAGATATTTTCCTGCAGTAAAATGCATCCTATATGTTGACCTGAATAACCATCTATTATCATACCAAATTTCATCAAAATTCCTCCAGTGGTTTTTTCGTGATGTGGTAACAGACAGACAAAATTTTTAAAAACTATGGATTTGGCCTCTGTATCGATATTAATGTCTATTTCAATTAGACTAAGCAAAAATATTTTATGTACAGATTTGGCTTAGTTACAATTTTATTATGTATATATAGATAATATAAAGAAAAATATCTTTCCTTATTCTTACAATGATAATCGATCCAACGCTGAAGGCAATGCCGAACAAGAGTATGGAGTTGTAGCGGCGTTGGTTGGCATCATACTGTGCCTGCCAGGAGCCCTGGGGCACGGGGAGCTCGTCCATGCTTGGGGGTTTGAAGCTACCATGTTCACCGTGGTAGCGTCTTGCTGCAGTTATTAATAAACAAAATAAAATTTATGTTATGCTGGGGCCTGGGACTACACATACAAATTTTATAAATTGGTTGTGAATACTTGGAAAAGTAAATTATACATTAACATTGATGTTCAGTTATTATTTTAACAGGATATAGTGTATATGATTCAGATTTACTAATGTTAGACAACATACTTAAACCAAGAATGAAAAATTATGTTTAACAACTTTTGTGCAAAACTGAGAAAATTATACAACTATAAGCAATAGGCTTAGTTTAATTATTTTTTATAAGATGAAAACAAGAAGAGGAGCGTTTCGTTCAGTAGGTACAAAAGTAATTTTTAATTTGTTACTTAAAGTTAATTATAATTTAAACTACATTTATTTTCATTGGATAAATTTACTTGCCTATAACAGTAACCTGCGAGATGTGTTAAACGAGTATAAGATGTAGGAAATATAATATTGAAATGAGTTATTGAGTATATTTATATATACTTACTCAAAGTTACTTTTAGGTTATTTTTACTTGTTATGTAATATGAATTTTGGAACCTAGATATTTGTATATTTTTAAATTTAGCTTTACATTTAAAGAAGTTTAATTCTATGATAAACGTAAAAATAATTAAAACAAAATAAGGAATGCTGTGTGAAGCATACGTTCCAAATACAAAATGACAAGAAGGAAATCTTACCAAATTGCTGTATAACCCGGGAGATGATAGGTCGTGATGATAGCATTTTACTTTAGGGTAATTGAAGTTTTGATATAACCAATAGTTTCACTCCAACCTTCGATATTTGTTTGTGAATAATTCGACTTCAAAGTGAACGAGAAGTCTGAAGTAGTCAGACAGCCAAGACGTGAAAAATCAATGTTATCGTTCGACTTCGGTGTTCCCCTCTACTTTGCGTCCACAGACTAAAAATACTAAAACAACAATCATGCTGGTATTTATTTCTCTTACAAGAATTTGATTATTGCAAATATGATAGTATATTATATTATTGTCAATAAACTATTAATATTAAATATAGATTGTCTAAGATCTAGATCTTGTCTTATTTACCTTCACAGACCTCTCAATTGTTATCATAGCAATACTACAGAGAACAACAAGTGCTAATAATATACAGTAGGCGTTATGTTTAAATTATATACTTAAGATTTAAGTACACGATCGATGTTTATAAATAAACCACAACATACTAATTATGATAGTTAATTAAATAAATTGGCATTTGTTTCAATACATTTGATGATAACAATAACAATAATATAACTGCATAAAGTAGTATATGGTGATAGGTTTGTATGGCAGTAGAGCCGACTCGTGTCGTCATAATAAGGCGTACAGCGTACGTACTACGTAGAGAGGGAAATGATGCCAACGAACGAAATCTCGATTCTCGAATGCCAGTCTCGATGTGGGTTGCGGAGGGAGAGCACGGAGCGCGCTCGTTTTCTTCCCTTTCCTTTGTTTACTACATCGAACGTGGTCGTGCGCGGTTGCATAGTTGTATTTTATTTTTATAATTTGGGCAACAGTGAAATGTTGTGTGAAGATACTGAGGTGATTGTCGATAAGCACAGCTGACGTAACGAGAATCAAGTGAAGGAGATAGTGCAGAATGGAATGGTTGAAGTGTCTGGTGGGGCGGCGGGAGAGGTCGGCGGAGGCCGCGGCCGGGGGTGTCGAGGACGCCCTGGAGACCGCTCAGGAGCGGCGCCAGCGCTGGCGCAGCGTCTACGTCATATACTTCACTATGTTCCAAATGTCGCTCGGGTTCAGCATCGTCCTCACCGGCGTGTGGCCCTACCTTGACAAGGTAAACAGTAAACACTAGTATAACGAATGCTGCAGTAGAATTCGTCTTCAGTATAATATAAGCTCGGCTCTATCACCTCCAGGTAAATTTCTAGGAAATTAATTAAAATTCTAAGAAATTTATAAAATAAATAAATATTTAATGTATAATAGGTATATTTATTTTTTATATTTAAAAAAAATTTTTAATACGCTCAGTTATCGATGTAAACGATAAGACGCGAGCGTGTCGATTCAAACCTGAATGAAGTACCTAATAATTCATTGTTATTGCTATAATATAATAAATTTTGATGGCAATAACATGAATTATTGTTAAATGTTTGTCTTAAATGACAACGAAGGCATGTCCACTATAAGTAGTGACTAAAAATATAGGTCTACCTCTATCTACCTTGTACTTTCATTAAAAGGGCAACTTTAATAATGTGTAGGTACAGATAATAATCGAAATGTGGATAGACCCCAAAAAAATCCAGAAACACTAACAAACAATGTAAACCAATTTTTTTTTCATTTTGTATTAAATTTAACCTGTTATTATGTTTTTCAAAATGATCTCTACAATACCAATAACTTTTAAAGAAACTTAATTACTTCTAAATAAAGAGATTGCGAAATCTGGATGTGGATCTGGAAAATAAGTATTTATTGTTAATAACTTTAGATTATACCCGATTCCTGAGCGCAACATCAAATAAAACACGAGAGTTCGTTAAACACGTTTATTGTACATATATAGGTAAAGTTGTACAATCCCACAGTGTAAAGTTGCTGCGGAACATTATCGTATCTGTTATCAAATCGAATAACTCATGCATTACAGATTTAATTGCACACCTAGGTACATACATACAGTGCGCCGCAGCCCCGCAGCTCACACACGACACATAGCGATCTGGGTGGAGATATCAGTTAACTTATTGTTAGTAAGGAACATCTCTGTTTACGTCTAGGTATATTAGATCTCTGCTCGTGCGGTCAATATTAATACTCTCTTCTCTATCGCAACATCAGCTTTAAAACAGCAACAAAATAAATCTATAAAAATCTGAATAATGATGTTAGTTTATATACACTCAACGATAGAAGAGAAATCAAATTATCATCATCATCGGATGTTAAAAAATTATCGCTAGAAGTAAGACGAATATTACCAAATGCATACATGTTTATAAACAAACAATTATAAATGTGTGTATGAAAGTTTACGCAATTTAATATACCTACTTAGTGTCATCGACCACGATATGACCTTCGACACTAAACGAGAGCGTCGAGTTGATCGAAGGTGATAAGAGGGAAGCACGTGCGGACAAAGATCAACTCCTGCGAGTGAAGAAGTGCCCGCCAACAACGCCAACACGACAATATTTTCTTGCCTTGGATCTAGAGCTTATGTTGCTATCTAGCTTGCGTACACAAATATCTAAGTGCATTCCACAGAAAGCACGAGTATCTAATTTGAATGTTTTAATGTATTACTATATTTTAATATAATTTGGCCGTAAATTATCCCTTAACATTATTTTTTATAAGACCACTGTAATGAAAGAAGCATAAAAAAGAAAGACTTCTGCCAGCTCTGCACGGCTCAGTGGTATCGCTAAATAGCCGGTTACGTTCAGATAATTGGTGATATTAGCGCTGACATTCAAGTGCTTATTCAAATAGCGTGAGCGTTTTACGAGATGTATTTTTGGTCATTACCGCTGGCAATATTTAACCTCTCGGTCGGTGTCTATCGTGATACGATTTACAAGGTATAAAATAGGCATATCATGGGAGTTGCAAATTAGCTGATAAAAGGGTTCGAAATGACACGTAATTGATGTAATGACGAGCGCTCGTCATGACGCGATGATTCGTAGTTCCGGTGGATGAATGACAGCCAAATAACGGCGGTGGCGGCCTGCCAGCCACGAGGCGACGCCGCGCGGCGAGCTGCTGTGTTGCAGTGTGTTACACGTGTTGGGTGCGCTTATCATGTTATCACCTTCATTCAGGTCAGATAAAACTGATTCAGAGAAATGGGTGCATTTGGGCTATAAATCATTACGAATTTCTAAAAAGGCTACCATTGATAGTAATTCCCAAAAAGCCTTTCATTGGTTGGTAGAAGATTCTGTGAGAAACACAGTCTTTAGACTATTTTTTATTTTCAGACTGAAAATCTTAATCGATTTGAATTAATGGGCTTTTACTGCATCTGCATGCATAGGGGAAGAGGGTTGCAGTGAGAGTCGCATACGCTACTTTTTATCGTCACCGGCGATGACTAGTGTAAAATATAATTAAAACCTTATAATGATCTTTAGGCCAATTTGTCTAGACAAATAAAACAAATCCAGATTTTGTTCAAATTTTTTGTTTCTCTGTCTGTTTGTCTGTTTGTACGGGCTAATCTCCGAATCTATTGGCCCGATTTAAATGAAATTTTCCATGGTGGTACCTTATATCCCCGGGCAACATCTTAGATACTTTTTATCCCGGAAAATAAAATAGTTCCCGTGGAATAGTTAAAAATTATAAGAACTTATACAGCTTAGTACACAACAACTTATGCACCTAATTTAGTAAAATTTAACATTCTGAAACCTTATATTGCCGGTCAAACAACAGGTTACTTTTCATCCCGGAAAAATGAATGGTTCCCGTTGGAACTAATAGATCTCTATTAGTGTTTATCTAGAGGCGAACCCGAGCGAAGCGAGGGTGAGCCGCTAGTAGGTATATAAAAACAATACCCATAAAATATATTAGTCAGTAAAAAAAGACAAAAAATATTTTGCCGAAGTGCGGAGTACGAACAGTGGCTGTGCGACGCTATCGCTGTTATGAATTGGGAAATTGCTTTAAATATAGTCATCACGTACCTACACGCGGTTGTCTCCGTATCATGTCACAAGAATACTTCAGTTGGAGTTACCAGCCAATTTACTTTACACATGAATATTAAATACGGAATATTTTGTACTACATTCACTACTTAAAGTTAGATGATAGCTGATGTTCTAATTGAATACAAAGGCACCTTTACATTATAATATGCACTCTTATTTCCCCACCCAGTGTTGAAACAATGGTAAATTGCTAAATGATTTCTGGATTAGTGAATAAAATATATCGAGTATGTAGAGTTAGAAGTACGATGTAAGAAAATTAAATTTTGGCGAAACATTTAGAATGAACAACGTTTATATTATATAAACGTTGTTTATAAACGTATATAAATTATATATCAAAATAGTATTCGTTTAACTTGTGTATTGGTGTTCCAATAAGTGACAGCAGATAGTATGCCGATAAGTTGATTCATGAGATTACATACATACAAGTAGGCAAAAAGTTGCAAATATCTTTCTTCTAATAATATTTAAACACTGTTCATTTATCTATTTATTTATCTCTGTAGTGTCGGTCATCTCGCCGAGACACTACGGAAGCGTATGAAAACGTTTTGATTATGGCGGGCCCCTTAAATCTATTTGTGCCTGGTATAAATGGGTTTTAAAAATAATAACTGGCAAAAATGTGATGTATCTTAAGCGTGATAAAAGTCATATCCGTCGTCTTATTATATACGTCCGGCGTCTTATTGAACCACCGGTGACGCTTATTGGTTACAGTTGCAGCCCGGCTCGAGCAAGGAAGCGCTGGGCCTGGCGGTGGGGGCCAGCCCCCTGGGGCAGCTGGCGGCCTCCCCACTGCTGGGCTGGTGGGCTAACCGCGCCGGCAGTGCGCGTGCCCCTATGTTGGCCACGCTGGCGCTGTTCGTGCTGGCCTCCACGCTGTACGCGCACCTGCACCTCACACGCCCGCACGCGCACCACTGGATGCTGGTCGCTAGAGCACTTGTAGGAATCAGCTCTGGTATGATACAGTTGTAATCTACCTACAGTATTCCCAAATGTATCTAGCATTTTATGGAAATAATATATCGTTTATCATTTAAAAATCAGGATCACTGTTGTCAATCAGTCCTATATAATTTAAACATACATAAGTAGGTATAACACGACCCGAGCGCAACAGTTGGTGATTAATAAATATCGACACGTTATATGTTGAATGTTTTATGTAAAGATTGTTTACCTACTTCTAATACCTTTATATATGCAATAAGACAAGTACTAAGAATGTACTAGTTGTACCTGTTACAGAGCGCAGAGCTCTATTATAATAATTTATATTACACATAAGTGATAATTTAAGTAAATAGGATGGGTATTTAGTTGTCATTATTAAACACATAATGTACCTATTTGTATTTTTTAGTCAAAACAACTTTTGACTAAAGAGATTTGGTCAAAAGTACTTCTGACTGTATATCGGTAAAACTCTTAAAAAGTTAAGGAGGTAAGTAGGTTGAAGGTTACTCGGAAGAACCCTTTCTTTCTTTCTAGGTTAGGTTAGATTAGAACAGTGAACACCATAAACGATTAGATTTTTAGAAAAAAAATTGCTGCAGTGAAAACTACTTTTGACCAACCTTTTTAGTCAAAAGTAGTTTTGACTAAAAAATTGTTTTGACTGTAACATATGTACATACTTAATATGCAAATGAACGTTAAAACTTAAAATACAACTATTTATTTCAAATAGACAATAGATATCTTCTATCTACGCATTTCCGCTTCGAAAAACTTTGAATACGGACCGTAGGTATATTATATATAGTAGTGTTTATAAGTTGCAACATGCATGGTAAAGTCTGCTTGGAAAATAAATTATAGACTATCCTCACTTCAATTTTTAATGTTGATTGTTGAACCACACCCCGCGAGCGTGACACTTGCCGAGTGCTAGTTGCTTGCAGATGATTCATTTCCTATCAAGTAGGTACGTTCATATTCTCTTTGTTGTTGCTATCTAATTAAATTATAAAAATATTGTTCACAAAATAAAGCATTAAAAACGGTGTCTTGTAGGTAGGTAGGGGAGAGCGGGGCTGGAAGTTACCGGGGTAAGTCGTTCCGACGGTAATAACTTTGTAAGGGAAAGACATAGCAATAGATGTGAAGTGCGCCGTTAAAGCATCAGGTAACGCGCAGCGCCGTCAGCCATTTCAGTTACTCCAGCGACGAAGGTTGAGTGGTTGTGTGCACGTAGCTGTCAAAACGTCACGTAAGTAAATTTTTTCGAGCTTAAACTATTTGGTCTATCTATGTTTATTATGGACCGATTCATATGTAACTTTCGAAAATTGTAGTGATATTGGTAAGGTATATTAACGCATAAGTATTTTTATAATTTATTATATTAGTTTGCCAGTATGTCAGTCTTCGTATAAAGACGTAATTTGGGGTAAGAAGTTCCTTCCTGACGGGGCTGGTTGTTCCCCGGAACAACTTACCCCAATTTACCTTCGTCGTATACCTAAAATACTTTAGACCTTTTTTTTTTCATTTTAAGGATGCGATATTACAATCATAAGACAGAGGAAGGTAAACCCTCCGAGACTCCTCCGAGATTCTTTTAAACTGTGGCAAGAAAACCGGAAATTTCCTGGAGCTGACTGTTTCACTAGATATAAGAAAAAAATCTATTTTAACTGACACGCCAGACAAAATGTGTTAGTCGAAGAATAGAAAAAGAAGAAGACAAAAAAGAATGAAGACATTGCAAAGAAAGGATAAGAAAAAAAACAAACAAAATAGTAAAGGAAAATATAAAACCAACGGGAAAGGGAAGGGAAAATCTCAAGGAAAAGCTAAACGAAGAGTGTTACAAGAAAACGAGACTGACATGTTAGCACGATCTAGAATGGTACGGTACATTTGTTGTGATGCATATATTCAAATTTTCGTCCAAGAGAACAATGGATAGAATGTATCATGTGTAAAAATTGGGCTCGTATCAAATGTTTAGAGGTGTACTTATGTGTGTCCCAACTGTGAGTCAGATAAAGAAATGAGTGTCGAATAAGATTCCTGATGAATGAGAATGGAGATTGCCAAATTTAATTACACCTGATTAACGTAAGACTGATATAATGAATAATTTAAACAAATAAAAATAAGTTAATTTGGAGATTATGTTTTGTTGTTTCTTGAAGTCAAGTTATGCATCTGATAAGATTTATAAGTTGATAGATATCCATTATATGTTAACTAAGTAAAGAAACGTTTATCTGGAGCTCACCATTTAGGATTTGTTGTTTTTTAAAGTTACAAAAAGTTTATCTGGACCATTAATATTTTGTACCAGTAATAGTTTGTTGTTTTTTTAAGTTTATTTTTGCTTAACTTAAACATTACATCATAAATATATAGAAATGGTTGTTTTATTTTATAAAACATATGTTATTCGGATAGATTATTGTTATAATCTAAGTGGAACAATTTGCCCCAACGATGGAACAACTCGCCCCAAAGCGGGGCTGAATGTTCCGCTCCGAAATTTGACAAAAAATTGCTTCTGTAAAAAAAACTATTGAGATACTAGTATAAATGTCTATAATATTACAAAAACCAATAAACATCCATTCAATATTTGCACATGTTAAAAATGAAACCCTTCATTTTTATAATAAAATTTCATGTTATTTAAAAATCGGAACTTCCAACCCCGCTCTCCCCTATATGTAATCATTGCAGCTGAGTTTGGAACAAAAGGAAACAAAAACACTGTTTAGCATTAGGTTTCGTAAATATAGAGTTAGAAGCGATCCAATGACTCTATGATCCAATGAATCCAAATGAGTCGCTTACATAAGATATCGCTATGAAGGAAACAAATATATTTTATTATAATTTTAAGTTGCATACATTAAAAGATGATAGGTAATGAAGACAGTGGTGGCCCAGTGGCGACGCGCTCTCTTGGAAAACCGAGTGAAGCGGTTTCAAATCCTGGGTCTAGCATCTGTGATATTTTCCTGTGCGAATCATTTCCAACGTGATTACCACTTACGGTGAATGAAAACATTGAGAGGGAACCTGCATGTCTGAGAGAACTTAGTAAAACAGAAAGACATGTGCAGTCCACCAACCCGCACTTGTCCAGCGTGGTGGACGATGACCTGATTCCCCTCTTATTGAAGAGAGGCCCGAGCCCAGCAGTGAGAAGTTAAAAAGGGCTAAATACAAATTTGTCAAAACTCCTAAATACACAATCAAATGACTAGAACGTACGAAACCCTCCGCGCGAGGTCTATTCAGACTTCGACAAATAAATAACAATGGTATTACAGCCACAGCTTGAGCTCTCTTTATTTTCTCTTGTAGACGACAAATGGCATACTTATAATTGAGTATCATCAATATATTGTAGTTTGCGTATGTTTATTCATTAGTTAAAGTGATTAAGTAAATTCCCTGACCTCGATAAAATTGTCATCAGTATATCAATACATGAGTAGTGCTAATGTCCCTTTTGTTTTAGTTATAGAACAAGATTCCAGGGCCGCCAGACATCACGTATTTTCTGACGAACGAAATGTGGGCGATTGGGTAGTGTTAGTATGTACTAAGATCTCATGCCTACCTGCTAACTTGGTTAGACGGCCAATTTCCAGGTATCAGGTAATCAAGGTACATCAAAAGATTACTTACCTCACGTACATTCTCTAAGCTGATTTTCACGTATATTTTAGTCAATATCGCTAAAAACAAGTCGTCAATACTTCCAGACACTTTGCATTTGTATTGCTTTGCAGACGCTTTAAAGGTCCCAAAATAATTACTTAACTTCACTTAAATTCTGATGCTCCATTTTTATGTGTTCGCCAGTCGTGAGGTAAGTAATCTTTTGAGGACATTTCGTTCGTCAGAAAATACGAGACGTCTGGTGGCCCTGGGATCTTGAACTATTAGTTTCACAGCTGAGAGAGCGCAGCGCGCGTATCGACGCAAACAACGCTCAAAAAATTTTTAGAATTTATAATTATAAACACATGAGTCACGAGTTGATTTTAAACAAGATTCTTTACGTAAAGGAAATATCTAAGTATTTTTTTAAGTATTTATTACATTTAAATGTCATAAATATACTTATCACAATACTTGTAAATGCTGACATTTCATAGAGATGGACCGTAGTCTATGGAACTCTCCGGCTTAAAAAATAATATCTGTAGCTTCAGCAGTTGCGTTTGTTTTTGGAAGTATGGTCCATTAAGAAGTATAATTTCGTATGATAATATTAGTGACCACTCTATTCTTCAACGTATTTACTTACTCAAAAAAATTGAAGCGTGTCTGTATATATCTCCATTTGTGTTTGTGTCAGATACAACGAACAGACAATAATATATCCTCTTTTATAGCAAGATCTAACTATAACATGTATTATATAGCATTTTATTTAATTATAGCAATTTTTGCAAATACATGTTATATTGTTATTTAACATCGATTTTCAGCAAATGTAGCAGTAGCTCGGTCGTACCTATCGGCGGCGACGCGTGAGAGTGAGCGGACGCGGGCTGTGGCGGGCGCGTCCCTAGCACAAGTGCTGGGCTTCGTGGTGGGTCCAGCTCTTCAGGCAGCGGCGGCGCCCCTCGGGCCCGGGCAGCCCTACCCGCCCCCCGGGGACTACGCCCACCTGCTCCGCCTCGACATGTACACGGCGGCGGGCTGGATCAACGCAGTCCTGGGACTTATCAACTTTATTCTCTTCTTGCCGTTCTGCTTTAAGGAGAGAAAGATCGCTGCGCGAGAGGCAATGCTCGCTCACGGCAAGGGAACAGGTACATATTAAGTAAAACAGTTATAGGTACATATTATATGGTATTGCGTATCTCTCTCTACCATGCCAATTAGGTCTTGGCCCTACAACACTAAAAACTTACTGCCATGTCTATGCATAATGGATACATATATTACCTTTATATTAATATTAATTAATTAATTTGAAAGACTTGTATGTATGCAAGTTTATCCTTTTTACGCAAGAACGGATTAGCGTTTTTTATTTGCATAAAAATAGGTAATAATCAAGTCTGATCGAATTACTAAATATTAATATATTATTACCAATGATTTCCAGAAAAAGAAGCTTTGAAAGCAATAAAGCCGGACTACATCAGTAGCTGGACGCTGGTGGCGGCGTTCTTTGTGCTGGTGTTCAACTTCGTGCTGCTGGAGACGTTGGCCACGTCGCTGACCATGGACCAGTTCGCGTGGAGCAAGAAGCAGGCGCTGGAGTACATGGGCGCGCTGATGAGTGCAGGCGCGCTCGTTGCCTGCGCCGTCTTCGCTCTCATCACACCCTTGACCAAAATATTCGAAGAGAGGTAAGCTTCTGTGGGTAATTTATTCTATTCGATCTTTACTTGCCTCCAAACTGCCAAAGAATAAAAAAATTGTTTTGAGTTTATATTTGTTATTGTAGCGATTAAAGTTTTATATTGGAAATTGGAAACCTTGATATAATTTATCTATCATGTATCTGTAATGCTATGAAATAAGTCCGTGAAAGAATCCGAAAAGATAGTTTTATTTTAATATTCAGAAATGAATCTTAATCTATGTACTTTAACATCAAGTGCTTGAGTTAATACCTATCTAGTATTTTATACACTTTCTCATATATTATAATACTACAGTGTATATTTGGGCAAGGAAAAAAATCATTATGTACCTACGTGATACGTCCTACGTATGTTATATTTATGTATGTGAAGATATAATAACGCGAACGTTTTGCAGAGCGTTGCTGCTTTGGGGCGGGTTCCTGCTCACCGGCATGGCATCCATATTCTGCATCCCGTGGGGTCCGCAGCCGCCGCCGCTGGCCAGCGGCGAGGGCGCGGGCGCGGAGGCGGGCGGCGGCTGCCCGCAGCACGCGCAGCCCTGGTGCGCCACCTCGCGCGGCCTCTCGCTGGCGCAGTTCCTGCTGGGCTACACGTGCGTGTCCATCGGCTATCCGCTGGGAGTCACGCTCATACAGACCATATTCTCTAAGGTACGCAGTGTCAGCGGCATTGCTACTGGCATTGTTAGATGCATCAAATCTGATAGATCATGCATGTCACACACGATATGTCCATCTAACATTATATGACATCCTCATGCTCGTTAGCATATTTATTTGCAAGATTTGAATTCACACTAGAGAAGTTCTTTGTACTTTCAATAAAGAAAAGATATTTGAAAATATAATTATCTTCATTTTGTACTATTAAATACATTAAATTTCTTATTTTTATAGAGTTCGTTTTTACTCTTTACTTTAATAGACATGGTCCTATTTTCGATACGAGTATTTTTTAGGATTCTGTACCCAAAGGGTAAAACGGGATCCTATTACTAAGACTTTTTAACTGGTGATGTATTTCTGTTGCCGCTATAACGATAAAAAGCAAAATTAAAATAAAATAATTTAAAAAACCCTCGACGTAAAAAATAAATGTAACGCGAGATAAACTCAAGCATATCCGTCGGGGCCTGCCTTGACACTTGAACGGTTTTTTATATATGTACCCGGTTTACCCGGTTTTTTATGTATGTTTTTTTTATATATGCCCACTGATCTCTCAGAAACGGGATAACGGATTTGATTGGTCCGAAATGTATTCTATTATTTTACCCCGTGGAGGTTACATGTTATCATTTTCTTTGACGTAAAAGCATGTAAATTCTCTAAAAATAAATAATGGGATATTTCAGTGGCTACTTTGAATTTAAGCTTATTAGGTAAACTTGGGTTTAAGTCTGTTGTGTGTCAAACACGTGTTTTTAGTTTTCAACCGACTTCAAAAAGGAGGAGGTTCTCAATTCGACTGTATTTTTTTTTATGTTTGTTACCACAGAACTTCGTCATTTATTAACCGATTTGGACAATTTTTATTTTGTTTGAAAGGGTATACTTCCAGATTGGTCCCATTTAAATTTAAAAAAAAATACCACCCCTAAAAGCCTAACACGTTAGAATTCTTACTCTGCTACTACTGTGTACACTAAAAACGGAAAAATAAAAACTTTTTAACAAAAAAATAAAAACAGACTTCAAACAAAAGCACTAAAAAGTAAAAAATAACTGATTGGTAGTTTTCATTTACTATACATACCTAATCAAATATTTTCGAAGTCGGTGTGCTTTGGCTAAGTAATTAAAGCCTACCTATTAAATACATACCTAATCAGATATTTTCGAAATCGGTGTCAGCCCATATAAAGCAAAGCACACCGAATTCGAAAATATTTGATTAGGTATGTATAGTAAATGAAAACTACCAATCAGTTATTTTTTACTTTTTAGTGCTTTTGTTTGAAGTCGGTTTTAATTTTTTTGTTAAAAAGTTTTTTTTTGTATAGTGAGATATAAATAAATTCATAAGAATTGTCACTTCAGTATTATATGAGCACTTTGTAATAGGCACGTAGCATTATTTTCTTTCCCTCATATTATGACCCGCATGTGTGTTTGGCAACCTATGCCAAATGAAAGTGGTTAGTTCCTTCCAGTCTTGTTAAGGTTTTTACGGTCAGTATAGTCATTTGCTCTGAGCGCGATATATCATCATAGCAGACATGTTCCCTCTGCGCTACGAAATTTTTAGATTTATACAAAACCTACTACTAACAGCTGGCATGTTTTGAATCCATTAAAAAGAAAATTGTATTAGTAATCTTATATATATCGAATCGACTGTGGTGTAGTGGCTAGCATGTACGGCTGCACACCCGGAGGTCCTGGGTTCGAGTCCCGGGTCGGGGAAAGTTTAGTTATTGAGACTTTCTGTATAGTAAGTCTCAGTAACAGCCCGGAGTTGGGAAGTTGGCGGTGTTTCACCTCCGTGCCTCGGAGAGCACGTAAAGCCGTCGGTCCTGCGCCTTAACTCTCACCGGTCGTGTCGAGTGGTCGTCCCACCGGAGTATAAGAGTGATAGGAATAGAGAGCGCACTTGTGTCTGCGCGTACACTTGAGCACTATAATATCTCATGCGCAGTTGGCTAATCTCAATGAGATTGGCCGCCGTAGCCGGAATCGGCTAGGAGAACATCATCATATATCGAATAGTATACCTATATTATATGAAGTTGAAAGGTTTGTAAAATGGGATGCATTAATTTCAGTAATTAACTGTTTCATCAAAAACCACCAATCAAAAACCGTATTATGTTTAAAAAGCTCAATTGTTGAGGAAGGTCAAAGCGAAACGTAATATTGATTCTGGTAATCTCTATATGTGTTCACTGTATTAAAATCATACTTATTTCAATCAGTTAAATTGATCCCAATGTGTATGTATAAAATGTAAGAGTGCATGTGATGTGTCGTGGCAGGTGCTGGGCCCGCGGCCGCAGGGCGTGTGGATGGGCGTGCTGACGGGCGCGGGCTGCGTGTCGCGCGCGCTGGGGCCCGTGTTCGTGTCGGCGGTGTACGCGCGGCGCGGGCCCGACGCCACCTTCGCTTCCACCGCCGCGCTCACCTTCGCCGCGCTGGCCGCGCTGCGCCTGGTGTACGCGCGCCTGCGCCCGCCCGCGCCCGCCCCCGCGCCTGCGCCCGCCGCCCGCGAGCTCCGCCCCCTCACCTCTCCCGCCGGTGCGTCTGCGCGTCCCGACGTGGCGTGACATTCTCTGAACATTTGTGAAGTATTAAGAATTTACTTGTGTTTTGAAAATGAATTAGAATATTATATTAAAGTGTCCCACGCGCCAGCCTTGAGACCTTGAAAATGTGTCATTAAATCGCTAGAAGCAATGCTGATGCATCCCTTCGACGTCGAACTGAGAAGTGCCCATGTGGCATGTAGATGTATAATAGCACATAAGGCAAATATACATATTTAACTATATTTCTTATTAAGTGTAAATAATTGAATGACGCTCAATTGAATTCCTCCTAATAATGTGAAAGTATCGTAAGTATGTAGTAGCACTCGCGCAACGGCGCTGGTAGCGATGCGCCACAAGACTGAAGAGGAGAGCACGAGACTCGCACTACTCACTGCTCTGTGCTGTATGGTGAGGAGCTCTACGGCTCTATATTGTAGATGTTCTGTCACACTTAGCGTACCTTTTACCTAAATCCTTTTAAAGTACAACTCGTGTAGTCTGGTAAGATTTGTCATTATTAAAAACGAATAACTATAGTAACTACATATATTTTGACTGTGTTAGCTTATTGCGACTGTATATTTTTGATATTATAGGAGTATAGAACTTTTGTTTAACGTTAATTGGTTGTAAATTAAATATATAATATTCTTCGACATGTATTATGTGCTCACTCTATCAGGTGTTTTATCTACATTCGTTATCTTAATTGAAATTGCATAATTATGACTGCCATTGTCTTCAACAAAGATAACGTACGAATACATTTTCTTTGTTTGTAAGAACAGCCTGGTCAGTTTCATTAGAAAATATGATTGGAATATAAAATATGTACGTTATTTAGTTTACAATAATATTAATATCACACTTCTATGTGTAAGCACATTGGCGTGGAATGTATTTTTACTTAAAAAATATGTAAAAAGTATTTACTCATATCTATTAGCTAGATCTTTTGATGAAATATGAGTAAGTTGCGACGTGACTGAGCCATATTTTTTTTTATTAACTATTTGATTAAATTTTGTATAAAAAATATTTCTCCTTATTTTGTTGTGGCCACACGCCATGCTGGTTGCAGCCACATTTAAAGTGCTATGATTATTATTTTTGTAAAATATTTATTCATATTAAAATATATGATAAATTTAGTAATAAAAACGAGACTTCCATAGAAGTTAAACCTATATCTTGAATTGGCAAAACAATGATTTTTATTTACCTGTGATCATTCAGTTTTATACAAAAACTGACAATGTTCACAGCAGCGAAGTAAATATAAATAGCCACGATAAATATTCGAATAAAAAGAAAATTTCATATTATGTAAAGTTTATTATAAAAAGTAACTATTTAGGAACTTTCTTATTCTAATAGTACTAATAAGTAGATTTGTAAGCAATAAAATGGAACAGGGTTTACTGAGATTTTTATTTATACCTAATACATACATATATTATGTAAGGTACATATATATTTTCTGCACACCTTAACCAAAATGATGGAGTTGTTGTTTACATAAGATCAAATCTGAAATGCACAGTTGAATCGACTGATATTATCGAAGCTTACAGTATCTTACAAAAATGTTCAAACATCAATTAAGTATAGCCATATACCGTTATACCCCTTCGTTTACCAATCTTAATCCATTTATAGAATCTCTAGATAAAACTCTAAATAAATTAAATACTTATGACTCTCGTAATAGTGATGACTATCCATATCTATCGAATATCTGAACATGGTCGATCAACTATGGTTGTACAACTGCGCAGGAGATATTATAGTGCACAAGTGTACGCGCAGACACAACGTGCACTCTCTATTCCTGTCACTCTCATCCTCCAGTGGGACAATTATTCAACACTACCGATGAGATTCAAGGCACAGGACCGACGGCTTTACATGGTTTTCGGGGCACGGGGGTGAAATACCGCCAACTTCCCAATTCCGGGCTGTTACTGAGACTTACTATACAGAAGGACTCAATAACTAAACATGGCCCGACCCGGGACTCGAACCCAGGACCTCCGACTGTGCAGCCGTACATGCTAGCCACTACACCACCGAGGCAGTTAATATATATATATATATATATATAATCTGAATCTCGGAAACGGCTCCAACGATTTTCATGAAATTTAGTATACAGGGGGTTTCGGGAGCGATAAATCGTTTTTTCATGCTGTTTTGTTTCGCATTATTCGACGCAAAATATGGTGGCTAATTCGCACGCTAGGACATAAGCATCGTGGTCAAACGGCCGAGGCGCAAGTTTGACAACCACAGGTGTCTGGGTTCATATCCCGGTTGGATACAAAGTTTTACTTTTATTTATTTTTTGTATTTATTTAAAAAAAATGTTCCTTTTTTTAAATGTTTGTTTGGCAAAAAACTCCGAGCGAAGCTCGCTCGCCCAGGTACTTATGTACGAAACGCAGATCACACACTATATATGAAATTAATTCTGCAAGAACCGCGGTCACAAAACGCCACTACCCATACCTAAGCTGTTTACTCTACAATAGAATCAATAAATTATTGAATATATATCCACTCACATACTACTAATTACTATTTATTATTTCGGAATTAGGGATGCATCCAAGCGAAGCGAGGGTACGTCGCTAGTGTTAAAATAAAATGTGTTATCTTATCATTGTTGTTGCTGTTTGCTTGCGGATCATCGTAACTTCCTAAAACGTAAGCCACAAATAAAAGCAGCATGAATGAGATATGTATAATTAATTTGTAATGGAAAAATTATATAAAATTTTATCTAAAATATTTTTTCTTATATGCTAAATAATTTATTAAATTAATATAGTAAATTCTATTGTACAATTTAATAGAGCAAATTTATCATATATTTTAGTTAGTTTACTTTAGAAGATAGTAAGCTTTGTATCAAACGTAGGTTACGTTTGAAGAGTTTCGTCGAGATAATCTTATTGTTAGACTAGTACAATTTTATCTTTATCATTGCAACAGATATAATATTACTCAATATCTTAAGAGAGTTTTTAGTGAATTATAGGTACTTCTTTTAGCGCGTTATGAAAAATGAATGATGAGTAAAAAATAAATGAATGGCAGTTTTTATTTACTAAAGTCTAAAGATACCAAATCAGATATTTTCGAAGTCAGTGCCAATAAGTAAATATGACATGGTATGAACTTTAATTATAATTTTGAATATTATACATCAATTTGATGTAAGCTTTGCTTTGATTTGTATCAGCTGGCCCCGACTATATTTAGATATATAGATTATTAGCTAGAGATAATAGATATACATAGATTAGCGTATCTGTAGTAAATGAAATCTGCCATTCGTTTATTTTTTTGCTTTTTAGTGTTTTGAAGTCGGTTTTTATTTATTTATCTTATAATTGCTTCTATCACAATAATATTAACATGTGACGTGTATAGCATTTATCCTTACTAACATTAAATAATGTTTTTTTTTCATATTGGTAAGGATTTAATTTTTCAAACATGCAGATCCTCGTGAGGGTTTGTTTTGTCCTTAGGCAAATGATACCATATTGAAAATGATTCATAGCCCTACGAATACTAGAACAATGTAATAATAAAATCAGAGAAATTGCTTTAAAAATGAACTATCTTTATTACATCATTGGGTCTTTCCATACTGTACAGGCTACTGTGGGTGTAATATATATGTACGTGCTAGAGGCGGGTAGTGTCGCCGAGCGGGCGGGTGGCCGCGGGGCGCAGGGTCTCGGCGGCGGCCACGTGCGGCGGCAGCGGCGCGCGGCGCGTCTCCGGCGCGCACAGCACGGCCAGCGCCGCCGTCCCCGACGCGCCGGCGTACAGCAGCGCTTGCACGTACACGCTCTGATAAAATGATTCAATTATAAGACATTAATTATGTCTCCTGACCGGTCTCACTGAGACTAGTCGCCCGCGCAGGAGATATTATAGAGCACGTGTACACTCTCTGTTCGTGTCACTCGTGTCGACAATTCGACATGAGCGGTGAGAGATCACGTGTAAAACCAATGATTTTACGTTCTCATTAAGACACTAGCGATAAAACACCATCAACTTTCTAACCCCGGGTTAAGCATTTCCAAACAGGAAAACTCAATAACTAAACTTGGCCAGACGCGGGATTCGAACCCAGGACCTCCGCATATGCTGCCGTACATGCTAGCCACTAGACCACCGAGGCGAGTTATATGATACTTAAGTGTCTAACAGTAGCCTATAAGTATGATTTAGTAATTACAAACTTTCACTAACGAACCATTTATATGCTTTCTTTTAAAAGTTATTTCTAAATTAAAAATTAAAATAGTAATATCCTTTATTGATAGAATAGATATTCTATAAAGAAATTATAGTTATATTGCAACTTTCTTTATTATTTTTTATAGTCTCCATAATATGGAATATGTTACTGGATATTGATATACTACATTAATGCTATTATGTACTAGCAAATTATCCTCGATTCGCTCAGGTACGTCCCTGCCTGCCCAAGAGTAGTATTAAAGTTTCCAGATCATTTCCTCAAAAATCATCCAGTCGTCCAGTCAGCGTGAAGGAGTTACAAACTTTCGCAATTATAATAGTAGTCTACTTTATTTTAGAACATTTACATAAATAGAACATTTATAAGTTCTAAATTAATATAAATAACAAGATACTTACAAGAAGTGGTGTCTGCGGCGCTAGTATGGAGCCGAGGCGTCCAACAAGCGAGACTGCGGCTAGCGCCGACGACCGCGAGCTAGTCGGGAATAGTTCCGCCGTGAATACGTACAGGGAGTTGAATGCGAACGTTATTGATAGTTTTCCCACAAAGAATAAGGTTACTACAGTTTGTGAATGAGCTGTAATCAAGTAATATAACATTATTTTTACTTTAACTTTTATAAAGAAAGAATTTTTGACTTTATATACTCACATACAAAATACGGAGTAACACAAGCAATGCCACATACAAAAAATGCCACGAATATACTTTTCTTGCGACCAAACCGCTCAAGTGCCATCATGATGAGGAGCGACGCAACTATCTCCATGGCCATGTTAAGTGCAAAATTTGTATATTTGTCTCCAGATAGCGATACAGAGTTAATTGTAAGTCCATAGTACACAAATGCTGCTGAAATCCAACACCAACAGCATATTACGAATCTGAGCACCAGTACACGAGATCTGGCGAGACTCAGCCAAGGGTTATTTTTTGATTTCACTTCGTTTGCTTCTTCATTTTCAGCAGCCATTTTCAGTACATCTTCATCTAAAGTAACCTGGAACGTACGAACATATTTGCTTATGATTGAAGAAACTAATCAATGCAGTAATGAAATGAAAGTTAATTTAAGACTTACATTATTCCATCGAGCTACTTTCCGAACAGTAGCAATGGCGCGATCTTTCCGTCGTGTAGCGTGTAGCCAGCGTATGCTTTCGTCGAGTATGAGCCAGTACAGTGGTAGCAGCAGCGCGGGTGTGTGTATGACTCGCAACAAGTCGCGCCAGTACGTGAAGCGCCGGGCGATGAAAGCAAACATCACGCCGCCGAGACCGTAGCCCACGCCCGTTGCGCAAGCAAACGCTGCCCGCAGCGAGGGACGCGCCAGCTCTACCACTGAAGTAAAACTTTACCATAAGGATATGGTCAACACAACACGTACGTTTTTAAACTACATCTTTTATTATGCACTATAAAACTTTGTTCACTTATAGAATAAAAATGTATAATAATGAATCTAAGTGAAAGTCAAGTTGTGGTAATAGGTACATCTGGAATTATGGTTCCGTCCTGACCATGATAATATAAAAAGAATAATTTGTAATAAAAGTGGACCTGAAATGTACATTTTTTTTAAATCGTAGCATATGCCCGCGGCTTTGTGTTAATTTTGTGTAAAAATGTGTTACGAACTTTAATAACCCACCCATATTTACCAATATTCATGGCGAAAAATAGAACAGAATAGAAGTCATGCTCCAAAAGAGCCACTTAAGACTTAATATGTGCTTTTTAAAAACAATCTGTAAAGGTCTATCTCAGGTTTGTGGCTCTATACAAATAGATATTCAAATTTTATTTTACAAAGACAATACAATGATTTTTATCTTAAGTATTCATACGGGAAAAAATCGTGTTTTGGCAGAGAGCGCGGATCTTGCCATTGCCGAGTGATATAAGTCAGTGGTACCAGGTGATCAGGTGTCGATAGGTACAACAAGCTAGCCTACCTAAATATAAAATCCAACATACTCATGACATAAGCAGCGCTGTTAAAGCCGTACCCGAGAGCCGCTTCGAAGAACTCCGTGGCGAGATAGAGTTGGTAGTTGAACGCAAATGATTTCACGATTCCCAAAACTCCTGCGAACGCGGAAAATATACAAAATGCCGTCCGCCGACCCCACCTGTGTTGGACAGGACATAATATTATACAGTAAAAATGGTACGTATTTTTAAATTACACGCTATAATTCAATGATTATATATACATATATATATACATACATATATATATATATATATATATATATATATATATATATATATGTATGTTTATATATATATACTGGTAGTACTGGTACTTTATATATATCAGTCATATAATCTTTATTACTGATAAAGCACTTTCCGTGCTCGAAGCCAAAATATTAAATCTATCTTGAAATTGAAGCAAGCACATTTTTTATCATGGAAACGAAAAACCTAACCGCACGGTAAGCGATTGATAAGGCTGAGTTGGCAGTAAAATCATAATATGAGAAATGTTACCTATCTGATATATATCCTGTAAGTACGAGAGCAACGGGCAGTGCTGTGTTCCTTACTGTGCCCACGAGTGTCCGCTGCCACTCGTTGCAAGCCATGTTAAACTAGAAACAACAGAATATTCAAAATATACAATTTAAGAGGAAATCAGATGATTTAAAATGTGACAATATTAGATTATCTGATTGAGTAGCAGCCTCATTCATCCAAGAGATAGCTTGATTATATTAGAAAAATTAAATATATCATATTCACACACACACGGTTTATTAAAAAAATGATTAGCCTTAACCTACCTCTCCATAGATAGTATTCATATTTTCGTACACAAAGGCATTGCACGCGATAGTTTCGTTCTGGTAGTCTGTTCGGTCGCAGCTGACCTGGTCGGGGGCGAGCGGCGCGTAGCGAAGACACTGCTCCGTAGGAAGTAGTTCACTGACAGTTGAGTTAAGGAAGTCACTCCCTTCTCGCTCGCACTCCGGCACTGCACACCTGGGGAAAACAATTACTGCTAAGTTACCATTTTCAAAATATTGCATATAATATAAACATCGTAATAACTAATATATTAGTTGATGTATAGTCGTGAGTGTGTGTGTGTTTCAAAATTTTTACAAGCACTTTTGAATCAATTTTGCACTTTAAATTTAAATTAAATTAAATGTAAGTGTAGCCAGTTCGTGAGGAATTTACCACCGGCTCGGACGGCAGTTCTGCTGAGAAGAGCCGGCGAGAAACTCAACGGTAGTTCTTTTAAAATAATAATTGTTTACAATATTGTAATACAATAATTATATATTTATCCTAAGTACGTGAGACCCAACCAGATATTAGTTCCACACATTGACATATACGAAGTATTCCGTGTCAGTATAATAAGCTTAATTCACTAATACATTTTTAATTTTAGACTTAAACTGTTTTAATGGCAAGCTGAAAATCGATTATGGAATTCTGTTATACATATATGCCTATACATTGTCCCATAAATGATCTATTCACTTTTTGAAGGCGAAAGATAGGCGTTTATCCTTATTTCTAGTGTTTATTTCGTGTCTATCATTATCTTAAATAGCAATGAATGTTTTGTCGGACAAACATAATATTATAATATATATGTATATATTGCGATGCAACATCAATTTTTCTTAAAAAATCTCGTAGGGTATTCCGAGCTTCGATGTTATAAATTGCCCGAATGGCCCTTTTTGGAGAATAAATATAGATTTTATATCCGCTGTATTACCCCACAACAAAATCAGTCTACTCGTGAGAGATGATAGATGAGGGGGGACTGAAGACCTGAGTCAAATCAAATCAAATCAAAATATTTTATTCAGCATTAAATTATTACAATTTTTTACTGAACGTCATGAGTCTACTACCAGTTCGGAAAGAAGAAGCCTCAGACCTGAAAAGAACTGGCGAAAGAAACTCAGCGGGACCAATATCTTTTCCTAAAGTATAATCTTTTTTTAAAGTAAAATTATAATTTACAATATTTCTATCAAGTTGAAGTAGCCTGGAGGCAATAATTTCATTCCCAAGGTGTGCCATCTTCTATAAAATCATTTATTTTATAGAAGATGCCTTTAGCACACAAACGTTCTTTAACATTTTTTTTTAATTTGGCGATAGAAGCCTTTTGAACGTTTTCTGGGATCCTGTTGTACAAGCGTATACATTGTCCATAAAAAGAATTACTGACTCTGTGGAGACGAGTCACAGGCATTACAAGTTTGTGTTTGCTCCTAGTATTAATGTTATGCATGTCACACTTCTTGGGAAATTCGTGTATATTTTTACGGACATACGTAACATTTTCGTACACGTACTGAGAAGCAACAGTCAATATTTTTATTTCTTTAAACTTATCTCTTAATGACACTCTAGGACCTAGACTATAAATTGCACGAATAGCTCTTTTCTGCAGAACAAAAATCGTATTAATAGCAGCTGCATTTCCCCATAGTAAGATACCATAGGACATAATACTATGAAAATAACTAAAATATACTATGCGAGCTGTATCTACATCAGTAAGAAGTCTTATTTTTTTACCGCGAACGCTGCAGAGCTGAGTCTACTCGCTAGCCCCTCAATATATAATTTCGAATATATGATAATACCTAGGAATTTAGTGGACTCTACAGGTTTTAACACTTCGCCATTTAATGTTACTCCATTATCAACAAGTTTGACATTCGGTGTTGAGAATTTTATTAATTTTGTCTTTTTATTATTTAATAATAAATTACTTGAATCAAAGCAATAGACAACCTTTCAGAGAGCATCGTTTACATCGTCGTACATTACCGAATTGCGCTTCACTTTAAAAATAAGTGAAGTGTCTTCAGCGAACAATACTATCTCATGTTTGTCCTGTACAAAAAATGGCAAATCATTAATATAAATTAGAAAAAGAAAGGGGCCAAGAATAGACCCTTGTGGAACCCCCATATGTAATGGAGCTCCAGGAGATCTCTTACCATTAACATCAACCCTCTGTATTCTATTTTTTAAATACGAATTCAGAAGGTCGAGTGCCTTATTCCTAATACCATAGTGATGCAGTTTCCTGATCAGCGTCTCATGATGTACACAATCAAAGGCCTAAGTCACAGAATATCCCAAGCGCATTTTGTGACCTTTCCCAAGTCTCAAAAATATTTTTCACTAGCTCAACACTAGCATCTGCCTTGGAGCGGCCTTTCGTAAATCCAAATTGTTTCTTATGAAGTAGATTGTGTGCATTGAAATGCGTTAACATTTGCGCGAGTATGATTTTTTCAAAAATTTTACTAAACGTTGGCAGTACCGAAATTGGTCTAAAATTATTAGGGTCTAAGGTACTACCTGATTTAAAAATAGGAATAATTTTGCTGTGTTTCATTAGATCAGGAAACGCGCCACGCTCTATACTGCTATTAAATACAGTAAAGATTCGGCAATGGCGGGAGATGAATTGAGTGATTGCGTTGTCGAAATTGGAATGTCAGTGAAAAATTTTTCAAACTTAGATGCAACTTCTAGGTTTGAAGTGTCCAATGTTATATCCAAGAACACATAAACTAACATTCTGACTTCTTACATTAGGTAGTTTGAATTGAATACATTTAGTTTTCTTGGTGTTTGATGCTAAATTATTAGTATTAAGTCACTTAAGTATATGTGTGCGTGTGTGTGTGTGTTTTGTATATGTGTGAATTTATACTCAAAACAGTGAGCATTTTTTGAAGTTATACTTCTTTTGGTACGTTTGGAAAAAAATATAAAAATATTTTTTTCCAAAAACAAAATAAATTCGCGAAATAATCCGAAAAGATAGTTTTATAGTCAAAATATTTAAAATAAATTTTTTATAATGCGCGCGCTCACCGACAGCCAAAAAAGCGACACGATGAAGTTAACTGCATTCCTTTTACAAACAGAGAGTTGTGACATACGGGATGAAATCTTTAACTATTTTTGTTCTGTAGAACGAACGAAAAGAAGTATAACTTCTTAGGTGCATACATAAGTACACACGCATTTTTTTAGAATAGTGAAGATCTATTTGGAGTGACTTCAAAAATGCGGAGGTACTCAATTCGGTTGAATTATATTTTGTGTATTTATTAATATCGATATCAATCTGAAGAGGTTTCTCCTCAAGGATAGTTTCATATAAATTATTGAAAAAATTATAGCCCCTAAGGATGGAATAATTACCTACTTTAAAGTGATTTTGAAGTCGATGTATCTAATTGTTTGTTTCGTATAGTCTAATGAGCTAAATTGAAGGGTAAACAGTACATTGTGGTATTTGTAGGTTTGTAATGTTCAATTTGTTCACATTTAAATAAGTCGTGCTGTGAATTATAATTATCAAACAACGTCATCTGTTACACTAAAACATACCGGTACTTATCATGCGCATGTAAAAATGTATAGATAAATAAATTTTGAGGGTTTCGTGGTAAATTGGTCAATCTGGAAAACCGTGTCTAGTAAAATAAGTATGAGTTTAAAAAGTACTCGTAAACCGAATGTATCTATAAAAAACCAGAAAATTAAATTAAAAATATTCTGGTTGTACTCGTATGTAGTATTACTACTCGTATGTAGTAGTATACGGTATACGTATATCACTAATAAACAATGGTCGAACTACGCCGTCTGATACGGCACGTGTTTATGTTTCAACATAAACTATATCAAATACAACAAAGTTTAATTTGTAGTTATTAGAACTGAGTCTGCCCAACACTCGGTCCGTAAAATCGTGTCAGCGGCGGCTGTTGGGAAGATTTTAAAAGTACTTATTTGAACAGGTGTAAGTAGCAAGAGTTGGCAACTTGCATCTGCTTATTTTTCATTTAAAACGAAACAGCAATGAAGACTTCGACGACGTCGCCTATATCTGCTGAAACTAATGAGATGATAACAATGATAGGACGAAAACGTTAACTGTTAAGATATGATATCAATAATCGCAAGAGAAATGCTTTCTCAATATAACACAACAATTGTGTGATATATTATATTACTTTTATAAATAATTTTTAACATTAATCAACGTTAACTGATGAAAGTCATCATTATATGTGGCATTTCTTGCAGCCTGGGAGTTAGGAACGGGATAGATTCACGATTCATTTATTATAACTTCACAAATCATTTCATTTTCATATTATATAAGAGATAAATAATTTAATTAATGTAAAATATACTTCTAACATTCGCCAAAATATTTTCACCTATCGATTTTTTTTGACCAATTATGTTTTTTGATATTATTATTGATATCTATAATCTTAATTACTATACAAAAATGATATAATACTATCTTGCTATATTATTTGAAAGAAGTAATTGATTGAGAAAAAAGTCATTTAAACCATTTTATAATATATTATATAAACTTCTAAAATTCTCCAAACATAAGATTTTCCAAAAATGACACCTTGTTGCTGTAGTTGAAAACCTGAATATACATTGTTTTCTAAATAATCTTTGCCACCTCTTTGTATCCAATTAGGATTTATTACTAATAATTACAATCACTGGAAACAGACTGTCAAAATTTCAGTCCTTTATGTTCAGCTATTTCGCTGGGCGGGGACGGATCAGTCAGGACTAGCAACTTTATATTTCAGAAGTATTGTCTTATTACTGATTATTTAAAAAATCTCGTGTTATAAGAATTTTAAAATATAATTATATTATATTTTTACCGAAATTGAACTTGATCGGCGACGAAGACGTAGTTTAGTGAATACATCGCCGCGAGCAGGTTGGGGACGCACAGCAGGAACAGGGCGTAGCGCTGGTACAGCCCGAAGTGACCCAGCTCAGTCAGAGCAAGCTCTAGAGCTTCATTTGAGTCTGGTGCTGCCTTCCCTTTCGTTGATTCAACGCTTTTTCTACTTGTTTCTCCGTCGTTCATTACAAAAGTGTCCTTTCTCGAATTATTCGTGTTGTTCATTATATCCATTTTATATTTAGGTAATAAATAAAATTAATTTTTTATTACTACTCGATTTTTATGATATCTGCATCATTATCCTCGAACTTCTCAATTTTTATATTCACTACATTATGCACAACAACTATTTTTTATTTTGAAACAGCCATAATTTCTCCTGTTATCCACTAATTCACAAAGAAACTTCTTTTAAGTCACGTTTATATTAAATATTTTTCCATTAATCTGGACCCAAGCCGCGATAGAAAGTGTCAAGAGCGGCGCAGGCGACTGCTTTCGGCACATCACACCTAACACTGACGTCGGCTGACGACGCAGGTGCGAGACAAGTTCGCTGCATCGGTTTTGATGTATTGCTTCTGATAACACCAACTTATATTAGCATTGTAAAAAGATCTTTGGAAGATCGATGAGCATCTAGATGAATAGTATAAATGTAAACATATACATATGTATGATATGATTACTTTTATAGTACGAACATTATTATAATAGGGTATATATTACATAATTGATGTATATAATTATATAATTGATTAAAATAACTGCTGGACAGATTTCGATAAAATTTCGCAAAGAGATAAATAGGAGATAAATTGCGGACATAATAAAATATAAACATATAATAATAAAAACAAGAAGGCTTTGATCCCCACCCCACTTAATACGCGAGCGGAGCCGCGGGCAAAATCTAACCAATACATATTATAAAACAAAGTCCCCCACCGCATCTGTTTGTCTGTCAGTGTGTCTAAACGCGACGAACTGAAAACCTACAAAACAGATTTTTATATGGTTTTCACTTTTCAATAATGGACGGAGTGATTCATGAGCAAGGTTTTGATTGTTGAAGATATCGTAAAAAATCCTGTCAACTTGCCAGTCGAGCTGCACAAGCGCAAAATTAATTTACTAAATTTTAAAACCTAAGTAAATTTAAATTTTTTAACCAAATGTAAATTGTTGATAGCAAAGTGAAAAATAACAATTTTTTAAACGTTTGAATTTTAATTTTTTGCAAGCGGCTCTTGAATTTTTTCCTTGGTGCAGTGCAGTGGGATTTTAATAATATTGTGGGAAATATTATATTAATATTTTCAGGAGGGGGAATTCTTAATTATTTATTTATTTTGAGATAAAATTAAGAATTACTTTGAAAGGCGGCAAGCGCCTGTTGAGCAAAATATTGCATGACTTTTATAATGTTTTGTATATCTTTCACTTCAGGCGCTATTTTATTAAATACTTCAATTTTTTAATTGAAACACATTTCTTTATCTATGCTTACATTATATAGAGAAACACATTGCTCTCCTTTGCGTCGCGCAGTCAGGTAATAAATGAGCTTTTTTGTATGTTTGTTTGTAATGGATATAGGTACAGAAAATCCGCTGAATCAATTTAAATAAGGTATGAAGATAGTTTGAGACCCTGGAAAGGACAAAGGATAATTTTTATCCCGAAAATCATCCCTTAAGGGGTGAAAAGGGTGATGAAAGTTTGTATGGGGAATCAATCATTTCTCAAGTAAGGGATTTATTTATTTATTTATGTTTAGTGGTCCACAAAACAAATGACAATCACATACATATAAAATAAGAATAGCTTGCAAAATTAATGCACAAGATTGCATTTTTCTAGATGCAGACACATCATGCATATACAACAAAACTTAATATTACAAAAAACAAGATTTAAACTACGGTAACAATGAGGAACGGCTTTTATCTACTAACAATAAAGAAAAATCTTAAAAAAATATATATGAATTACAGCTATTAAACTAAACAATTTGCTTTAATTTTTTACGTAAATAGGCTATAGAGGTATTATTAAAAATATCTAATTTAAAACGAATAGTATCATACGCTGAACACATGCGGAATAAGGGCGAGTGGCTTATTACATTAGTTCTCGCGTTGGGAAGACAAAATGTCTTACGATTTTGTAGACGACTACTAGGACGTGGTATACAAAAGTTCAGTCGTTGTAAAAGATCAGGTGAGTCAATATACCCATGAATTAGCTTATACAAAAAAAGGGATATAAAACTCATCATACCTATGTATGTATGTATACTATATATATTATCAGAGATGAGCTAATATTTTCCCGCAGTAAAAAGTATCGTATATGTTGACCCGGATATCATCATATTAAATTTTATCAAAATTTGTCCAGTACTTTTCTCGTGATGTGGTAACAGACAGACAGACAGACAAAAAATCTAAAATCTATAGATTCGGCCTCTGTATCGATAATAATAATATGTATCGATATATAATGTATCGATGATAAATGACTATTTCAATAAGATTTTCCAAAAAATATTTAATGTACAGATTCGACTCGATTAGAATTTTATTATACATAGATGTAGCCTTAAATATTAACCTAAAACGTACTAAATAGTCATTAGTATTGAATAAAATTTCACTGATTTTTCTTTATCTATCAAAGATGTCAACGACTTTAATTATTGATTTGGGTAATAAATGAACTCATGAAAGATTCATGTATTTTTATCCGTGTATTTATTTCTGTCGTGGCATACATGTAGGTGATGTATTTATATCTGAGTGTGGTCACCACGTGCGTGCTCGTACACATCTACCTGTGTACGTACGATGTACATACATCGTCAGTCCCATCTCATGATAACTGTTAAGTCGAAAATTGATAGCCATTAACTGGAATAGTTACAATATTTTGTTTGTCTGCACATAGGTAGGTCAATAGTTACGTACAGCAACAGTGTCGGTGCGAGCAGTGCGCGCGCGCACGTGTCGTCGCTTCCGCGAGTGACGCCGCATATGGCATACCCGCTCTAACCCGCACTAAGCTCTATCCTCCGCACCGAGAGATCAATTTGAATCACTTGCGTCTATCAGTGAGCGGGTCAATTGTCAAGAAATCGCTTGCCGATCTCCTTTCGAAGCGATCCTGGTGCGGCCGGCATCGAGCATTGCGGCGCGGACCCTCCGGCCGGCGGGACGTGTTCGACACTCGGGGCTCTGTACTGAGAACAACAACACAGTTCACCGCAGATAGTTAAAGACTGAAACTTTCAAACCAATCTTATACATTGGCTATTATTTTTGGAACTGATAGATATACTTTTAAGTATACTACTTAATTTTGCACAAGAAAAAAGACAAGTGAAGGATGGACAAGGAATGCGTGGGCTGGGGGAGGTGGCAGGCGCGCATCGCGGGGTTGCTGGCGCTGCCCGTGCTGCTGACCGGCATGTACGGCACCAACTACGTGTTCCTCGCCGCGCGCACGCCACATAGGTCAGTCCGCTTAGGTTTTTTTATTGTATTTACTTTAAACGAGTAACACTTTTTGTCTTTTGCAGTTGTTACAAACCATAGTAAAATAAACGGATAATGGAACTGCGGTGAAATAAACAAGTTTGTCTAGTCATTTACATAAATATTCATGGCCCTTTATGTACAGATACACAATTTACAATTTCTAATGACAATATTTTAATGATAGACTTAATACTTAACAGAATAATTTTATTACATTCAAATTTATTCGTGTTAGTTAAAAATCTAATAGTATTTTTGAGTTTCTATCAATGCTGATGTAGATGAGTATGTAAACATCGGTAGAGTAAATTATGCGTTGCCAAAACTTTATGACCGAAAGCCAACGGTCGCGTGCAGGGCACAGACGCGCCTCGCGCGGAGTCTCGTTCACATCATCACATGACTGATTAATTTGCTTTTTTAATTCACCATTCGTATTCAGTCGGATGTCCGCGAGCTGAACACGCTGATGCCGCAAGTTGCGAGCCTGAGAGACTAACGCTAACAATGTCACTAATGTGGCATACATATACAATACACCTGCTCTAATATTATCGCAGCCCGTGCTGCGCCACCGACGAGTGGCTCAGCTAAGTATTGCTTGTCTATTAATAAAAAATGACTAAAGGCTTGAAGGTCCACGTTTGTTATCTCGGGAAGCTTGATCTTCAGATGCGCGTTGGAGGTGTCTGAAAGAAAATTCCACTAACTCGATGATTAACGATAGTTGCATTTTTAACAACATCAATCAAAATAAACTTAATTCAAATAGTCTTTTACAAATACTTTTCAATTGTCACTTTTAAATTTTCGAAATTTAAATTAAATGTACGTCCGTGAGGAATCTACAGCCCGCTCGGAAGGCATTTCTGCTGAAACGAGCCGGCTAGAAACTTAACAGTGGCTCTTTTAAAATAATATTTCTTTACAATATTGTTATTACAATAATTATCTACTTCCCCTACAGCCTTACCTTATCAATCAGACGTTTAAATCCACACATTGACATTTTCAAAGTATTCTGTGACGGTGTAATAAGCTTTATTCAATAATATATTTGACCGACTTCCAAAAAGGAGGAGGTTCTCAATTCGTCGGAATCTTTTTTTTATGTATGTTCACCGATTACTCGAAGACGCCTGAACCGATTTGGAAAAAAAAATTTTTGTTTCAAAGGGTACTACGAATATACTTCCCAGGTATATTCCCATACAAATTTTATCGATATCGGTTTTTAAAAAAATTAACAATAAATATATTTTTTAAATAAATTGTTTAATCGAATATGTTATTAAAAAACTTTCTTCTTACAAATTACCTGCTTATTACGTCTACACTAAAAATGGAAAAATAAAAACTTAAAAAAAAATTGAAACCGACTTCCAGGCACTAAAATGTAAAAAATAACTAAACGGAGGTTTTCATTTAGAATATATACCTAATCAGATATTTTTGAAGTCGGTGCCAGCCGATGCAAAGCAAATCTATACATATAATAAAATTGTAACTAAGTCGAATCTCTACATTTAATAATATTTTAAATGAAAACTTCCGTTTTGTTATTTTTTACATTTTAGTGCCTGGAAGTCGGTTTTTTAATTAAAAAAATATATTATTAAATAAAGCTTATTAAAAACTTTTTAACAAATAATAAATATAGGTTTAATATCCGCTGCATTACTCCACAACAAAATACAACAAAAAGAGATGCTATGGAAGTAACTAAAGTAAAGTCTAGTAGTATCAACATCTAGATATCAGGTGCCTGACTCTGAACTGACTGAGGAGCTCAGTCTACCCGCAAGGGATGATAGATGGAGATCCCACTGAAGACGTGAATCCGACGTTATTCTCAAGAAAACCGTGGTATCTATAGTATTCAGGATCTCATTATTTAAAACAGTGTAAAATTCTGCTTTCTTACATTAGGTAAACTGCATATACATATTTTGTCTTCTTTGCGTTAAAAGCGTTGTATATTATATGCTACTAAAGTAGCAAGGTTTTTCTTATAATAAGAACTCGCAATCGAGATAACTGTTATAGTTTACTTCAAGTATCGACAAGATATAAGATATGGTATCTAATTTAAATATTTGTGTTATTTCTATATTATGCGTGGTACTCCTCGTAATATTATTCTCATTACTAACTCCATGTTTTAAATGGACAATGGAAACTTTCGTTATTTGCGGATGTTTGTAATAGGTACGTACTACGTATTTAAACGTTTTGACATAAAAATACGGTTTGTCAAGTTTTACTACTAACACTTTACACACTTACAACAAGATCTCTTTAGAAGCAAACACACATACGTCAGCATGAAACATATAATTGAGGTCTGCGGAGCTGCCGACGGGGCATTGGCTTCATCAATAGTACGAGCGTAAGCGGTGCGAGCCAAATTGTCTCCAAGAACGCATCGCGCGCTTTGTGTGGGCGCGAACGAACGATATAGCAATGAGTAATAGTATGATCTAACTCTAGTTTTTAACTATCATTGTTAAATGTTAAAAAATAATAACGATAAATTTCTCAACTCAAACCAATTACCTGTATAATGTAATTTTAATATAATTTCGAACGAAGTGGAAATTAGCATGTAATCTCGTAAGTAATAACTAATTGAAACTTCATAGCTAAATTAGTATAATTTAATTGTATAATTACGATAAAATTAAAATGTATCTGAACTTAAGTAATTATACTGTAGCTGTAATTACCGATATTAAATGCCTACCTACTTGTGCTACCTTCGAATGTGATCTGCGGTCTTTAAACTAAACATCAGCCGGGCTCGTTGCCACGTAAAACTCTTGCAAGTAAATGAACCAAAATTTTCCTACTTAGAGCTTTCATTGACACAAATTGTAATTTTATTCGTTTCAAGTCCCTCTACAATCTCGTTTCCACGTCATAATGAAGTGTTACATTTTATTAACACCTCCAGGTAAATTTCTAAGAAATTAATTTAATTTCTAAGAAATCTATTGTTAACTGTAACGCCGGCGCGTCCGCGGTCGTGGAGGGATTAAATAAAATATTTGATACTCGTATCATAGAGTATGACAAAATTGAAAAAAAATTACATAACAACAAACAACAACAGTAAAATCGTAGCATTTGTGTATTCAATGCCTCGCGCACCTTCATTGTTTTTTTTATTTTCAACTGAATAAACAATCACTTTAATAAAGCACCATAAAAAACCAACATTAACCAAACAAACAACAGAAATCATTTAGGTATTTATTTACTTGCTTGCGCGCGGAGCGGAGCACGTGGAGTTATTATGAATTAGCATAATGAATATAATATGTTGTTTTGATCGTGGCAATGTTGAAAAAATAAGTTGAATCGGTCTTACATAGGACTTCTTATTAAGTTTAAGGTCATTCAAAATATTGTTTAAAAGTTTGTATTGGCTTGATATTAAAAAAGAAATTTCTATTTAATTATCATGAGTTCGTGTAGAAAAGCATAGAACAAGCCACCAACAATATTGGCCAAAAAATATTTTCCATGTAAACTGTAACATGTGGTTACCGTTATATTTCTTTCAAAAACAATCAATATTGCAGGCAACAGTAATATAATATACATTTTATCTATCCAGATTAAATACTGTAAGCAAAGTATATTATAACACAAGTACGGCGTGGGCGGTGCGTGCTCACGCGTGGGCACTGGGTAGTTTGTACTAAACGGACACAATATAACCGCTACCAGGTCACATTCCGCGCTCTGATTATCATACTTTGTACGCTTGTCAATAATAGATATCTTACATAAAAAATGTTTGAAACAATAACTAATTATGTGCCGTCAGTCCCATAAACAACGGTCAAGAGTGCGTCGGACCCTCGCATAGAGGGTTCTGTATCACACATTATGTACCGATATAGTGTAGTGGTTTAAAGGTTTACCGCGAGTCTAGATTTAGCAGGTCTTATTATGGTATAAGTTGTGTTTAGGGATCACAATATATGTAAACATACCGAGTTTGACATTTGAATGTAAATTTAAAAAAACGCCCTTAAAACTTATATATCTGGTGTCGTCTATCGTCGTTCATCTAAAGTTTTTGCTATATCTGTATTTTTAGCTATCCTGTGTCTGGACTGACACATATTCAGCAAGAATATGAAAAAAACAACTTTAAGTTTACGCAATGCAACGGTTAGGTTTACGAAAAAATGAACAAACAATGAATGAATTTTGTTATATTTCATAGTGTAGTGTCATTGCCGCTTAAAGAAAATTTTGAATTGTGTTCCATTGATTATTTCAAAACATGTGCATATAGGTGTAGATAATTCGATACAAACCTTGGTATCCCTTTAAGGGTTGAATTTTAAAAAGTCCCTTCCGGTTATCAGGTTTCAACGTCTCGATGGTTTAGTCTGGGCGATGACGCATCAGTAAAACAAGATACATGTTATACATTTAAGAATGTGGCAATGCACAGTAGGTACGATGCACAGTTGACATTAAAAGACATTGTATTCAATTTAATGCGAATCGCATCATCATTCTATAAATATTTATACAGCTATTTACATAAGTTTCCATTATATGAGAAAACTCGGAGAACCACAGCTCTTGTCACGCGGCGGCAGGCCAGGGGCGACCGTTGACGTTCTCAAATACTTGCATCTACTTGGTATACTCGAAGTGCCCGAAGTCGGTGAAGGTATTTGACGTGTTTAAAGGATATTATTATAAACTCCAAATACCCAATGGACAAGTGAATATACAACGCGATTAACAATTTAATAATAATCATACAAGTATCGCTACAGTTTTCGTCTTATTCCCAAATTATTTAGTTCCACAGCAATAAAAAATACGCTATAAAATACTTCAAAACTTCACTTAAGCAGCTGTTATAATAATAATGATAATAATATTAATACCGTATGTAAACAAGTATGGATTATCAAAATAGCCGGCTTCAGCACCGACCCGGTAACCCGCATGCGCGTGTCGCATAGTACACTCATTGGCTCTTATCACTGATAAGAGGGCGGGCCAACTCAAGCGTGTTATTTATGTGAGAAAAACGAGATGGCTGTCACGTTGCTAATAATGAAATTCTTTTACGAATTCCTATCATATCGTGGTATTATTTATGTTCGTTGAATGGCGAAAAGATACAAAGTGGAGTCTTTGGGGCAAGTTTATAGTCTGGTCCATAATGTAGTACAATAAGTAGTAGGTAAGTATTACAAAAATATAGTTTTTAGTATGCATGTTGGTGTTCATGTGGTTTGATTTCCGGCGTCTGCTCACAATAACTTAGCATAAAAAATATGCGACAAGTCCGAGTCTAAACCGCATACCAAGCCACTAAATAAAATTGCTTTAATTAGATATTTTTTATAGAATAGCACTAAAATATATGGATGCTGTAAAGCATTCGAAACGTCGGGAACCAAAAATCAAAATAAATCCGCGAAATAATCCGAAAAGATAGTTTTATTTAAAATAAAATATTTACGTAAGCACAATAGTCATTTTATCGAATGCAAGAATATGTAAAATGAAGATTTTGTTTTAAATATTAAATAATTTGGTACATACATTTAATAAACGTCAAACCAGAGGTTATTATGGGGCCCTCTCGGGCCGAGGGCCCTCGGCATAGCCAGCCTTGTCACCCTCTTATTGCGCCACTGGGCATTCTATTTGCAGAAAATACATATTGTAAGTATATGTACTTATTCAAGTATGTAAAGCACACTTAAACCACTTTATCAATGTAGTCCATCTTGTGACATAAATTATAACACTCTTTTAAATAAACAAATATTAAATATGGACATAAACTCTTCATTTGCTGTATCAGTTGATATTGTCAGCAACAAAACACGAAATTGTTTTCCGTTACGGGACAAATACTTTGTGTGAGCCATTCATGTATTATATACACGTTTTTAAATGCGGAGAAATGAAAATAGGTCTATCACAAACAAGTTTTAGAGGTTTTAGATCACCTTACTATATGTATATTGTAAGTGATTTTTAGTACACGTGAACATGTATGTTTAACAGATTAGGTGTTTCTTTTTTAAGTGCTCAATGAAATTTTTAAATCATGGCAAAAATATGATAAGTACATAATGTACTTATAAAATTATCTAAGCAAATGGCTTGTCACTTGCAAATACGTTGCTGTACAAGAAGGTGTGCGCCGGCGCCGGCGGGGAGCGGCCGCCACTCTCACTCACGTGACGCCCGCAGCATGTGCTCTGTGCGTGAATGTAAACCAAAATAAGAAGTATGCGGAGCGGTGACCGGCCGCGCCGCGAGCCGGCCACGCTGTAGCCTACATATATCTTGAATTATATTAAAATTACTTAGAATCTACTACTAATACGTATGTTCTCAAATTTACACTTTTTTAACATAATATAAAAAATCAATAGATGTAACTGAAGCAAATAGGAAAAGGCAACCCTACACCGCCGCCTCCACGTGTTAGTCTCGTGTGGCTTGCGGCGAGCGGCTTTCGATACCAGCTTATCTTACGAATACTGGCCAGGCGTGCCACAACGCTATAGTACACTATACAGTATACAATAGATGACACTGGGAATGTGCTTTAAATGTAAAATGCTTTATGAAATGCAATATATATGTACTTATGAGCTCAAGTAATTCTACTAGTCATTTCAGCATCTACCTTTTCACACAGGTAGTATGTACGGGTACATTTATAATCATCTTAACGTTAGGTTGAAGTTTATTCCCGACGCGATGTAGTTCATAATAGTCTGGCGTGATTTTTATATATTAATTACCTAATTACGTATGTGTACTATTTAATTTATAGGAAAATTTTTGGGTAAAGTAAAAATGAATGATTCAATCTGTATAAATTAGTTACGGCGTCTGCGTCGCCACTTAAATTTTCATGTAAAAAATACTAAGAAGATTTTTTGTCAGTTATATGTTTTTGTTAGATAAGTATCGCTGTTAAATTGGACAGGACTTGGCCTTAAACGTTCTGTCGCGAGTCGCGGCGCGTTCAGCGCTATCAGTAAATGAACTCAATCGTATAAACTTTCGCAATATCTATAAATATTTTAAAACGCTATAAAATAAGTAGATATAAACATAATATTAGGCTTGCTTATCTCATGTTACATACAATTTTTTGTTTACAAAATTGGGATTTATGAAAATATCACACAAAACTTTTTCACTATGTTTTGAAAGACTTGTAAACTAAGATAAGATATATCGCACAATTCAATTGTTTTTAATTCCGTATATTATTTTTATAAAATTTATAATTATCATTTATTATATTTTTATCACTTATTTTATTATTATTGTTATTAGAATGACTCACAGCACTGGTGTTTAGTGGCGATGTTATCATATACTTAATATATATTTTATCTCTTACACCAAGAGGATACAGTGATATCAGATACATTCTATTTACTCGCTCTCGGTCAAGGAGCGGACGTCTTTCGGCCGAGACAGATGACGAGACGACTTGTTTACTGAAAGTTAAGACTCTATCACCACTCTACCACTTCGAAAAGCTAATGCCTTGGTACTAATAAGAACGAGCTAAAGAAATTAAACAGTCTTTGTCAGAGAAATATGTGGTAGTCATCTAGGTGTCGGCTAGGTCACTTGAAAAATTGAACTCAAGACCTCTATGATACACCTCTACAGCTCGAGCGTCAACTGACCGTTATCTTAAATATAGTTTCAGTTGATCATCCTCGATGACTGCCGTTGACGACTGCGAATAAGTAATATTTGGGTGAGCCAGTATGCGGAAGTGGACGGGCACGTTGTTATATTTTCTGGCAGAGAATATTTTAAATATTCTATTTCTAGAATATGCTTTTATTAATATAACTACGTCTTTAATATTATTACCATTTGCTAATAGGGTGAAGAAAATATGACGACGAGACCTGCGTGTTTGAGATAACCAAACTACTTGTCAAAAGACGTGTGAAGTCCGTCAAGTGCTAGCTCACATTAGTGGGGTTATAAATGTAGGCCATTACTCGGACCTCTCCTCGCATTAGAAGGGCAGAATTATTTTTATTTAATACTTTCTTAGATTTACGCGAATATTTGATATTTTAAATAAAACTATCGTTTCGGATTATTTCGTGGATTTATTTAGATTTTTGGTTCCCGACATTTCGAATGCTTTACAGCAATCATGGCCAATTGGTCACGGAAGGTATTTATTAGTAAATATAAATATATTTATATTAATTTAATTATAACTAAACGAACCAGACTACCTCGATATGTAGTTTAGTGCATCTTCTTTTTGTAGGTTCTGTTAATAGAACTAATTTTAGTAGAAAAAAAAACAACTAATCCTGCTGTAAAAGGTATTTTGAGCTTCACCCAGATTACTTTTATATTCAATGAAAAGTTAGTAATACAGTACAGATGTATTTATATTTTATAGTAACGAAAAATATGTACAATAAGCGTTAATGTTTAGTGACGAGACTTTGATATGTGTGATGTACAAGATGGTTTTGTTTGTTTGTTCGCACTAAGACTCATGAAACAAATATTTTCTCAGATTTACGCAAATATTCGATATTTTAAATAAAACTTTTTCCCTGCCCATTTCCCAATCACTTGGGGTCGGCGCAGTACATCTTCTGTACTGCTGCAAGGATTTGGCAACAGATTTACGACCGGCCGCCTGCCTGACGTCAACCCTCCTTGGGAAATAAAACTATAATATCTTTTTAGCTTTTTTTCGCAGATTCGCTTTACAGTTTTCGGAAAATTTTGAATCGTCAATTTTACATTTTAAATTAAAATTAAATGTCAGTGTAGTCAGTCCGTGAAGAATCTACCACCAGCTCGGAATGCAGTTTTAATGCTAAAGATGCAGTTTTAATGCAGTTTCATTTACAATGCCATGAAACAAAATTGAATAACATTGTCGTTAACTCTTTATTAATCGTGGTATAGAAATAAATTTACTCAAGAAGTAAAGACGAATTTCAATTTTCAAAGCACATATTTACGAATGTAATTTATATGCATATTAGTTAATATCGGTAATCAGTTCATTAAGTTAATATATTCAATATTTGTGAAGTGCCGGACGGAAGTCCACGGAATTACACAGATAAAAGATCGTTTCACATTTAATTTGTATCTTTATTAACGGACAAACTAATAGATAAAAATTTATACTTATAGCCGACATGTTGTGTGTACAAAGTAGTTTATTCGGTCAAGTATTCTATACATTCTAAAAAACTTTAACGGTAACTGCTTCGGTGGTATGGTGGCTAGCATGTAGGGCTGCACACCCGGAGGTCCTAGGTTCGAGTCCCGGGTCGGGCTAGGTTTAGTTATTGAGTCTTTCTGTAAGCCTCAGTAACCGCCCGGAGTTGGGAAGTTGGCAGTGTTTCACCCCCGTGCCTCGGAGAGCACGTAAAGCCGTCGGTCCTGCGCCGACACTCTCACCGGTTGTGTCGAGCAGTCGTCCCACCGGAGTATGAGAGTGACAGGAATAGAGAGTGCACGTTGTGTCTGCGCGTACACGCGCTGCACTATAATATCTCCTGCGCAGTTGGCTAGTCTCAATGAGATTGACCGCCGTGGCCGGAATCGGTCAGGAGAACATTATTACATTCTAAAATCTAAGTACTATAACCACTTAAATAATACAACACAAACATCTTGAACTTTAATCAAAACCTCTTAAAGTATCAATTCTATCAGTTTTTGTTTATTTATAACTGAGATATTGTAAAAGTTCCTGTCCTTTGGCCCTGATTAATTCCATTGAGGCGGTTCCGAGCGAGTGCGCGTGAGTTTTTGTGAGATCCTGCGCGAGCCGCGTGGAACCGCTATGTATTTTAATCACCTACTGTACTTTCACCGTTCGCTGTCCTTGAAATTTGATGAAAAAAGCTGCTTATATTTTTTGTAACTAGCGGCCAGGCCACGTGGTTTTTGATTGCAGTCTTGAATACAAATTTTATAATGACAATTACTAGGAGCATATTTAAGGTTTGCGAAGCTTGTGAGTGTCACAGTACGATGGCGACTACGTAAATAAATGACATTTTATAGATTGACTAGCTTTGCCCGAGGCTCCGCCCGCGGTCAGATGACCAAAAACCAAATTCTTAGGTTTACATATTAGTACACATACTCTTACATTGCAGTTTTAGTATTTTTTCTCAGAAATGAGACATTTTCCCGCGATAAAAACTATCCTATATGTCGACCCGGATAACCAGCTATCACCATACCAAATTTCATCAAAATCCCTCCAATGGTTTTTCTGTGATGCGGTAACAGACAGACAGACAGACAGACAGAGAAAAAATCTAAAAACTATAGATTCGGCCTCTGTATCGATAATAATGGTTATTTCAATAAGATTTTCCAAAAAATATTTAATGTACAGATTCGGCTTTGTTACAATTTTATTAGGTACATGTATAGACGTTAAAAATGTCTGCGGAAATTAAGTTGTCAGACTCTTACAATTATTTATTACCGCTATGTTTCCTGTACTGATATACTTGTATAAAGCCGCTTCTTTATATGTTAACGTTTGTATAAAAATAAGAAACGAGGGTTTAGTCAGCATTAAATTTATGTTGTCGTAGCTTTGCCGTGAGTGAAGCTTGCGCTCTCGGCGCTCGAGCAGTGTAGAGTCCGATGTTCGAAACAAATATTTTGACGTAATAATGTTATATCATACTTGTGACTTACCCTCGCTTCGGTCGGGAGCGTACGTTTCAAATTTTTTGAACGGAACCCTAATTCATCTATACTATAATAAAACAGTAGAAGTCGAATGTCTGTACATAGCAAAAAAATGCTAAAAACCGAGCCAGGGGGATGTAAGAAGACAAATGGAACAAATCCAGATTTATTTCAAATTTTTGTTTCTCTGTCTGTTTGTCTGTTTGTACGGGCTAATCTCCGAATCTATTGGACCGATTTAAATGAAATGAGAGATTTAAATGGAATAAATTTTTCATGGTGGTACCTTATATCCCCGGGCAATATCTGAGATACTTTTTATCCAGGAAACTTAAATAGTTCCCGTTGGATAGTTAAAAAACTATAATAACTTATACAACTTAGTACATAACAACTGATGCACCTATTTAGTAAAATTTAACATTCTGATACCTTATATTACCGGTCAAACAACAGGTTACTTTTCATCCCGGGAAAATGAACGGTTCCCGTGGGAACTAATAGATCTCTATTAGCGTTTTTCTAAAATAAAGGTAGACTAAGTTACTCGTTATAACATCAGCTATCTCGTAAACCGCGATCGTCCAGTCCAGTAGTTAGACAGTTAGTTTATTTATAGCGCTCTAGGAATATTTTTAATATACCTGTTTAGGGCGGCGCGCCGCGCTGCCCAATTACGTACTCATAACGACTTAAATGCCATTTCAACTTCATGTTCTTAAGATTACGTTAGCTTTCTATTTATAAGCATTAACTGTTATTTATGTCTACAGTTAAACATTTTTACTGTCAGCTTATTCACAGATGACATAATACTATACTAGATGGGTAATTAATTTTTATTACTTTACTCAGCATTTACACGGAAGCAACGGTTCTACATGACTGACGTTTTCCATTAAGATTAATTCGGCTGGAGAGTGACATATGTTATCCCGTATCCAACCTTTTTTTTCTGCCATAAGTAGTAAATTAAAGCCACGATTTAATTCATTCATCAAATTACGAGACACCCGTATTGCAGCTAGAAGCCTAACGAGTGACAGACTGAAGAGTAGGCGGTAGAGCAATAACACTTCAATAACTAAACTTAGTCCGACCTGGGATTCGAACCCAGGACCTCCGGATGTGCAGCCGTACATGCTAGCCATTACACCGCCGAGGTAGTTTAAGTATGTACTAGGCTAGTAAAACGGTTTTATCAGTTTTCACTCGTTTTTCTTTTTTTCAACTTATTACATTCCAAGGTCTCATCAAACACACGTTCAACTTATAAGTTATATGAATACCTACATACGTATTTAAGCTATAAATAATACACCAGATTTGTAAACAAAGTTTTTGTCCACAACTATACGTTATGTAAGCACATTAACATATCTCATGTACGACTTAGCTTAATGGCGGCTGGCGCGCTGCGGAGCGCCAGATGTGTTTTAATTGAGGGAGCGGCGACTACCGAATAAGTCATTAATTTATTATACAAGAAAAAAACCAAAGACACTTGGTATAAGTGTGACGTACGCGTACTTCAAGTGTTATTTAAACAGTATATACTTTGTTTATTTTTAAATTTAAGGACCTACGCTGTAAATTGTTTTTTGTCGCTATTTATTTGCATATTAAATATGTTGGGAAAAACGAGTTTTTAGTGGTTTAAAGGAAGACTGGCAATAACTGTAGAGGTACGCATTGTGTATATGGCAAAATATAAGTTGTGGAATAAAAAATCTGTCAAGTGCGAGTCGAATTCGCACACGAAGGGTTTCGTACCATCGTAAATGTACTTTTCATTATTATGACTTTCACTCTACATATGTATGTAGTAAATTAACTTCGATGATCGATTACGGACGTTAAAAAAATGTTTCTTGTATTTTTATTTTTATTTAATTTTATTATTTGTTCTTACTGCAAAAATAGAAATATATACTTCGTGAAAATTCAACTCTCTAGCTAATACGGTTCATGAAATACAGTCAGTAAAAAATAAATATCTTAGGTACTTAAGTATTTTAGTAGGTATGTCTTAGGTTTAAATGAGAGACTTGAATAAGTCAAATTATAAAAATATGCTACACCCCCGACATAAATTATTATACACATATCGACAATCGACACTGTATTGTGTAAGTACACCTACGAGCGTTTGTAAATTGTACTTGGACGTACTCGTACATGTGTTGATGCGATACGAAAACAAAATGAGCCGGTTTGTAAATGACTAATTTTATTTCCAGTTTGAAACAAGTCTTTAGTGTACAAACTACAAATTGTACTAAATATATAAGAGTATGCGAATGATGCGTAATACACTCAACGCTTTAGGTCTTGATAGCGGTTTCGCTGCATTTGTTTATGGTTATTTGTACATTTATTTGATTACGGTGACTACTTTAAACAAATATATTTACATACCCTCTGTTTACTCATTTTAAATAAATGATGGATTGGAGATTGGGGGAGTGGGGGAGTTGGGGATTCGGGGAATGGAGGAGTCGGGGTGATAGCGAGGGGTGTTCTACGGATGGCAATTTGACACAAGTGTAGAGCCGGCGACATTTCCTTACTTTGAATTATGAGATACCATCTTTAAATGCTTAAACCTTAGCTCAGAAGTTAAAGAAAAAATATAAAATATGAAAAAATAAATCAGTAACTCTTGCAATATTACTATATGTACATATCATTTTAATTATTGTACCTAAACATTACAATTGATAATTTAAATTTATTGTAAGTTGTAAACCTTAACAGAGTTGTTATGTATTTGTTTTTAATACAAAGGTTGTTAAATATTTTTTACTTGACATATGTTTGTTTTAATTAAAAATACACGTAGACAGTAGTGCAGCCCAAATCCTCAGTTTTATGAATATTTTTCAGAAATATTAGAAGTAGTGCCCGGCAATCCACCGAGCGCGAAGCCAAGAAACGCACAGGGAGGTGGTCCACTTCGGTGGGCGGTGTATCATGCGGGCTGCTCCTGGTACTTCTCTGATAGCAGAGTGGACCTTGGAGCAACCCCGTGGTAGTTGTGGTCTGCTTCGGCAGACCTGCCGTCGGGGCGTCGTAGGTGAATACGTAAGCGATCCTGCGACGCCCCATTAAGACGGGGGAAGGTTTTGTTGGGTTTTAGTGGGTAGTACTGGCTTTGCCGGTGAGTCCCACACCTCGTGCGTAAATGCATTTCCCAACGTTAAAAAAAAGACCAAGTAAAGTTCGGTGTAATGGCACACAGTTTTTATTATTTCGTACAGATTCAGAGTAACGTCTCAAATAACGTTACGAAAAGGGATGACGTATTTCATTACTTCATAAAACAAAACACAATGCTTTTCCCGCCTTTCTTCCACTCAAGTTGACAACTTAAGGAAACTCAAATAAGTATTTTATATCAGAATGACAACTTATAGATTCTAATATAATTATTTTATATTTATACATACACTATTTTTATATAGTTATTAATTTATGTATAATCTATATTATGTATTATTAAAGTGTAACAAACACCACGAGTACCTTGTATAGTAGTATAGTCAGCGTGCCACTGAGTCTGGGCTTTATTTAATTATTTATTAAATAGGAAGCCAACGTTGTGTGTATTCAGCCCTTTTTTAACGTCCCACTGCTAGGCACGGGCCTCCCTTCAATACGAGGGGGATCAGGCCATAGTCCACCATGCTGGCCAAGTGCGGGTTGGCGGACTTCACATGTCTTTCGAAAACTTGCTAAGTTCTCTAAGACATGCAGGTTTCCTCACGATGTTTTCTTTCACCGTTAAGACAAGTGGTAATCATGTTGGAAATGATTCGCACATGAAAATATCAGAGGTGCGAGACCCGGGATTTGAACTCGCTTCACTCGGTTTCCCAAGCGAGCTTAATAATTAATCCTTATTCTAGAGCACGCTCTTAAGTATCTATAATAGAAATTGTACATCTCACTTACATGCTAACTCAACATGTATAATGAATATATAAAGAACGGAAAATATAAAATTTATTTAACAATTAAAATTTAAATAAACAATATGAACTATAAAATATTCCAATGAAGAAAAAAAAACAACAAATCACGCATACAACATTAAAAACTATAAGAGCCAATTCTAAGTGGTGATTTTTTTTTAATTGTCTTATAAAAGATGAAGCGGATTGTTGGATAATATCTAAACCTGCTTTTATAAATACAATGTTATATGTAATGACTTCTATTTACAGGGCGGCCTTGCCAAAGTTACTCCTAGCAAATCGTTGTCTAAAAGTTTGCTTCTTTTTGATGTGACTTCTAGCATTATACCTTGGTACTGCTAATTCTACTCTATTTAACAAATTTGGATTATCGATACCACCATTTATTATTCTATGTAATAAACAAAGATCTATTAAGATTCTCTACAATAAAAAATATAAAGTAAGAATTTCTTTTGCATTCTTTCTATCCTGTCTTCATGTTATTGATTCTGAGAATTCCATACAACAGAACAATATTCAAGTCTGCTCCGTATCATCGAATTAAGCAGTGCTATTTTGGTTGAGGACCTTTTAAATTCTTTTGAAGCTCGTATAATAAAACCTAACAATTTCAGTGATTTTTTCATTATGTTATCTAAATGTGGTTTATAGCTTAATTTGCTATCTAAAATGATGTCGAGGTCACTGATTTAGCTGAATTTCTCCAGAACAGTCCCGTTAATACTGTATTCAAAGTTGACATTTTTTACTTTGCTACTGAATGTTATAATCTCATATTTTATAAATGAATTAGTTTTAAATTATTATAATCAAACCACACCGTCTATCTAAGTCTTGTTGTATATTTATAGAGTCATTGATGTGTTCTATCCGTACTTTAATATTATAAATGTGAAAGTATGTTTGTTTGTTTGTCCTTCTTTCACCTTGAAACGAAATGACGGATTGGCGTGATTTTTTGTGTGGAGATAATTGGAGCACTGGAGAGTGACATAAGCTACACTTTTTACCTCGAGAAATTATCTCACTCCCACGGGAAAACACGTTATAAAACACCCCAGAAAATATTTGTGATCAGAATTACTTGAAACTTGGTATTAATGTAAGGACACAACTTCAATACGATTAAATAAATACTTGTTTTAGAATTTTTCGAAATTCATCCCATAAGGGGGTAAAATAGGGCATGAAAGTTTGTCTGAAATCTACCTTTTTAGAGATTTTTTTTGTAGTTTTAGCGCGAGTGAAGCCGCGGGTCTCTAGTTCTTTTATATATTTTAAGATCATCAGCATATAGTTGCAATTGACAGTATTTGAAACACTTAACTATGTCATTTATAAAAAAAAACCAAACAATATCGGTTCAAGACGACGTTATTGCGACTTCAGGAGTACCACAGGGCTCCACCCTTGAAGTCGCAATAAATATTTGTGACTACGATAACCCTTGACAACTACATTTATTTTACGGTCTACCAAGTAACTTTCAAACCACTTAATAAGATTACCATTAACACCGTAGGTAGCCACTAAGTTAATTGAATAAAATATGGTGATCGACAACGTCAAATACTTTGGCCAAGTCTGTATAAATGCAGTCTATTTGTTCAGAATTATCCAATGCCATCAATAAATTATCAACAACTGTCGCCAAATTCGACATGGTGGATATTTTTTTTGACAAAACCATGTTGATTCTCTATCATTGCTGATTTCATGTGCCATATAAGCACCGAACAAATCAACGATTCAAATATTTTAAGAAAGACTGATAATATACAAATTGGCCTATATTTCGATATATCCTTTCTATCGCCGCTTTTAAATATAGGGACAACTTTCCATAAACATGGAAATCCGCCGACACACAGTGATTTATTAAATATTAAATACAAAGGCTTTGCCAGAAAAGCATCACAACGTTTAACAAATGTGGAGGGTTTATCATCTGGACTAGCCTCTTTATCTACATCAAGAAATTTTAATTTTTCAATTATATCCTACTGCAGGATCTTCATACTTGTCAATTCTGAATTGCGAAAAGACATTGGCGTAGTTTTAAACGATTGATGCGTTGTTAAATTTGGTGAAATGTATGCATTTAAGAAGTGGGTTGCGAATTGATTGCAGATATCAGATCCATTAGAAAGATCCAAAAGAAAGATATCAAATTGAATATCCTATACGCTTACTTTTCGTCTACAAATACTGGAAAGGTATAAACCGGCTACATGAAGGCAACGTTATTTTTATACTCATGGGACCAAGCAGGGTCTATAATTATAGCTTTGTGTTATACGAGTTTTTGCACTCCTTGAATTTTGTGACTCATATTTTATTTAATATTTAGATGGCTCACGAATGGAATGTCAATCTCTTTTTCGATCGCTCCAAAACTTCAATGCGATCTTACAAGCAGGTATTAAATTGTTAATCACAAGTACCCATCGTACTGCTGGCAGGAACAATCTGGACAATACAAAATTGTTATTTTCTGTATCCATTAAATACTAAGCTCAAATAAACGACATAAATTATTTTTTTGCAGATGCCATATCCCAGAATGCGAAGACAACAGTACTCTGTCGGGGCCAGTGTCCGACGAGGCGTGGTCTCCCGAGTGGTCTATTTGGGCTTTGCCACCGGATTCGGAGTGCCACCGGCGGCCTGCCCTGGACGGAGCTTGCATAGAGGGCGGCTTCGACAACACCACGAAACTCGACTGTGAGGACTTCGTGTATCAACATCACAGCAGTATCATGGCTGAGGTTGGTTTATATTATATTGTTACGTATATACTCGTATACATATGAGAAGTCTGAAGAAATAAAATTAAAAAACTAGTTCAGTAACTACAATTGCAATTAGTTTAATGTAGTGTAGTACGTAAATAAATAATTAATTAATCAAAAGCCATCATGTGGAATATTGGAAAGTTAGAATTGAATAATTTATACAATTTATCTTATAATGTAACGATTTTTAATCATGTAAAATATTTTAACTTCTACAGTTTGGCCTGGCTTGCCAAGAATGGAAAAGGACTTTAGTGGGTACGGTGCATAACGTTGGCATGCTGGTCTCGCTGCCCTTGATGGGATATGTCTCGGACAAGTCAGTTGTTTTATATTCTCATAATAAAAGTATACCTAATTATTCGAGTACATTGACTATCTGGGTGAACGACATGGTAATTGAATGTAATAATACTTCTTATATGCAAATGTAGTGCTGATGTTATTAGTTTTAGAGTCACGGCTGGCATGGTAATTATTCCGTCTATTTAGGACATGAAAATGTAAGTAGCTATTTTTATTCTAATGTGAATGACCTGGATCATAACAAGGCAATTATACTACACATAGATCCTATGTGTTACGAAAGAAATATCAATGCAAAATAGCTACACTGCTGTGTCTTAGGGCAAAATTTTCGTTGTACAAATATTAGATATTTTATGTACTTGTAATACGTAAATGCAGATCTACAAAAAAAAATATAAATTATATATGGTGATTTTGTGAGAATGTACAAATTTGGATTCACTTATCTTGAAATATATGTAACTATAATAAATTAATAAAAGCTACATGAAGCATAAAATCAAATCAGTGGGAAGAATAGAACTGATGTAATCCTAATAATTTAAAAAAATGCTGTAGGTACATATAAAAATTGCCTACTGATCGTGCATAGGCGTTTATTATGATTCATTCAATAGCCAAAAGCGGAAAGATGATAGTTAAATGCATTTCAATTGAAAGTCACCTTTACGGAGCGTCGTAGTATAAAATTGTTATATGGCTATGGCTGGCAATCGAGTCGCCAAAAATTATTCTGATTTAAAAAAGGAATGACATACTAGGTACTTCATGATTACAAAATCCACGTCGCACATCTTTGAGCAATAATTATAAAATTAGATTTATATCTTCATTTATTGTAAGAAAATTGTAATAGTCATATCACTTTAATTAAAAAGTCTTAATCCATGCTTCCAGGTACGGTCGTCGCGCGGCCCTGGTGACGAGCGGAGCGGGTGCGGGCTTCCTGGGCCTCTGCAAGTCTTTCTCCGGGTCCTACCCTGTATACTTAATGTTTGAGTTCTTGGAGACAGTGCTCGGCGCCAGCGTGTACCCAGCTGCTTTCGTACTTAGTAAGTATATGAATATTATTATATTTGATATAAGAGAGCGAGGACACGAAAACTATCTTGATCTTCGTCATCTGTTGTTGCATTTTTGGACGTTGATAATGTTTGAATAGAGATTCCTGTCGCCACGTTTTGATGATCATCGTTTGAGATCATGTTAAATTGGTATTGTATAATTAATATAAATTACTATCTTATCCCTACTCTCACTTATTCCGTATATCAAAATCAGCAAAGCCAACAACAATATTAGCACACTTTACTACTGCTACTTACCAGTAGTACAATGTGTTTCTCAAACGCTAATAAAAATAAAAGCTAATTATTAAAACATTGTTTATTGCTATAATAAAAATAAATATATTAAATTTTATAATTTCAGTGATCGAATGGTTGGGAGTGGAGCAGAGAATATTAGCAAGTTTGCTCCTTGGTATTCCTTTGTCTGCTGGTGCGGCGCTTCTCGCTCTTTTGGACTACTTCTCCGGGTACTGGCGTACGTGGGCTCGCCTCGCATACCCTCCTTCCTTCTTCCTTTTGCTATACCCCTGGATTTTACCAGAAAGTATAAGATGGCTCCTGGCCAATGGAAAAGTTACCGAAGCCGTCCGTGTCATAAAACAAGCAGCAAAAGCTAACAAAATTGTTATTCCTGAAGATACATTAGATAAGATGTTGTCAAAGGACCAAGTCACAGATAAAGTAGAGGTTATAGTTGAAGAGGAAAGTCTGTTTAGGGCTTTTATTAAGTAAGTAAAGATATTTAAATATATTAATGATATTACTTTTATGAATAAGGCGGTAATTTAAAAAAAATTATAATTGACCGATAAGTATGTGCCTCTTAAATAAAACTATATTTTCGGATTTTTGATATCTTATGATTATTAAAATCAACAAATATTATAAGTTACTTTAGTGCCATTTCTGAATTTTTTTAAATCATTTTGTAAAATTTTGGGTCGCTACTGTTTGTAACAAGTTTATAATGGTCTTTGAGATGTCTAAAACCGTCTCTCTCGTGACCAGGATTGCTGTAAAGCATTCGAAATATCGGGAACTAAGAAAAAAATGGCCTCCAGGCACTAAAATGTAAAAAATAACTAAACGGAGGTTTTCATTTAGAATAGATACCTAATCAGATATTTTCGAAGTCGGTGCCAGCCGATGAAAAGCAAATTTAATATATTTCAATACGTAAAATACATCACAAATTGATGTATAATATTTTAACTATAATAATAGAGTTAGAGAACGAATCGTGCGAAATTAATGAAATTTTAACAGTACAAAAACTCTAGATGTGTAAATCTTAGCTTTCCTGCAGTCATTTTTGGTTAGTTAACAAACGAATTAACCTTAGGAATGATAAATTCAAAAAAAAAAAGTAATAAGATGGCTAATTTTAAGTATTTTTCACCTCGCTGTCTTTGAAGGCCGATTTTAGCAAATGTAGCCTATTAAGTACTACTTTTTTTAATAATTATGAAAGTTGAGTGTCTGCAAAAACTTTTGAGACCTACTTAGGAACCATGATGTCACCTGTTTAAGTTTTATTTAATAATATTTGTAAACAAGAATCGCGAAAAAGTTTTGTACTTTTTTTTAACTTCTTTAAGTTGCTCAGTTTGAAAATTCTCAAAAATTGAGAAAAAAAATCATAACTCAAAAACTACGAACAATCGCGTAACATACCGTGAAATCTAAGAAAGTATTATCCCATATTAGTAATTAAGTTTTAATGATTACTTAAATTAATTAATCAAAGTGCCAATATTATGAAATTATTCAAAGTTCCTGTAGGATTTTTGAGTTCAAAATCAATCAATCAATAAGAAATGTGACCTATCATTTAACAACTTAGTATTGATTCGTTAACTTAGTCACTTATCATATGTTAAATCATTCAGATACGGCGCATTACGTCGGCGGCTATTGGTATGTTTTGCGTGGTGGGCATGCGCCGTGTTCGTGTTCTACGGGCTGGCGGTGCGCTCGCACGCGCTGGCGGGCTCGGCGCACGCCAACTACGCGCTGCTGGCGGCGGCCGAGCTACCTGCGCTGTTGCTCAACACGCTGCTGCTGGATCGCGCCGGCCGCCGCCCACTGCTCACCGCCGCCTTCCTGCTCACTGCCGTGGCTCTCATCGCTATACCTTGCCTGCCTGACCGTAAGTACTCATTATCATGTTTTACAAGCTGTTTAAAGTGATTTTATATATATCCGTCTGTTGGGTCAAAATTTTGATATGATTTATCAGCTTATAAAGGCAATTAACTGATTTTAATTTCCTACGTAATTAAAGAGCACTAAAAGGATAATAATACTTATGTGACGAGGTAAGCGAGTGATATTACACATGTAATAAAACAATAAGGTTATCGCATATTGGATTTATGGCGATAATTTTATTTATTCAAATGATTGGTCCACCTTCACCGGCTGCCAATATACATGCTCGTAGATTAATACTCGGTTATTTTGCTTATCGAGGATAATGATTGTACATAATAGAAAAAGCAAATTAATTTTTCATCTAAGATAGGACAAGGTTTATAGGAAGGTAGAATAAAAATAGTCTAACTCCAAATCATAAAATAATTTTTATTGTTGTTACTGCAAGATGACTGATTAATCACGAGTACAGATAGACTAGGGTATGCTCTAGGACACATTCATGTTAAATCACCGTAATTTAAAATCTTTTTAGTGACACCTACAGCGACACTTATCGAGTATAGCGTACCCGTAATACCCGTTTTTAAAATTTAGCAACCATTTTTTTAACGCGGGCAAAGAATACAAACGTGTCATAATGTAGGACTCCCGGCTAGAAAATCCAGTACTACCCACTAAAACTTAGATTTTAAATATTAATTTCAATTCATATTTTATAATCTCCACATTTGTCTCTAAGTTGTGAGGGAGAAGACAAATATTGAAAAATATCATGTCAAAGAATAAGTCAAAGAGCTTTGGTAATCTATACATATAATAAAATTGTAACTAAGTCGAACCTGTACATTAAATAATTTTTGGGAAATCTTATTGAAATAAACATTATTATCGACACAGAGGCCGAATCTATGGTTTTTAGAATTTTTGTCTGTCTGTGTCACAGAAAAACCACTGGAGGGATTTTGATGAAATTTGGTATAGTGATAGCTGGTTATCCGAGTCAACATATAGGATACTTTTTACCGCGGGAAAATATCTCACTTCTGAGAAAAATACAAAAACTGCAATCTAAGAGAATACTAATCTGTAAAATGTAAGAATTTGGTTTTTGGTCATCTAAACGCGGGCGGAGCCGCTGGCAATGCTAGTAAAATATAATGTTCTTAGAGACTTCGTCTACTTGTTTACTTATTACTTAGAGGTCGAATTTAAAAAATGCATTATGGTAGCTATCTATGATATTGATTTGTATATGTACCTACGCAGTAAACATAAAGAAACTAAGATTGAGTGTTTTAGTCTGCGCTGGTCTAGTTGATGAATCTAGTAGTTAACAGATATAATTTTAATATAGACAATACATAACTCAGAGACGAAGTGGCTGATCAATATAACTATCTTTACAGAAGACAGCGGCTTCGGCACGGCGCTCTTCCTAGCGGGCAAGATGGGCGCTACAATGGCGTTGAACGCGCTGTACGTGTACACGGCGGAGCTGTTCCCGACACGCGCGCGCCAGAGACTGCTGGCCGCCTGCTCAACCTGCGGCCGCGTCGGTGCCATACTAGCGCCGCAGACGCCTTTGCTGGTGAGTACTGAGGAAATGCTATGAAATATCTCTAAAAGCTTCAATAAGTTTACTAATTAACACTCCGATAGAGATCAATAACATGATTTTGCAACATGATTTTTATGGTACAAAATGTTTTAGTAATATGAGGTACTCTGTAAAAAATCATAATTTGTCGATCTGAATTAACAAAATAAATACATATTTCATATTTTTAAAGATATAGCTTACCAGGTGGCTCCGCTCATCCAAACTTACCTATGTGTCAATTCTTTTGTCGGTGAAGTTGACAACCACACCTATTCTTAACATTGAACTTGGCTCCCATTTGCACATTTATGTTTTGATGGGTTATATAATAGTCCTTACAGCGTGAAGTGTTACTTACACCATACACAAGTATGCACTGCTTCACAAATTCGCATTTATAATGTGTATAAATTAACATGGCTTTTTTAGTTTTACTAATGTTATTGTTTTTACAGGCGGCGTACGGCGCCTGGGTGCCAACCACCTTGCTGGGCGCCCTGCCGCTGGCGAGCGCGGCGCTGACGCGGCTGGTGCCGGACACGCTCGGCCGCCGCCTGCCGGACTCCTTCGCCGACCTGGACTCCTCCGCCTCCGCCGAGTCCGTCTCCACCACCGTCCCCTGACCGCCGCACTCGTCACATCCAAGGATCTCACGTAGAATAGTTATGCTAAGGACGTATTGGACGCTAAGCGACGAATTAAGTGTATAACACTATCACTAAGATACTGATAATGTACTCCGAATTAATATTTTTAAGAAACCATAAGATGTTGTTAAATATTTGAATAATGTTTCAAATATCAAGACAAAAGTATTAAGATTTTTTATCTCTTACACTTACGAGTTTAAACGAGGACGAGGACAACCATCAGCCTGTTAGCATGAGTTTCTTATTTATCTTTCAAATTATCATATTTATTTTATTTAATAATACCAGTCGTATTATTAAATAAAATAAATATGATACACATGCCAGGGAAAACTCAATAGAAATTATAATATCAATATATTAGGAACATTGACTTCTGGTTTTTTTAATATTATAAATTAATTCAATACGTTCAGAACAGCAGTTATTTTTGTTTAGTGTAAATAGTTGTTATTATACATAAAATTAGTGTAGATTTTATAATTTTTATAAAAAATAATAATACTAGATGTATGGAAACTAAGACCCAAGCTGTCTAAAATGACAATAAAATAACTTCGATAATATCGATAATATTTGCTCATTTATTCGTATCATTTATCTCCTCTTTCCCTCCCTATTTAAACTACTATTTCATTTAAAATGATTATTAGGATTTTATTTAATTTAAATGTTAATTTATAAATATATAAATACTTAAGGCATTTTTGAATTTAATAAAATTAAGTCGTCATTTTTATCTGTTATTTTAAAACCACTCATATCACAACAACCCAAAAAACAGAGAAAACTGACATTTTAATTAACTTTTAATGAATTGTGCGCAGTTGCATGTTAGTGATAATTTAAAATCAATACAGATTGTCATTATGTATTGTACGTTTATGTTTGTTAAGGACTAATACATTTCAACAGGAGATAAGAGACAGTTAGTATCAATAAAAATATTTTCCGCTGGACTATCTTACCTCACATCAAACTAACGTTACCTATCAATCGGAGTATATAATTAGAAATGCAAAAGTGAGAATGTTTCTGACTTCTTCATGCTGAAATGACTGGACGTATTTGTATGAAATTTTGTATACAGGTAGTCTATGACCTGGAATAACACGTAGGCTATTGTTAGTCATCTAAAGACGCACTCGAACAAAGCGAGTCTAATTCGCTAGAACTAATACAAAACTTGCAAAAGCTATTAGTTCCTTTGTCTTCCTGTCACGTAGTAACAGTTTTACAAATCGACTTGATCGAATGATTCTATGCACAAAACTAATGGAGATGAAGTTTTGAAGTGACATAATTAAGCTAAAAGTGCCGTTTTATGAATTATATAGTAGTAGGTAAAATAGATAGGTTGCGAAAATAGAATCTGGAGTATTATAAGCCAAAGGAGACAGCGTCATCAGTCACAGTAAAAATAATCCATCTTAGAATGGTTAGACGGATGGAGAAAATGACTTACGAGATACGAAGAAAGTTGCAATACCAATATTTGCTTTACTAAAAACATAGGAGTTCTGTATAAATCTAGTCCGAATCAGTCGACTTCAATAAATAAATAAGGAATTAGGTTCCTCCTGTGACCTACCTACATCTTGTACTCTGGAACCTTTTGGAATACATTAAATAGATCGCAGTATACCTACATGGTCTCTGATTCAAAGTGAATTTTGGAATGCTAAATTATTTAAACAATATTATAATTACATCAGAGGTTAATAACAAGTATTATTTAGTATAATACAAACCTACAAGGCATTATTTTCATTCCAGTAATTGGCTTTGTAATTCGACATTGACGGAATAATGAATCGAACGTGCTCGCAGCTATGTCTCTTATTGTGTAATAGTTAAGTGAACCATAACTTGAGTTCATTAATATATTTATAGTTTTATAACATACACTAGCGACTCAACCTCGCTCCGCTCGGGTTCTTCCATTATATTATATTCCGTTTTAAAATTTATCGCAGTAAAAAGTATCTTATATGTTGATCCGGATAACCAGCTATCATCATACCAAATTTCATCAAAATCTGTCACTTTCACATTTCACATTTTCCAAAAAATATTTTATGCACAGATTCGACTCGGTTAGAATTTTACTGTCTGTATAGATTAATAAAATCAATTAACTTATAATAATAAGACGTAGTGGTGACGGCCATATTGTCATAATTGGTATTGAATATGGGGAAATACATTATGTTCTTTATAAAGAATCAAATCAGAATTCACTTATTAAAAATTAAGAAAGAAAAGAGAAAATACTTGCATTGTGAAAATTATTTTACACGAAGTAAATAAAGTGTATAGTAAGATATTATGTAAAAATTAGCATATTAAAAACTGTTAGGTAACGGACTCGACCAGAGCTGTGAGGTGACAATTACTTAGGATTCGTTCAGCGCTTATTTCAGGGCGGAAGTCATCAAATGAAAAATTAAATTAATGAACATTTTGCTTAACTGGACTCAATCCCCCATAATGCAGTAGGATCTACATAGACCAGTATATGAGACACAAAGGGCGGGCAGCGTGAGCGCAGCAACTGATTTATCAAAACTGTATTAGTTAGATAATTGAGTGCGACGTGACGGCGCTGTGCTCTATCGTTTGACAAAAAAACTGGTTATTATTTTATCACGTTTTTCACTTCTTGACCTTTTAAAACATTTTAGTTTGAATCTTTAATTCACTTCTTGGTCTTTTGACTTTGTCTAAACTATCTCGTACTCTACGTGTATACAGAGGTTTGAGCTGTGTTTGCGCTATCTTTTTAATAATTAAATTTACTCGATTCAAACTTTTTTTTATTTCATAAGAAGATCAAGTGTGTGGAGTAGGCCAGAGAATGTGCAGCCTTGCACTGGTCCTTATAGGTGTAGTTATTGCAGTTATTAAAAGTCAATAACAATTTTGCAAGTACCGATTCACTATTTCTCAAAGTCAAATTTGAGTGTCTGCAACGATCGCTGGTTGGTCGGTATGCTTTGCATATAGCTACAAGTGCGTGTCCAATCAAATGTACCAATGATCACAGATGAATGACTACCGAGAGACGGCCGTGACCCAGAGCAGCTTTCTGTCCACGAATTGGCATTGTCTGCTGTCTTCAGGGCGCTCCTCGGAGTTTTCTGCTAGTTCAGTGCTCTGTGTGCCACCGCCGGGATACTGCACCTTGCCAGAGGCGAGGCCCTTCTTACAACACGAAGTCAAATTTTGTTGTTCAGTAAAGCCTTATGATTTTCTTATCAATTTTATTAGAAGCTGAAGAGAAATAACAAATATTATATATTATATAAAACATTAAAGCGAGTGGCAATAATGACTGGATCAGAATCTAAGTCACCAGAGCCTAGGGAGCAAAGTGTGGAGCAGAAATGTGGAGAAGTGAACTCGGACAGCGTGATGCGAGAGTTGGGCCAGGCGGGACGGTTCCACCTACGGATGTACGTGCTGGTGGCGCTCGTGGCTGTGCAAGTCGGTATGCTGCATACCACATATATTTTCCTAGCGGGAAGTATTCCCTATAGGTAAGTTATCCTTATATTTAATTATTCATTATTATATAATTTTTCTATCCTGGGTGACTAAAACGGCGAAAAATGAAAAAGTACTGATAAAAGCCTTATTGACTATCAATCCTTAAAACCTGAAACAGCAACACATAGGCTTACAGGTCTTACTTTAGAATCTGGGGACGCGGACCTTTAGGGACTCAAACGAACGAGGGTAACTCGCTAGTATAGTACATTCATCATGAAATTATGTAAAGGTGGTAAAAAATTGAAGACAATTCATATCGAGCCAAACACTCGTTGAAAATATTTTAAATAATGAATATTATAAATAAGCATTGTTTTCATTTCATTCTATCGATTTGCTATGCAGCCTCTGGACGCCGACAACGGTATGTATTGCCTCAAATTTGAAAATAATATAATGTATAAGTTGTATGCTTGTATATTGTCATTTTTTTCAAAGAATTTTAAGAATGTGTTTGAGTGGAAGTAGATGTAAAAATATTTCAAGTTTTCAAATGATATTTAATTGATATAACAGTTTGCGATATATTTTGGTGGTTATAGACGGCTACCTACTTGTAATAAATAGTACAAGTGGTAAAGAATGTTTTACTTAATAGTGATAATTACATAATTATGTTCTTGGTAATTAATGCTATTAACAAAATGTGCACATAAGTACGTGAAGCGGTGATTTAAATAATTATCCTGTGCAATAATCAGTTAGGAGACGATTAAAGGCCATTACGAGTATTAACGTTAAGGCGTCACACCTCTGACCTAAACACGACATTAATAAACTATTATCATTAGAAATTGGTAATATCATACAAATAAATAATATATAATTCATTTAGACTACTAGGTACTTGAACAATAAACAAAGTGGTATTGAATCGTTGAACCACTCCTGGTTCCCGTGGGGGGACAAATTCAATGAAAGTTACTTAAAGTTATTCCATATGCTTATACGATAGGCGCAGATCTACATATAAATAGATGTAGATGCGTCTTGTTCATTGATATTCATGACTCTGACTTTACAATCATCGTTTTAGTATCTACTTGGCCAAATATTACACCGCCAGTGTTACATTTTCGTGCCTCGGAGAGGATGACAAACTGTTCGTCCGGTGCACATCTCTCACCGGTCGTTGCGAATTGACGTTCCACCGAACTTTGAGTACAACTTTGAGTACATTCGTTTGCGTATAACTACACTTGTGCTCTATAATATCGCCTACAAAAATTGTTTTTTTTTTAATTCAGCCAGAAGCACTCCTTATAATATGTAATAAAAAATATTAAATTATTATATTCAATGCTTGAACGCGGTACATCTCTCACTCTCACCTCAATATATTTTCCTAAAGTTACAATGGTTAGATTTTGAATGAATGTAAATAAAATTTCTTCCTAACTTTGATCCTTGTCCTAATTAAGAAGTAAGTAACTAATTTGGAGTCGGCGGGTTCATCTCGCCTACTTTCGCCGGTGCAATAATGTTTTTAAACCTTTTATTTTATTACTTATGTATTGTGCCTTATTATCTTCCACCATCCAATTGCTTTCAAAAAGCAAGCGAGTCGAAGTCGGGGCTGGTTGTTACCATACTACAATGTTTAAGAATGAATAATAAGCCTTTTCCCATTACCATATGTTTAACCTTCACAATAATAACGTTTTATTTAATTAAGGCATAAACCCTCGCCGTAGAGCTCGAGGCGACAATCATATCATTGTTTGACTGGAGGAGAGTTATTTCTTATGTAGAGCTGTAATGTTTCGAAACGTAGTTATACGTAAATAATTACATATAATGTATTGATCAATATCTATTACAGCTATGGAATGGAAAGCGTTCGATGTTGCAATAGTCTGGCAATTGTAAAGGGACATTCATAAATAGTCGTCGCCGTAGCCTTGAAAGTCTGTACAATTATGTTTATTAAAGAATTAATCAAAAAAAGTAATTCTGGTTTGGTACACTTTGAAATGGGAGCAACTACTTTTTATTGCGCATAATTTGACTGCAAAGGCGCGTTTATACCAAAAAAGTTGGCAACTTTTGGCACCCGTTTGTAACTCTTCAAAAAAGTCAGCTTTGCTTTTAATTTTATTAACATCGACCAATAAACTAGACTTTGAGGATTTTTTTAGGCAACTAGCTATCGCCACTGACAGTTTGAAATAATTAATTATAGAGTCTAATACAATTTTGAAGTTTGCAAATAATTGTGTGTCTTTGGTGGAGACTCACCTTTACCGTCTCAGTGACCTCTTATGTACTTGACCTCTGATGTTCTCAATGATCCATTATAAATAAATTACCACTCGATAGATATGCTTTTCAATTACAATAACATCTTCACACAATGCCTCTCTCAGGAGGACAGAACTAATTAGGCGTAATGATCTAATTTTGTCATATATTTTGATATTCAATAGTGCCCGGCAATAGAACCGGGCGCGAAGCCAAGAGATGCACTGGGAGGCAGCAGAGTGGACCGTGGAGTAGCCCCATGGTAGTTGTGGTCTGCTTTGGCAGACCTGCGTCGGGGCGTCGTAGTTGAATGCATAAGTGATTATATAAGTGATAAGCCCCATTAAGACGGGGGAGGTTACGTTGGGTTTTAGTGGGTAGTACTAGCAAAGCCAGTGAGTCCCACTTCGTACCTAAATGCATTCTCAACTTTAAAAAGCATCATATGTGTGTATCAGAGGTGCGAGACTCGGGATTTCAACCCGTTTCACTCGGTTTCCCAAGCGAGCTTCCACTGGGCTATCACTGCCTTTTAATATACTATTATTAAAAACTTAAAAAAATTACGTAGTATATTGCTTAATTTTGTCCTATATTACTATCTCATTTTGTAAAGGTAATTTAAAAAAATAATCTAAATCAAATTGAAATAACCTTAGAGGATCAACAAGATTATAATATGTAGCTTATATTATTATTAAAAACGAAGTTAAATTGTATATGATAATTATTTTATTGTTCCTCTTTGTATTATCTTATTCTTTGCTCTTAGCAAATAGGGTAAATTAACTAAAATATTATTATTTTTGACTTATATTGAGACTTCCATATTGTGGCGATAACGGGTCGTCTACTCTCGCCATTGATGATGCGTTTGATGCGATTGATGCGTGCGTGTGTGTTTGTGTGTTTATGCGCGTGTATGCGTGTGCATATGCATTTGAATAATTCTTCACACCAAAACGACTAGACTGGTTATTTACTAATAAAATAAATTAACCCACCAACATACTAAAAGTAGAGCCTACTAGAAGTAGGTATTTCTTCTTACGCCTAAAGTCCAGATTCTCTATCCCTCACAAAACATACATAATGCATATAATATTTGGTATATAAGTATTTGGATGGGATTGGTTACAAATGTAGTGGAAGGCATCGAAAATATTGCAACGTCTTCATATTGCAATAAACAAACAAAATTGCTCAGAAATCAGCAAATAATGTTATCCTAATTTGCGACAGTTACTTATATCGCATAAAGTTGACTATTCGAGGCCGCGCGCTCCTTCCGCGGTCGCCTTCGCATGTTTAAAATATACTTTTTACGAATTTTACTTACGTATTTCTACGTAAATTTTATAATCAATAGTAATGCGTATATATCCGTAATATAATAATAATTGCATAATTATCTTCGTAATTTTATTGTAAAAAAAGTTTTGTAGTTATATTATTTAGTTTAATATTAAGACCTCATCCGCGGTATACCATAATGTATCTTATTTTTTTTTATTATTTAGCAATTATTTCAAGTATTAATTAATACTTGCTATTGGTAGCGGTTGGTTTTCAATTTATTAATACTCGTATATCTATTTGGAGTGTTGGGTATGATGAAGAAACATAAGGAGTTTTCCCTACAGTATATAATGTAGACATATATGTATGTAGTATGTATATAGATAAACATATAAATACGAGCATCACTAGCATTATCCTAAAATCTTTTGCCCTTCTGACCAAAACGAGATTTTAAGAATATTGTTGTACGAATTTTAATGTCCTGTAGTAACCGTCAAACAGTTGTTCCGTAAACATGAGACAGAGTCAGTAGTCAGTACGTGTTTTATTGTTTCCTTCCCTTTGAAATCATCAAGCACATATTAACATTTGAAATCGGTCAAGTGCGAGTCGAATTCGCACACGAAGGGTTCCGTACCATCGTATATATACTTTTTATTAACACGACTTTTATTCTATGTATGTAGTACTCGTAGGTATATGATCGATTACGAACGTTAAAAAAATGTTTCATTGTGTTTTTATTTTTATTATTTGTTATTATAGCGGCAATAGAAATATATAGGCTGTGAAAATTTCAACTCTCTACCTATTACGGTTTATGAGATACAGCCCTCTGACAAACGGACGGACAGACAGCGGAGCCTTAGTTACGAGGCTTCCGTTGGCACCCTTTGGGTACGGAACCTTAAAAAATGAAACGTGTTTATAAATAAAAAAACACAACTATTTTCTCAAATTTTGCCGCGTATGAAATATTTAAAATTTAAACGAACTTACAATAATAAGAAACTATTCGAATATTATCATTGTCCTTAGACGGTTAGTTTAAGGTAGAAAATAGTAATATTTTTGAAAAATTACTTTTTCCTGTTTTAACCATGTTTCAAGTTCAGTGGAAAACTTTAAATAGATTATAAACATGAATATTTATGAATATTAGATTAAAGGAAAATTGCTTCATCTATAAACCGGTCTCGAATCATTTAAAATTCCGGACAAGTGCGAGTCGGACTCGCCCACCGAGGGTTCCGTACAAAGTAGGATATCTGTGTAACTTTAATTTTCAACTTTTTTTATTTTTTGGAATTTTTCCTTTATTTATAAGACTTTGCTTTTCGCCAAATTTCGTGATTCTAGGTCAACGGGAACTACCATGTAGGTTTTCGACCCAAAACCTATAGGATACTTCCGGTTGACCTAGAATTGTCAATTTTGGTTAAAAGGAAGTTTTATACAGCACACGTAAAGTGAAAATTCCGAAATATAAAAAAAAAGTTGAAAATGAAGGTAAAATTTGTTACTTACAAGTTTTCGCAAAAATCAAAATTTGTCCATATATTTTTATTGTGGTGACTCAAGACCTTGATTTTTATACATCTGATAGGGACTATAGACCTTAGTACCTATCTGGTATAAACTTCAACTTGCTAGGTTCACCCGTTCCTGAGAAAATCGGTGGTGACATACGGACATACAGACAGACGGACATGATAGTGATCTCTTAAGGGTTCCTTTTTTACCTTATGAGGTACGGAACCCTAAAAATGAACAATTACTATTATTTTAGCATACATACTAACAAACCAACATAGCAAAATTTCCTCATTATTTTAGCAATAACATATTATTTAAAAATATACATTTCCTGTCTTAACTTATACTATGTTACTACCATTTTGCCGCGGCTTCACATGCATAGTTCTATTATATATTACCATATATATGTAAATATTATAGCCTAAGTGTTACTCTACTGTATAAGCTAAATAAAACCTGTAAAGTTTCATCAAAATCTGTTCAGTAGTTTTTGCGTAAAAGAGTAACAAACTTTTATCCACCCATCCATTCGTCATCCTCAAAAACTTTCGCGTATAATATAATTATACGTTATGTGATGTTAACATACAAACTGGGTGACTGGTGACAGCTTTCATTAAGCATTAAGCACGTGTTGACGACACGGAGCATGCGAAACACGTCGGAAACAATGAGTCGAGATTAAAGGCCAAGAGAAAGTCCACACGTTCAGAGAATAGTACATAAAGATGTGATTTTCATAACAAAAACTCTCAAGTATAAGCTATCGATAGAGTAAACATATATTTGAGTGATTTCAAAATAGCTATTTTATCCTCTGACTTACCTACTTATTGTAAACTCATACATTATTTCTGTTTCCAATATTGATCATAATATATACTTATATATGTGTTAGTAACTGAGTTCGGAGTTAGGATACGTAACCTGCTAGTCCTCATGCAGAGAAAGCACACACTAATGTATGTGTGTCACACAGTACCTAATGACAATCATTTAAAAATCTTAAAAATTAGGCGTAACAACATTTGATGTAATATCTGGTATAATTTTACAGTAAATATTGTTAATTAATAATTGCAAAACTCCATACTAATATAGTCAGTTATTTGATGCCATTAGTTGTTCAATATTTAATTTCTTAAGACCTTACAATTTAAGCCTTTGCGGAATTAAAAAAAATGTAAGACGTCTATTACGGAGTGCCTAATTAATTAATCTTAGTAGTAATACTTGTATATTAGGATCGTCCGCAGTCCGCAGTCATAGAACGTCCGCGGCGCACGCGCACCTCACGTGCGTAGTTCGCGCTTTGCTTTCTATACTAATCGTAACTGTGTTGCTGTAAAATTATTGCTTTAACATTGTAAAACCGCAAATTATATTAAATGTGTCATTTGTAAAAGTGAAAGAAATATTGTTTAATTGTGACGGAAATTAGAACTAGATATTAAATTGTCAGACAAGGAAATATGTGAAAGTTGCTATTTTATAATTTAAATAAAACCTTAAAAATGAGTACTGAAAAACCTTCGTGTGAGAGTAGCGTCCCGGGAGTGGACACGGACGTTCTGATGCACGAGTTGGGGCAGTTCAAGCGCTTCCATCTCATAAATTATGTGCTTTTGGCTTTAGTGCCTTATATTCTTTCTCTATATGCGACAAATTACGTTTTCTTAGCGGCAGACGTACCTTACAGGTAAATAAACGGAAATAAATATAAGTTCATAATATCGCATACGTATTATTTAATTAAAAAAATATATTTTTGAAGTATTTTATTTGATAATATTTATATTTAACGATACTTGCTACTCTATTATTTTTTCTCTAACAAAAATATTAAGACTCTATATACCACATATTCATCCGTGTGTGTGTTTGCAAACTTTTTGTATGTAATTTGCTCATTATTCCGGTACCCCGTATTGATATTGTCTGATCACTTTGATCATTTTCATTATTTTGAGTGTACACATATAGTAGTAGTGAGCAGTTGTTAAAACGTCTTCAAAAAATAGGAAGTAACAATTTATTTTAAACAATTATTTATACTGAAAAAAATGAGATTTTTATTATTACCTCGTCTATATTAGTGGCTAAGACGTACTACTGCATATTTTGAGGCTATAGGTTTCAGTCTGGATTCTGATAAAAACTGGGTCTTTTTATAACGAAATACTCTGTAAAATATCGATTGAATATTTGTAAAAAACCAGTGGTTGGGAATGCAAGTACCATAAACATAGATTCCTTACCAGTACAAAACAAAAAAAAATGTGACATTCCCTTTCTTTGCCTGTACCCTTCATTTGTTAATAATAATTGTTTGATTTTATGATTCGGCCATAATTAACAATTTCGATGAGATTCAAAGATTCGTAAAACCAGTCAGTGTATGTTACATATTGCTTATTTATTTGATTTTTATCGCTTGTTTTACTGCTTGTGCAATTTTTCACGATTTATAGTTGGCATAGATTATAATAGTGATTATTTATTCTATAACACACTGATAATTTAAATGCTAAAGTTATTAGTGAGCGTTTGATTTCTCCACACTGTATTGGCTTAACAGGTTTGAATGTAGTTCGGAATAGAGATATTAACCTTTTTTCAACGTTGGGAAATACATTTAAGCACACTATCTGCATACGTACAGGTGGTCATGTGGGACTGACTGGCTATATAAGCCATTATTTATTTATTCAATTTTAGCTGTTATTATTATAATTATTACAGTTTTTTTAAACTTTACTAATTAATAATGTTATTTAAATATAAATATTAAATTAAGAATTAATAATATTAATTATTTATTTAAGGAATATTATTGTTTTATAAATAATTAAAAAAAGTTAAAATATTAAGCAACACTATTGCTTTAACACCTGTCTCTCCCGTGACCATGATTGCTGTAAAGCATTCGAAATAAAGGCAGTGGTAGCCCAGTGGTAACGCGCTCGCTTGGGAAACCGAGTGAACTGAGTTCAAATCCCGGGTCTCGCACTTCTGATATTTTCATGTGCGAATCATTTCCAACATGATTACCACTTGTCTTACGGTGAAGGAAAACATCGTGAGGAAACCTGCATGTCTGAGAGAACTTAGCAAGTTTTCGAAAGACATGTGAAGTCCGCCAACCCGCACTTGGCCAGCGTGGTGGACTATGGCCTGATCCCCCTCGTACTGAAGGGAGGCCCGTGCCCAGCAGTGGGACGTTAAAAAAGGGCTAAATACATACATACATTCGAAATAAAATAAATCCGCGAAGATATCCAGAAAGATTTATTTAAAACGCAAAAACAATTTAAAGGTTCATAGTATCATTAAATGTTTATATATTTTCTTTTTAAAATTTTTTGGAAACCTTAACTAGCCAAAGTATACTTCATAGATATTTATATTCTTCAAATACTTTTATTATTTTGATGTAGTAGAAGTTTGATCGTTGACTGTTGCTATCAAACATGCACTGTGCACACGTATGTATGTACCTACCTACGGGGCGTTGGTGGCGCGGGCGGTCCTCGATTGAAGGCGGTCATTATTTAATTGTTGTGTTTATCTCATTACATTGTTTTTATTCTATTAACCCACGATATTTGTACGGCTTGATATTAAGGGGAATACTTTACGTATCGTTAATGTGGGTAGTAGTGAGTATTCTTAGCTATGTGGGTAGAGGTACAGCTGATGTACTATTGAGAATTTTTATATATTTTGATGAAACCTTATTAAAATAGTCTTCAGGTATTGTTACATCTAGTATAAAAAACCTTTTAAAGCATTTAATTCGAATTTACATAACGTATCACAAACATAAGCTAAATCACTTTAAATGCCTTATGATCCCAATGACATTACAGACAGATAAATAAAACCTATGGTTCTAATCATTTTGACTGGTTAGAGAACGCCATTACTGATTATCCGTATTAATATTATAAATGTGAAAGTTTGTGAGTATGGATGTTTGTTACTCTTTCACGCCAGAACGGCTGAACGGATCTGGATGAAATTTCGCACAGAGATAGATTTTAGTCTTGAATAACACATATGCTACTTTTTAACCCGGAGAAATATACGGTCTTATAATAGTATTTATTGTACCAAAAATATCTATAACCCGACTATTTAATTTGTTGAATGGATTTTTTTTCACATATTTATTTATAATATCTAAAATTAGGGTTCATGTTTGATAACATTTTATTTAACTCTCGGACGGAACTCGCCCTCGCGGACCACTATTTGGGAACCGCTGACCTAGAGAATCGACTTGATGGATAGCCCCTGCAGGCTGCATACAAGTTTTACCATCAGTCGTACTCATAAGTTCGAGAAACACGCTTTTTTAATAGTAATTGTGAATTTGTTATAAACAGGTTTTATAAATAACTACAAGATAATTTTGCTTCTATGCAAAAAGAGTTAACTTATCTTAAATATCTTTATGTAGATGAGCGGCCGTGACTGACGGATAGCAAAATTTCACAATAACGAAGGGCATTAGCTACAATTTTTTATGCCGCAACATAAAAATTTTACATTTTTTTATTTGAGAATGAGACTGCATATATTCCTTCATATTCACTCGTCAACTTGTTTCCATCCTTTTAGTTTGCTTTTATGAAGTCAGAATTTAAATTTTTGTAATATCCGCCCGCGTTCTTATGACCAAAAACCAAATTCTTAGGTTTTACATATTATTATACTCTTTCATTGCAGTTTTTGTATTTTTTCTCAGAAAAGAGACATTTTAACGCGGTAAAAAATATTCTATATATTGCCCTGGATAACCAGCTATTACCATACCAAATTTAATCAAAATCCCTCCAGTGGTTTTTTTGTGATGCGGTAACAGACAGACAGACAGACAGACAAAAATTCTAAAAACTATAGATTCGGCCTCTGTATCGATAATAATGTATATTTTAATAAGATTTTCCAAAAAATATTTAATGTTGACTTTTAATATTAATGTTGAATTTGACTTTGTTACAATTTTATTATATGTATAGATTATTTTAATATTTAATTCTTTTTTTACTTCACATACTGGTCTATATTATTATATGACTCTTAACGACCGCTCATTTGCTATAAGAACAAAAAGATTATTCTAGTCAATTAATACACATGACTCTTTTAACGAATTTAATTTATTTAAATATTTAAGTAAAAAATTAACCTGTTTTCATTTATATCGTATAAATCATTACTTAATGTTTTATTTCGAAGGACTAAATGCAGTATTGCGTTTCATTTTTACATTAAAATAATTTTATAATATTTAATGGTGAAAGTCATTACAATAAGTCTGATACACATTCCTAACGATAAAATGAATTCTTACGACAATATTATGAAATTGCAATTTTTCCTAGTAAATAAAACAATTACTCTGTTCTATATTACCTCTGTTCGGTCTGACGCCTGTCAGTTTTGATTTCTTCTGGCTTGAGTTAGTTTTCTGTGGTTCACTTGAGGCAAGTGATGCTATGGATAAGGAACATTGTATTATACATACTATTTTCATTAAGTAGGTACATCCTTGTAATACTTATATAATAGATAAAATATGTTTTTTACCTTATATGAGCACTTATAATTAATTGATGGGCTGAAGTTTTATTAATTTACATATCATTTGTTTCTACCGCTCTAAGAGGCGGCTGAATAAATAATATGGTAATGACTGATATTGGAATTGGAATAATTCGTAGTAATAGCCCGAACTAATGTAGCTCCGAAGAGTGCGTAAAGTTGTTGTTCTTGCGTTTGCTGTTCATTCTGTTGTGTGGCCGATATGTTATCTGTATTATTGAGGGCTATGAGATTAAATAAGAATAATGGTCAGCTACGACAATACTGCTTCTGTCGTCCCCACGAATGAAATATTATGTAAAGCTAGTTTATTTTTTAAGGAAATGAATACTGACAGTTATTAAACTGTGACTTAGTATTATAAACTTGAAAGTTTATAGGAATTAGTTTCTTATATGGGTCATCTCTGTGTTCACGCTGTCGTTGTCGTGAACTGGGCCTCAGATATGATAATAGCAGAAATGACGGAAGTCTTAAATGATAATAAGGATGCTGGTTAATTTCAACTTGACGGTATCCGGTAAAAGGGAAACTCAAAGCTACTATTAGTTTTAATAGGATTCTTGGAACTGCCAGGTCAGTCAGTCGGTCCATCATAAGGATTGATCATTGAGGTGGTACCGTTGAGCAGGTTCTAAAAACAAAACTCTGACGTTTTTCTAATATTACGAATATTATGAAAATAATATCCAAGATTGTACTTCGACATATTACATACAATATATATATATATATATATATATATATATATATATATATATAAAAAAACATACATTTTCTTTTATATAGATATATATACCTTGTCGTACATGATGATGAGCAAAATTTGTTATATATATATTTTTTTGCTACTTCAATGTTGCCAATTCATTTTACATACTTCTATACATAAGTGTCGAGTAAAGAACCAAGTAGGATTGTAAATATTTTCAAGTAATTATATGTTTCATTGTCACCGCGACCGCATCTCTCACGAGTAGTTACATTATACATTATAAATATAATTCATTGAATGGGTCTATTAACGAAAGAACAACAACAATGGGCTTTTAAAATAATATTATCAATTACGTATCACGAAACGATAACAAAATGACTTGTTCAATAATTAAGTAATAATAAACTTCATATTAAACTGACAGACTAATGAACATTGTTCCTGTAATTTTTAAAACGGTAATTTTTACTAATCTTATAATTGTAATGATCATTTTATAATAAACGTTTTTTAATCTATTTCTATATAGATAAATAAAATTGAAGTATCTGCTTGTAATGTCAAAATAACAGCTTTATACTAAATCCATATTCCATATGTAATTAATAATTATATATGGTACTTATAAGAAAAATACAAATTTTATAATTTTTGTAATAAGTCGCTAGTTAGAAATATATGCATGTATGTAGCTAAGATTATCTTCAACCCTTGAAGAAAATAAAAAGATAAAGCCTGTGTTAATGTTATATGGGTTATAGCAGCTAGTGTCTTACGAGTATAATATATTCGTATGTATAGTGGTACTATTATTGTAAATATAAAGGTTGCCTTTTCATGGTTAAATTGCAGAACAGATTTCGATGAAATTTGGCAAGGACATATATTACTTCCTGGAGAAGAACGTAGGCTACTTTTATCCTCGTTCTGTTTACTATACGAGCAAATTTGTAAGCGTAAAGAATTATATTTCCTTTTAAAGTTAGGTAGAGTCCGATATTTGGATCTAGCATTCAATACATACAACAAACGTAAAGACTCATGTTTTTATGTATATTATGTGTAAGGTTGCATTTTTATATATTGAGCGTTTTAATAAAAAATAATATATTTGATTAATTTGTAATGATTTATGTATAAGGCATTTAGTTATGTGACCTTGGTCTATAGAAATGTGTTTTAAAAAAAAAAAAAGAAATGGCGCGGATATTCATTTGTTTTCCCGCGCTTTTGCACTGAGATGTCGGTACCATGTAGTGACTAGTCACGAATTATTTGTAATACTGAAAATTATGATAATAAATTATGTAACTCACTGACGACTATAAAAGTACTTAATATAAGAATATAAGCAAGGAATATGTCGAAGTTATATTAGAGACCCTATATATGAAGTTTGTCTATTTTATTAGTTTCGAGTGTGATTTTAAATGTACATTGTACAAGTTTGGTTAATTTGTAGTGTTTATTGGTGGCTACTCGTATGTACATATATATATATATATATATATATATATATATACGTATGTGTATATATGTGCGGTCGACGGTCGCGGCGTCGCGTTGCGTCGTTGCACAACAAGTAAAGTGATATTTACAATATTATTGAGAACTTGATTTTGGATTCTGTTAATTGGGTTATTGACAAAAATCTAGTAATACCTTTTATTATTTGATAGTAAATGGAAATTTAAAGATTTATAATATTTCTAAATGTGATACATACATATTCGTATATAATCATGTTATTTAAAGTCACTTTTTCGTATTTAAAACATACTATAGTAGAAGGAGGTATAACTTCTTAAAAGCCAACATATTGTCTTACGTCTATTACTGATAAAAGAGCTGGCTGGAGTTGTTTTCACCCACAGAATCGGCATTGCCATTGAGCGGAGCAAGAATGCAGTTGGCATTCTTTTCATGATGGCCAGATTTCCATGCGGACGTAATTTTTCCCGTGTGCATTATTCTAAATTAATAATATTATAGCTTCTGTGGTTTTTTTTTGCCAGAACATACCTTCAAAAAAATTGTATCAAATATAATCAAACTTGTATTCTCTAATATAGTAAACACATGCCTCGCGTCACAACAATATGATTATTTATTTATATTGTGTAACTTCACTTAATTATCTACTTATTGAGCTGGAAAGAAAGAACATTGACCTTTTCGTCCTCAATATTATATTTATTATGTTATCAATAATGTGCTTTATGAGGCGGCTCTAAATATAAAGATATATATGTCTATACGAACATATACATTCTATGTAATATGTATTTATGTTTTAAAATTATAGGTACAATGTACATTAATATTATAAAAAATTTAAGTCCTTGTCTGAATCTCTGAAAATACTGATCCAATTCTGTAAACTTTTTCACTAAGAGGAAGTTATATTATAACCGAACGCTATAGACTATTTTTATTGTTTAATAGCGGCTCACCCTCGCTTCGCTCGGATTCGCCTCTAGAAAAGCACAAACAGATCCATCCCACGGGAACCATACATTCTTCCGGATAAAAAGTAACCTATAAGTTATTCTGATGTATGAACTATATTATTGTAAAGATTCATTAAAACCCAATCAGTAGTTTTTGTGTACTAAGCTGTATAAGTTATTATAGTTTTTTAACTATCCCACAGGAACTCTTTAATTTTCCGGGATGAAAAGTATCTAAGATATTGCCCGGGGATATAAGGCACCACCCATACCACCACGCAATGCAATTTCATTTAAATCGATTCAATAGATTCGGAGATTAGCCCGTACAATCAGACAAACAGACAGAGAAACAAAAAAGTTAAAAACAACTGGATTTGTTCTATTTGTCTTCTTACATCCTCCTGATTCGTTTTTTACCATTTTTTTTCTATGTACAGACATTCGACCTCTACTGTTTTATTATAATATAGATGTTTACTATCGGAAAGCATATTAAGTTTAATCACTGATCATATAATACTAGGTTTAATCGTAGTCAGAAGGGAACTGGCCGTGTAAATGTTTAATCAGCTTGAGTGGCCTAAACAGTTTGAAATAAAGTAATAAATTGCTGTAAACATATAGAAATGTACGGTAAAAAGTGTCGTTAATGAATTATATGTTATTTAAAACAATATTCACCATGAAGAAATTGAATCTGTGACTACGGGGGCAGTAGATTATACCAGTTGAAAAAGATGTGAAATTCACACCAAATATGACGACGGACCGGATATTTGCAGCACCTATAGATGATATTATTCTTCGCTACAGTGCCTTGTTCATACAGAATTTGTCAACAAACTCAACCGTCAGTCACACGAGCGTTGACTAAACAACTATACCAAATATTTAATTTGCATTAATATGGGTTATTATCGAATTGGTGTTGCACTCCCATACCTTGGAGAGTATTTATAGCCATCGGTTTAAATTTTTTGTTTCCGACGTTTCACGGTCACGAGAAAAAATGAAGTTTTTATCGACTCAAATTCATGGTTATTACAGATGATGCTCTACAAAATTTTACAATACTTTGAAATGAAAGAGAAATGGTGTATCGCGATAAAATCTGAAAAAATAGTTTTATTATATGTATTATTATTATTATTAAAATACTACACATTCGCATAAATCACAGAAAGTACCTATAATTTGTACATTTCTTAGTATATCTTCTTTCCCCTTCGCTTACTACGGAGGTCGCGGGTTCAATGCATAATGTATACTATTTATATTTCAGTACTTTTTTAAAGCTATACCGCACTGTACAATAAAATAATGTACACGTGGAAAAACAACAGTCGCATCCGCTTTAATGAGGTAGATTTCCCATTTTTTGTGTTTCACTGCGCCATGACGACGACTCCATAACGAATGCTGGGTTATTAATTAAAATTAATTCATATATTTTTTCAGATGTGTAGTACCAGAATGTGAAGCAATCAACAGTACAGAGTATAGTCCTATTTGGCTCGAGGGTGCTCTGCCTGCGGATAGTCGAGAACAGCGCTGTGCGAGCAAAGTACCCCTCGATGCAAAGGTTCCCTGTGATAAAGATGGATTCTCAGACGAGCTGCGTCCTTGCGAGCACTGGCTCTACGCCTCTAAAGACACTATAGTGGCCGAGGTAACATATCTCTGTAAATAGTAACAAGTATTCATTTAAATTAAATAATATAGTGTAGCCTTGACTATAAATATGTAATAAGTAAAATGGTCATCCTTTGTACACATGGTATCTGTTTTCAATTTTATGTTTTTTTTTGGTACATAAATAATATAAATACAAAACTTGTATTTTATTTGTTTATTTTATCTTATTAATAAATATTGTAGATACCTCAATTCATTGATTGGTCCTTGAAATGTTTTATTTTATTTAATTCATATTTTACTTAAAATTCTTTTCCTTGATTAAGAAAATTCCATCAAAATAGAAATAGGATTATTTATATTTCGGATTTTTAAGGAGATATTTATATTTATTATTTACTAATATACTCAAGTACTACAAGTAAAACATGTTGCAAGTAATTAACACGTAATTAACGTGATGTGTAGAAGCAGTAGACCGGAGAGAACACGTGTTTTTGTGCAAATATTTAAATTAATTATAAGTATTTTTAAACCAAGTCATATGATGTATAGTAAAAAATCTGTCTAAATACATCCACCAGGTATATTTTGTGCACACGTTTCCATGATAGATAAACATATAAAAATTAAACTCTTACTTAAATATAAATTTACATATAAATTTCCAGTTTTGTTTATAATATTACTTTAATGTAAAATACTTTGTAAGTGTAAAATATTGTAATCTATACTAATATTATTAAGAGGTAAAGTTTGTAAGTTTGTGAGGTTGTAGGCGGTAATCTCAGGATCTACTGAACCGAATTAGATGAAATTTGGTAAAAAGATAGTTTGAGACCCTGGACATAGGATACTTTTTATTCCAGAAATCATCCTGTTGAGGAGGTGAAAATGGGGATGAAAATTTGTATGGGGAATCAACTTAGGGACAAACCCGAGCGAAGTGAGGGTGAGTCGCCAGTGTTATAGAACATTCAATTTGGCACATTTATCTGTAGAAAAGTAATGGTCGCTTAATTTGTAAGACGCGAGGAGATGGAATAAAGTTTTATAAAAGAAAATCTATTGTTCTTTAGAATCGTTTTGATTTGAAACACGATGAAACGAAAATGTGTCACGACAAAGAGACAAACAAAAAGATATATAAGAGGCTAGAGAATGAGATAGAATACATTACGCAGTAAGTGAAAAATAATAAATATAATACTAAATAATATGTAATATATTATTATTATGTTAAATAAAATGTAAAATAACTTTTCAACGTGGTAAAAATTATATAAAAAATAAATTAAAATAACCCTTACAATTATTATCCTACTCCTGATAAGTACTCTATATTCACTTATTCTCTCGTTGGTTACTTTTCTGAAGTTTCACTTCTACTGTGTGTGAAATGCACACACACACATTTTTTTTAAATTTAAATTAAGACACATTTCGAAAAAATCTAAATACAGTAAATGATAAACTTCGAATTCCTTATCTTTTTCTTGCATTATTCTCCATAACATACAACATAACAATGTAAGAACTGATAGGATTGAAAAGAATGTTTCGGCACATGTTTGTTTGTTGAAGGACATCTTCCTTTATGAGTTACTAGCGACTCACCCTCGCTTTGCTCGGGTTCGTCCCTAGCTTGCATCCCAATACAAACTTTCATTCCCATTTTCACTCCCTTAAGATTTTCTTTTCTTCCCCTTTTCTATGATTTCTGGGATAAAGATCCCAGGGTCTTAAACTATCTTCTTGCCAACTTTCATTTAAATCGGTTCAGTAGATCCATCCATCATTACCCCCTACAACGTCACAAACTCACAATCTCACAAACTCACAAACTTTACCTCTTTATGAAATATAAGATAAGATATAAGATTTTGCTTGAATTTTATGTAATAATAATGAACAGCATAATAGATATTATTATTCCTTGCGATGTAAGTACAAAGAGCGTACGTATATTTTTTGTAAACCACTTTTATCGAAACTGTTCTCTTATTTTGGTCCAAAACGAGAAAAGATCGAGAACGAAAAAAGGTCGAATACTCGAAGACGTATCTGCGGTGAGCACAATAATATTCTGCGGGGATCGAACTGACCCTTACCATATTGTGTAGGCGCGATAAACTGTGCTACGACGTTTTTAACATTTTATTGATATTGAATTTCAACGTGCCCATTATATACATATACATATGTAGATTACATATTAATAGTAAAAGTATATCACGTATTAATAGTAAAATAAAATATCACGTACAAACAATAAAGATAAAAACATTAAGTGACATGATGTTAAATGAAATAAGTATTAATTGTTAAAGAAACGTTTATTTTGATATAAGGGATGTATTTCGATGGTGTGTTACTCTAGATGTCTGGGTCACCTCGTTAGTGTAGTGGCTAGCGTGGTGGTTGCAGAGCCGGTCTTGCGTCCGAGTCCCGGAGTGGGTGTTTTTGTTAAGGAATTCTCTGTAACAGCCTGGAGTTATTAGTCAGTCAGCGTCAGAGTCAGCCTGGATGTCAGTCAGTCAGATGGTGATACGTGTGCAACACCGCCATCTTCCCGCTCAACAGCGCCTGTTTCCACACCCGTCGCGCGAGCTTTACGTCATAATAAATATGTAGTTGCAAATCAAATCTTAACGAGATATATATTTAATGCCCATCTTTGACGTTCTTATTCAGAGAAACTGAAACTCTTCGACAATTTTCACTTATTGCATAGTAGAGAACAGTTGTTAATATAGTTCATAGCGGCTTCGCTTTTCGCAAATTTTCATTATTAATTGAAATAAAGCCAAAATTCAGAAGCAAGTTTTTAATAAAATGCGCGACGGCACTTTTTCAAGCTCATGGATTGAAATACTATATTAAGTAAACGAAATGAGTAATATATAATAATATCTCGTATATAGTGATCGAGTTTATGGCGGCGTCGAAATTTGAAAATATGTATTGCATTTCTACAAAAAAAACTTTCCAAATCTTAAAAACTATTAAAAACGTTCAGAAATAGCTGTTAATATATCCTTACTACATTAATATCATTATGTAAAATTTATAAAAGAATATAATATTTATTATAAAAACTATACATAGAAGTAATTACAACTGCAGAAAATGCTAGAAACAGTGATGCGTCGGCCGCTCGAACTTAATACTATAGAACGCAGTTCATTTTGTGATAGGCCTCTTAATTAATAAATTTTTCATTAGACACAAAAAAGTTTTACGATTTTTTTTTGTTTTTGTATATTCAAAGATCAAACTTGTCAACACTATATAATAGTACTGTTTCTTTATCAAAAACAACAAATGTGATGCGCACTCGCACTTGCAGCGATACAATGGTACAATGATTTCAGTTCAACCTGGCGTGTCAGGAGTGGAAGCGCACGCTGGTGGGCACCATCCACAACATCGGCATGCTGGTCTCGCTGCCCATACTCGGATACATATCTGACAGGTTAGATGAAATTACATTTAAAAAATAAGAGCTTCTTAAGAAAGCAATTTGTTCACTTTTTTTGTTGGCGGCTCTATTCTAATGAACTGCATACGAAGTCGGTAGCTTTCTCTCGGGCTTAAAATACTCACAATTAATTAAATAAATAAAAACTTAAAAAAAACCGACTTCCAGGCACTAAAATGTGAAAAGCCGATGCAAAGAAAATCTAATATATTTCGATACGTAAAATACATCTTTACCTATTGGATATTCATATCTTAAAATATTATAAGCTGGCACCGACTTCGAAAATATCTGATGCGGTATCTATTCTAAATGAAAACCACCGTTTAATTATTTTTTACATTTTAGAGCCTGGAAGTCGGTTTTTTTTTAAAGTTTTATTTTTCCATTTTTAGTGTTGACGTAATAAGCAGGTAATTTGTAAGAAAAAGTTTTTTAATAACATATTCGATTAAACAATTTATTTAAAAAATATATTTATTGTTGATTTTTTAAAAAACCGCTCGACCGATTTCGATAAAATTTATATGGGACCATCTGGGAAGTATACCCTTTGAAACAAAAATAAAATCCAAATCGGTTCAGGCGTCTTCGAGTAATCGGTGAACATACATTAAAAAAAAAGATTCCGACGAATTGAGAACCTCCCCCTTTTTGGAAGTCGGTTAAAAAGTGATTCAAAAGTTTTTGTAAAAATCCATTTAAAAGTGTATCTCACAAAGTGTCTAGATCTAATTAATTTTAATTTAGTTTATTGTCTGAACACAATAAAAAATTCAAATAAAAACAACAGACCGACAAAAATTGTAAAAATTAATGATATTGTTTTTATTACAACTGAAATATTCCTAACATTTGCTTCTCTACGCCTCAACTACGAGTATAATCTAATTGATTATGGTTGAAGTATTATAATATATGCTAGGTTAGACCGGTTTTAAAAGTTATTATTATTTCTGGTATCAATTCTGGTTGTTTAACTTATACTAGGTCTTTACCTACGAAATTGCCGTTTAATATACAGAAAGTTGGTCATTTTTTATAAATATTTTTTATTTCTATCAATCAAAATATACATCCATGGTATCGATGTATCTCTGCCAGCGCAGTGGTAATTTTTAAATGCCTTTCTTGAAGAAGCCAGGTTTACGGGAAAAAGTAGAAGTCTGTCGGCGCAAGGTCTGGTGAGTACGTTGGATGACGCAAAGCTTCCAAGACTAAGTCGTGTAGATTAAAGATTAAGAGTTTGTGCGGCATTACTACCTTGACGGAACTCGTATTCCATAATCACTCGTATTTTTATTGTGTTTATATTGATGAAAAAGATACAAATGTAATGAAAACAAAACACTATTCAATAAACAACAATAAACAAATGACTGAAATTGAAAATAGAACTACATATTTTAAAATAGAACTTATTTGAATTTAGCATTTATTGCCAGCCATTCATAAAACGCGCTCGCTTTGTAATCCAACTGAAGCGGGAATCTCGTATAACACCTCTATGATATTTTCACGCGCGAATCATTTCCAACATGATTACCACTTGCATTACGATGAAATCTACCAACTCGCACTTGGCTATGGTCTGATATTCCTCGTATTGAAGGGAAGCCCATGTCCAGCAGTGGGATGGTAAAGAGGGCTGAGAAGTAAAAAAAATATATCATATTTTTTATGAACATAAAATATTGGGACATTAATTTTGCAACACATGTATACATATGTAACTGCCTTGATCTTTAATGTATTATGAAACTAAAACGCCGTAAAAAGGCCATCGAAGGATTTTCTACTAATATACTCTCTAACGAGTCACAAATCAATTTTTGGCGCTTAAAGATTTGCGGCCGTGTAGTGCGCTGTGCGGGCCTCCACCGTTCTATTGTCATTTTCGGGAAATTTTAACGACTCAATTTATACCATCTAAGTGAAAAAGTCATCCTGTAAATATATTATACAGCAAAATTGCTATAACTTAAAATTTTGCCCAACACAAGTTGTAAATATTATATAATCATTTTTTTACAAGTGTACCTATTAGACTGTAATTTATATGAATTATACATAATAGCTTGTATATACTCGTATCATGACAGTTAAATAACCGCCGTAATGTCACTGAGTACCGATACTATCTACTGCCAAAAAACAGGCATATATGTTTAGGTAATTTTTTAAGGAAATAGGTATATAGTTTATCATAATTATGATTAATACGATATATGTCGCAGACAAAGACATCACAATAAAAAATCGTCGGATGACGAAATTTTTAAAATAACCATACCAATAATATGACCATCATACAAGCACTTATCTCCTATAGGTCTTCTAAGTCTATTAATTTATTATTACTCGACGTACATAGTATTCATGCCAAATTTAAAGTTTAGTAGTTTAAGTTTTATATTTTTTGTGTATTCGTTAGACCTCAGCTGTTAACTGATTATGAGTTTATTTTATTTGTGTATGTACTAACAATGCCTAATTGCTACAAACTATTTCGACCGTTTTCGGAGGTCCCGGGTTTGATTTTTACAGAAGATGTTTATCCTATTAATAATAATAATTAATTAATATTATAAATGAGAAAGTTTGGATGGATAGATGTATGTTACTCAATCACGCCAGAACGGCTGAGCGGATCTGGATGTAATTTGGTACAGAGACAGATTACAGTTTGGTTTGGTTTGGTGGATCATAGGTTGCTTTTTATCCCAAAAATCGTTCCCAGATAGACATCCAGACGGACACACAAACAAGAATTCTAGAAACTATAGTATCAACCTCTGTATCGTTAATAAGATTTTCAAAAAAATATTTAATGTACATGTTCGACTCAGTTAGAATTTTATTACATGTATAGATAATAAGAATAGTTTACTTGAGAATAACAACTGTGAACCACACAACGTGGCAATCATCAAACAAACTAACTCGTTTTTGTCATATCCATTTTTTATAACTTGATGATCTAACATGAGAATGCATTATATCCGTCTTATTACTTGAAGTAAATTAGTTTAAGAAATATTAAGTACACGACCGGCGTACACTTTTAAGAATCGTCAGTAAATGATTTCGATGATCAATGTTCTTTGTTAAAACGTACATTGTCATAAAAAATCTAAATATATTTTTATTCCAAATTATTCCTGAAAAAAATTCTATTAAATGTTTTGATTAAAGGAAAGTTTAAAATACACTAATTTACCCATATACCTACCTGCTATAGAAAATATCTATTTACTTTTTATTAATTTTTGCGCTATTATTTTAGTGTCTGCTTTTGTTTCTTAAGTTAACAATAAATGTTGTGTCGATCAGATAAAATATCGTTATATACCTATAATAGTGCTAAGGAATATTATTCATAATAATTTCTTTAATGTATTGAATTTTAGGCTTTCGCTAAGGTTTGGACCTACACGACTACCTCGCAACCTACTTCAGCTTAACTTTTAAGCTTTAGAAGGATGATTAATATGAGGCGAAACGTCACAGATTCGTCGTTCCATCGCCCAAAGATACTTTCACACTTATATTATTAGCATTAATATGTATTATAAAGTTATGTCAGAAGTGACCTCAAAATTTAAATTTGAATAAAGTCACTCGTAGTTGTAATATTTTCAACTTGTTTAGTGTATGATGAACTTAATTATGTTGCTTTGTAACGCATCACTCACCTGCAGCTTATTCGCGTAGATCTGAGATTAATTATAGTTCCTTAACAAAAACCCAACGCCGATAAATTATGCGAAGTGAGGTCTGCTTTGTTGCCAAATGGGGTGTTTTTGTAGCCATCACATATGATCGAGGGTGGTTTCTCAATAGTTTACTAAGTTAGTTTACAAAGATTTAAAAGATAGTCGAGTTTACATTACGATTCTGTGCCTCAAATCAGGTCAATAACAGTTGAGCACAGTAAATAGTTGATTCTTTTGCGGGTTTTTGATTTTTTGGTTCCCGAAGTTTCAAAAACTTTACAGCAATCATTATTACGAACGACACTTTTGAGATATTTTTATACAAAACGTCAAATATTCGCTTAAATCTAAGAAAGCATTATGATCACAGTAAGGTTTATTGCATAGCAAGCAAGATTGCTATAATTCATATGAGTGTGCATACAATAAGGGGGAAATAGCCTAGAAGTTAAACTAATCTTAAAACTTGGGCGAAATAATATATTAAAGAATGATGTGTTATATTGAAGATATATTATAATATTAGTACCAGAATGGTAGTATTTTTTTGCAATATAAATAAATTGCCAATAAAACTTATAATGTGTTTCGTGACACATATTATAGCGAAGTGCACAGTTATAAATCGAAGTATTGAAATAAACCATATATAATTTATATTTAAATATACTGCAAATTGTGCAATTCTTTCAATGCCATTTTGCAACTTACAAGTTACGACGGCCAGCAGCAATCAATTACATGATTGTAAAAATTATAGTATTAATGCATTCACATCAATTTCTTTTATTTATAATATGTATGCATTTAATGACCTGAAATAAACTTTATTCAATTAGACTTATTACAAATGCTTTTGAATCGTCAATTTAATGTAAGCGTGCAGTCCGTGAGGAAGCTACCACCGGCTCGAAAGGCCGTTCTGCTGAGAAGAGATGGCGAGAAACTCAACATTTGCTCTTTTAACTATTGAAGTTACATTTATTTTATTAACATAACAATATAGATAGCCAGCATATGAGTCAATATTTCTCAATTCCACACATTTATTTGTTTATGAAAAATTTTAATTAGTGTATTCGTTGCCGGTAATCTATAGTTTTCTTTATATTTTACTTCAGATGTATAATAAGTGTTCAGTGTTAAGTATCAGCTTAGGTTGACCCCCGGTTCCTGCTGGTCACTGTTTTATAAAGAAATAATATATTCTATAAAGTTAAATGTCCCATCAATACAAAATGTATTATAAGTATTTTCTCTTCATTGTACAGTGATTTAAGTATATTTTAAAAATATTGATCAAATAACTTTGGATAATTTCAGATGGGGCCGAAAGCGAGCTCTAATTTTAAGTTGCACGTTACTGGGCGCCATCGGTACTATGAAGGCATTTTCCATTTCCTACGAAATGTACGTTATTGTGGAGTTTCTGGAGACAGTGGCCGGCGCTAGTGCCTTTCCAGCGGCTTATATTCTAAGTGAGTTTTATCATAAATATTACAGCAATCAATCTCAAATGTTCTTTTAAAGTTAGGTAAACAATCAAATAAGAGAACAGATAAAAGAATATCGTGATACGTGAATCGGATTCGAAAAAAAATCAGTAAATAAATGCTATTCATTTTAAGGTTCTATTTATAAATAGCACCGACTCACTCTTGACCGAACGAGTTATTTAGCCTTATATTATATCCAATAATGGACTCTACTATTAACAATAAAATTATAGCATCTAAAATAAATGTAATCGCCATCTAGTTACGAAAAAAATATGTTAATTGTTTTGTTAAATGTTAATGTTAAGAAATGTTAAGAAAGTATTGTGTTTAACAATTTTTATTGGTTTTTTTCAGCGATCGAGCTTCTGGGACAGGACAAGAGAGTTCTAACAACAGCTTTCCTCGGCATTATGTTGGTGCTGGGTGGCCTGAGCTTCGCCCTACTCGCTAAAACATTCCCTTACTGGCGTACCTTTATCTTAGTCGCGTATCCGCCCTCGTTACTTTTCCTGCTATACATATATTTCCTGCCAGAGAGTATTCGCTGGCTCTTATCCAAAGGACGTAAGGAAGAAGCTTTGGAAATCATTATGAAAGCTTCGAAGATGAATAAGGTTACGTTGTCTGATGAGACGATGCGCCAGCTGACCAGTATGGAGGAAAAGGTGAAGGTCGATGATAAGAAAAACCAAGAGGAAGAAGGTCTCTGGATACAAGTGTTGCACTCCCCCATAATAATGAAACGTCTCGCCATCTGTTCATGGTGGTGGATCACTTGTACTTTCGTGTTCTATGGGCTAGCTATTAATTCTGTTTCGTTGGCCGGAGATAAATACACTAATTACATGTTAGTAGTGAGCGTGGAGGTGATAGCCGTCGTCACCAACGCCTTGGTGCTGGACCGCATCGGCAGGAAGAGGACGCTGTTGATCGCGTATCTAGTGTGCGGGTTCTCCTGCGTCACTATCGCATTTGTGCCCAAGAGTAAGACTATAATTTATATCTTTAAAAAGTTTCAACATCACAATTAGTACAATTTTCATTGTTATTTCAATTAATGAAAGCCGCTTGAATTAATACAACTTTAATATTATTTGATTATATTTTCTGCGATATATTTAAGCTTTTATTTTATCCATTGAAACTTTTTGATTTGATTTTATAATTAATATTTTTAAAGCAGAATATCTGATATAGTTTAATTTTCCGCATAATATTGTTTAAATGTTTACTAATAATAATAACATACTTACAAAGTTTTTTATGTATTTCAGCAATGCCCTGGTTAGCAACCCTTCTATACCTGATTGGCAAGATTGCCATCACGCAAGCCTTCAGCGGCATCTACATGTACACGTCGGAGCTGTTCCCGACGCACGCGCGGCACTCTCTGCTCGGCTTCTGCTCGATGGTGGGACGGATTGGATCCATCGTGGCCCCTCAGATGCCGCTACTGGTAAGAAAAGCTTAATTTTTCTTTACACTAAAATAATGTAGATATGTCACGTTTCTTACAAATGCACTATAATATTAGTAAAAGTAAAAACTTTGTCCCTCCATTTTTTTTCCATTTTATATCAATTTACACAGTACACTGATTTAATTGGTTGGTAACGTGGACCTAAAATGATTTTTAAACAAAGTAATATCCAATAGTTTTTACTAGATATAAAAGTTACCCTACAGCTATATGTTAATCCATATATGGAGGAGGAGGATTATACAATCCATCTATGTGCAAAGTTTCAGCGAAATTAGTTCTATTTCGTTACGAATTATTGAGTAACAAATATCTAAACACCTTCACAAATATTTAAATATTGGATGGACGATTATATTCAAAATTTGACGACACGTTTGACTCAGTGTGTAGTGACCCCATGTGCCTTGAGAGCGGTCGCGAGTTCTAGTTCCGCTGGGGGCATTCATTGATGAGCACGAATGTTTATACTCCAGTCATGGGTGTTTATATTTACATTATGTATATATTTAAAGTTTATATATGTGTAGTGCATGGACGAATTAGAGACTGGACCTGACATAAAATACAAATGTATGAAAACTAGTTCAACCAAGTGACGCTTAACGCACACAAAGATTTTATTACATTATTATAAACACTGATACACAATACAATATTTGTAGTGTTTGAACGTAATCGATAAAATACATATATCGATGAACCAATGAATGACATTTTAGACATTGGTTAGCATAGTCATCATATTTTACATCTTTTAATTTAAAATATCTGTATTTATTATAATAAATTAAAATAAATGAATTAAAGAGGCAATAATAATGTGTCAAATAATAATTATTTTTTAATTTGATTTATATAAATACGATGGCATTGATGGCAACATTCTGTTGGCCTATAATAATGTTAATAAACAAATGGATATCGGGTGTATATTCCATTAATATATAATAAATATTATTTTGTAAAGATTAAAAAAATATTAAGCTAATTTAATTAAATAAAGTGATTTTGTTGATTCTGTTATTGAACTATTTAAATTGGCAATTGATTGTCTCGGGTAGTTATAAAAATGTGACACTGTCCTAATATTGCTCAGTTATTAATAAATTAGTAAAATTAGGAAAAAGAAAAAGTGATTGCAAATTGTGAAAAAGTGAGTGTTGGATCGTGAAAGTAAAATAATTAGTGCAAGTGGTAAAGTGTTTTATTACAAATCGCCAACCCAGAAGTTTAGTGCTAAAACATTATTGTTTGATTTTGTGTAATTTATGTGTTGAAATAAAATGATCTTTATTATTATTATAATGGAAAAATATTCCAAAGTATATAAATGTGGTATAAAATAAAATAAAAAATGAAGTACACATACTAATTATAATTTTTGCATTTATATTTTTATTTGATTTAGAAAATATTTTTATAAATTTATTGTCATCAGATTGTAGGATACTGTGATAAAAGTATTTTATGTTATTGTACTGTATAAATAACACAATTCGTTCAGTTATTTCGTCAAATATTGATATATTTTTCGACATTGTCAAGCACTAGTCGATGTCAAATGGAGTCACTCGACAGTTTTGTCATTTGTTCTGAATGGTATAATCCAGCCCGTTTATGATGGTTGTCAGATGTCAACAATACATAGAAATATCGACTATATTTAACATAGTTGGATAATATGACATTTTATTTTACATTTAATTAAATTTTGTGATAAATAACAATCAATGTAATAAAATAATGTATTTACAAGTGAAAAGAAATAGTGCTGCTTCCGCCGTTATAGTTTTTACACCATTTAACAGAACATTTAGTCATTTTTGGGAGATGTTTTGTTGACAAGTAAGTGCTTGAGACTGACACAAGAAACAAACAACCTAGGCTAAAATTCCCTGGTTACTGACATGACCGTTAAAGGTACGTCCGCTTATATGTCTGGTCCAGTGGTTAATTCGTTCATGGTGTAGTGTATCAACTATCTAGTATCCATAAAACAAGCCTCGTAGCTTACCATGGCTAGATGGTGCTGTGTATTAATGTCCCAACATATTTATTTATTTATATTCCAAATATTTTATGCTTGCACTTCGATAAAATTTTAATCTTGGACATAACTATTTAATCCGAATTATATTCAAACTCGTTGAACATGCAGCAAAGAAGTGACAATTTGCAATCTTTCATATTTATAACGCCGCTTTTAATTTACAGGCGATTTACATCGACTGGTTGCCATCGGTACTCTTCGGCGCAACCGCCCTCGTGGCCGGCGGCCTCATGCTGACCACGCCCGAGACCCTCAACACTCGTCTCCCGGACACCATACAGGAGGCGGAATGCATCGCATCGCAACTAAAAAACAAAAAACCTGATAATCAGATCAACGGGTCTGCACAAGCCACCTCTAAATTTTAACTTTTCTGTAGTAACATGTACATAGAATAATTTATATTATACGTTTAAACGATAAAACTCATTTAGATGAACTTTAGTTTGTTAAGAATAGCCGATTTAAAGAAAAATCAATCGTAATTTTAAACTAAATATTTATTCTAATTATATTTTTGTTAAATATGAAACAAAAAAAATCATTAAAATTAGTGTGCTATTGGCGAAGAACACAGACTAAAAAACGTGCGGTCGATTTTGAACCTTTTGAAGTCGGTGAATAGATTTAGATGTTACGATATATGTATTACTATAGATTAAATTCACTATAAATTTCAATACATGTTACAGTGTTATTTATTACTCTGTGATAGAAGCTGAGCTACAAGTAGTGAGATCCGCATTAAGGAAGTAGATATAATGACTAGCTACACTAGTTAGTTCGTAGCCTTATGTACCACATTAATATGGCATGAAACTACTTAGTATACCGAGAAAGACATAACATATGACTTTCTCCATACACTAAATCTATGTAGAGAATCACGCCGACACTTTAAGGCGAAAAATGAAAATTTCCATTTTTGCATTTGTTATAACGAAAGATTTTTACTGACTGCCTGCTGTTCCATTCACTTCCAAACACATCCAAAACTAATAAATATAACATGCACCTTTCTTGGAGAGCGTATAACAACAATAGACGGCTAAGATAAGATGCTAAGAAGATTCGTTGTACAATAGAAACGTAAAAAAATATATGAGAATGACATACTTCGATTAAAATTCGTATTATAGTAAGTTTATTCGTAAAATATACGTTTTATAATAATATAATTTTATTATATGTTGGGGCTTGTATTTGATTTAATTTCATGACAATTCATTTTACTTAATTTCAAGATTGTAAGGCGTCGAAATGAATAGGGACTCTAACACTAATATTTTTCCAATTCATTACGCAAATTAATTAAATATGTTAAGTGTAGCTATTAATGTATTTATTATCAGATATGTAATGAGTGATATTTTGTGTGTCTAAAATAATATATATTTAGAAATATATCGACACTTTATTTTTCCTCCTTTATACACCTTTCGACATAAATTTTTATGCTAATTGATAATTTTATTAATCGTTGAAATCTACTTTTAATACATAATATAAATATGAAGAAGCTGAGAATATAATACTGGATAATATTATAATTGTAATTACTCAAGAAGGCACTTTCATTTGAAAAAGCAGTACAACATACGTTAATTAAGAGTCTCGATTGACAGATTTACAATTTCGCAACGAACTGATAAAATAATTGGTATAAATAGCTTGTATTGCGAAAGCAAAACCTAAATCCTATGTAAGAGGGAAGTTGTGGATCATAAAGTCCGGAATTCCCAATATATCGCAGTATCCAGCGGCCGCCGCGCACGCGCACGTGCCGCCCGCCTTAGCGCCCGCCCGCCCACATTTTATATATACCTAATTATGTTAATATTACAAAACAATAAACTCCATTTAATGTTTTTAATATTATATTTTTTTCAATATTAAATAATGTCTGAACAAAAAACACAATCAATATGTTCGCTCGAAAATTGCTAAAAAAAAAGAATCCTCTATATGAAGAAAATATAAGAAATCTGAATTTTGAGTACATTTTTATAATATAATATGCATTTTTCATACAATTGTGCGATCAATATTTGTGTTTGTGGTTGTAAGTGAAAATGTGTCAAACTCTATAATATACGAGTTAATGGTGATTATGTGATTCTTAATTGAAAAGTGTAAAGTGTTAGATTTAAAGTAGATAGAAGAAGTAACTGACAATGTCTCGACGGGACACTCGTATAGAGCGCTTGGAGTACCCGCCGCCGCCTCCGAGCAACTGCGCTAAGGTTCATATTTAAATCATATGTTTTTAAAGTTTAATATTTTACTATTTAACGACGAATTACTATTTGACTACATTATGTACTATAAAATAATATAAATTGGATAAATTTTGAATCACTCACTTTGGGCGAACAGTGGTATCTACAGTAGATAAAAATAATACTTTTAATGTCTTAGTTATAAGTAAACTTTCAGTATATTTCTATATATATATATATATATATATATATATATATATATATATATATATATCAGTATATTTATTTATTTAGTTATTTATTTTGTAACTTGGAAAAAAAACAGCATACAAACATCAAACAACTTTTGGATTAGTACACTTAGCCAACAAAAGTTTCCGTTTATACATAAACACAGCAGAGTATACTTGCTTACAAGTAAACAAATACAAATATAAATATAAATGTGTAACTACAAAATAAAATGAAAAATTTAAAAATAATATTTAACAGATTTAGATTTTAGATTTAAAATAAAAGACTAAGTTTAGGTCTCACAAAAAAATTGGTCAACCATTTTTGATTCCAAATAAAATTCCCTACAACTTTGGTCAAGTAACTTTTAGTCGTAGAACCAAAAACCTATAGTTTGTCAGATAAACCATAAAAACCCCCTGTGTACAGCTTTTTCCAAGATGGCAGCCGAGGGACAAGTGCTGCAATCCCACAAAATTGGATTTAACTTTACAGTAACCCCTCCTTGATATCTAAAAAATAAAATTGCGTCCTCTGACAGATGCACGATAAGCCCAAAAAAATGTAACATTTCAATGGACTATAATAATAGAAACTGAAAATAGTCCCAATGAGTCACTAACTCTTGTAGGCACAAGGAATTATAACCAATTATTTATGCACAATAATTAACTTAATTTACTTCAAATATAACTACATAAATCGGATTTTTTCGCGGATTTATTTTGATTTTTGTTTCCAATTATGTGGGTAGGTGCTGCCTGTAACAACTATATAATGAAAATTGAGACATATTGAAATTTGATACATCTAAAATGTTAGTATCTTCCGTGACCATGATTGCTGTAAAGCATTCGAAACGTCAAAAACCAAAAATCAATATAAATCCGCGAAAAAATCCACAATGATAATTTTATTTAAAATGTTAAATATTCGCGTAAATATAAGAAAGTATTATGTGAACAAGTATTTACTTATTTTGTAAAGAATAGAGTTTTACAGTAATCCATGGGTTTAGGTGCTGTACTACACATGGAAGCTGTGCTCCGTGGTGTTCTCACACTTCGTGATGATCAGCCTGGTGGTAGCGTACTGCATACTGGGCGCTGTCACTTTTGAGAAGCTGGAATCTCAACATGAGAGGGAGGTAATTCTACTTAGGCATACGAAACTTTTTGCATCAAAGTAGTTTGGATCTGACACCATTGGGATGAACCAGAGTTAATAATGTCAGTCTGTAAATTTGCTGTGAAAGAATAGCTAAACTTTCAAAAAAGAGGAGGTTCTCAATTTGTCGGAGACTTTTTTTAAAATATCAATTTTGAAAAATAGTTGGATGGACTATCATCTGGTTATTATTAATGGACAAATTAGGGAAAAATATGGAAGAAAAATCAGTTATTCTAAATTATATTTTTGAAGATAAAACAACATTACTTAAGTTTAAGAGTATTATTTAAAATATTTTTTTATTTTGTTTGACTGTACCAGGAAAGTAAATAATGTAGGTATCACTTTGATTTGAATTCAAACAAATAGACAGATTCGATTTATTTGTTCAGTTAAAACGGGTTGCAGGTAAAGATGAACATATCGCAGATCCGCGGCAACACCACGCAGAGCATCTGGCTCATGACCAACCGTGTGTCGTACCTCAATCAGACCAACTGGACTGCCGAAGTCGTTGATATGTTAAAAGTATGTCAATTTTTATTATTTACCTTCTTATTGTACATTTTTTGTAAATCTCTTTTTTCTATTACATGCTGTCCTTGTATGTTTATGTTTTGGGTAATTTTTTGCTATATTATGAGACTAGTACCGAGACGACCGAGCTTCGCTCGCCGTTTTGTAGGATCGTGTGATAAAAAGATGTAAAAATTGCATTTTTTTTCAAAAAAGACACCTAAATAGATAAACTTAAATAAAACCCTATTTAAATACAATATTTGATCAAAATCGTTAAAACCCTTTTCAAGATACACGAAATAATTGTACATCTTAATATATATAATTCTTCTGTACGTGTATTTGTTAACCTACTCTTAGAGGACTGGACCGATTTGGATGAAATTTTGTGTGTATATTTCAATGGGCTCCTGGATGGTTTAAAAATACAATTGGATCCAGTAGGTGGCGTTGCAGTCGGTGTGCCACTGATCATCTCCTAAACGGCAGGGACGATTTGAATGATATTTTTTGTGTATGTTTGAGTTGCAAGGTTTGAATTCACAAATAGACCTGGTAGGTGGCGCTGCATTATTATTTTTAGTTTCAAATTATATGAATCATTGGCAGGACTTTGAAAATGCGATATTGCTGGAGATGAAGGTGCGTGGCTGGGATGGCAATGAGAGCACCGAACACATACAGTGGACCTTCTTCGGAGCACTCTTTTACTCGATCATCGTCATTACTACTATTGGTATGCCTCACTATTAAATAAATAAATATGTTGGGACATTAACACATAGCACCATATAGTTCCATGGTAAGCTATGGAGTCTGTGTTATGGATACCAGATAGTTGATACACTACACATATAAAACTTGGACTGGAGTACAAACATTCGGGTTCATCACACAAATGATGGTCCCCACCGGGACTTGTACTCGCGACCGCTGGCAAAGCAAGTAGAATCATTACAAACTGAGCCAAACGTGTCGTCAATTTTTTTAATTTAGTTTATTAGAAGATTAGTAGAAAGGCTATCTCAATTGCGAATTTTACTTTTATTCAGTGAGCTTTTACTGCATTTAGAAGTAACAAGCATACTCACTCAAAAACTTTTGCATTGAATTATCCATTTGGTAAAGGGAAGGGGTCCAACCTAGTGACGTATTCGTCAAGTGGTTTCCATTAAAGCTTCAAAATTAATTATTTGCAAAACAGTAGTTTTAATTATCCCACAAAAAGTCTATTCTCCGAATTTCTCCGAGGAAGAAGAATACACAACAAACCCCAACAAATCACATGTTACAAAATATACAAAATATATGTCGCATTTATAATATACGTCTGGAATTAGTCGCTTGTGTAGAGTGTGTGCACTTCCTAATAATCTATTTTTTGTAACAATTTACAGAGAGTAATTAATTAACATTTTCCTGCGATATTAATATTTTGGAAATGGTTGTAGGTACTTTATTAATTATTTTATTGAAACTTTTTTAAATAGTAAAAAAAGAAAACTATTTCTTTGCAGTTTTGCTCTATTTTTACTATTATAATTTATTTACATTGATTATATAAAATAATTTAATTATAACTGTCTCTTTTTTTCTAGGTATATTATAAGAAACACATGTAATATATATCTTAGATATTCCCTCCCACGAAGGTGGAAAACCTTTTTAGTGGTGGCGATACGTATTTTACAACATATATTAGAATTTGTGAATGGTAAATTTTCATTTCGGTATCCGGTTCGGTTCAGGGATGCTGCAAGTCACAAATGTATATAATAAATACTACATTGATACTTTAAACAAAACTTTATTTAGGTATATCAAATATTTTCTAAAAAAATAACATATGCTAAAATTAAATTAAAATCGTTAATTATTCAGTGTTTGACGTTAAACGCGATGGTGAAGTTAAAAATGTAGTTTGAGTTATTCATGCATTGCGATATATCAAAGGCGGCCGGCGGCGCTGGCGGCGCGCCAGCGAACAATATCTATAATACGTCAATTTTTTATATCCAGGTCCGTTATTGAGGCCAGTGGCTCGATGTTGAGGACGTTCGGAAAGTGCTATCAAAAATATATTTTCACATTTTGGTTAAAATTATTTTCATTATTTATAAATATATTTATAAAATTCGGATGAAAAAGCTAGTGCAAGCAGCCTCGTCCTTTTTTAGTATAATTTTTGTTTGCTTTGTATTCATTTGGATATTTTTTGCGACGCGAGCAGCCTGTAATTGTATGAGAATTGTATAAATAGTATTTTAATATAAATTGTGTATGTACATAATTAGTAATTACATATATTTAAACAGATTCACATTTATCTACAGCTATGTATACAAGTGGGTCCAAGCCGCAGTTTATAGCGCGGTGTTAGCACAGAACTCGTTCGTTAGATCTACTCGTACCAAAATATTTACACTAAACTAATCGCAACGAGCACTCGACGCGTAAACACGCCCGCTGCGGACATTGATTACCGACAGTAAATTAGTTTATTAGTTATCACAGTACAACACTTAAAAGTAGTAGTTTCTGGGGCCAATCTGACCTGTTGGGCCTCCTGGACCGACGAGAATTTGCCTTCCTGGACCTATTATTCCCGTGGGACCACCTGGGCCCACTAGCACCCCCGGGTTTTGTGAGGGACGGTTGAATCTAGAAGGGCCTATTATTCCTGTGGGCCCACCGGGTCCAACCAGAACACCTTGGCGGCGCGGACCTATCATTCCAGTTGGGCCACCAGGACCAACTAAAACTGGCCGGTTGAACGCTGGACCAATAATTCCTGTGGGACCTCCCGGTCCGACGAGTACTCCCCTTTGTGCACTTTCGCTAGGACCTATTTCTCCGGTGGGACCCTCTGGACCAACTAAAATATTTTTATGGCCGTGATTTTTATTTTCACCTTGAGAGTCTACAAAAGCAGGTCTTTCAGGGCCAATAACTCCGGTGGGGCCGCCGGGGCCGACTAATACTTGATTTTTTTGCGGGCCGATGCTGTCAGTGGGGCCGCCAGGGCCGACGAGTATTGCCTGATCTCGATTATTGTAAGTCTCGTGATTTGGTCTAAATAGTCCGTTATTACTGTTGGGCGGAAGGAAAGCTCCTGCAATGTTCGCTTGATTGGGATATAGCATTGAATGATCGTCGACTTCGTTGAAATATTCTGAAAAATAATATAAAATAAGCTATATTTTGTAAACTCACACAATGAACTTATTCTTGTTTAAAATAAATGTTGTTAACATTAAGATATGAGGTAACCTCTTTGGGATAGGGATATATATGTATTTGAAAAGGACAAAAACAACACGATAAGTCTAATTCTGTTATTTTCGTCTAAAAAATGTTTAAGCAATCAATTAGGTTTCAGTATATTACAGCATGAGCGAGTTCGATATTTTATAATTTATTGTCAAACGTGTACCTGAAGGATACTTATTTTGTTGTCTGGGTTGATTGTAACAGCATAGATATTGGTTAGTTCCGCATGCGTTCTGGAAAAAGAAGTACATAGAAAAATAAAGTTAAATTTTATTTCAAATTAATTATAATTACAGTTAATTAACTGTTTTCATATTGTCCAAAAAGTATTAATATTTTGGAATATTGGAATTGAGTTATAAAATTTTGGAAATTACTTTCTTGTACTTCAAGGCAAATAACGTTTAAAAAAGCTAAATACTTCTATATAATCTATATATATAATAAAAGTGCAACTGATCGTTGTCTGTACATGGAAGATATTTGACAAAATCTTTATATATATAATTCTTCTGTGAGTGTGTATGTCACTGAACTTCTCTCAAACGACTGGGACGATTTTGATGAAATTTTTTGTGTGTGTTCAAGGGGATCTGAGAATGGTTTAGATTCACAATTTGAATAATAATTTTCATCAAAATGGTCCAGAATGTTTTAGCTTATTAAAAAAAGTTTGAAATTTTCAAATTAAAGACGTGTAGACAGGATAACGTCTGTCGGGTCAGCTAGTATCTATATAAATTATATAATTTAGGTGTGGGTTTCAGTAATGTATTGTGGTAAGCTTCACTTAACATTTAGTATTTACATTGTTTTATTTCGATCGGTTCAAAAACAAAAAAAAATATGTGAGGGTGAGTCGCTGGTTTCGTAAATAAAGCTAATGCTTGTACTTACATTATAATCAGTCTGTACTTGACAGTCTGGGCGGGACACGCACTTGCAGTGCTGCAGCGAGTCCAGCGCTCCGTCCCTAGGAACAACAGCAATAAAATTGTAATATATATACTTCTTATTAATTTTTGACTTAAATTGCGATGTGATGAGTTATATTATTATTCATGTATGTATGTTTTAGGGAAAAAATAAATAATGAATATTAAACTTACGGTGTTTTTTTATATAATAATATAAATATAAAATAGAGATGTGCGTCAAGCAACAAATGCCTTTAAAAAACGTAACGGAACACGTGTTTCACGCTACTAGCTAGAGTACTGTAGCCTACACAGCAAGATACATGAAATTCTAATACATCTACATACAAATACATGAAAATCTAATAATAAACAAAAATTATACCTATTTTGATCATTCAGGAAGACTGTTTGTCCGTTTATACGTATGCCATTGTCGTAGCCCTGCTCGACGCGCACGGGGTAGCGCCCCGCTCCCGGCGGCTGGTTGTAGAAGCCCTGCGTATCCGTTGCCTCTTCGAAGGGAATCTCGTCTGCTTGTATATTGCTATCTCTGTAATAGTCAAAAAATTAAATGCGTGTAACCTTTACGCGCGCTTGAAGTAAAACTGTTTTGGCGCTGTGGCTATTATTAGATATGAATATTCATTTTTATAAGTATTTTTTTAATTATTAATAATAAATTTGACTCTAATTTCCGCGGCACTCATTTCAATGTATTGGTTTACCTCTCCGTCAGGTGCTAAAGAAGTTTTACCTACTTCAAAAACTTTTAGAAGTGAATAAATTCATGAAAACTTTATAGGGACATACATACAAAGGTAACTTATAACCAAATATTATTAAACTAAGCAAAAAAAAACAACAATAATTCTGTCTAAAAATTTTTTAAAAACCAAACACAGAGGACCTCGATAGCGACCTCGAAAACGACAGAGGACCTCGATAGCGACGAAAAAATAATAGAGGTAAAATTTATTACATTTGTTTACAACGCCATGGAAGAGAAAGAAAAAAAATGGATAAATAGAACTAAAATGTCATCTCACAATAGCAAATGGTAATCAGTCCTTTATTCATACCTTATTTTTTACCGGTCATTCTATATAGTATAACGTGTTATTTCCATTCTACGCGACATTAGCGAATTAAATTTTGCCTTGAAGCCACGAAACTAAAAAATTAAATTGAATTCATACCTTATAAAGAAGTTGCTTTCATTTTAATAAGTCTAGTTTAATAAAATTAAGATTTTTTATTTCCACCGAAAATAGCTGTTGCTGTGTTAAGTGGTAAGGTTTTTAATTTTAATTTTTTAATTACAATTGCGAAGACGATGTTGACGAACTTTTATTTTGGAGTAGCCTCCGGAGTTTGGTGATCAAATTTAAAAAATAAAACACTTTTGTACATTAATGAGTGTGACGTATTAATATATTACGGTAATACTCTAGATTTTTAGGGTCCTTTAGCCAAAAGACAAAATCAGATTTCTTATAATTTCGTCATGCATACAAATTCTATGGTACAAGCTTATTGATTTTGATTTGATTGAGATATATGTAATATCGATCAATCCAAAGAATATTTTAGGTGGGTATTTTAATATGGAATCATTTTAATTTGGACGTATCAAATTATGTACGACCAATATAATATAAATTAATAATTATTCCATGTTACGGAACCTTCGGAGCACTGGTCACACTCACACTTGCCAATTCTTTTATTAGTAATTGGCAGTTCGATCTATTAACTATTTAGCTAAGATTACAAAAAATGAATACGGAAGCAATACATTTGACGGTCTACTGTTGAAATTCCGGTAAGTATTGTAAGCATTTGCGCGAGTGTTTATATAATAAAATGTGGGCCAATCTATTCACTATTACGATCAGCGCATGAAACTTTTAACAACAAAGTTCGATAAATTAGAATGAATGGTGAAACTATCGCGTTAAAAGATTTGCTGAATTGTTATCACGTCTCATTAAATTGTACTAAGTAGGAGGCCCAAGTAAGCTCATCTCTCAGGGAGAGTTATGTGTTTGACCTGTATGTATGTATCTTCAGACATACATATACAATAGGATCAGCCGTAGGTTTCTGCTTAGTTACGAAACGGCATAACCGATTCTTCTTGATGACTATAACATCCATATGTACATACATACATGTGGCAAGATTTGAAACAAACAAAGCATGTATAAATGTCTGCAAGTGCATTATAGTATGGTTTTTCGTTAACTTGTTTTCGTCTTTTTAGTTCGCTTCTTACGCAGGTCTGGTATTTTAATTTTTATAATTCTTATTTTGCTTATTTATTTTGGAAATATTTAGACAATTAAGAAGCCAAATATACAGATCATGTAATATATATGTTGCTTGCTATATGTTTAGTGATTTACGACTTGTTAAACTTTTGGTAAAGCCGTATGCAACGAAAGAAATTATATCAAACTATTATCAAGCGAGCTCCCGACTTCTACGAGTAACTTCTAACCATGGGCCATTAAAACCATTTTGCGCAAGTTTATAACTCAGAAACAATCTCAGAAATCCCTAGATGCAATCAATCTGCATAATTTATATTACAATTGTGGTTGCCGAATACGTTCTTATTTGATATAAGGATAATATAGTTTTAATTTGATTCTGTTTGCCTCGGCTATGGTAACAAAATGATTAAGTACTAATATTTGCCCGCAGTTCTTAATAGATATTTTTAATTTTTATACTATTGCTAAAGATATTTATCTTATATTCGACAAAACTTTGAAAACACAATAGTTGATGAAAGGATGTAGAAATTCAATAGTTTCATAATTCGCAATTAGAATGTGAGTTAGTTAGTGACGTAAACTGTATCTATTTCATAAATGGCAATTGTGGGATAGTGTACTGTGTATTGTAATAAGAAAACAATACGTGTGATAGGGATGCGATGTCGGCCAAGGCGCCGCGCCGCGCCGCGCCCGCCCGACCGGAACGCGCCGGTGTACTACATACAAATTTTGTATCGGTCCATTCATGTGGTTAATTGCTCGAGCGACCTTCAACTGTTGCATCTTAGCAAGAATGATATATAAGGTCATAACGATTTTGTTATTTTTTTAATTAACACAAATGAATATGTACAAATACATATATCAAAACTTAAACGGGGTCAGAGTTGCGCACTGCATATTATTTAGTTAATTATAGTCTTAAATTTATTCACCTACTGACAGACAGCGCACAGACGAAACATGATATTTTGCTTCTCCATCTTCTCGCCGTTTTTGAATCAAGTACAAGGAATTGGTAATTAGATTATACTCGTAGTATTTTATTAGATTCACGGAATTATTTATTCGACATTTTAGATAAAATTATCTTTTCGGACTTTTTCGCGGAATTTCGCGGATCAATCAAGGTCTTGGGAGAGATTCAGGTCAGTTTCAGTTTTTTGACGTCTCAAAAATTATTATAAAGTTTTTTTGTAAATAAAACTTAATTATATTATTATTTTATGAACATCGTCCTTCAAATGGGTTGAAGAAGGAATGAAAGTTTATGAAAGTTTATACGATCGGAGGTTCGGGTAGTTAAAATAGTTGTGTTTGAAACTTAGGATGTAATAGAAGCTGGGTCAGTTTTTATATTTTTTGTCGGTGTGTCTGTCTTTTTCGACGCCTTTGGCTCTGAGGTGCCTTTGGATCTACTCAAACGATTTTAGTGAAACGCAGCTTTATATTTCTTTAAACTACTATTGTAAAGTCCTGTAAACGCCGTCCAGCCATCTTAAGATACCATGTTACATTCGAAGTGAGTCAGATTCGTGAAGCGACGGAGAGTATCATTTTCGTGTTGCGATTTAACTTCTTAATTTGCTAAGTTAAAAGTAGAATGAAATTATTTTTGATATTATTTATATATGCGCAATGGTAACTGAAAGTGCTTTTATCCATGTTTTTTTTTGTATTAACGTGAAGATCCGAAACTTTATTAAAATTTTGACGGAACAATGTTAGATCATTTAGTTATACAAAAGATAAATTAATTTCTAAGATCGCACCGTTGCGGTCGCTGCAACATTGCATACGTGCACGCAACAATATGTAATATTTATTTATTGGGTTAAGTTAATTATCAAATTCCGCTACAACTAGGTACTGAAAGCGATATTCGATTTGATGAAATTGCGGTTTACTTAAATATATACAAATTAAGGAAATAGTAGCTACTGCTTGTATGTATAAGATAATTGTGAATTAATATACTACTGTGTAAGACTTCGGCCAGCTTATGTCATGTTTACTGTGGTTTCCGTCAAGAGATATTTAGCATAAGCTCGGAGTTGGAAGTTGGCGTTGCTTACATTCCCGTGCCAAGGAAGAGAACGCATTTCAGTCTTGCTTCTCTCTTACCGGTTTAGTCGACTGTCTGTCCCATCGGAAGATGAGATTTAAAGAAATAGAGAATGAGAGTGAGAAAAAAGAGTGTCACTTGCCTGCACATACACTTGCACGCACTTGCTCTGTATAATTTTTCTAACGTAGGAGTAGTCTAGTGACATTGGCCACTGTGACCAACTCGGGAAGGACATTTTTTGTGGCAGGACATTATTATTAGCAAGGAGTACAGAAAACAATAATACCTTTTAGTATTTCTTTGCTGTGAGTCGGAGTCGATGAAACTCACTTTGTTGTCAATCCGCACACTCTCGTCGCCCACTGAGTCCGCCGGGCCCGCGTCCGGCCAGGCCCAGCGCTCTGCGCACGCGCACCTCGCTACCAACAGCCATAGAAGAAATCTGTCTGTAGATACAAAATATTTTGCGTCACTAAACATAAAATATTTAAATTAAATAAAAACTTAATATTATGCATAGGTATTATATTAAAAAAAAATCGACCAACTATTCTCGAAAGTAGTTAATTTTGTTAATAATATTTTTTTGATGAAATATATGCTTATTTATTCCTTATGCATAATATTTTTTCTCACTATATAAAAGTAAACAAAGAAAGCTCATATTTTGATTGTCCTTTTGTATAACACCTCTCTCATATATTTATATCTGTGTAGTTAAAAACGAAACATTTAATAAGTTAAGAATATTATTATGCTAAAATTAAAGTAATCGATTCATCTTCATCATGCCGGTGTTTTTTTGAATTATTTATTAGTTGTTATTTTTCTGGGAGTATATCTTTAGTTGTTAATTACACAGCGTGATACTCAAACCCGTGCCTACGGACATAAAAGATCTTGCCTGTTAGTGGACAATCAGCAATAAGGTTTAGTACCTAAGGTACCTTTAAGTGTTGATATTTTGTCATCTCATCATAAAACTACTCTAACGCGTAACATACACACATATAAACAACAGAATTGAGACCTCTTTTTTTAAAGTCGATCAAATAATGGATGAACAGTAACTAACGCTGAAGTATGGGTAAACTATCGTCATAGATGCTTATCATGGAGGTGGAAAATTATCTTAATGCCCTGTGCCACGCGAGCACGTGAGTCTGTCTCTCTGTCCGTCGTCGCGCGTGACGTCACTGCATTGTCTCAAGCAAAATAATAACAGATGCCCTACAATTAGGTGTTATAGTTACTGAACGCAACTTGCTAAGTCTTACTCATTGATGACTAATTTATCTTGTTAATACATTTTCAATATATTATCGGACTATTAGTTATATATGCGGAAGTTTGTATGCTTGTTACTCTTTCACGCTGGAACGGCTTTGGATTTGTATGAAGTTCACAGATAGATTATGACTTTTTTTTTTTTTTTTTTTTTTTAACGTTGGGAAATGCATTTACGCACGAAGTGTGGGACTCACCGGCAAAGCCAGTACTACCCACTAAAACCCAACAAAACCTTCCCCCGTCTTAATGGGGCGTCGCAGGATCGCTTACGCATTCAACTACGACACCCCGACGGCAGGTCTGCCAAAGCAGACCACAACAACCATGGGGTTGCTCCACGGTCCACTCTGCTATCAGAGAAGTACCAGGAGCAACCCGCATGGTACACCACCCTCCGAAGAAGGCCACCTCCCACCGCCCACCGAAGCGGGCCACCTCCCTGTGCGTTTCTTGGCTTCGCGAGTACACTACTGAGCCCCCCCACCACGACAAGGTGAACGCACGTTGGGGGGGAGATAGATTATGACCTGGAGTAGAACATAGGCTACTGTAAGGCAGCTAATAACCTATATACTTATATGTATATTAATAAAAATAAAATATTACTCGAGTAATAATTTCTTTAATTATATTAAAATTGTTAGACTGGGTTATTATAAATACAAGTATATAAATGAATTAAAATAATTAGTATGCTTGTAATGAAATGTATTCAATCCTTTTTAGGATTTAGGACCAACTACTAAAGTTGGTTAATTTTATTTAACAAAATTAAGCGCAGTTGTTGTCCTACATAATTATATGACTTTGTTCATAAAAATCGTATTACAAAATGTGATTACTAAACTAAATGAAAGCAAACAGGTCCACTTCCCTTCATAATAAAATTTTTGCGTCATACATTTTTGATTTTGCTATTCGATAATGCAAACTTGATGTTAAAATCTAGTTTTGATTGAGAATTTCAAAAACAATAAGGGCGTGTCGAGAGTGGATAAAGAATAATTCTTTTATAAATCAAATCTTTACCTTAGCTACATATTATAGCTATTCAATTTATTTGTTTCAAATTATTCTTGTTTTACGAAACTTTATATACGTAAATAGCGGCTCACAGCGGTTCGTCCCTAGGTACGTTTTAAATAGATATAAATATTAAATAGTTATTAGCCATGAGCCATTAGAAAAATGGAATATATATATATGTATATATATTTTCCATTTTTCTAATGTTTGAATAGTTATTCTCCTATTCAGGGTGGAGAAAAATCCAATAAAACAAAGATCATATAAATCGGTTCAGCCGTTCTTGAGATATAGTAAATGGTGTAACTAACTTGACTTTGTCTTATATACATATATGTATATATAGATTTAAGGAGTCTAAAATAACTAAATTATTATTATAATATGAAGAAACGCTCTAATCGGGTGAATTCTATGTACATAAGTAGATATGTACCATGGCAGGTAACACGCACGACCAGTGCCCCGTGGGCGGGCGGAGATTTCGCAACAACAAACCTAAGGACATAATTATGCAGTTAAAAAGCCTTGATGACGAATTTAATATCAGTATAAGTCGAAGTTTATGATTTTTAGGAGTCGGTCAAGGTTCCTTAAGTTTGGATAAAATGAACAAAAATAAGTTAATAAATAATATTTTAGGCATATGAAGGTCGCAAGTTTGATTTTCATCAATGCAAATTTTGTTGTAGATCAAAAATCTTATGTATAGAATATATTATTTTAAACTTACGGATAATTGATGTTTGTATTATATAAAAGACACAATGTTGGCATAATTTCTATGGATTTCTCTTAATTATTTTTTTATTTAACTAAATTTTTGTAGCTTAATTAAATTTTTAAACCTATACCCAAAAATATTATATAACATTACTTAATTAACTATATTATTTAATTAATAATTTAAAAAAATAAATAAAACAAAATTAAAAGCAAACATACCTATATACATATTTTCAAGTCACCCACGATGCACATAACATATAATAATTAATGTTAACAATTAACAAAGTCCGGTCGGTGTCGGCGCGGCCGCTGGAGTCGCGGTAGTTATGTAACTGAGCAGTGAGCAGGCTTCAGGCGACCCTACTCGGCCGATACAACTGTAGTCTAGTAAGAAACCTATGAGGCAAGCTTTTTATTCGTTACGCGTATATATTATAAACTAGATAAATTATTCGAGTTTGCTTGCACGTTATTAGATATTATAATTTGAATTAACCGACTTCATCAAAAGATCTCAGTTATTCAAGTCATAATATGATATTTTCGGGATTATTGAACTGCGTTATGTATTTTTTAATATTATTATAATCGAAGGTTTGTATAGATTTAAAATAGTTTATTAAATCAAATATAATAAAGTTATTTTGAGGCGTATTTTTGTATGTGAAGTCAGATTTGACTGAAATTAGATGAATATAATATGATTCGTAAAGAATTAAGAATGTTTTATTTTTTTAGCCATCTGAGAAATGCTTCAAATATTTAATTTATTTACATCGTTATTATTACCAACTCTTGGTATCGTTTAAAGATATGTCTCAACTTTGTTTTAGGTTAGGGGTTAGGTATTACGTTTCTCTTGCGGTTTACGGGCATTTTGCTAAGTTATTGTTATTTAACAATTATTCTTAAAACTAAATACTTCAATATTCCTTGTATATGAAATGTAAATAAACGAGTTGTTTATGATGATTGATGACATATAGACTACAATAACTGAACTCGTATGTTTAGTGTTTCAAGTCGATTCTACCCACAATTCATAAATACATAGTTGCAAAGATACTCGTAGAACTTGTGATTTCTCTTAATAAATGGTTTTTAGACAGAGTATAATATTTTTATTTATTTAAATCGATAACACTGTTCAGGCATTGCTCAATAATTGCAAATTTGCCTCTATCGAAAGTAGTAAGTGGATCGCCCTCCTTTACATATGAAGGGCAAAGAATTCGTTAATATATGTAAATATGTAGAGCAGATTATTAAATATATTGAAAAAAAAAATGTTGTTTTTAAATATTTACATATAGTTAATTTATTCACACAATTTTTTTCTAATGACTCATCGATTATTTTTATTTAACTAATAGATGTCATGTTAGCTTATTATTAATTGTAAGTATAACTTCTTATCTAGACAAAGCAACGCTCAATATTGAGAAAAGTGATCTGACGAAGTTTGCACATAGCGTTAAATTAGGATAATAATACACATAATTACAAAATGAGGTTTTTCTCATATTATCTGCAAAGAAAAGTGTGTGAAGCTTAATTTTTTTATAACTACTAAAAAGTATTTAGTCTCTACTTATGTGTCTACTATTTTGACTGGATGTTTTTATATACGTATTTTTATGTTAGGGTTTTTAAATAAAATAAACTAAGTACAGTAAAGTTTTAAGAACACAACATAAATCAAAATATATTAATCGTTAATTTTCTAACTTCAAAGATATTTTTGTATATAGTAAGCAAGTGTTTCAAAACTCGGCAGTCAGTGAACCGAAGGCCGCTTGCACCAAACTCAGGCAATTACTGGCTGGGGAAGCCCTAAGGTCTCTGCAATGCAAGTGACCCACATTTTGAAGTTTCTTTTAAAATAAACCTTTTAATGTTTTAGTTGCGTGAGAATGACTTAATGAATAATAAATTTAAAAACAATCTAGTATTTTTTTAATTATTTTGTTGGAATAAAGCTATCGTTACTGTCTTCGTCTTTAAAAAGTAAACAGAATTGTGACTAATAATAATAATATTCTTTAGAATAATTACTTTGAATGCCAGAAAATAGGATTGTATCTACTATCTACATACATATTTTTCGTACAGATCTCTACAGCACCTTTTATAACTCACTAAATAAAAAAAGACATGACACCTAATCTTATCGCTTCTACTGACAGCTGGCTCATTTTTCGCCCAAAGAATTGGCGTTCCTATTCAGCGGGGGATACGACTAACATTTTTGCCACTATTCTGCATGGACATGACTTGTAACAGTAATAATTAAGTATACATTTGTTTTGTATATACAATTAAGTATATTTGTAATTTCAATGTAAAAATAAATATGTTGGGACATTGTCACACATCACCATCTAGTTCCATGGTAAGCTACGAGGCTTGTGTTATGGATACTAGATAGTTGATACACTACACATATATAAACTTTAAATACATACATATTATAAATATAAACACCCATGACTGGAGTACAAACATTCGTGCTCATCACACAAATGAATGCCCTAGCGGGACTCGAACCTGCGACCGCTGGCACCGCAAGTAGGGTCACTACAGACTGAGCCACACGCGTCGTGGTTTATTTCCTTTATTTTAAGCAAATACATGAGACTTACAGCAAAAATTCTAAATTATGCTTCTCACTCGTGATGCACTCGAAAGCAGCTTATAAGTAGAGATTCAAGATATGAGCTAACTTCATTCTGGAATTAACTTACATTGGTAGATCTGTTATAGCGTGATAAAGTAACAAACACACTTACACTCACTAACATCCAGATATTTGTAATTATTATGTTATATTGATTTGAAGTTAAAACAACATGATTTCTTTATGTGCTTAACTAATAACCTTAAGGCTTTGGTATCATGAAATTCTTTATAATTACAGAAGTAAGATGATGATGTAAATTAAAACAGTATTAAAAAATCATCGATCCCGACCCACTCTCCTTGACTTCAATCAAACCACGAATGCTGTTTAGGAAAATCCCATCGAAAATATCTATCATTATTATTAATCTGAAGGCTAATATAGTAAATGTCCTTCACTATCATTATAGTATTTTGACAATATTATAAGTGCTCTACAAATATGGACTCTACCGTTAAGGTTTTTACGCTTATATTTCAAAATGGGCCTAAAAAATTATATATTTTATTGTGTTTTATGTCAATTATTGGCGGTGACCTTGTCGGTGACCTTGTCGGTGACTTTGTCGGTATTCGTTACATATGTCAATAATTGAATGATATTATAAAATATCAGTTAATAACTATAGCTTAAATTTTATATTGTTTCTTAATTTATTTAAATTTTATATCACCTACATTTTGCTTGCTAGTTACTCCTTATAACACTAGCTATCTGTCAGTGAAAGTCTCGTCACAACCGGTCCAGCCGTTTTTGAGATTAGCCGGAACAAACAGATAGACATACAAAAATGTTAAAATTAGATTTTTTTATAAGTACCGTATATAATTTCTTATGCATTTAGTAAAAATGCTGTTATTTTTATATTACAAAAAGACATTTAAATTTTATATATCTGTTTAGATTTGACAAAAAGTAAAACATAAAAAAGTGAAAAAGATTGCATCGGCCGGGAATCGAACCCGGGCCGCCCGCGTGGCAGGCGAGCATTCTACCACTGAACCACCGATGCTGTTATACAGATAATCAAAATAGCTCTACAGTCTCGCGCAGTGTCCTACAAACTAACGTTACAATCACTTGTAGATATTATGGCTTTCATGCAATTTAAAATTTTTACGAGTTATTACAACAGAGTATCATTTGACTTTGCTTTTGTACAGCTACGCCTTATGTCTAGTGACTGGTAAAATGTAAAGAAATGTAGAAATGCAATTGTTTTGTAATAAAATTATAAATTTTCTTAATTGAAATCTTTTAAAATATGTTACATATCCTCTAATCTGTGTGTTAATGTCCCAACATATTTATTATTTATTTATTTTATTTATTTAATTATTAGTTTAGATATTACAGAGCACTCAAGGATCTAAGTAGGTACATATACATGTGAGCAAACAATTTTTTATTTTAGTGTAAAAATACGTGAAGTATAGTGTAAATTACATGTAAAAATATAATTATATATTTCAGGGTATGGACACATTGCTCCGAAGACTCAAACAGGCAAAGTCGTCACAATATTTTACGCAATCCTTGGAATCCCTCTCATGCTGCTTTGCCTTTCCAACATCGGTGACGTCATGGCTTCGTCATTTAGGTCACTATACCTGTGATACCACATTATTTGTTTACTCCTCTATTGGGAAATGTAAACACAATTCACAAACGTACCGACGGATACGAATATATAAATATATAACAATGACACAAACGCTGCACAGATACTAAAAACAAATATCATTATTAACTTAATGCTTGGTAAAAATAATTGTAAGCATTATTTTCGAAGTATCGAAATTACTATTTACGCACTGGAATAAATAAGTAAAGTGTAATTTTTGCTGTTTTAGCTATTTAATACATATTTTTCGTTACAATTATAATGATAGAGGCGACTCTATATTTTGTGATCAAGTGCTTTTGCTATATATAATTAATAAGGGGGTTTTATTTACTATTGTATAAAAAATTTACGACACATTATTATAATAAGTACATGTTTCAATTTCATTCATGTGTTATAGGTTTTTGTACTGGCGTGTATGTTGCTACGTGTGCACAAGACCTCCTAAACCAAGGCATCGTTCTAAAAGGTAAATGGTCAATTTGATAAAACATTTCTGTAAACAAAATACTGATGGAACTGGTATATAACAGTAAACTGGCGGTATCCAACGTCACACTTGTCTGAATCAAATGTGGATAAATGGAGCCCATAATTTTTGTTGCAGTAAGGCTAGGCAGCCAAAGACCCCAACCGTGGTACTAGACAACAACCGTTAAATTTTTTATCTAAGAAATTTCTGAAAATTGGACGAAAAGTAGTCTTATTTTATACCAGAATAAGAATATATCTTATATAAAATAAGAATAGTTATCTTTAAAAATATATAGCAAATAACTCAAATAATATAACTATTTGATTTCTTTAATATAGGAGGTCAGCGCGGCCAGGAAGCACGCGAAGTTCAACTCGCCGCCGAAAACCGCTTGAACGATCTCAATCAGATACTGACTGCAGGTTTGTAATATGCAAAGTCTTAAAATCATGATGTGCGTTTGTTAATAACTATCTAAATAATATTATTTTATGTCAATTAAATAGTTTTTGGTTTATAATTGTATCGCTTTGCATTAATCTAAATAGCGGTGTATTTCACATTTTCTATTGCAATCGTGTCGAAAATAACAATCATTATAATTGGTGGTTCTGAGAGTTTTGGGAATCTTGTATATGTTTTAATTATCTAACTTTAATTTACGTCTATAATTTGATATAAGGGTTCCTCCTTCGCCCATTTGCTAACTGAATGAAAAGTTTATTTTTGTTAAACGTAAAATACGATAGAAGACGCGCTCGAGAAAAGCTTAATAAAGTATGACCGTTGTTACAAAATATAATTCAAAGGCGATTTACTTATTTTATTGGTGATCACCAATTAAGTTTTTTATAACATAATCACATCATAATTAGGTATATGTGGAGATCATTGATTGAGTAAAGATCTGTAATTTTACCATTTCTAGAATGACAAATGTCGTAAAACACAAAGGTTGGCAAATTTAGCGAATGTTTGTTTGAAGAATACTATCTTTTGAGTAGTACTGTACTTTAATTTGAATGTTGAACTGAAATGCGAATAGGATAAAATTTTACAATTATTTTAGGTATCGTGATAGTGGATATAACACAACTCGTCCTCGTCGCGGGCGGCCACTTCCTGTACCAGTCTCCGCTCCACGCACGCGTTCGCAACCACCTACATCCTCAAGGTCGTTTGGTAAGCTATATTCTGTCCGTCAGTGCAGGCTAAACCTAAAAATTTATTTTTCCAAATAATATTTTACTGATTAAATCTACAAAATATCTACTAAACGTCCCATGAGTGAGTCTATCTCTAGTTCAGAAAGAAAATGCCCCAATCGAGGGGAGCCAAAGTAAATATCAAATATGTAAGATATTTATTTCCTTTGTCAGTGTATGTCATTACTTGTAAGAACACTGGTAAATATATTTCCACAAAAAGTTCAAACGTCATGTAATTGATTTCAGGACCAAGAGAATTTGAAAGAGATGATAATTCCCCGGTGCGATATGAAAAGTACGGAAGAGATGTTTACGATGAAGATGAAGGTAAAAATAGACGCGACATTGTTATTTTTTTATACAAAATATAATTACAAGGAATATTACTAAATATTTTGTGTATTATTACAGAAGAATTTCCAAAAATATCATTGCCATTACAAGACTTGCAGGCGGCGCTCAAAGATCTGGACAACTACCAGACCAAGTATACATCTAAACCAGAAATGAGGAGCAAATCCTTACCTAGACCGTCTAGACCCGTGTCAGATTACGGACCGCGTCGAGATTTCGACGACCAAAGGCATTTCGATTTCGACGAAAGCAAAGAAATCTATGAAATGCATGACTTACATGACGTCGACTATGAGAACTATAAAGAAAGGAAAGCTTTGGAGGAGAGAGAGCGTCGATTAAGGGAGCGGGAAGACTATATACCGAGAGATCGCGGCTACGATCCTGAAGACGATGACTTTGAGTTTGACATCCCAAGAAGCAGAAGAGCAGGCTTTGACAGAAGGTGGTTAATATTTTTGTCAGTTATTAACTAAATTCTTTAATATAAAATCAGGTAAAGAGAAAAATTTATTGAAATTTATTGAACATTAACAAATAATCCTGCAGTAACATTGTTATCAATTTGCTTCAGTATATTCATGTAAGACTCTAGTATAGATAAAGATTCTATATCATTATGTAATACTAGCGGCTCACCCTCGTTTCGTCCGGGTTCACCTCCAGAAAAACAAACACAAATCAATCCCACAGGAACCGTACATTTTCCCGGGATAAAAAGTAGTCTATGTATTATTCCAGACTATAATCTATGTCTGTGCCAAATTTCATCTAGATCCGTTTAGTCGTTCTGGTGTGAAAGAGTAACAAATAACCATACATACTCACAAACATTCATATTTATAATATTAGTATAGATTAAATGGCATGATCTCAAATTTATTTTCAAAGGTACAACCGTGGAAGATCAGAGTATTACGAGAGGGACATAGAGGAATGCTTGGACCGGAGGCGCGGTAGACGCGCGCGCAGTGCGGCCTGCGGGTACGAGAAGCGCGCGGGAGGTGCGGGGGAGGTAGCAGAGCGTGGGTATGTGGAGCGTCCGAGGCGCCTGCGCAGGCTGTACACTGTGGAGGACGCCGCGCGAGGGCCACATCGATATGTAAGTGAAACTATGGTATATGAAATTATTTGCTCCCTTTGTATGATTCAGGCGAGGGTGGCATAGGTTCAAATTCAGAACTCTTAAATTTTGGCATTTCGGAAATACACTTATTGTTTGCCTTTCTACTATCAGTTCAGGAAAATGTCTCAATCGGGAGAAAAACTGCCGACAAATACTCGACGGGACTTTAAGTTCTTAAACTGTTTTGATATTTAAAAAAAACTTATTTTAATATCGATCATATCATTCTCATGGAGTATTGTTTCTAGAAGCTGAAGCCGCGGGCATAATTTATAATGGTATATATCAGAAACGTAAAATGATTTTCCTTAATTATTAATACTTCAAAGTGATCTTGAAAAAAACAATAACGTAGTCATTAGTTAGATATACAGATTATATTAAAACATTTGGCATGTCTATCTAGACTCCATCTCCAGATAGAGACGATTGGAGTGACGAAGCGCCCCCGCTACGGCGCGGCCGCCCCGCAGGTGAATATTTAATTTGTTTACAGTACATTGGTCTATGTGTCAGCTTGTAACGTATTCTTTTCTAAGTTTTAACGTATTTATTTGATAGAGATGAAATATTAGTGGTTTGCTGCGAAGTTGTTAGTACAGACATCGAAAGATGGTGGCACGCCAGATACATATAATGTATTCAGCCCATTTTAACGTCCCACTGCTGGGGGCGGGCCTCCTTTCAATACGAGGGGGATCAGGCTATAGTCCACCACGCTGGCCAAGTGCGGGGTGGCGGACTACACATGTCTTTTAAAAACTTGCTAGGTTCTCTCAGACATGCAGGTTTCCTCACGATGTTTTCCTTCGACGCTAAGACAAATGGTAATCATGTTGGAAATAATTCGCACATGAAAATATCAGAGGTGCGAGACCCGGCATTTGAACCCGCTTCGCTCGGTTTCCCAAGCGAGTGCGTTACCACTGGGCTACCACTGCCTCGATACATATAAGCGATAAGTAATTTGAAAAACCTAAATGTAACAAGTACTTATTCTCGTTGCATGTTCCTATTTGTTTCATTATACCAGACAAATTCAGGTCCGGTCGCTAGCAATGATTTATAAGTATTCTTAAATAATCAATCCTCAATGACTAAGAAGAAACACATATGAAAGGGTTGTTTGTTTGTCTATTTGTTAATCTTATTTCTCATCCTCAGCGTGGGGCTCGCGACAGTCTGACATCTACGCCGTGCAACTTATGGGGCCTGTTAAAGAAGAAGTAAGAGATATTAATTTTTTAAACAAAGATTCTATTCGTTTTGACTAATAAATGTAAAATCTGGCCTGAACGTTATAATAGACTGTTACTTTTTACTGGCCACAAAAATATTAATAATTATAAGGGCTTCTTCTTAACTTCTTTATTTGTCAAACCTACAAAGAAGAACCTATTTCGTATCAGCATATACTATTATACATATTATATAAATAAATTGAAGATTAATTATAGTTGTATAATGTAAAGAAAGTAAATAAGCAAAATAAGAGGATGGCTTTAGTTGAAAGTCTTGTACTTAATTAAAATGTGCATTTATATTGACTCCAATCAGTAGATAGATATTTATTTTAATCAATCAATCTCATCTCTAAGATAAATAGTAATTATGATAATCTAAGCACGCGTTATAATTTTTAAATATATAGTACTTTTAATTGCAACCTGCCGCCACTTTTAACGCATGTTTATTTTATGTATGTACGTATATATAACTGTACGTATAAATAGGATAAGACATAGGAAAAGACAAATCAGTTCAGTACCTTTGTTTTCCTCTCTTTGATTTACTCTCGACCGGTTGAACATTTTTATTTATAAATGCGTACCAACAAATGTTTGTTTGTTTATCCTTCCTATACGCTGTAAACTTAGCAACGAACAGTGGCTACTTCTACCTGGTAAAGTGAGTAGTGTTCGTGGGATAAAAGCCTGCGGTAACAAGTTGGTTTATATTTTTATCCGTGAGGTAGGCTAATGCTTAAAAAGTTGCTGTATTTTGATATAATAAGTTACTAATGTGTTTGCAGATAAAACCCGTACCTATATGGCTGTGCGTGTTCCTGGTAGCTTCTTATATCGTCGTGGGCACATTTTTGTTCAAACAATGGGAGGGTTGGGCGTATCTGGACGCGGCATACTTTTGTTTCATTACACTCACCACCATCGGATTCGGAGATTTCGTTCCAGCTCAGGTAAGAAGATGAGACATATATGTATATGTTGGTATCCACTTACTCGTCAGATTTATCTTAATTACTATAGTTACTATGTTTCAAAACTATTTAACTTATTGTTTTCATGAGTTTATACGCATAGATTAATTCTATCCAATTAAATGCGATTAGTGTATCGTAATGCTTATCACATGGTAGATTTGTTTTTCAATTTTTTTTTAAGAAAATCTGTCTCTATATTAAGATTATGTGAAAACATTTTTCGTGGTCAAGATTTGTTGATGTATAGTGTCCACAGTCCCCATATTTAGAGGAACTTAATCTTAATGAAGACCGATGATTTTGTGCACTATTTATTTATCAATTTCCTTATGCTTGAAGCTTAAAATCAAAATATACTTTCAGGGTCAGAGCGGAGAAGGCGCTGACGCAGTCCACTCCATAGCTCTATGCTCTTTATACTTATTATTCGGAATTGCTCTACTAGCGATGTCTTTCAATCTCGTACAAGAAGAAGTTCGAGCGAACGTCGCCGCTATTGCGACCCGCCTCGGAATCATCAAGCCCAGGGACCACACTGAAGACTACTAAATTTATAATTTTGGCTTGTAATATTTTTCTGTGGTTACATTATTTTAAATAATCTATCCTATTTCTTTGATAAGATATAGAAATAATATAATTTCGGAAGACTGGTTTTCAACCAAAGCCGTCAATTTTACTGACATACTAAACACTGTATGTGCAGATACTAATCAATTCTCTACTTTTTCACTGCCATTGTTGGGTTCTGCTTTCCCAAAACAACTAAAGATACATCGAGCACAGGCCAGCATCGAGGTGACATGCTATGTCGACTTTCCAACTTTGCGTTGTCAAGCGGATTCTTGTTAAATTAATATTAATCCAGGTCTCGAACCCATGACGTCAAGATCTTGAATTACCATTTCAACTTTGTTCGTTTTCATGTATGTTTTGTAACTTGGCATAATTTTCTTTGATTTTTTTTTGTTACTAATACAGTAATGGTGGCAAATCTCACTGAGATTAGCCATATGCGCAGGACATTAACATAAGTTTACAGAAAAACACAAGTGCACTCTTTATTAGTTTTCAAAGCCCGGTGTGATAATTTAACACGACCGGTGCAAGATTAGGCATAGGACCGACGGCCGAAGGCCCGACTCTCCGGGGCACAGGGGTAAATGTAAATCCTTCCTTCCTTTGTGCGTCCTGGATCCTGGCTAATCTAGCCAGCCCAGTTCCGCCCAGGGGCACAGGTGTAAAACAAGGACTACTTCTTAATTCAGGACTGTTCTTGAGTATTTCTTTATAGAAAACTCCAATTTGACTTGATAAAGAACTCTAGACTAGAGACTAGGCCAAAGAGGCAAATATCAGTTTTTCATTCTTTTTACAAAATAATATATCTGTATGTCGATGCAAATTGGCATTTCATATTAATATTGTATCTACTTAAATGAATAAATTTAAAGGAAATACCCATTGTCCGATTGAAGATTACTGAGAGAGAGAGAGAGTTACCTAGACAAGTTTTTATCCTGAGCAAGGAAAAATATAGTCGCAGGATAAACGAAGAAAGTCTAAGGGCAGGTAGCGAAGGCGATAGTGATAGGTGCGGTCTGCGGAGGATCGGATTTTTTCATAGTACTGAAGTCTGAAGCTAAAGCTAAGCTCGTATGCTACATATGAGTACTTTATGACGATCTGTGACACACGAGATAATATAATATTATAGCATTGTTAGAAAATAAAAATAATTTAATTGTAAGAATAACAAAAGTACATAGGCAATAATATTATTAGTTGTAATATGTAGGGGAATGTTTAATATAATGAGTGTAAATAAATAAGTCTCTAAAGTAATAAAATTTTGTACATTGGTAATAGTGTTATTTGATTCAAGACTTCAAGGGTGGTGAATTTACCTTTAAGGTTATTTTAAAGTCGATGTAATTTTGAAGTAAAAAAATATCTTTAGCAACGTAACCTATATTATTATATATTGGACCTATTCTATATTGGATTTGTCAAAGAATATATGATACTAAAAAGTTATTAGTTTTAGATAAAAGACAATTATCATTACTTTCTTATATTCTCGTTAGGAAATAAAAAGTAAATGGGATAAGCGAACATTTGTATGTATTTTGATAAGAGCTTTTTACTAGTAGTTTTATTAATGAAATAAATATTGTATTCGTATGTAAATTATGAAATAGAACAGAAATAAAATTATATTCTAAATTCAATTAAAACCCTAGGAAACTTAGAAATACCCACAAAGATGTAATAAACGGATTATCAAAATCAAGCCTGCATATTTGAAAATTAAGGAAGAAAAGAAGGTTAAGGCGTAGGAGGTGATAGGACGAAGTCGATAAGATAATTTTAAACTAATAAGTAAAACATTTTTATTACTAATACATATATTTTATTCGCTTTTGGCAATAAAACTTGATATCGAAAGATTGTGATATCACAAGGAAACATTTCTTTGATAAGAGAGTGCCTGGCTCTCGTGCCAATCGCCTCGAACTGGCTCTTCTGACCAGAAGTCCTCATATTTTAAAATGTCCAGCCAAAAAGTAGAAGCTGGCGAGAATGAGAGTAAATTGATAGATCTAGATAGTATATTAGTAAATGAAGTGGGTTCGTTTGGTCGGTATCAGATACTGACAGTGTTATTGGCGGCATTACCTGTCATATTTTCAGCTTTTGCGGCTGGAGAGTACATCTTCACTATCGCCAGGATACCAAGCAGGTAAATGCTCTCTACTATATATATTTATCTAATTAAAAAGATTTAGGTGCTCAGGATAAAGAGTTTTTAAGAAAGAAATTTTAACCTTAGAATAAAGATATTCGAAAAGATAACTACCTATATCGTAAAATAAAATAACATTTCATAAAAGTTACTGGCAACATACTCATACTTATTTTTATTGAACACCCTTCGTACTACAGTTAGTTAACTGTAAATCAAACTTAGGCTGTACTTTATTAAATATTACTTTTACCAACGACTTACCCTTGTTTGTTCCTTAGCCCAGATGCTAACAATAGTTTATGTGCTACTCTAGATCATTGTCCATGTACTAAATTGTATCTAAATCAGTCCATCCATTTCTTTAGGAGTACATGAAATTAAAAATTAAAATAAATTACTTGAAACCATAAACTGGTCTGATGATAGACCTGTAAGTCTTATTTATAATACACGCACGCACACACAATATCATAATAATTTTAATTATACTTAAATAATGTCACGGTATTTAACCGAGTTTGTTGTAACTTTAACCCAGTACGTCCTTCTCATACTCACTCATGTTACAAGGAAAATATCCTTCCATGAGGATGGAATAATTAGTTTTCAAAGGACGCGCTTGGGCAACGCCATGAAATGAAATAGATACATAATTTTGATTGCGCTTTATCGTTTATTGTGATTGCGTAATTTTGATAAGTCGATGAATTTATGAGTTAATAAATAGTGTCATGTGTGTAGTGTATTTTGAACTAAAATCCTAGAAGAAAATATGTTTTAGATTAATAATCCGTATCAGAATGTCGTCACTTTCAGTAATCCTATATAGATTATTTATAATCATATTGGTATTATTTATGTATTCCGAGCTATAAACAAGCAAATAATGGTGATTGATTAATTAATTACTTATTTTTGCAAAAACATTTATTCGTGAATTACATTTTTAAATTAATTTAGTTTAAAATATTTTTGAATTTATTCATATTTGATTAAATTTTTACTAAAAAACGTTACGTTTTTAACTTTAACTTCATCAGCAAAGAATGGGATAAGTAGTTTTGATGACTTGTGGTATACATATACATACATATGTCTTTTCATTATCCAATACTTGATTAACTAATAATCTATTTAAAATCCGAACACAACTCGCGAAAATTGAATACCTCATGTTTTTTAAAGACAATTGTTTTGTCTTTGCCTATTCAGTATCTTTTGTTTGTGAACCGATTTTCTTTTTTGTTTTCTTTCTTTTGAGCTTCAGTGTTATCAATAAAAAAATTTGGACACAGTATTTTTTATATAGATAGGTAAATAATGATTATGATTCGATTTCGACCACTGAAAGAATGCTAGTAATAAATAATCGAAGTTCATTTTTATGGAAAATTAATAATATCTCAAGTAAAAATCATCATACCTATGTATAATACATAGTATATCTATTCCATACTAAGTAACCAAATCGTACCGTCGCCAGAAGTAAATAAATGATCGGATAACTTTAATTTTCAGATGTTTAATTCCACAATGTGACGGTGAAAATCCAGAATTTGCCCCAAGCTGGGTATTAAATGCTATTCCGGGATCAAGTAGAGACAACTTTGAAGCGTGTGAAAGATATCCCAACAGTTCTCAAGTGATCGAGGCAACCGACGTGTGTCCCGCGGCTTGGTTCGACCGATCGCAGACTGTGCCTTGTGAGAGATATGTGTATGAGAATACTCTTACTGTGGTGTATGATGTAAGTTGTGAACATTTTGTTGATAAATTATGTTATCAATTTTATTTAAAAACTAGTTAAATATCTCACTTTAGTTTTATATAATAATAATTTTAATTATTAGTCCGATCCCTCTGTTGCAGTACTAGGGGGAATAATCGGATCACTATTAGATTTGCGAATATAGCTTGTGTAGGTATATGTGTGTACGTATGTTACTTCTTTACGCTGAAAGGGGTAGACGGCTTGGCTGGCTTGGATAGTAAAACTGTACGGACTTTGATTTTACTTCAGACAATTTATAAAGCTCACAATAAAAACGTTAAATTAATGACTTCACCTGACTTCAATCACATCACTTATGTTAGACGCAATTATTATACCTTTCAAATTATAAACATCAAATATTTTTACTTTATATTCATCTTAGTAATATAAAACAACAAACTTCTTGATTACAAATTTCTTATTTCAGTTTGATATGGCGTGTGACGAATGGAAGCGTTCACAAATCGGTTCCATCCGTACAATCGGTACTTTACTTGTTCTTCCCATCACCGGATATATTTCTGACCACTGGGGCCGACGCGTCGCTCTCACTCTCAACGCCTTCAACACTGCTTGGATTGGTCTCGTGCGGTCTTTTGTGAACTCTTACGAGTGGTTCCTTGCACTTGAAGTTATTGAATCTACTTTAGGTGCTGGTGCTTATTCGTCTTGTTATATTTTAGGTACTTAACTTTTTTATATTTTCGTTATGATTTTATTTTATAATATATTAGCAGACCTAACGCGTTACTGTGGCATACATATGAAAATCGTTAATTTTGCAATAAAAAAAGGAAATAATTGGGGTAAATGGAACAAATTACGCATTTAAAAAAAGTTAAGTCGGATAAGTAGTTTCCCCGGGGGAGAAGCCAACTCCTACCGGGCGCGTCCCCAGGTGGCGGATAGGGGCATGCCACCCGCTTAGAGGGGCGGGTGGTACCGGAGAAATCCGGCGCGGACCAAATGGCTTGGATGGGGCCGCTCGTCTAGGCCTCGAGCCGAAGACGTTGCGGCCACCGGTGGTGGGACCGCTTGGTCCCACAACCGGATGATGGGTGCCGGTTGCGGGACTGTGTTCGCAGGCCCGCATTCGGCGGAGGGGTAGGCCGCGGCGGGAGAGGAGTGCCGGTATTTCGGTGCGCCGTTCTCCCTACCTTCCGCGGCCTAGACGGGGCCGCCACCGTTTGATGGCGGACGCGGTGGGGCTGCAGGGGAAGAGGAGTGTCGGTGTTTCGTTGCCGCTCTCCCTGTCCTCTGCAGCCGATTGGAGGTGGCCCACTTCAGTGGGCGATGTTTTGGTTTTATGGGGCTGCTCCGGGTACCTCTCTGACGTAGCAGAGTTGACTGTGGAGCAGCCCCATTGGTTTGGTGGTCTGCCTAGTATTTAGGCAGACCTGCCGCCGGGGCGCCGTAGTAGTTATGCGCAAGCGATCCTGCGGCGTCCCACTAAGGCGGGGGGAATTATAAAAAAAAAAGAGGATAAGTAGTTTCGGAGTTCATCCCGGACCAACATCGTGACACGGGAATTTTGTATATTAAGATAGGTGGGTTGTAGGATCACTTTTAACATACATGAAGCCAATTAAATTATATATTACATGTTTATTACATTTATGATTTAACGTGTTATTATTAAAATTTTAGTAACAGAGTTGGTGGGACCAAAGTATCGTGTAATCGTCGGAGCCACTATGTCTACAATGTTTGCACTTGGACAAGTGTTCCTCGGGCTAATCGCTTGGGGAGTGCAGCCGTGGCGCACTCTTACACAGGTGCTGTACGCACCACAGTTACTTGTCGTTTCCTACTTCTGGATTCTTTCAGAATCTGTGCGTTGGCTCATGAGCAAGGGTCGCTACGAAGAGTCTGAAGCGATCTTGAAAAAAGTGGCTAAGGTAAATAAGAGGGAGTTGTCAGAAAAATCTTTGCAACTTCTCCGAGAATCGGCAGAGGCCGAAAAACTTATTGAAAAGCCTAAAGAGACTTGGCTAGTAGTATTAGTTTTCAGATCAAAAATTATATTATCTAGATGCTGTGTTGCACCTATTTGGTGGATAACTAATACTTTGGTGTATTACGGAATGTCCATCAATGCAGTGAATTTGTCAGGAAATAGATTTTTGAACTATGTGTACGTAGCTGCGGTGGAAATTCCTGGATACTGGACAGCTATTTTACTATTGGACAGAATTGGAAGAAAACCTGTGTTGATTGGTGGATATTGGCTTTGTGCGGCGTGCCAGTTTGGGTTTGCGTTTATCCCAACAGGTAAAAATTATTTATGCACTTTGAATAACTAAATAAAAAAGTAGATTTTTAATAACTAACCACTCGTGAAAGTGACACTATAATCGGTAAAGCCGTTCTTCTTTTGTCTTATTAACATAGCCTTCTATTTTCGCTTAAATACTTACTTTGTCTATAAATGATTAGTTATATCTAAATAAATGACAAACATTTTTTAATTTTATCTATATCTAGCTGCTCACCCTCGCTTTGCTCGGGTTCGTCCTTAGGTAAGTTTTAAATAGATACAAATATGTAGTTGTTCAATCTAATAGTTATTCTGGTATTCGGGGCGGAGATAAATCCAACAAAACAAAGATCATAGAAATCGGTCCAGCCGTTCTTGAGTAACTAATCCGACTTTGTTTTATATGTATGGATTGCATATATTATTATCTTTGAAATTTTCAACACTTTAGTTAGAATTTTTAATTTTTTTTTAATTTTCTTTTTTGCAGGCTATGAAGAACTGTCTCTAACAGTGTATTTAATTGGCAAGTTCTCCATCGCCATGGTGATGACGTCAATATATGTGTACACAGCCGAGTTATTCCCTACCAGATATCGTCACAGTTTGCTCGCCTTCGCTTCTATGTTAGGTCGACTGGGATCTATCACTGCGCCGCTTACACCAGCCCTGGTAAGTACGAGTATTGAATCGAGTATTACAGATTATGTAGCCTTGGAGTCCCAAGTTTGAAAATTGATTTTCTTTGAAGAAGCACAGCTATACAATTAGCACTACTGCATGATTAGTTGCATAAGTTTTTTTATTATATAATTTTCCTAATATTAAGTGAACATTTAGCTGTTTATGCTACTATTCTCGATTTTGTCGTACATGTCGTTTGTGTATTTCTTGTTCTTGTCTTCAAAGAGTTAGAGTTTATATATAAGTATTAGTTGTTATTAGTAGTCAATTTACAATTTTCGAGAATAAGGTATGAATAATAAAAATATATTTATATCACTATGTTCTTTTTTGGAAATAAATGTCTTTAAACCTAATTCGTTTTGGACAGAAAATAAAATATACAATAATAACTTCACTAAATAAATATGATATTCTAGAAAAGTAATTTTACTAACTTCTTTTTTATTTAATTTATTTTAGGCCCTCGAAGTCTGGGAAAGTCTGCCATCAGTACTATTCGGATCAATGGCTCTATTATCAGGACTGCTTATTTTCACTACGCCTGAAACACTTGGCACTAACTTACCTAACACCATAGAAGAAGCAGAACAACTTAGCTCTAAGAAAAAAGTTACTGCATAGGATAGTAATTATATATTATTATATTTATAATAAAACATTGTATATAGAATTGGATTTTAATTCAAATTATTCCCTCTACGACGGGACACGCCGGTGTTACACTTAACAATAGATTTCTTAGAAATTTACCTGGAGGTGTTAATATTAGTAAGCATTAAGAACAAATATCTAAAATTCATCCCCTATTGAATTTGGGATGAAAGTGTTTAGCCTAAGGGAAATTATTTATCCCATCATCTATACGAATGTTAATACACTAATGATACATAAAAATATTAGTTATAAAATATAGTGAATATTAAAACACGTTCTTATATTATTAAATCGAAGACAAACTTGTCAGCCAGTCGTTGCTGCACTATTTTATATTATAGAGCTTCCAGGTACTTATAGCGAAAATTATTTTGAAGAAGATACGTTGAGTATTTTTGAGATATGGCATGTTTTCTGTTTCACGCATTCGATCGCAAAATTAATGCAAACTTAATATGTTGCCGTAACCTAAGAAACACTTTTGGGCACATTGGGATCCTCACATATCTTTCGAAAACTTGCTAGGTTCTCTCTGACATGCAGGTTTCCTCACGATTTTCTGTACCATAAGACTTATGGTAATCATGTTGGCAAAGATTTGCACATTCCACTCGGTTTCCCAAGCAACCACGGTACCACTGGGCTACCACTGTTGACAATTTATGTAACCATAATAAAATTCCGAAAAGATTATATTTGAGATATATGTACAAATATGCGCAATTGTCATTATTATTTAAATCACTTAATACAGCTTTTGATTACTTTTTATACATTGAATGAAACCTTTTAGGAAACATCTGTTTAAGTAAAATTAATAAGCAATTTTATAGCGCAAGCAGTAGAAGGAAAGTGAATAGCTTACCGAATATCTTGCAGCAATAATTCTAAGTAGTAAAATAGGTATTATTGTTGCAAGACTACTCGAGCGACTAACGATTTTTACATGTTCCCCGAGGTGGTGGTGGTGGTAGGTGGTAACATCGCCAACAACCTAATTTCGAGCTGTTATTGGGATTTACTTGACAGAAAACCCCAATGGCTGTACTTGAGCCGGTTAGGGACTGCAACCTAGAACATACAATGTACATAATAGTCAGTATGTATATTGTATGTTCTAGGTATGTATGTGGTAGTAGTAGTAGTATAGGCAGTGGTAGCCCAGTGGTTACTCTTGGGAAACCGAGTGAAGTGGTTTCAAATCCCGGGTCTCACACCTCTGATATTTTCATGTGCGCATCATTTCTAACATGATTAAATAAATAAATATGTTGGGACATTAACACACAGCGCCATCTAGTTTCATGGTAAACTACGAGGCTTGTGTTATGGATACCAGATAGTTGATACACTATACATCTATTACTCTAAATACATACATATTATAAATATAAACACCCATGACTGGAGTACAAGCATTCGTGCACATCACACAAATTAATTCCCCCCGCGGGACTCGACTCCGCGACTGCTCGCACAGCAAGTAAGGTCACACTACAAACTGAGCCAAACGTTTCGTCATATTTTACCACTTACCTTATGGTGAAGGAAACCATGTAGAGGAAGCCTGCATGTCTGAGAGAGTCTAGCAAGTTTTCGAAGAACAGTGAAGTTCACCAACCCGCACTTAGCTAGCGTGGTGGACTATGGCCTGATCACCATCGTATTGAAGGGAGGCCCGTGCCCAGCAGTGGGACGTTAAAAAAGGCTGAATACATACCAGTCAGTAGCACTATTATTTACTGTTATTGTTCTTATCGTACGCTGACAAGATCTTTCCTAGAGATAAAGTTAACTTACTTAGTTATTTAAACTTGCCTGATTCATTTCCTAGGTGTGTGTACATTACTAGATTAGAAGAAAATCATTATCAGTAATTTTGCACGTGTTGAAATAATCCCACTAATACTATAAATTTTAAAGTTTGTTAGTTTGTTTGGGTGTTCACTACTAGGTACATCGCGCGTAAATCATTGAATTGATTTAGATAAAAGTTAGCACATAAATAATAGAATTCCTGAATTATCATATAAAATATCTTTTTTTTACGTCAGTACTAATCATTTTAATACTATTTAGGTTTGATCATATCAATAGATGACGCTGCACAAAGTTGATACGCGATAAAGGTTTTTTTTATCCTGACATTAAGTGGACACCGTGGGATATAAATCCACAGTCACCATCATATGGGGACATAAGTCCACCATCCGATATAAGAGTATGTTCACCTTGTCGTGGTGGAGGGGCTCAGTAACAACCGGCATTTCAGCCGGGTATGAAACGAACTTGGGAGGTGAGTACTATGCGAGTTGCTATCGGTACTTCTCTGATAGGAGAATGGACCGTGGGAGCAGCTCCCAGGTTGTTGTGGTCTACCTCGGTAGGCCAGCCGCCGGGGCGTCATATGTGTCGTAGAATGTGTTAGTGATCAGGATCAGTATCTTGCAACGTTCCTATTGGTTTTTTCTAGTCGGTGAGTATCCACAGATCAACCTGTACACGTTGGACGTATAACGACATTTATAAAAAAAAAAGATTTGAGCAAAGTGAGTGCCGGCCACTAGTCCTATCTAATTATTTAATTTAAAATATTAATTATGTTGACACTCGATTAAATAGGTATGTAGATATAAGCAATGACTTGTTTATCTATTTTTTACCTAATTTATGATTACCAAGAGCAATAACATCATGTTATTATTTAAACAAAAGATACATAATAACAGATGGACGTAGTAGGTAGCTTATAGTTAGTGTAATGTAAATCATTTTGATAAGGGTAATAATTTAATTTAAATAATAAAGTTAAATTAGAAATTTAATTTAATTTAAATTAATATTTATTTAAATAAGAAAAATATGTAATGTTAGCAGTTTAATTACTTTTCCAACGGTTCAAATAAATCATTCCATGAGTCAGCTGATCTTATAGATCATTGCGCGAATCTATATGATATAATTTATAATAAGAGTGAGAGTATATATTATACATTTCATACCTTCAATTTAAAACTATCGGATAGGGTAATCTGCGCTATATTTACCTCATGGTTTCCCTTTTTAGTATCCCACTGAAGGGATGTCCGTGTTACTTGTATCCTCCGTGTATGTTGCTACATATACTTAAGTTCTGACTGCATCCTTCCCCTACCTGCAGAGTCCAACCTTACTGTAAAGCACGCCGACGTAGGGACCGATCTACGTGTATCTCGTATCTACGAATCTACGAAAACATTTTACTAAGCAGCTGGGAGATGTAACTTCAAATAAAATTCCTTACATTTATTGACTCTTCTAACAAATTAGATTTTTCTAAAATAGAGATATAATTTATGGAGAAATACTAGTAATAAAAGTAATTAAATTCATTGTTTTAACTATGTAACTACTGAAATCAGCTTAAAGTAGATGAATTTTCGTAATAATTATCCTTTCTCCTACGAGAACTCTTGTTTCTCATAGTTTATCCCCCGGCATATGACACCATTTATACACAATACACATTTAAAAAAGATTTCACTCAATATTTTTTATTACAATATTATTTAACAGTAATACAAAAACTAGAACTTTAAAAATAATATGATCATTTTAATTCATCATATACTTTTAGCGGTGAATCAACATCACTATTTTTTTACACTTCGTGAATTTAACCGAGACGCCTAAAAGTCATACAACAAAAATTTAAATGAATTAAGTACAATAAGTATTATCAATTTGATTGACGCATATCGTATCTACATGTTATCTGGTAATGAAAAATTCTATTCACTCTACGTCTAGCGAACCGTAACGTGAGGTCAGAGGGTTGTAATACTTCTTTCAAGACGGACATCTAAAAATGGGCATTGAAGAAACAGATAATCGAAATGGCGATAGTGAAGAGAATAAGAACCAAAATACCGTGAATTTAGACAAAATATTAGTTGAAGAAATTGGTCAGATAGGTCCTTATCAACTACGGACATTAGGTCTATCTGTTATTGTGGTCATTTTTGCTGCTTGGGCTGCCAGTGAATTCGTTTTTACAACCGCTCGTATTAGTACCAGGTATAAAGGCTACAGAATTCTGTCCTTAATAAAAAATAAACAAATCGCTAATATTTATTTTAAAATTTATTCCATTATTTATTTTAAAATTATTTATTTTTTCCCATTATTTATTTAAAAATTATTCAAATAAATCGCTAGATAAAATATATAATGGAATCTTTCAGATGTTTGATTGAAGAATGTGAGACACAAGACACAGCTGAGTTTAGGCCAACATGGATCTTGAACGCGGTGCCCGCCGCCGGCAACTCCTTTGACAACTGCAGGCGATTTGTTTCTGTGAATGCTACAACAAGGAACGACGTCTGCCCTGCAGAGTGGTTCAATCCGAACACTATAAAAGACTGCCAAACACATCTCTACGAGACCACCGACACCGTTGTATATGATGTAAGTTATATAGTCATACTTGATCTTTTTATTAAGATTTGATTACTCACAGTAAACGTCTGATGAAACTTCATTCAGGAAAACATTATATTTGATTTTGTAGAGCAGCAGCATGCAAATAAGCATGCATTATATACATACTAATATTATAAATGTGAAAGTGTGTTTGTTTATTTGTCTTTCTTTCACGTCGAAATGGAGTGACGGATCGGCGTGATTTTTTGTGTGGAGATAGTTGGAGGGTTGGAGAGTGACATAGGCTACTTTTTATTGCGGGAGTTTACCTAATTCCTACGGGAAAACACTTTATAATACAACCTAAAAATATTTATGATCAGACATACTTGAAACTTGGTATTAATGCTCTTCAATAAAACTAAATAAATACGTATTTTAGCATTTCTCGAAATTCATCATATAAAGGGGTAAAATAGTGGATGAAACTTTGTATGAAACTACTTTTATAGATATTTTTTTGTAGTTTTAGCGCGAGCGAAGCCGCAGGTCTTGCTAGTATTATATAATTATAGACAGACAATTAGACACATGTCTCATTTAAATATGGGGTGGAAATAAACTTATAATTGATTTATGAAATTTCAATTCTTTATTGTGGTAAAACCCGTTGGAAAATCCGAATCGTTGTTATCGAGATTAGCCCGAAATCAGCGCGGTAATAAATATATTTTTGCAATTAATGATTTCAACAACTAAAAGTATCCGTTTTATACATAACAGTTTGAAGTATTTCGTTTTTGGAACAAAATTTTAATTTACTTTACATGCATTTTAAAATCAATCATTTGGTTAATGTGGTAATAAAAAACGTGCATTGTTAAACTCTAGTATTTTTCTTTGTTTTTCATACAGTTAGGTACCATTGAAGTAAAAAAAAATATATCTTTAGGATGTAGTTTTCATATTTCTTAAATTAATTATACCGCCGTTACACGTGGGTTAATCCCTCCACGACCGCGGACACGCCGGCGTTACAGTTAACAGTAGATTTCTTATAAATTTAATTAACTTCTTATAAATTTAATTAATTTCTTATAAATTTAAACAATTTCCTAGAGATTTATCTGGAGGTGCTAAGAAGTACATAGAGTACCCAATCTCTTTTCCATCTCTTAATTGTAGTTTCACCCAGTAGATTCAGAGAAAGTAGGACATAAGAAATGGAAAAATAGACGAATCCGCCCAAGCCGTTCCAGCGTGAAATAGTAAGAAACATACAAACTTTCGCATATACAGGGTCATTTTTAATTTACTGAAAACCTTTTGGGAATATACTATTTACATCATAACAACATCTGTAAGAAGAAAAATTTATATTTCTTAAATTTTTATTTTCATACAAAAATAGAAGGTGCAATAAAAATATTTTTATTGCACCTTCTAAACGGTAAAGTTCTAGCATCTGGCCAAGTTTAAATGAGTAAGGACCACTTCCTACACCATTCCACCCCTCCCCCTCCACCGGTCACGCGCTTTCTTTTGCTAATTGCTGGACTATGACCATTTAGAAGGAGCAATAAAAATATTTTTTTTTGTAAAATTTAAGAGATATTTTAGTTTTTCTTACAGATGTTATTGTTATGATGTAAACAGTATATTCTCAAAAGGTTTTCAGTAAATTAAAAATGATCCTGTATGTATTATATAGCAGTTCCATTAAATATTAGGTATTTTCGAAACGATGACTAGTTAGTCACAGGAGTGTCAGTTGTATGTATTCAATCCTTTTTAAGTCCCATTTCTGGGTAAAGGCCTTCCTTCAATACTTCAATATATAGTCCACCACGCTGGCCAAGTGCGGGTTGGCGGTCGGGATGTCAGTATGTATTGCATTCTCACTGCAATAAAAAATAACACGTCACGTGTACGTGTGTGTATGTTAGATATAGTATTAAGACGACTAATAAAACTACGATTCAAGGATGTGTATTCCAATGATTAGATTGCCTTTGTTTGAATCGATATAGGTTATTGATGGTAATTGCTTATCAGACCTTTGGTTGCGAGGCCTAAAAATTTTTATTTACACTGTTTTAGGTTTAGAACTTAGTTTTCATCCGTGGCTTCACTTGCTAAATAAGTACAAATGTTAATAAAAAGTGTGCCAAGTAGTATTATAATGTTAATGTGTTAAACCCGGATATGAGCTATCTCGATAATAAATGCATAAAATCGCTAAGCCACGAAGGTAAAACAGGTACTCATAAACTTTAGCACTTATAATATTTTTATTATAATAAATATATACGTAGTAGCTCACTAGATCTAAGCCTATCGATATATTTACGTGCATTCTTTGAAAGAATATATTATAAGAATAGGTGAATATATACCAAAGTTGCATTAATATAGATTAATATTATAATAAAGATAGATTATTTGACTGCCTCGGTGGTGTAGTGGTTAGCATGTACGGCTGCACGTCCGGAGGTCCTGGGTTCGGACTAAGTTTCGTTATAGATTATAATCAGAGTAAAAAAACTCGGGGTTAACCCAATGTTAATAATAATTATATTATGCTTTTTATTTTCAATCAAATAAAATTATTATCGTAGACTTTTAACAAGATTTCAAGACCATAATAATAGCCACATACTTTTAGAATGGTTTGAAAGTCATATTTAACATGAATATTCTTTACAGTACGACTTAGCCTGTGACGAATGGCGTCGGTCTCTGATCGGGTCTGTACGAACTTTCGGAACTCTGACTGCGCTGCCCATCACGGGCTACGTGTCGGACCGCTGGGGGCGCAGGACGGCTCTCAGTATCAATGCCGTCAACACTGCCTGGATAGGTGCCATGCGGTACTTTGCCGGTACTTACGTCGGCTTTCTCATTTCGGAGGTAGCTGAAGCCACTTTTGGTTCAGCTGGGTTTTCCTGCTGCTATATTTTATGTAAGAGTGATTTGCATTAATTATTTCATTATGATAAATTAATTAATCGAAAATTGTTCTATTATATTTGTTTTTTGTGGTGTATTTTATCCACTCATCATGATTTCAAATTTAGTTTTAACTAGCGACTCATCCCAAGCTTGTTTCCCAATACAAGCTTTCATCCCCATTTTCATCCTCTCAAGGGATGATTTTCGGGATAAAAAGTATTCTATCTTCTTTCAAGGGTCTGAAACTATCTTCTTACCAAATTTCATCTAAATCGGTTCTGTAGATCCAGAGATTGCCCCCTACAACGTCACAAACTCACAAACTTTACCTCTTTATAATATTAGTTTAGACAAGTAATTTTAATGGTATCCGAAGTTCGACTTTAAATATAAGTGGTGTGGTAAATATTTTACAATTTAATGACCTTGCATAAATTAAAAATGCTTTATATACAATGAAAATATAATCATGCACCTAAAGCGTGCCTTTCTAATCAAAATATTATCAGAGATATATTTATAGTTGTCATGTTTTTTGAATTTAATGAAATAAAATAAGGATTAATTATTTATATATCTAAATAAATTAAATAATCATAAGCTCATCACAAAAACCCTGTAATAATTAAGTGATCAATATAATATAAAATTTAGCTTGTTCGCTTCTTATCAAAATATTTTGAAATATTGTTTTTAATTTCATGATTAAAGATCTATCAATCAGGCTAATTACAGGAGAAGATGCTATTCTACAGTCGTTTATGAATAAAACTCTAAACAACAAACAGGAATTACATATTGTGTTTCTCTGATATAACGCTTTTATTTGATATTTATTTTAAAGTACGCATAATTATTTTTTATTGTAAGTACAAAAAGCAACAGCCTTTTTTAAATGTGTACAAAATTAAACTTACAAACTACACATGAAAACTACTGTAGAATGTCATTTTCTCTAAGTTCGTAGATTAAATTTTTTCTGCAATAGCCTCGTCTTTAAGGAATACCATTTCTATAAACTACAGCGAAATATGAAGTCTTATAATGAGACTTGGCAGTCTTTAAGGAAAAATTGAATAAACCACAAAGTTAATAATATAAATGTAGTTTGAATTTTAATTCAAATATATGTTTTTTTTTCTCAGTGATGGAACTCATTGGTCCTAAGTATCGAGTCGCAGCGGGTGCTACTATGAACACTTTCTTTTCGATCGGTCAAATTACAATGGGTTTAATCGCATGGGCTGTTCCTAACTGGCGGATGTTTACGCTTACTTTATATTTACCACAACTCATCACAATCTCCTACTTCTGGATCATGTCAGAGTCTGTACGTTGGTACATGAGCAAAGGTCGATTCGAAGAAGCAGAAACTGTTTTAAAAGACGTAGCTCGTGTTAACAAAACTCAACTGTCTCAAAAATCTCTGGAGCTGTTAAGAGAAAACATACTGGAAGAGGAACGTAAAAAAGCATGTGAAAAGGAACAGAAAGTGAACGAACCGTGGCTAATAGCCTTAATATTTAAACACAAACCGATTTTACTTCGAGTGATGGTGTCACCAGTTTGGTGGATGACAACAACATTCATTTACTATGGCATGTCAATCAATTCGGTTAATATGTCAGGAAATCGGTATTTAAACTATGTAGCTGTTTCGGCATCCGAAATCCCTGGTTACTGGACAGCTGTGCTCTTAATGGGGAGGATTGGAAGAAAGCCAGTTCTGGCAGGAGCCTTCTGGATTTGTGCGGCTTGTCAAATCGCGTATATCTTTATGCCAGCAGGTATATCGTTTTAATTTGTATATATTAAATAGATTCTTAGTTAAATTGTTACTTTAATTTAAGTAAACATGATTATTATGACAGGATCTATATTTCAATTGTATTTTTACGTTGTGGCTATGTATATCTATATGAAGTCGTCTCCTTTTATTAAATTTAATATGTATATATTTATTGCAGGACTGTATAGTGCGTCTTTGGCAGTTTATCTTGTTGGCAAATACAGCATTGCCATTGTGATGACATCCGTATACGTGTATACTGCGGAACTCTATCCTACTAAGTACAGGCACAGTCTATTTGCCTTCTCCTCCATGATGGGTCGGATTGGATCTATCGTTGCCCCACTCACCCCAGCTTTTGTAAGTCATTTATTTGGCTATTTGATTTTATTCTTCGTTGAATTGAGGTTCCTATAGAACCATATAAACGCCAAGAAAAAAAGAAGAAAATTTCTTACTTAAAATACCAATATCAATTGAAATTAGATTTCATTATTTTTTTTTACTCTTAAGCAGATATTGTAAAGTAGTAAAGCTTGGCTTTTTATCTTAATACTAGCGGCTCACTCTCGCTTCGCTCGGGTTCGTCCCTAGCGTGATTCCCCATATCAACCATTATCCAACTTTTAACCCATACCAATTTTTATTCCCTATTTTTATCCCCTTAAAGGATAATTCCGGGATAAAAAGTATCCTATGTCCTTCCCAGGATTCGAAACCATCTTCTTAACAAATTTCATCTACATCGGTTCAGTAGATCCAGAGACTGTCCCCTACAACGTCACAAACTCACGATCTCATAAACTCATAAACTTTACCTCTTTATAATATTAGTATAGATGAAATAGAGTTCCAAAATCCAGATTAATACAAATATTTCGAATTTAATATGATGCGAAATATTGCAGGGTGCTGCTGTGTGGGTCAATCTGCCGTTTGCTCTGTTTGGAGGATTTGCATTACTCTCTGGTATTTTAGTTCTCATCACTCCCGAAACTCTCGGTCACAAGCTGTCCGATACTATGGAAGAGGCATCTATGATTGGCGTCAAGACTAAAAAGGCTGAATCTTAATTTATAATTATATTTATAATTATCATATTATTATTTATAATTTTTATAATCTTTTATACATATAAATGTATACTCATAAACAATTTATATGTCGATGTGTGATATTTATTCATCTACCAATCCCATTGATTTCACGAAAAACCAACCCCTATTTTTATCTTAATCTCTGATATGGTTGAACTGAATTTATTGGACCATTTCCTGGCGAAGACTGCTATGACAATCAAAGCAACTCTTAATTATTATACTCGTAATTAAAGATTAAGTCTATATAACAAGTTGAAAGTACGTGTTTAACACATAAACGTATGTTAAACACAGGACATGGTTTGACGCTGCCTAACTAGATCCATGTTGTATATATTATAGTACTAACTGTAACTATTTGTGCAGAAATAATATTTGTACACATGCCGCAATATTATGTATACGCAATATATTTGTACGCATGCAAATTAAAATGGCCAGTTTTTGACGATTGTGTCTTCAAATTTTTTTTTCTTTAAAACCTATCGAGTATGTATCAGGTATCAAAATAAAGGGCTTCATAAAAGCCTTACAAAAATATATATACAACTTATATGTTTAAATGCAATTTGGAATGAGAAATGCTAAAAAAAACAATAATTAAAAAAAATATTTACGAAAATAAAAAAACCTAACTGCGTCAAAAGCGGGCTAAAACGTAGAAAACAAGTTGACGAAGGAACATAGTATTATGCAGTCGGAGACAGACATATGTACATGATTTACAAAATCTGCTAAAATTCATATATAGAGAGTAAAAACACTTCCAAATCGATAGAATCAATTGAATCAATAACATCCATTGCAATTATCAAAAATAAACATTCACAAGTAAAATCACAGAGCAAAATGAATGATATAATTGGATTAAAAAACAGTTTATCACGACTTACACCACGGTTTCGGGCTGTTTAAATTTAAACACGTGACTAAGACAACCCTAAACAATAGTTAGACATGGACTTGTGGTAAAAAAATTTAAAACATCTGTTGAACATATGTCTACGACAATGGGGTTAAATCTTTAGTAGAAACTAGTACCAGTAGTAGATATCTAACCACAGATCATTGTAACCGTTTATCAATTCAGCTATTATTATAGTCCGTAGTATTAAAATACAAACAGACAGACTTGATGAATTTATAAGGGTTCCATTTCAGCTTTTGACTATGGAACCCTAAAATATATGTAGTTGCAACAATGGGGTTAATACTCGTCTACCATCGAGTGCGCGCACGTTCGCGGACGAATTAGTTCTGTCGTAAAGACAGTAAAACTAAAGTGGAGTCATATTTATAGTGAAATTAAAAATAAATAAAAACTTTAAAATAACTTCATTAATATAATAGAAACTGAGCGTATATTACAAAGGTAGGATGATACTTTTTATATTTTTACTAGTGAAGTGCCATCGCTTTGCTCGGGCGCGTCCCTAGGTACGTTTTAAATAGATAGTTATGAATAGTTATTGCGAGTGTACCCTAGAAGAAAGATTTTTCTGTAGGCCTAATTAGGACCTACAATTTTCTAGTACATTGTTTTAATGTATCCTTTAAGGTTTAGACATGTTTTCTAAGAAAGACTCGATAGAACTAGTTATTGTGTTCTCTCGTTGGAATGAAAGATTTTCCTGTAGTATATGGTATCCTAAATGTTGACGTGAATAATAAGTTATCACTACACAAAATTTTGTTAACTAGTTCGGTACTTTTTGCATTGATTTCGCTAAATTACTGCTTTATTATATATATATATATATATATATATATATATATATATATATATATATATATATATATATATATAAATATATATATATATAATAATAAATATAAATATATATATATATATATATATATATATATATATATATATATATATATATATATATATATATATATATATATATATATATATATATATATAAAGCAGTAATATTATGTCGTACTGATATTATTTATTGTATGGGGTTACCATTTCTATAGCGACATCGATGCACATTTTGAGTCAACAGCAATCAATTCAATCATTTTTTCATTCTTTCATCTTTACCAATTTATTGTGTGAGGCGAAAATTAACATCTAACTTATGCTTTCACAGTATTCATTCTGTCGACATAAATAAATTGTGAGTAAATAAAAAAGACAGTTATTTTGCGGTCGCTAAACGAAAATAACGTGTGACTGAAAGTATACATATATGCTTCTTTATAACGTAATACCACGGTAATGTTACATAATTACATTACCGTGGCAATACTTTTTAGGTACAAATTATAAATATTATTATTAATAGGATAGAGATGTCTTCAAACGTTAGGCATTTATAACCCGAATGATGTCAGCTTTCCCCGTATATATGTAGATTATCAGTATAAAACATAAAATTATACTCAATTTAAATGTATGTAAATGATTGATAAAAATATATTTTTAATTATTTATGCAATTTCCATTTAAACATATAATAAAATTCTGAGTGGAATCTGTTGTATATTAAAAATATTTTTTGAAAAATCTTATTTAAATAGTGTTTATTATCGCTACAGAGGCCGAATCTATAGTTTTTAGATTTTTTGTCTGTCTGTCTGTCTGTCTGTCTGTCTGTCTGTCTGTCTGTCTGTCTGTCTGTCTGTCTGTCTGTCTGTCTGTCTGTCTGTCTGTCTGTCTGTCTGTCTGTCTGTCTGTCTGTCTGTCTGTCTGTCTGTCTGTCTGTCTGTCTGTCTGTCTGTCTGTCTGTCTGTCTGTCTGTCTGTCTGTCTGTCTGTCTGTCTGTCTGTCTGTCTGTCTGTCTGTCTGTCTGTCTGTCTGTCTGTCTGTCTGTCTGTCTGTCTGTCTGTCTGTCTGTCTGTCTGTCTGTCTGTCTGTCTGTCTTCTGTCTGTCTGTCTGTCTGTCTGTCTGTCTGTCTGGGAACGCATCACGACAAAACCACTGGAAGGATTTTGATGAAGTTTGGTATGATGATAGCTGGTTATCCGGTTTCACATATAGAGTACTTTTTACTACAGTAAAATATCTCATCTCTGAGAAATTCATACTATAAGTTAAAACGTAATTAGGGACGAACCTGAGCAGAGTGAGGGTGAGTCGCTATAACCAAATATTTTTTTATTGTTACAATTAATTATGTTACAATAATGAGACAGCGGGCTCTTTGGTACTTCTAATATGGCAATGTAACTAAATAGAAGCAAAAATAACAAATTTTCATATATAATATTTCATATATAATATAACTTTCATATGATATTGAACTCTTTGTATGAATTTAAGTACAATCGTTCCTTACTTACCTTACTTTCTTGCTTATATTATTTTTATAAGAAATGCTGATATGCAATATTTCATTTTACTAGAAACACGTAGTTAAAACTACAATTTTGAGGTGAACTTTTCAGTAAAATTCTTACTTGTGCACGAAAGACTGACACTACACTGGTGTCTTGTGGTTCACATACAAATATTTTTCTATAAAATATAAAATGTGTATCATAAAAAGTGCTAAAACTATTTTGACTTTGGATTTGGAAATTTGAAAAATACTGTGTACTGTTAGGTACGTTTACAATATTTAAAATTAAATTTTAGGATAAAAAAATATTTATAAAGAAATTGTGAAAAAAATATTAAAACTATGATTATGTTAATATCGTTGCAAAAGAGTCCTAGAATCCTTTTACTTTTACTACTTGTAACTATATTGTATCAAGCAATAATTTTTTAAACCGTCACTAGACTAGATTAGAAATATAGCCAACTGGAATGCACTTGTGTACGCGCAGACACAAGACAGCCCGACGGCTTTATGTTCTGCCTTGGCGCAGGAGTGTAACACGCCTAACTCCCCAACTCTGGGCTGTTTTTCGCACTTTCTTAAGAGAAAGAATCAACAACTAAACATCGGCTGGATGTGCAGTCGTACATGTATGTCCACTAGCCACTTTGTCCGAGTATCTTATTGAGTTTTACGATTCCAATGTGGAAAATTAGAGGTGAGATTACTTGAAATTGAAAGTGTTAAGTGATTAATAAAAAAAATATATAGAAAATGGTCTCCGCAACTAATATATTATACGATTTGATTAGGCAACTAAAAATGTTAATTTTATTAATGGAATGTTTCCAGAGCGCAGTGATAAAGCGATGATAGTCTATTTGAATATTTTTTGACAATTAATTTAAAAATGTTATTATTTAAATAACTATAAGAACCACGACTTTATAAAAACAGAAAAAAACTCACACTTGGCCAGCGTGGTGGAGTATGGCCTGATACCCTTCGCATTGAAGGGAGGCCCGCGCCTAGCAGTGGTACGTTAAAAAGGGCTCAATATTTAATTTTAAAATTAAATAAATAGCATTCTATATTAATATTACAAAGAGTTAAAGTTTGTGAGTTTGTAAGATTGTGAGCTTGTGACGTTGTAGGGGGTAATCTCGGAATCTACAGAACCGATTTAGATGAAATTTGGTAACAAAATAGTTTAATCCTGGAAAGGATAGAGAGGCTAGACCTTATACCTATTAAACATGGCATTATATAGTTGTCAAAGACGTAACAACTATATAATGCCTTTCAGACGACTAAAACCCTAATCTCTCCCGTGACAATGATTGCTGCAAAGTACTTAAAGCGTCGAGAACCAAAAATCAAAAAAAAATCCAGAAAGATAGTTTTATTTAAAACGTAATATATTAGCGTAAATCTAAGAAAGTATTAAGGGCTGAATAAGTACAGTATAATTGTAAGTGCACGAGGAAGCTGCTACCAATTCGGAAGATGGAAGAAGTTTTGCTGAAAAGAGGACGAAAATTTTCCTTTCCGACTACTGAAGTTTGAAACTAATAATTATTTATTTTAATAAATACTTAATTAAATTAAAGTTAATCTCCTAAGAGTGGAATATTAAGATGAACTTAAGTAACTTTGAAGTCGGAGTGAGTAATCTTTTTAATTAAAAGAAATTATTTTCGTTAGATATGTAACAAAATGGTTTCCGAAGACATAACACTTTCAAAGTTAATAAAATGTATTGTGAATTCACGTAAAGTATCATACGAATTCATAAAATTCAAGTGATGCATGAACTTTAGCACGACAACTGCGAGCTGAAGAGCTTTTACTTCTTCCAATGTCATCATTTTTTTCATACACACTCGTTGGAATCGCTCGTTGACAAAAATATCTTATAAATACTATTTGCATTATCCTATAGTACTGGTAGAATACTATAGGATATTATTCTATGGAAGTAGCTGAAATATACTACGTAAGTCGTGTCTGTCTTAGAAATTAAATTCTCAATTTAAACTTTGCAAATCTGAGTCCACTCGCTTGCCCATTGATTCAAATATTGAAACAAAACAACATCGAATGTAAGCCTTATAAAAATACGACAAAACCTCGAGTTCTTTAAATTTCTTTTATGTTCCATAAATAATTGAAGCTTTCCTAACGCAAGACATCGCTTGTATCTAACCAATACTTTACCATCATTATATGAATGTTTAAATTGATCACTTTATAGATGACTGTACAATCAATAGATGACCACAATGAACAGCAATTCCATTTGGATGGAATCCTCAGTGAATTGGGCAGCTTTGGAAAGTATCAGCTGCTTCTTCTTCTGCTGCTGGCCTTTAGAGACTCCTTCTTGAATATGTGCAACTATAACTTTGTGTTCACAGCTACTGAAGTACCGTTTAGGTAAAATATTTTTATGATCTGTACTACTTATAGGTATGTATATATACATACATGTGTAAAACCAACCTGTGGAACGAACGATATCGAACCAAATGTGATTACCCAAACACATATTTGTTTCGTTAATGATCCCTGCTTAGATATCGGTTTAACATTCTTTAACATTTTTGTGTACTCCGAGTAAACAAAATCAACTGAAACAATTGTGAAGTAATTAGTGCAGAAATATCAGCAATATAATATATCAAATTTCCCTAATGTATCAAATTTCTAAAATATGGAGGTAAAGATCGCCATCTAAGAATATAAGAAATATTGGATACAACATAAAGTATACCTATTAATATATAATCAATTAGTTTTAGAAATAATACTTCCTTAGATTTACGCGAATACTCGACATTATAAATAAAAGTATCTTTGCGAATTTTTTCTCGAATTTATTTTGATTTTTGGTTTAATTGATTACACATAGATCAATTATGTGGCTTAAATAATTAATATTTTATTATTTTTCTTTATGGTTATAAATATAACGTTATAAAGATTACTAATTAATATTTTTGAAATCGTAATAATTGTAATAATAACAGTATAAAAATGTTTAAAGTTAAAAAATATTATAAGGTACTTTGGTGCCATTTTTCATTTTTTTGAATTCATTTTGTTATTTGTGGGTAGGCTGCCTGTAACAACTATATAATATCTTTGAGACATCTAACATGGTCTCTCCCGTGACCATGATTGCTGTAAAGCAAGCAAGCAAAAATCGAAATTAATTATTTTATATGAGTATTATATTATTAGTATTTTAAAAAGTAACTCTTTTAACTCCTAGATGCAATGTGTCACTGTGCGCGTCAACGCTTGGAAGTTTCAACTCTTCATGGGCTTCCTACACTATGTCGAACAGCTCGTGCCATCGCCCATTACTCTTATTAACATCAAATTCCTCTTGCAGCCGTGCTACGTTTGACAGAAACAGAACAGTTCACTGCAACGATATTGTATATGAAAACTATAACAGCATTGTTGCTGAGGTTCGTTACTGAAATATACATAAATATCAATGAAAAGAAATTTTTAATATTTTTAATTTTATTTTTATAGCTTATCATAATGTTGTTCGTGTTCCGTTTTCATCAAATACTGTCTGCTTAGTTTTTGATGGTAGGAAGATTTAAGATTATTATTATATGACGACGATACGATTAAGTGTGTACGATGATGATGATGATGCACATTTGAAGATACATTTTGTCGTATTAAAATTGATTGATTATTATTTTCTATAATATTTTTTACTGAAGATATTATTATTATTAATATAAATTTCTGCAGTACGAAAATTGGTGATTAAGCTAAAAACAAACTTTAAAGAATGTTGCGTCTAAACAAATATTTTCAGTTTGACTTAGGATGCCAACCTTGGAAGAGAACTCTTATTGGAACAGTTCACAATCTCGGCCTCGCCTTCTCTTTTATTATTTTGGGAATTATATCGGACAGGTAAACACTTATTTTTATAAACTATTCAAGCGATAACGAAGGCATAGTGCTGGCGATATCGATTTAACACCTGAATGAAAGATATTGATTTGAATGAGAGATATAAAAATTATATGGTAAAATATAAAAAAAATATCTAATAAGTACTTCAACGAAGTCTCAAATGTAAAGGAATCTTAAATAGTACTAGGTAAAAAGGAATTTCATAAAAACAAATAAATATGACATGCTGGGTAATATGATCTCTCAGATTTATTTGAACTTTAAACTAACGACTCACCAAATTACCAAATTCTTACAAATATCTTCTTACTAAATTTCATCTAAACCGGTTCAGTAGATTCAGAAATTACCACCTACAACGTCACAAACTTACAAACACACAAATTCACAAGCTTTACCTCGTAATAATATTATTAGTATATTAGTATTAGTATATTAGTATTAGTATTTTAGTATAGATAATATTCTTTCAATTTTTATCATATTATTATGGGCGGATTATTTATTTTATTTTTAATTTTGTTACAGATACGGACGAAAAGTAGTAATCGTCGGAACACCTCTTATAGTGGGTGCGGCTGGTCTCCTGAAATCAGTAGCTATTGACTATTGGTTGCTCCTTACACTGGAGTTCATAGAAACTGCACTCGGCTATGGAAACGCTTCTTTGGTTTTAGGCAAGTTCTACAAATATTTCTAAAGACATAGAAAATAAAAGAAACAAAACATAAAATTTTCAAACTTAGGATTCAAATTTTTACGCATGCAAATATTTTAATAAAAAGTGCAATGGTTTTAATTAATAAGTTGCTTTCGACAACAAAAAAGGCATTTGATTGAGTAGAAGATTGGCAAATCTATTGTAACTCTAGCAATGGAGTAATGTGGAGCTGAACAATGAACAAAGAATCCTCTTAGCTAGATTTAGAATTCTGTTAAATTAATTATATATGTACATAAATATTATAAAAATAATAAAATATAAACTTAATAACTATTGATCATTTTAACAATTAAAATATCTTTAAGTTCTTTATAGCTTTTTAAATAAATATTTATTTAAAAAGCTATCATAAGATCAAAAACTTATATTCTCCAAGTAAAATAACCACTAGTATATGGCCAGATAAATATGACAAAACTATAAGAGTTCCATTGTTTCCTTTTAATTTCAGAATTTAAAAAAAATAAAATATTATTAAGAGAATAATGGTTTTTATAGCTTTAGAAGCAGTAAGTCAGAAGAACAGAGTGGCGTTCTCTTGTATCTTGGACATCTTGGGAAATATTGGCGGAGCATTTTTGGGGTTAATTGCTTGGAAGATACCACACTGGAGAAATTTGATGAGAGCTATTTATGCACCACTTCTAATTGTAGTAAGTCTCTATTAATAGCTTAGAAGAAAAAAATCGGACTAGTGCGAGTCTCACTCGCACACCGAGAGGGTTCTGTAGAAAATAAGTTTATAATCGCAAAAAAATCTGACGTCACCGGTTTTCGGACTTTACTTGTGCAATATGACATTGCTTTTTGTCAATGGCAATTTCATGATTCTAGGTCAACGCGAAATAATACTCTATATATAGGTTTTGTTTCCCTTACGAGTGTGCGGCATATAATATGCGGCAATTGCGTGGACTTAGAAGTTTGATTTTTTTACAGCTCAAGGGATCGCAGACCTGAGTATTCGATATTAATTTCAACTTGATACCTTAACTTGAACCTACACGTTCATGAGAAGAGACAGACGGACGGACAATGGACTGATCTTATAAGGGCTCCTTTGTTCCTTTTGAGGTATAATAAAAACCCTAAAAATTAAAATAACCCTAAAAATAAAAATAAAATAGTAATATAAATTCGTGGTCTGTCGCCACTCGCTGTAGACGGCTGCGTGGATTTATGTTAATTTTTATAATTCAGAATTTGGGATCAATTTTAGCGCTATTTTATTAACAGAAATCTATTATCTGAATCATAATTGATTCCTTATCTAGTAAAATAGGTTCTTTAAAAGTCACATCTCATTTATTATATTACCAATGCAATTATTATTTTAGGTATTTTACACGTTCCTTGTGGATGAAGGAGTCAGATGGCTTTTAGCTCACGATAGAATAGATGAAGCGGTCTATGTACTGAACAAAGTAGCAAAAACCAATGACATCACGCTTTCCATTAAATCAAAGGAAATGCTTACTAAAATATCTGTAGATAAGATTAAAGCAGATGAGGTAACTACAATTTTTTGCGAGTATGTATGTACTATACGGTAGTTCACGTTAATGACGACACGTAGTGACCCTACTTGCTGTGCCAGCGGTCACGGGCTCGAGTCCCGCTGGGTACATTCATTTGTGTGATGAGCACGAATGTTTGTACTCCAGTCATGGGTGTTTAAATTTATAATATGTATGTATTTAAAGTTATATATGTGAAGTGTATCAACTATCTGGTATCGATAACTAAAGCCTCGTAGCTTACCATGGAACTAGATGGCGCTGTATGTTAAAGTTCCAACATCATTAATGTTCCAACAACATATTAAATTTATTAGTCAGTATTTATAGATCTTTTCACTAGATAAGCATGATACATAAAGATTATCTTATGTGATTAATTTGATAGTTATTGGTTTTGATTAATATTATCTCAATGTCATTTTTGTCTTATAATTCCATCATACCCGTCTGTCTTTATCCCATAGTAATTTTACTTAAAGACAAAAATAACGGAGCCTACATAAGCATGTAGGAATTTTCCTGTTCTGATTTACTTCAATAAACTTTCACCGATACTTCTTTATGAATTAACTTTATGAAAATGATGCTTACTACGAGTATGTACTTCAACGATATTTTTTTTAAATAAAAATTATTAAATAGATAACGATATTTAGATATATCTAATTCTCCATTACACATTTTTAGTCTGATGTCGATAAGGTCTTATACAAGAAGACTTTAAAATATTATGTATTTTAAACTTATATTAGTATTAACTGAAAAGAAAATTATTTATTACTAGCGACCCTACCCTCGCCTCACTCGGGTTTGTTCCTAGGTACGTTTTGCGGTTAGTATGGAATAGCAAGCAACATGATATATAGCCTATAGCCTTCCTCAATAAACGAACTATTTAATGCAAAAAGAATGTTTCAAATCGGATTAGTAGTTCCTGAGATTTGCGTGTTCAAACAAACAAACAGACGAACGAACGAACGAACGAATAAACAAACAAATTCTTCCTCTTTATAATATTAAGTATAGGATAAGAACATATTATAATAATAAAGATAATAGTTGTGTAAACTCATGTAAAATTAATATATATTTATATATTTGTAGATGGATCGATCAGTACCAGTAGAAACGCCCAGTGTATCATCTGTTTTAAGATCAAAGACTATTTTTATCCGGATGGTCATTATTGCAACATCTTTCTTTTGCTGCATGTTCTTGTTTATTGGAACCATTGTCAATTCTACTTCTTTTTCTGGCAATCAATATTTAAACTTTTCTGCAATGATGCTAATAGCAGTGCCCACTAGGATAGCCATCGTATTGACTCTGACAAGGTTTGGAAGAAGAGCGCCAATATGTTTAGCTTACTGCCTGTGTGCGATCTTTTTTATAGTATCTGCTTTTGTGCCAAAATGTAAGTCCATGTTTGATTTTTGTATAATATAGTATAAGGTAAAAAGTAAAAACCCATTTTAGCTACTAATCTTGCAACTAGTTTAAGCTGTTCCAGTACGAGACGCTCTTGTTGTTATCTAATTAAATAAACTTAAAATATTCACAGCAATCATCTCTGCAAAATCGGCAATGACGTGGGAGACCGCCTTATTGTACATGGCAGCAATATGTAGTAATTATGGATTTTTCTCTATGTTAATGGTGGCCATGGAGGTGTTCCCCACCACCTCGCGCAACTCACTTACTAACATCGCCAACACTATTGGTCGTCTTGGGTCTGCGCTGGCTCCGCAGACTCCTTTATTGGTATGCTATAACATTTTTTTAAACTAAATAGCGACTCACTCTCGTTTTTCCGGCAATAAAAAGTATCCTATATTTTGACTCGGATACCCAGCTATCAATATACCAAATTTCATCAAAATCTGTCCAACAGACAGACAAAAACTATAAAAACTATAGATTCGGCCTCTGTATCGATAATAATGATTATTTTAATAAGATTTTCCAAAAAATATTAAAATGTACAGATTCAACTCAGAATTCTGTTATATATATAGATTATATATATAGATAGATGATGGCTATGCGTTGGTGTTAGTATAAATATTTATTATTTCTAAGGATTGTTTTTATTAAGGAAATTATCACGTATTTATTTATTTACCTTGGAAACCAACAGTATTAGCAAAAATATAGAATAATTAATTTAATTTAGTTAATGCCCATACAAATTTAAATTACATCAGATGATCAAGTACTAGTAGATGGTTGGACTATTGGTTCTCTCACAGCTAAGCCTTTTCGAACAGCAACCAGATCGCCACCACCCATTTTATCATTCCGAGACTAATAATCGAAGAAATTGACGCCACGTTTGGATCAGTTTGCTGTGGCAGCGGTCGCGAGTTCGAATCCCGCTGGGATTCATTTGTGTGATGAGCACGAATGTTTGTACTCTAGTCATGGGTGCTTATATTTATACTATGTATGTATTTAAAGTTATATATATGTGTAGTGTATCAACTATCTGGTATCCTCGTAGCTTACCATGAAACTAGATGGTGCCGTGTGTTAATGTCTCAACATATTTATTATTTATTTATAATCACGATCGCATCGGTAGACGAATATCTACATACAGTCAAAAAACTCAGAATCGTAAATACAGGTAACAACCATGTTTATATATTGGATTGTGTTCAAAAACGTGTTAAATGTTAAATATAATAATATCATATTTAACATTTAATACGTTTTTGAACACAATCCATGAACATTTTGGTAAAATAAAATTATTTTAGTATTCATTGAAATAAAATAAGACAATTTTATTTTATTTATTTATTTATTTTACATCCAATTAGAACGGCGGCGCCACTTACACTAACTAGATTATACATTATAAATTATTACAAACATAAAATATTTCCAAAAACTATGAAGTGTAAGTATAAATACAAGCAATTGATCGATAAAAATAATAAAGTAGTAAAAGTTCATTAATAAATCTCATCCTTTCAATCATCTAGTATTAAAATTGAAAACAATACATTAAAATAAGATTAAAATTAAATAAAAAGTATAAAAATATTTTTTAAGCCTATTAAATTTCATTAAAAAAAAAGTATTCATCTTTCTTTTAAAAGTATGAAATGAAAATTTAAATACATTAATAAAATTTATCGAGAATTGCACAGAAAAATATAAAAATCAAAACAAACATTATTATTACTTATATCATTTTTTTAATTGTTTTCAGTCTGAATGTGTAATATACGTAATTTGTTTTCAGTCTTATTTTTTTTTTGAAAACCATTGTTAACAGATGGTGTATTTTGGTAAAGATAAGTCTTTACCAATTATAAATACCACCAGCCCTTAGCTTTATTTATAGTGTTCACTTTAGCTTTTTTTATAATCTGATCCTAACCTGATCTAGTTAGTGACTTTGAGATACAAAATTTCCTTTGTGAATATGAAAGAATATAGAATTTTAAATTTTACTATCAACTTATATTTATAATACGCTTTATAGGAGCAATATTATCCAGGATTACCCAACATGGTGTTTGGTCTGGCGGCGCTGGGCCCAGCCGTGCTGGCCTTGTTTCTGCCTGAAACGAGTCAAACTGACCTTCCCGACAAAATAGCTGCCGCTGAGAACATTGATGCCCCGAAGTATCGTAAAAATGATGCCGCTGTATGAAGCTGTGAAGTATACTGTGTCAATAATTTATTTACACTGTAGACTTCCACAGCTTACTTTACTAAACATAAATAATAATAAAAAATAGCGTTTATTACAGGAGTCAGAGTTACAGGGTTTACAGATAAAATTGTTTTAAAATTTACATAATAATCTAAATTCTGTCTGCCTCTTGGCAATGGCCTCCTCCAACTGTCTCCATTGGATTTGACTAAACATAACAATTTACAAAATAATCTCGGACCAAATGTGAATTAACTCACAATAAAATTAGAGATAAGAAGTTAAATTATTATGTAATTACTATTTCAAGTGATATCTATATCAATGTTAAAGGATTCTAATAATTATATTTTTACTATACCTACATATTTTTTTATTTTATAAAGTGTATTTTTTAATCTGATTATAGTATTTTTTCAATAATTTGATCAGAAATTGTTTGATCTTAATTTGACGAAATGTACACGTAAATGAAGATAAAAGAAAATCTTAATCTAACCCTATCTTATGCGTAAGTATTTGTAACTGTTACAATATTAAGATATAAACAGTTTATTCATATTTCCTTAGCCTTTTCCCCTCCACGCAGCCAATAATTTTGACTAAATTTCAAAATTCCAGCAAAACCAAAAGATGAATATGAAAATACCCTTAATAAATAGCGAATAGACGTAACAAGTAAAATTACACCTGAAAAAAGCGTTTCATTTATCTAATAATTTAAAAGTAACTTATGTTCCTTGTTACATCGTGTCAATTCATTCGAGATTTAAAACCTAGCAAGTTATAGAAAGACATGTGAACTTTGCCAACCCTCAGTTGGCCAGCGTGGTGGACTATGGCCTAATCCCACTAGTATTGAAGGAAGGCGCGTGCTCAGCAGTGGGACGATAAAAAAGGGCTGAATACACATGATCCCCTACAGTCATTAACTCATTCATTAATGGAACTTATTTGCTAATATCTATACTAATCTAACATACTATTATTACTTTACAGTAGAGCTTTACAAAAACTTTTATATTAGTTAAGATACTTATTTGAAATTTGGTACCCTTAATAGTTAATTTATTCACTGTAATTATAAATAATTAAGGAAGAATAAATATGGGTAATTATTTTTAAATTATACTTTTTGATTTAGCTCAAGTTAGCCCTATATAATATATAAATTAATATAAATACGAGTAAATTAGATTTTAAGTAATTAATAACACATAATAACACGTAACCCAAATTCGAGTCGCCATTTTTGACGGTTTGTGGATAGTATGGAGAGGATTTTTTTAATATTCATTACAATATTTTCATTGATTTTTTTAAGCATTATTTGAAATTTGGTATTTTATAAATATTTTAACTGTTTTCCTAAAAAAAATATTTGAATTTCTTAAAACAGTACGATTTTTATTTTACAGATATAATTTCAACTTACACATTACTTTAAAACATTATAAAAATTAAAAAAAAAACCTAATTGCATAAAAGCTAACTAAAAAGATGAAAACAAGTTGACGAAGGAGTAAAGTAATATGCAGTCGGTGACATACTCTTACATATATACATCTCGCGACAAGTTGATATATTTTGACAACCTCTGTCACTTGACATCCTTGTAATCGAAAATAAGAAAATGTTCTGGTAATATCAGCTTCTTTTTGGAAAATATTGTATTTCTTCCAGTCATGGCGATTTCCCTTTATCTGTCCTTGTCGTGGACTATCATGGTCGATAGAATTGTTTTATTAGCAAATATTTTTATGCATGTGTATGGAGTGCTATTGATGAAATGATTTTTTTCGCACTCAACTATGCGATAATGTTATTAAAAAATAAATCGAATCATCGACTTCTGAGTAACAAGTACTGTGACAACTACTCTACACTACGAACGATAGTAGAAAACTCTACAAATGATCAAGTAACCACGAGGCTTAGATAAGACGTCATTATAAAATCGCTATTGCTATTAGAAACCTCTTAAATATACGAAAATACTAGCAGAACCCGCGGCTTCGCCCGCGTCCAATCGCGTTCGCTCGGGTTCGTCCCTATGTACTCGTATTTATTAATATTAAATTATTTGGATATTGTTCATACAAAAATACTAAAATTGCGATTACAAAATGGGGGGTGAGGGTAAGGGGGTGAAAAATTTTTACGACCTATTCTCATACCAAATATACAAAAAGAATATATAATTAAAATCGGTCGAGCCGTTTCGGAGAAGTAGATCCACAAACACTGTAACACGAGATATATATAAATTAGATTAATATTACTTTACGTGGTCTGAAAATATTATCATTTTCGAAATTTGATTTTGATTTTCTATCTGTCGATTTCAAAAAGTAAAATGATTAAAGGGCATTATTTAATACTTTCTTAGATTTACGCGAATACTTGACATTTTAAATAAAACTATCTTTTCGGATTTTTTCGCGAATTTATTTAGATTTTTGGTTCCCGATGTTTCGAATGCTTTACAGCAATCATGGTTCCGGGAGAGACTGAGGTGTTAAATGTCTGAAAGGTATTATATAGTTTTCACAGAGTCTGTAAGTCCAAAAATCAAAATTGATTCGCGTAAAAATCCGAAAAGTTAGTTTTATTTAAAGAGGGCATTATTTATTTGTTTCAACGTTGTTTTCAACGAAATAAATACATATATGTATTTAGTTCGATATTTAATAAAAGTATATTATAGTTGATGTACAAAACGAAGTGTCAACGTTAGTAATGGAAAATGAAAGGCAATTAATAAAATAATAAATAACGAGCACCATCAGGTAATAGGTACTTATTAACTCGCAGCAACGCTAAGTATGCGTGCGCGGCCGCATCGCGTACATGCGCTTGCGCAGAACTAGTCCTGTCAATAAATCGATTTCGCCTCGTGAAGAAGAAAGTAGTCAGTAAATGATCATATTTTTTGTAAATGTACATTTATATTTAATAAAGCAAAAAAAAGTGTATGAAAAAGCTAATGTGATATTATAATTATTGACGTGTGGAAGTGTACTGGGAATTTGTTTTAATTGTTATAGAAACCGCATCTGCATTAAAAAGGTAGGAAAAAAGATTTTACCAACCTCAAAAATGGAAGAGATACTTCATTATATAATTTTATAAGTATGTCTTGTTGTATATGTATGTTACGCGATATCTTAGTCAATGATAAATAGATTGCTCTTGATAATTTTTTCAACGAATTTACATATTTTCAAAAAATATTTTCTTCTCTAAAGGTGGAAATATTACTATAATTGATTTTGAAGTTGGTCTATATTTTCTATTAATAACTATATACCTATTTTGATATTTTTATTTTTTATATATTAATATTTTTTTATGTTTGAATTATATATTTTGGACATTGTGTCGCTGTCATCAAGAAAATTAGCCAAAGGAATTTTAAAACACAATTTTATTTAATTTTTTAATGACTGAAAATCCAGTTTCGATTAAACAATTTTAAATATTTAAAAAATGAATCCACTCTTTCTCTCTATGATTACATAGAACAATTGTCAATTATGTAAATGGTCAATAAAATTGCATTTTTAATTAACTATGCAGTTTCAGCGAGTGCAATAGAAACTTTAAATGTTTACCCGTACTTTGTTATTAGTGATTCAATTTTAAAACGATCATTTGAATATTGTTTATTTAATAATATTTTAAATGCCAACGTGTCTCTTGGCACCTCTTTCAAGCATTCAACGGCAATTCGACGTGTTTTTTTGCTTAGTGATAGCAGATAGATAATAAATATCAGAGTATCAAAGTTTTTCGTCACTATTCATTATAACTAGTATTCGCCCAGTCGTCAGAATTTGACCATAATATTTTTTTTATTCATAACACTAAAGCTTGGCAATTGCTACTAAACAAGAAAAAATCGGTTGACAAACAGAAGAGAATAAATAAATATATTATAAAAATAAAAAACCCAACTGCGTAAAAGCTGCGTTTCTTTGTGAACTTGTTTTCATCTTTTTAGTTAGCTTTTGTCGGGGGTTTTTATTTTAATGATATATTTATTTACAGCTTTTTAGGTATTTTAAGTAGGAAAATTAGCGAGAATGGTTCTTTACCATTTTTTTGGCGACACGTTTGGCTCAGTTTTTAATGACCCTACTTGCTGTGCCAGCGGTCGCGGGTTCGAATCCCGCTGGGGGCATTCATTTCTGTAATGAGCATGAATGTTTGTACTCCAGTCATGGGTGTTTATATTTATAATACGTATGTATTTAAAGTTATATATGTGTAGTGTATCAACTATCTGGTATCCATAACACAGGTCTCGTAGCTTACCATGGAACTAGATTGTACTGTGTGTTAATGTCACTATATATCCTAAACTGTTATTTAAAATAAAAAAATATGAAAGGAACCTAAAAAATATTTTTAAATACCTATTCAGCGATGCCCCACTTGAAATAGTTCGTCAATTTTCATTTTGGTCTTTTTCACATTATGGCGTCAAAAATCGGCCATTTTGATTTGTCCATTTTTTTATGCTTTCGCATTCGTGCCATCATGACGAATCAAAGGACGTGTCATTTATCAAAATCGACCTACGCGTTTCGTCAAAACCTTTTTAACAAAAAAATAAAAAATCGACTTCAAACAAAAGCACTAAAAAGTAAAAAATAACTGATTGGTAGTTTTCATTTACTATACATACCTAATCAAATATTTTCGAAGTCGGTGTGCTTTGCTTTGTATTGCTGGCACCGATTTCGAAAATATTTGATTAGGTATGTATTTAATAGGTAGGCTTTAATTACTTAGCCAAAGCACACTTTCAAACAACACAAAAATTGTCCAAATCGGTTAATAAATGACGGAGCTCTGAGGTAACAAACATAAAAAAAACAGTCGAATTGAGAACCTCCTCCTTTTTGAAGTCGGTTGAAAATAGTGCCACAAAGGTAAAAACCCACATACATACATAGGCTAATAAGCACATTACTGCATGCATGCATGCA